CTCGGGCGCCGGCAGCGCGCCGCCTTGCGCGTCTGGGTCCCAGACGCCGGCGGCGTGGCAGATCTGGTACAGCGCCTGCGCCGCGGCGCTGCGCGTGTCCCAGCTCTTGGAGAGAAGCAGCGGCACGACGCGTGCAAGGAGCATCAGCGCCTCGTTCCACTCGCCGTCCGTGCCGCGGTAGCCTTCGGTGGGCGCGGGCGCGCTGCCCTCTTGCGCCGTGCTCGCGCCGCGCACGCGCAGGGCGGCCATTTGGCCGAGCTGCGTAGCGGCCGTCGAGCGGATCGCCGGCGACGAGCCAATGTCCAGCAGGGACACGAGTCGGTCCAGGCGTGTGGCAGGAGACCCCATCTCGCGACTAGTGCATGTCCCGGCGTGCGCAGGCCGCAGCGGAGGGCGTCCGTTCGGCGGCCGCGCGCTCTATATAGACGGGTGTGCATAATTCCACAACACTGCGCGGGGCGCCCGCGCGCCCGCCCGCCGCGCGCGCGCGCTATGTCGCGGCGGCGGCGGCGGCTATGTGCATGCTGCGGCGCCGTCTAGCGGTCCTCGGCCCATTCCTGCGGTGAGAGGGGCGCACGTACGTTTTCGCGGCGGATCTGCGCCTCCTCCTCCGGCGTAAAGTCGTTCTGGATATTGAACAGCTTGCGGATCTCCTCGGGCTGCTTGCCCTTGATCATATTCGCGCTGCGTCAGCCGGGGCCACGTACACAGTCTTGCAGCCGATGTCCAGCAGGCTCTTGATGTCCAGGTAGTTCGCCGCGAGGATGATCTCGAAGAGCATCTCCTGGTCGACCTGGATGAACTTGGCGTCCCACTCGGAGATGTCCGTCGCGCGACGGCGCATCTCGTCCGTCTCGTCGCTGGACGCGGGCGGGTCGTGCCGGTGGTGGCTGCAGTACTCGAGCACCTTGGTGAGCACGCTCGCGCTCACGTTCGGGAGCGGGATCGGCTGGTCCGTCTCCCCGATATCTTCGATCATCTGCTTGATCAGCATAGAGCGCTCCGCGACATCGCGATCGACGGTGAAGTGCTCGTTGTCCGACGTCGTCAGCAGCACCATGTCCGGCGGTCGTCGCTCGCGTGGAGGTGGCCGAGCCGCGGGCCGCGAGGGGATCACGTGAAGCGAAGAAGAAGAGCGCGCGGCGGCGGCCGCCGCTGTCCGACCCTCATGGCGAGCCTGTGGGTGTGGCCGCTGCGCGCAGCGCTGCGGGCGCCTACGCACGCCGCGGTGGCGAACCGTGTGCTTCCTGCCTCGGCACAGTACCTGCGCGCCGCGCCCTTTGGCACCGGCGCGGCGGTCCCGGTGCGCGCCGACGGCACGCCGATCCCCGACGCACCGCGCGAGCCGCCGGTGCCGGCCAGCGCGGTGCCGAGCCGCCGCGAGCGCCGCGCGGCCAAAAAGACGCAGCGCGAGCAGGCGAGGCTGCAGAAAGCGCGCAACACAATCGCAGCGCGCCTCGGCGTGACGGAGCAGCGCACGGCGCCGCTCGTGCGGACCGACCACCAGTTCAAGACGTTCAAGCCGATCACGCCGTCGATCCGCTGGCTGCGCTACCCCCTCGCGACGCACCTGCACCGCGGCGGCCCCGTGCGTGCGCTCACGCGCGCGAAGCGCAGCACCGGCGGGCGCAACCACCACGGCCACATTACGGTGCGTGGGCGCGGCGGCGGCCACCGCCGCCGCCTGCGCCTCGTGGACTTTTACCGCTGGGAGGCCGGCGAGCAGCGCGTCGTGCGTATCGAGTACGACCCCGGGCGCAGTGCGCACATCGCGCTGCTCGCGCACAGCGAGACGCAGCGCCTCAGCTACATCCTCGCGCCGGACGGCCTCTCAGCGGGTGACACGGTGCAGAGCTACCGCACGATGAAGCAGGACACGGCGTCGTCGAGCAGCCTGGACCTCGGTATCTTCCGCACGCACGCGATCCGCCCCGGCAATGTGCTGCCGCTGCGCCTGATCCCGATCGGCACGACGATCCATGCGATCTCGCTGCGCCCGCTGGGCCCCGCGAAGCTGGTGCGCGCAGCTGGCACGAGTGGGCAGCTGGTCGCGTTCTCGTCGTACCGCAAGAGCGCGTCCGAGGCCGAGTCCGCGCCGACGCATGCGCAGGTGCGCCTCGCCAGCGGCGAGGTGCGCCTCGTGCCGCTCGACTGCTGTGCGACGATTGGCCTCGTGAGCAACGTCGACCACCAGCACCGGCGCCTCGGCAAGGCCGGCCGCTCGCGCTGGCTCGGCCGCCGCCCAAAGGTGCGCGGTGTGGCGATGAACGCGGTCGACCACCCCCATGGTGGTGGTCGTGGCAAGTCCAAGTCGAACAAGGTGCCGCGCTCGATCTATGGCTACCCGCTCAAGTTCCAGCGCACGCGCAAGCCCGGCACCAAGAAGGGCAACCGCATGGTGGTGCGTGAGCGTCCGCGCCGCAACGGCAAGCGCGCCGGCAAAGCATAGCGTATAGACTACTTGTTCAGACGCTGGCGCTCCGCGCGCTGGCGCTTGCGCAGCTTCTTGTACTTGTGCTTGTTCATCTTTTTCCTGCGCTTGCGGCGCACGCTGTCCAGCGACACGGCCGGCTGGCCGTCGGTGAGGCGCTCCATCGCAGTGCGCCACGCATGCTCCGCGCGAACGCGCGTTTGGACGAGTCCCTGCGTGAGCCACAGGTGCGCGTCCTGCTCAGACACATCCACGTCGTCGACGCTGCGCACCGGCAGCGGCGGCACGCCGCGCAGCGCACTCGGCGGCACAAAGGGCTGCGCCGTGCCAAGCGCCGTCGCGACGCCCGGCGCCCACGACTTGTGCGCGCCAAGCGGCTCGCCAAGCACAACAAGCTCGGCCTCGGCGCCGAGGCGCTCGGCGCGCTCGACGTCGTCGCCATGCTCGCGCGCATTCGCGACGACCTGCTCGCGGGTATCCGCCTCGCGCTCCAGCCGTGCGATGCGCGCCGACGCCGCCTGCACGGCCGGCGACGACGGCGCAAAGCCGCGCGAACTGCGGCGGCGCGCTCGGGGCACGCGGCGCGACGACACGCGCAGCTGCGATAGGTCATCGATCAGGTGCGCAAACGTCGCTGCATCCACGGGGCGCGCGCGGCGCCGCCAGATGTTGGGGGCCGGCACCGCAAAGTCCTCGGGGTCGATCACGACCGTGTCGCCATGCACGATACGCTGGGGACGCGCCGGGAGCTGCTCGTGCTCAAGGAGCGGGCGGTGCTGCGCGTACAGGCGCTGCAGCGCCAGGTTGCGCTCGCTCGTGGGCGGCGGCGTCGCGCGCGGCAGGAGGGTCGCCCGTACCGGCGCGGCCGCGCGGCTCGGCGGCACCGGCGACGCGACACTGCGCTGCACAGGCCGCGGCGCCGCCGCGAGCGCCTGGCCCACGACAGGGCGGCCACTCATGCGCATCGACAGCACACTCTTTCGCATACAGGGCGGTGAGAGCGACGTACGTGGCCGCTGCTGGCCCTGCACCACGTGACACTCGCCGGCCGCGCCCCCCGCCGGCCCCCGTGGCCTCGGTGTGGCGGCGCGGAAATAAGTGCTGCGTGCGCCCAATCATACCCTCGCGCCGAGCCCGGGCGACCACCGGCGGGTCACGGCCGCGCAGCGGTTGACGACTTGTGCCCGAGAGGGACGTGTGCGAAGCCGATTGACGTGGCTGCCTTGCGTTGCTCTACTGAAGACCCGCATTCTTGTGCTGGATGGCGACGGTCGTTCCGCGCTTGAAAAAGCGGCGCCTCTCGCCCGAGCCGGCGGGGACGGCGCCGACCGCGATGGACCCGTACCTGGCGCCAGTGGCGCCCGGTGTGCCGTGTGCAAGCACATCGGCGCTGTGCGCCCCGGTGCCCCTGACGCCTGCCGACATGCAGGCGCACTTCTTCTCATACCCCCCGCCCGTGTCCCCGACGGCGCCCGCAGCCAGGCAGGCAGTGCCGCCCACGCCGCCCGAGCGCGCCAGTGTGCGCGAGATGATTGATGGCCAGGAGCGGCAGGTCTACCTGGTGAGCGATGACGAAAACGATACCCCCCCTGCCTCGCCGCTGCACCCGGTCCCGGCGGCGCCCGTGGCCGCGGGCAGTGCGACGACCGGCAAGCGCAAGTCGCAGCAGCCGTGGGACACTGACGATGCGCTGCCCAGCAAGCGGCAGCGGCCCGAGCCGCCCCCGGTGCCAGCGATGCCGGCGGTCCCCGAGTCAACGCCACTGCTGGTGCCCGAGTATCCCGTCGCGCCGCCGCCGCTCGGCCTCGCTGCGATGTCGACGTACGCCATGCCGCCGCCCAAGACGCCACAGCTAAACGGCTATGCGGACCCCTGGCGCGCGCCGTTTGCGCCAGCCATGTTGCAGCGCGTCGAGGCAGTGCCGCTCGACGACAAGGACGGGCACATTATTGTGCGGGAAGGCGACTGCATCACGCCGCGGTACCAGATCCGCGGCCTCCTGGGACAGGGCACGTTTGGCAAGGTGGTGCAGTGCTACGACCGCCAGCTGCGGCGACATGTGGCGATCAAGGTGATCCGCGCGGTGCAGAAGTACCGCGACGCGAGCCAGATTGAGATCCGCGTGCTCAAGTGCCTGCGGCAGAATGACCCGCAGAACGAGTTCCAGTGTGTGCAGCTTATCGAGACGTTTGATTTCCGGAACCATGTGTGTATCGTATCGGACCTGCTGGACCGCAGCGTGTTTGACTTTTTGAAGGACAACAAGTTCCAGCCCTTTCCGTGCCGCCACATTTGGCGCTTTGCGAAGCAGCTGCTGAACAGCGTCGCATTCCTTCACCGGCTCTCCCTCATACACACGGACCTGAAGCCAGAAAATGTACTCCTGGTCGATGCATCCTTCGACCTGGTGCCGACGTCGCGGCGCGTCAATGCGCGCAAGAAGCGGGTGCTACGTAATTCCGAGATCCGGCTCATTGACTTTGGCAGCGCCACCTTCAACGACGAGTACCACTCGGGCGTCGTGTCCACGCGGCACTACCGCGCACCTGAGATCATCCTCGGCATGGGATGGTCGTTTCCCTGTGATGTATGGTCGATTGGGTGCATCCTCGTCGAGTTCTTTACGGGCGAGGCGCTTTTCCAGACCCACGATAACTTGGAGCACCTCGCGATGATGGAGATGGTGCTGGGGCGGCTCCCAGACGACTACCGCCGCAAGGCGGAGACCTACAAGCCCGAGTACTTCCACCAGGGGCACCTCGGCTATCCGCGGCCTGACACGACCAAGCAGAGTCGCCGCTACGTACAGAGCATGAAGCCGCTCGCCGAGATCATCACTGGGTCGAGCACGTACGCAAAGCACCATCGCGCGTTCGTGTCGCTGCTGCACCGCCTGCTCGAGTACGACCCGGCGAAGCGCATCACGGTGCAGGAGGCGCTGCAGCACCCCTACTTTTCGCTACAGCCGCAGGACCTGCCGCCCTAGAAGCGCTGATACCACTCTATATATATAGATACGATACCATGGCCGCAAACGCAAGCTTTTGACTACAGAACCTACTCAGGCTTCTGCGTGCCCTCCTGGAAGAGGTAGGTCAGGTGGCACTTGCCGCAGTACTGGCGGTTGTGGTGCCAGGCCATGAAGATACCGGGACCGCACTCGGGCGACGGGCACTCACGGCGGAGCTGCTTCACCGAGCCGTCGTCGTTGATGCGGTAGTACTTCAGAGTGGCCATCTTGACCTTCTTGTGCTTGTGCTTGATCTTCTTGGGGGTGGTGTACGTCTTCTTCTTACGCTTCTTCGCACCACCACGCAGGCGCAGCACAAGGTGGAGCGTGCTCTCCTTCTGGATGTTGTAGTCGCTCAGCGTGCGACCATCCTCCAGCTGCTTGCCGGCGAAGATCAGGCGCTGTTGGTCCGGAGGGATACCCTCCTTGTCCTGGATCTTGGCCTTCACATTCTCGATCGTGTCGGAAGACTCCACCTCGAGGGTGATCGTCTTCCCGGTAAGGGTCTTGACGAACACTTGCATGGTAACTGCTAACCAAACAAAGTGTGGTGTCCTTGCGGCTCCTACAAGTGTAAGGGGAAGACGCTCGCCGCCGGCCGCCGCCTTTTCGCTCCGACCGTGGGAAAATGTACTCACGTGATATGAAGGCAGCCTCCACCGCCGCCACGGATAGCACCCGCGAGGGGTACCTAGTTCGCTCTACGACCGCATGGGCGACAAACTCCGGTCGCGCGCGCCGCCACGCCGTGCGCCGCGCGCGCCGAGGTCGGCTGCATAGCTCGGTGGTCGCACAAACGCATAGTCTGCGTCGAGCGGCTGCTCCAGGAGCGCGAGCCCCCTCTTGCACGCGGCGATCGCGCTCTCCGCCTCCGCCTGCGTCTCGTACTGCAGGAGCGCATACCCCTGGCATCAGTAGCATGTACCTACCTTGACATAGCCCGTGCGCCGATCGAGATTCAGGTGCAGGTCCTTGACCTTGCCAAAGTCCAGGAACACGTCCAGGACGTCGTCTTCTGTCGCCTCCTCGTGCACGTTGGTCACCACTATGACCCAGCCCTCCATCGCTGCATAAGTAGGGTGCACGTACACTGTGCCGCATGGCCGTCCTGATCGCCCTCGGCCGGTAGCCGCTCAAACTGGTTCGAGCGCACGCCGTCCCCTTCGTCCGCAGCGGCGCCCGCGCCAAATCCACGGCCTCGTCGCCGAATACTGGGATCTAGTGTAAGAGCATACTACACACCATCGTCCACGTCCATGCCCGCGTCGCGGCGCCACGACCGGTCCGTCGACGCGCTCATAGCGACCCGTGCTCCACGATCGCCGCGCGGCGTTGCCTGGGCACGTGACGCGGCGCCGCATCGTCCTCGCAGCGCCGGCGCGTGGCCAGCTAGGCTCATGCGCGAGCAGATCGCGCGCGTGTCGCACGCGCTGAGCGAAAGCTGGGCGCGCATGCAAACGGCCTTGCACGAGGCCAAAAAAGAACATGGCGTAGGGCGCCTCGAGGCAGATGTGGCCAACGCGTGCGTTGCACCGATCGCCGAGCACCTGCGGCAGCTGTGCGCCGAGGTGCAGCAGGCGTGGGCCGGTGGCGAAGCATCGGCGATGTGGGACGAGGCGCTTAGCATGGTGATCTGGGCACACATACACACGTCGGTGCTGGCGTCCGCCGGCCTCGAGGAGGCCGTCGACCGCCTCGATATGGCCGTCGCCGTGTCGCAGCAAGGTTCGTGAGGGGCGCTGACGCAGGCCTGGGCGACCCGACGCTTCCTCTCTCGGCGCTCGCAGATGTTCTCGAGCAGACGCCGATCCAGCAGTGTATGGATCTCTTCAGCTACGCGGAGTCGCGCGCCGCGCTGCTCACCGAGGTACGTACATGCCACTCATGCCAGGATCTGGTCCCGACCACGGGCAAGGGCCTCGTATTCCTGCGCATGTGCAACGAGCTGCAGCGACGCCTATCGGTGGTGCATGAGGAGCATGCGACGCTCGCGGGCCGCATCCTCTTGCTCCTCTCGACGACGCTGCCCTTGCACGAGCGCAGCGGCGTGAACCTAAAAGGCGAGTCCAACACGGCGCATGCTGCCGAGATGGAAGCACTCGACGATGCGGCCGAGCCGCTGGCCCCCGGTGCTACGCCTGCCTCCCTCGCGGAGCATCCGTCGTTGTACGAGCTGTTCTGGAGCCTGCAGTACTATATGGCGAACCCGGCCGTCCTCCTTGCCACGGACGCAGCAGCGCCCCTGCCCGGCGCAGGGCCTGCCCAGTGCCTGCACAGACTGCCAGCGCCCGAGGAGGGCGCGGCGCCTACGGCGATGCAGGTGTTCCAGGCGGGTGTCCAGTGCATGCTGGACGTGCTGCATGCCGTCCCGGCAGCGACAGCGCCTGGCGCGTCGCGGCCGGCCAAGAAGCGCATGCGGACCGAGGCGTGCCCCACCTATATGAGCGCACGGCGCCTCTTTCCGTACGAGCTGCAAGACCCCTCGTTCCGACGCCAGTTCCTCGTGCAGAGTCTCGTCGTGTTCCAGTACCTGCTGGGGCAGAGCCATGCGAGCCGCGAGCGCGCGAAAGACTGGACCAACAAACTGTTACTACAGACAAACGAGCTGACAGAGAGCGAGGAGCAGTGGACACGCAAGACATGGCGCCAGGTGCAGAACCTCTTGCGTGACTCGGGGCCGGACGGGCGTGCCATCCTCGATATCGTGCTGAATGTGTTGCGGCGCGAGAGTGCCTGGGTGCAGTGGAAAGGCGCCGGCGCGCCTTCGACACAGCGCGCGCCACTGGATGCAGAGACGTGCGCGGCGTGGCAGAGTCGCGTGGCTGCGGCGCTGGCGCGCCCCGCGCCAGCCCCGCTCGTGCCGATGGGCAGCGCCGAGCTGCGCCGCCTGTGGGACGAGGGACTGCAGGTGCCTGCGCCGTCGACGGTGGATGTGCAGACGGAGGAAGGCGAGGTCAAAACACTGCACACGGACGGACTCGAGGACTTGGAGGCGCCTGGCGGGACGCCGTCCCTCGTCTCGATGGATCGGCAGATGAAGCGGCAGGCGGGCGACGACGACGACGCCCAAGCGAAGCGGGAAGGTCTTGCATGGCGTGCGCTGCGGTGTGTGGACCCTGCGCACCTGCACCTCATGGCATGTATGCGGGCGCCCGACGACGTGGAAGGCTTGCTGCAGGCGATGCAGGCGGAGGCCCAAGGCGAGACCTACGAGCCGGCCACGATGGGGATGGAGCCGGACGAGCCGGCGTCGGAAGAAGAGGTGGTGCCAGAGACGAGTGAGCCACAGGCCCTAGAGCGAGAGTCGGAGACCAAGGACGCTGAGATCAAGCCAGAGACTCGGGATGCCGAGACCGAGGCCGAGCCAGAGACTCGGGATGCCGAGACCGAGGCCGAGCCAGAGACTAGGGAGACCGAGGCCGAGGCCGAGCCAGTCGAGGCACAGGCAACGGAGCCCGACGCGCCCAACACATCGGCGCACGAGGCGATGCAGGTGGACGACGACACGCCGACCAGCCACGCACCCGCGCATCTCGCTGACGACGATGCGCGCTCGTCGTCTCTGTCCTCCTCGTCTTCGTCCCCCCTCTCGACGTCCGAGGACGATGCGGACCCAGACTCGACGTTCCTTACGGCGCCTGCGGCCGATCCACGCTCGCCGGGCTAAGTCTCCCTACGCGCGCGCTTCGCAGAGCGCTCGGGATCGGCGAGTTGCGCCTGCAGCTGCTGCACAAGAGCCGCGGGATCCGGCACTGCATCGCGAGGCACGGCCTCGTGCGCCGCGTGGCCTACCTTGGACGCTGCATCGAGCGTGCCCATGATGTGGACCTCGGTAGCGAGGCGCTTGCACAGCTGCGCAATGCCGTCCCTGACGCGCGGCGCAAGGACCGGCGGTGGCCGCGCCGCGAGCCGCCGGTGCCAGCCGGCGGCCACGTACCAGGCGAGGCGGATCAGGTGCGGGAAGCGGAACTTGCGCGGCACACGCGTCGCGATTTCGAGCGCCTCGATGCGAAAGTGCATCGCCACATCATAGTCAGCGAGAAAGTTGCCGCCAATGACCAGGGTATCGCACGGCGTGTGCACAGCGTGAATCCAGCCGGCAGGAATGAGCATCGTCTCGCCCGTGCGGATATCCGCACGAGTCACGTCGCGCAACGCATGGCCCAGCCACTCGCTTTCCTGCCGCGCCGACGACGTCCATGCCTTGTACGCTGCCAGGTTCGCGGCGGTCGGCGGCGCAAACAGGAACACCTTGTGGCCCCACACAACGTGGTAGTACACGTAGGTCGCGGCAAAGTCGATGTGAAAGTCGGTAAAGGCGCCCTGCACGCCCATGAGCACATACCGCTGCACCTTGGGCCACTTGGCCGAGTCCTCGGCGCGGGGCCGCCGATCGCGCGGCCAGTCGCGCTCGAACCAGTCGCTATCGCGCACCATGCGGGGCGCCTCCACGAGCGCCTGCAGCGGCGTGCCCGAGATCTCCAGGCTGATGACATTCAAGAGCTTCGCACGCTCGGCCGGCGGCGTCTCGAAGTAGTCGGCCCACTCGCTCAGCGTCCACGCACGCGACGACCGCTGTGTCTTGACGTCAATCACTTCGACGTGCGTATCAGGCCCCACGAGCCGCGCCACGTCGCGGATCGTCGTGGAGCGTGGCGGAATACGCATGCCAGGGATATGAGAGCCGGGGTTCTCGGCGTCATCACACGCGGGCACGAGCGTAGGCGCGTCCAGCGCGCCCGGCGCAGATTCCATCCATGCTTGCGTCCATGCTGCACCATCGACGCGCCGCACCGCCGTGGGACACGCGTCGTACTCCGCGAGCAGACGCGCCCAACGTCCAAGCGGATCGGACGGACGCCCCTCCTGAATGGCCGCATAGTCCGTCGCATCACGCTCACGCGCCGACCTGCGCCGCATGCGGGGCGTCAGCTGCAGCGAGGGGTTGGATACACACGGCGCACAATACCATGTATCGTAGTCGTCGACATTGTCGAGGCGCAGGCACGCGACATGGAACCACGTCTCGCAGTGCGAGCATGCGACCCACAGTGACTTGTCGAGTGCCTCATCAGTGCATGCTGGGCACCGATCATCGGCGCCATCGTCACTGCTCGCCTCGGCAGACATGCGTCGGCGGCGCGGCTGGCGGTCGGCAGTCAGAGACGGCCACGCGGTCGGTCTCCACATCGACACCACGGCCCAGCGCACTATGGGCCCTCGCGTCAACCAAGCCCTACGAACGCTAGCGTACGAGTGCGGCTTGTAGCCGCGCGGTCCCGCGAGATTCGCCACTACCTAGCGGTTCCCAGCGCAGATGTCGGCTTTCCCGGGAGTCTCCGCTGGGCCCTGCTGCGCGCGGCAAACCAGGGAGCACGAGTCCAGCATCGAGCAACCAGCCGATGTCGACACGAGGTGCGAAGCGGGCAGCCACGGCTCAGCGTACCACACAACCCGGTGGCGTCGTCGTGGAGCCGCGTGCCGCACGCAGCGCGCAGGCGGTCGTGGACGCCCTCCACAAGCGCCGCAAAGCCTTCGCTTGCCTCCACGCGCCGTAGTCGGATGGCTTCGCCGGAGCAGGCGCTGGGCGCGCTCCTGGGGCTCGATGAGGCCACTGTGAGCGATCAGATCGTGCCGTACTTGCGCACACACAAGACGCCCAAGGCTCTGCGGCTGTATATGCAGGACCTGATCGGCACATCGCCGGAGGCCAAGGCCCTCGCAGACCGGTGGGTGGCGGTGCGCTTTCCAGCGCGCGAGCCGCCGCGTCCACGCGATACCAAGGGCGTGCGACTGACGCCAGCGACAGTCACAGCCGCGCTCGCCGAGTCGGAAGAGCGCGCGCAGCCACGCACACTCGAGCCGACAGCGGATATGAAGGCGCTGGACGCTGCGTTCGCCATGCTATCGACCGAGCCGTGCTCGACCGCTGCGGCATCCTACAAGCCCGCGCGCCAGCGCCTGTGCCTGTGCCAGGGCCAGCGGCATGGCCTTGCCAAGTGGGCCCCCCTCTGCGTAGCCTGTGGCCTGATCCTGTGTGCGGCACTGCGCCCTGTGCCGGTGTCGCCCTGGTCCGTGTGCCCGTCGTGCCAGCAGAGCCCCGTGGTGCCGGCACAGACTCGCACACACATGCTCAGCGATATGGTCGATATGCGCGAGCGCCTTGAGCGCGAGCAGTACGAGGAGGCCGCGCAGCGGCACGCTGAATGGATGGCCCAGCATGCCAGCGGACAGTTGCCGCAGCAGGCATTTCCTTCGCTGCATGGTGCGCCGGCGTCTGCGCCTGCCCGTGCCGCCGCGCCGGCGCCGTCGCGCGCGCGCGTGCTGCATCTCGACATGAAAACGCACAAGGTCACGATGGCGCGTGCCAAGCCGAGCAAGGCAGGGTCCGCTTCGTCGACGCCACCTAGCGACGCAGGCGCGCCGAGCGAGTGGGCCACCACAGCCGAAGACGGCTCGCCACTGCTGCATGATTGGGACGACGACCTGTTCCGACAGGCGTTTGGCCGCGAGGCCGCGCCGCCGAAGCAGGGGTCGCGGTGGGCCGACGTGCCATGCGAGACGTCCCTGCGCGGTGTCTATGTACCCAAGGAGCGGCGCGGTCCGCTGCGAAAGGCTGTCGAGTCAGAGAGCCTGACGGAGGTGCCTGACCTCGCGGACCTCCTGCGTCGTACGCCGCCAGGCAGTCACGCCGCGCAGGCGCGCAGGAACGACCGGACGCAGGCTGCGGCTGCGGCGGTCGCGCGGAGCCACGGCCGCAAGAGCGGCAAGGCAGCGCCGCGGCGCAAGAACGCAGGTAGTGCATAGCGTCCGAGGCACGGACCGTCCACGGGTAGTCACGTGCGACGCCAGGCGGCGCGGCGGGTCGTAGCGCCAGCGACCGCTGCCGCGCCTACCATTGCTGGCTGGGACGTGCTAGTGCGACGCGATGGGATTCTTTTCGTCAAACAAGGAGGCGCAGAGTGTGTCGCCGGAGCCGATCGACAAGGTCGAGGTGCGTAGACGGCAGAGCGACTGACTGGCAGGTCGGCCGCACGCTGCTGAACAAGCTAGAGCAGGTCAGCCCGGACCCGTCGGTGCCTGCGCCGGACCTGTCGCGCCAGGAGCAGCTGGATGCGGCGATCCAGAAGAAGCTCCATGAGGAGCTGGGGAAGCTCCGCAAGCAGGAGAAGGAGGTCCAGACGCAGATCGAGCTGGCCCTCGAGAAGGAGAACCTGGACAAGCAGGCCAAGTCCTGGTTCAGCCGCGACAAGGGGCAGAGCAGTGTTCTGCTGCAGCAGGAGCTGGATCGCGTCAAGGCTCAGAACGAAAAGTACCAGCACCGATCGGTCGCAGACTACCCGGAGCTGCAAAAGGCCCGCGACGCGGTGTCCCAGTGCTTCCTGTATGTACCTGCCTCCTCACACACGCAGCGAGAACAAGCACCGCACCCTGGACTGCTGGAAGGAGGTCGAGGCGTTCAAGAAGGCCATGGCCGACGCAGAGAAGGTATGTGGCTGCCAGGCGTGACTGACACTATAGACCGTTATGGCGACCTGGAAGTAGATGGTGCGCCGTAGCCGAACCATGTATTGCACGGACCATGCGCCTGCGACGACCGCGCGCGGGCGCGCCGTCGTTCCACCGGCTCGCCGGTGGTGCACCTCGGCCGAGGGCCGGGGCTCACCGGGACCATGCTAGGGTCACGGCACCGCCGGCGCCGCGGCGCCATGAGCCGTGCACGCGTGGTAGCCGCGGCGGCCCCGTAGAGCACGGCGCGCCGCGTCCTGGCCACGAGGCGCGCGGGCGGAGGCCTGGGCCTCGGCGCAGGGCCGGCCCGACTCGGCCGTCCGCCGATGCGTGCGCGACCAATCCGCGCCGTGTGATTGGCCGGTGCCACCCGGCTGGAGGCAGGCCCCGAGGCGCCTGCCCACCGCTCGCCTTCCCTCATCGCTCCGTCGATTCCACTCGGCCCAACCGCCCTGTTGACAATAGAAGCGATGATTGCTGGCAGTGCGTTTCTGCGCACCGTGACGCGTTCGTCGGTGCCCCGCGTCCGCTCGACGCCCCTGACTGCGCGTGTGAATGCGTTCCACTCCTCCGCCTCGGTTTCGCGTGTTGTCGGCACGCAGCCCCTGCGTGCGAAGGCCGCCTCGGGCGTGCCGGACCTGTCGAACGGCTACCCCGTGGTCGAGCACGAGTACGATGCGATCGTGGTGGGTGCCGGTGGTGCCGGTCTCCGTGCCGCGTTCGGTCTGGCCGAGGGCGGTCTCAACACCGCATGCATTACGAAGCTGTTCCCCACGCGCTCGCACACGGTGGCTGCACAGGGCGGTATCAACGCCGCGCTCGGCAACATGACCGAGGACGACTGGCGCTGGCACATGTACGACACGGTCAAGGGCTCGGACTGGCTCGGTGACCAGGACGCGATCCACTACATGTGCCGCGAGGCGCCTCATGCGGTGCTGGAGCTGGAGCACTACGGTCTGCCCTTCTCGCGTACCAAGGAGGGCAAGATCTACCAGCGTGCCTTTGGTGGCCAGTCGCTCAAGTTCGGCAAGGGTGGCCAGGCGTACCGCTGTGCGGCTGCGGCTGACCGCACCGGTCACGCCATGCTTCACACGCTGTACGGCCAGTCGCTGCGCCACAACACCACCTACTTTATCGAGTTCTTTGCGCTCGACCTGATCATGGAGGACGGCGAGTGTGTGGGTGTGATGGCGCTCAACCTCGAGGACGGTACGCTGCACCGCTTCCGCGCGCACAAGACGGTGCTGGCGACGGGTGGCTACGGTAAGGCCTACTTCAGCGCTACGAGTGCGCACACTTGCACGGGTGACGGTCTCGCGATGGTCTCGCGTGCGGGTCTGCCGCTCCAGGACCTCGAGTTCGTGCAGTTCCACCCCACCGGTATCTACGGCGCCGGCTGCCTGATCACGGAGGGCTCGCGTGGTGAGGGTGGCTACCTGCTGAACTCCGAGGGCGAGCGTTTCATGGAGCGCTACGCGCCGACCGCCAAGGACCTGGCCTCGCGCGACGTGGTGTCGCGCTCGATGACCATGGAGATCCGCGAGGGCCGTGGTGTCGGTCCCGAGAAGGACCACATCTACCTGCAGCTCTCGCACCTGCCGGCGTCGGTGCTGCACGAGCGTCTCCCGGGTATCTCGGAGACGGCGAGCATCTTCGCGGGTGTGGATGTGACCAAGGAGCCGATCCCTGTGCTGCCGACGGTCCACTACACGATGGGTGGTATCCCGACCCGCTACACGGGCGAGGTGCTTACCCAGGACGAGAACGGCAACGACAAGGTCGTGCCGGGTCTGTACGCGGCCGGTGAGACGGCGTGTGTGTCGGTGCACGGTGCGAACCGTCTGGGTGCCAACTCGCTGCTGGACATTGTGGTGTTCGGCCGTGCGTGCGCGCACCACATCCTGGAGAACCTCGAGCCTGGCAAGCCGCACAAGCCGCTGCACGGCGACAACGGCCAGCAGGCGATCAACGACCTGGACGCCGTGCGGAACGCCGACGGCCCCCGTACCACCGCCGCGGTCCGCCTGGACATGCAGCGCGTGATGCAGTCGGACGCCGCCGTCTTCCGCACCCAGAAGACGCTCGAAGAGGGTGTGGAGAAGATCGACAAGGTGGTGGCCGAGTTCCCCAAGGTCTCGATCAAGGACCGTGGTATGATCTGGAACACGGACCTGACGGAGACGCTGGAGCTGCGCAACCTGCTCTCGAGCGCTGCGCAGACCATGCACTCGGCGGAGGCCCGCAAGGAGTCGCGTGGTGCGCATGCCCGCGAGGACTTTACCGAGCGTGACGACGACTCGTGGATGAAGCACACGCTGTCGTGGTTCGACGAGGAGACCGGCAAGGTCACGCTGAAGTATCGCAACGTGATCAGCAACACGCTGGACGAGAACGAGTGCAAGACCGTGCCGCCGTTCAAGCGTACGTACTAAGTGGATAGCACGAGTTTGGCATCGATGATAGACCGCTGGCCGAAATGGGGCGCATTTGGCCTCCACCACCATGCGCCCAGGCCTCGTTCGCTGGCTCGGCGCGTCCGTGCGGCGCGCTCACGAGAATCCCCTGGTAGGTAGGCGCGGCTAATGGCAGGGCCTCCCGCGCAACAACGAACGCGTCCCACCGACGATGCCACGGCGCGGCGGCACGCAGCCCCGGCGGCGGATTCCCCACGTGAAGCAGATCGTCGCCGTGTCGAGTGGAAAAGGCGGGGTTGGCAAGAGTACGGTGGCCGTCAACCTCGCGCTGGGCCTCGCGGCCACGGCCAAGGACGCGCTGGGCCGCCGCGCGCGCGTCGGCCTCCTGGACCTCGACGTGTTTGGACCGAGCATCCCCAAGCTCATGCAGCTTGAAGATCTCGGCGAGCCGGAGCTCACCAAGCGTACGCCTCGGCGCTGACACACAGAGGGCGCCCTGATCCCCATGACGAACTACTCGATCCCATGCATGTCGATGGGCTTCCTTCTCCCGCCGGCCGCAGCAGGGTCCAACGCAGACACGCCCGTGGTATGGCGCGGGCTCATGGTGATGAAGGCCGTGCAGCAGCTTCTCTTTGACGTCGACTGGCGCGCGGGCATGACACCAGATACCGACCCCCAGACGGCGGGCCTCGACCCCCTTGATGTGCTCGTCATCGATATGCCTCCCGGGACCGGCGACGTCGCCCTCAGCCTTAGCCAGCTTGTGCTGGTCGATGGCGCCGTGATCGTCAGCACGCCCCAGCAGGTGGCCCTCGTCGATGCGCGCAAAGGCATCAGCATGTTCCAAAAGGTCCATGTCCCCGTATGTTGCGCCCGCTGACACAGATCCTCGGGATGGTCCTCAACATGTCGCACTTTCGCGCGCCTGACACAGGAAACGAGTACCCGCTTTTCGGGCCGCCGGCCCACTTTGACGAACTCGCGCAGCGCCTCGACGTGCCCATCCTCGCGCGTGTCCCTCTCGAAATGGCCGTGAGCCACGGCGGCGATGCTGGCCTCCCAGAGGTGCTCCGCCCTCAGCGCGCGGCGCCAGGCACGAGTCAGCACGTGTTTCTCGAGATGGCACGGCGCACTTGGGATCGTCTTGCTTACCACATGCACCCTACATATAATCCCAAGTAGACTGTCTAGAATAAATGGCATCGCATCGACACCGGTGCGAGACCCGCCCGCGCATCGTAAAAAGCAACCTGGCGCAGGCACCGACCCTTTACCGCACGAGAGCGACAAGGATCGGTCGACCTGTCCAATAGGACCGGTCGCTGGCCCGCCGCTGCACCAACGAGTGCTCGCGGAGGCTGAGCCGGCGATCCGGACTGGCGCCTGCGACTCAGTCGCATGGTCATTGCGTCTCTTTGCCGATCTTCTCCGGCGTCCCAGTACTCTCCGGTGACCCGACCTTCCCCGAGTCCGTCTCCATGTCTTCTTCGAATAGCGGGTCCAGCGTTACAGCGCTCTTCTCCGGCAGCTCGTCGCTTACCACATTGTGCGATCGAGGCAGGTACCAATCACGCACGAACAGGGAGACCACAATAAGGAAGGCAGAGACGGCCATGCAGAAGTACAAGACGTCTTTCGATGCCTCGTTGTACGCTGTCGAAATGGCCGTGCCCTCACGTGTGCCATGTGGGAATGTATCGAACGCGCTCGTTGGCAGCAAGGCGAAGCTGCTCAACTGCGACGGCGTGAGGAAAGGCGCATACCTGGCCAGCATCTTCGGGAGCCTGTCTGTAATAATACTCTGGTATACGGCCAAGCCCACCGAGTTGCCCAGGGTGAAGAGGGTAAGGACGACGGCCGTCACCATACTCACGTCCTGGTGGCGCACAGTGATCTGCGCAGAGAGAGTCAGAATCTCACCCATAAACGCGCCGCCCATACCCTGAATGATCTGGGGCCACACAGCCTGTACCATCGATGTGCCAACGTGGCGGTAGCCGACCATCAGTCCGTAGCCCAGCAGCCGCAGACAGCATCCGATGACCAGCACATACTTGAAGCGGCGCGTATAGGCGATCAAGATGCCCACCAAGAAACCAAAGAGCGTCAGTGACAGGTTGTCCGCATTGGTGAAGTAGTTGGCCTCGCCCACCTGGTCCATGCCAAAGCCATACGTGACACGAATCCAGTAGTAGGCGACCTGGAAACTCGCTGAGAATACCATATTGTCCAGGAAGGCAATAATCATCGCAATGACAATATCCGAGTTGAGCCAGGTACGACGGAAAAAGGGCCGTGGCGAAACAAACACCTCGTACAGGGGGAGAATGATTAGCAGGATGATGGGGCCCACCGTCAAGCAGCCGATGACCCAGGGGGTTGAGTAGGTCGTCAGGTACATCCCCGCACGAATCAGCGGGACGACAATCATGGCAAAGCCACCGACGAGCAGCAGCAGGCCTACCAGGTCGGTGTCCAGGAACAGCTGCCAGCAAGCATGGAAGAAGCCCTTGCGCAGATACGGATGAACCGGCACCATGTTGTTTTTGCGCGCCTTGCGTTCCAGGTGCCACAGGATCACCATGAGCGGGACGAGTACCACAGGCACCAGGATGCAGAACATGCCCGGCAACCAGCGCCAGTGGTTGCTCATCAGGCCGTCCAGTACCTTGCTGCCAACCACAAAGGTAATGAAGATCGGCAGCACGACATACCCCAGCGCAAGCAGACGGAAGCGGGCCGACACAAAGTCGGCAATCACGGTCCAGATGACCATTTGGACGCCTGAATTACCGATGCCATAAAACACCGCGCCACCCGTGTAGTCGGCCGGTGTCTGCGACACGGCCATGATCAGGAAGCCCAGGACGTAGCAGAACACCGTGATACACAAGGCAGTGAAACGACCAAAAATATCGGCCATCTTGGCGATGACTAACTTGGCGATGGCCGAAAAGAGTGTCTGGGTCGTGTAGGCCGTGTAGCCCGTCGAAGTATTGGAGCCCTTGAGCACACCGCCAGGGATGGTATTCACCATGGTGGGAAAAATCTGATTGTCCAGCGCATAAATAAAATAGGCGAGCCATAGGACGATCATAATGATGTACCATGTCCAGCCCGACACATAGTAGGTGGCCTCAGCAATGGCCACGCCGACCTGCTTCACGTCCTCCTCACGCAGGTCTTCTCCATCCGTGGCCACTTTTTCTTTGGGGGGAAGTGGATTCACTGGCTTGCTCTCCTGCGACTCACCGACAGTCGGTCGCTCAAATTCAGGGTAGTATACTTTCCAGATGTGCTGAAAAAAGTCCCTGAAGCCGTCCATGCTTGCGGCGGCCATGGGCTGTCGGTAGCGTGCAGCAGGATGTTCTTGTGAGGAACCAGGTACCTGCCGAATGGGGAGAAATGCAGATAGGGGATTTATCGATAATCAAAGATCAGCACAGGGGCACCCCGATCGGGCCCTTTTTAGGTTTTTACCGGTCTTGCTTTCCCCCATAGGAGTCTATCGAGCACCGATGGTATCTGATCGTAGGAGTGCGGCGATCATATATCACACCCGACCATTGCCTCGGTGACTAGGGCCATGGAGGGTCTCCGTCCTACTGCCGAGAAGGTAGCGCGAGGCTAGTGCCTTGCTCGTTCTCTCCATGCTAAACAGCTAGTCCCTGTTTGGTTGCATGCCTCGGAGGATCTTCCCCACTATGCACTCTAGATCATCCAATCCATAAGTGGCTGAGTCTATTTTAGAGCCAATCACTCACCACCCAACTCCGAGCCTTTTTCAGTTCGTGCTCTCAGTGGTCCAAATGCTGCAACACTCTGACATAATACTCATGGTGGGCTGAATAAAGTAGCCACTCGCAGCCATCCATTTCCACGATCCCTTGATGTTGGCGGCGCATACCCAATGAGGATGAAATTTGGCGTAGTATGCCCCGCAGAGAGAGGGGTATGGCAAGCGATGGGAGCTGGAGTCTGGCGCCCTTATAAACAGCCTCGCGCAACTGACTGCGCGAAATTATCCGTACCATGAGCCCTGAGCTGGATTCGAAGAACCGAGTTCCTGACACAAAGAATGACGCTGGCGTCGACATTATATCTCGCCAACTCTCGAGCTCCAGCATAGGGCCTAGTGTGGCAGAGGAAGGGCATTCGCACTTCCTCGGCCTCTCCGGCACCGAGCTGAATCTCATGGTGGCCTTCGCTGCTGGTGTTGGTTTTGTCTTGTTCGGCTATGACCAGGGTGTCATGGGCAGTCTGCTGACGCTCCCGGCCTTTTTGCAAATGTACCCCGAGATGAATGGCAACACGAACTCGACGATGCAGGGCGCTATTATTGGCATCTACGAGATTGGCTGCTTCATCGGAGCCATCTCGTGCCTTTTGTGGGGTAACGCTCTTGGTCGCCGCAAAGTCATTTGGATTGGGAGCATGTACGTGACCAGCTCTAACGTCCAGCTTCATGGCGGTCGGTGCTGTATTGCAGGTCATCGGCCAGCATATTGCGCTGATGTGGGTCGGTCGCGTGATTGCCGGCATTGGTAACGGGCAGCACACGTCGACGATTCCCGTGTGGCAGTCTGAGTGTTCGCCGCCGCACCGCCGAGGTATGCTGATCATGATCGAAGGCTCCTTGATTGCCTTTGGCATTATGGTCTCGTACTGGGTCGACTTTGCACTGTTCTGGGCGGACAATTCTGCGGGTGTGGACCCGCGGCAGGCCGAGTATGTGGCCGCGACCTCGCTCGACAGTGTGTCGTGGCGCTTCCCCATTGCGTTTCAGCTCCTGCTGATTCTGCCGACCTTTTTGACAATTTGGCTCCCGGAGAGCCCGCGGTGGCTCCTGCTGCGCGGGCGCGAGACAGAAGCACGCGAGGTTCTCTCGGCGCTGAACAGGAAGGCGCCGCATGACGATGCCATCGACTTGATTGTGGAGGAGATCCAAAACAGTCTTGCGATCTCGCAAGCGACGAAGCTGTCGGACCTGGTGAAGCAGGGGCCGGGCCACAACTTCCACCGCACGGCGCTGGCCTTTGTCATCCAGATGTTCCAGCAGATCAGCGGTATTAATTTGATGTACGTTGTATCGTCTCACACCAGCACGTATTACGCCGGCTCTCTCTTCGAGCGCAACCTCGGATTGGCTGCCGTCGAGTCGCGCATTCTCGCCGCATGCAACGGCACAGAGTACTTCCTTGCGTCGGTGGTGGCCATCTTCACGATCGAGCGCGTGGGCCGACGCAAGCTCATGCTGTTTGGCGCGGCCGGCATGGCCCTTACGATGGCTGTGCTCACTGGTGTGCTGAGCAAGTCGGCAATGCAGTATGAGATGCAGCCCGTTGATGCGGAGATGTGCCGTATTGCTGGCGGCTCTTGGTGTGACCTCGTGCCTGGCCATGCCAGGTCAGACCGCAATGGCTATGCCGTGGCCGGCGCTGTCATGCTGTACGTATCGGCGACTGACATCAGTTTTGTCTTCAACACATTCTTCGCCCTAGGCTGGCTTGGCATGACGTGGCTGTACCCTGCAGAGTGCACGCCGCTGAGCATTCGTGCCCAAGCGAATGGCATTTCTACGAGTGCCAACTGGCTCTTTAATTTCATGGTGGTCATGATCACGCCCATTGCCTTCCACAACATCAACAACTACACCTACCTCATCTTTTGTGCGATCAACGCGCTCATGGTACCAGCCACATTCTTCATCTTCCCTGAGACGGCCGGCCGCAGTCTCGAGGAGATGGACGAGATCTTTGCGCAGTCCAGTGCTTGGAACCCGTACGATGTGGTTTGCAAAGAACGTAAATACCCACGCCGCTATGACGGCCAAGGCCGCATGAAAGAAGAGTACATCAAGGAACACATTCACGACGCCACAAACACGCCCACGGCGCCCTAGTCGAATCCAGTGATGCTATAGTAAACGCTGTGCGTTTTTAGAGTCGATTATGCCCTGATACCTCGGCCGAGCCGTACACGGTGTGTTCTCCACAATCGGAACGCCAGCTCTGGCGACATGTCGAATCCATGGCGCGAGACGCAGGGCTACTCGTTCCACTCGATATGTTACCGTGTCAAAGACATCGAAGAGAGCACTATGTTCTATCAGAATGTATTTGGTACGCAGCACTCGCTCACACAGGCATGGACCTCGTGCGTGAGGCGGACTTTGGGTAGGTCCTTCCCACTAACGGTAGTCGCTTCCGCAAGGTATGGATGCGCTTCCCCACGAACAAGGACACGGACATGTTTGGTCACGCACACTCTTTGATTGAACTTGTGCAGGAATGGTACGCGCCCGCACTCACACCAGTGGCACCGAGTTCGACCCCCACTATAATGTCCAGGCGCGCGGCGGCGTAGGTATTCATGGCTCACAGTAGGGATTCCAGTACATGTGCTTCAGCGTACCTGATATTCATGCAGCGCGGCACCGCTTCGAGGGCCTTGGCGTGCACTGGGAAGAGGTGGGCCTCTCTCACAGGTATGTCCGCGGCGCTTACGCAGCACCATGTTTATTGTGCACGACCCTGATGGTTACCCTATCCAGATCATGTCGCAGGCCTTTGATTTGCATCTATCCCTGCAGGATGCATGTCGCCCTATCGTCATTGATGGTGTGGAACAGGCCCACATGGACATTCGACGGCATGGCGATCGAGATACACGCGAAGAGGCGGGGCTCTCTGTCCCTCTGACGCCCGCGACGCCCGCCTCGCCCGCCTCACCAGCGCGTGCTCTCACGCCATCTTCACCCGCCCGCAGACTCTCGGCCGCCTCGCCCGTGCGCGCGCGCTCGCCCGTGTCACCGGGGCCCGCGCTCACCATGACACCTGCCACTGTTCCGCGGCCCCCAGCTCCTTAGCGCATACCCTGCCTCCAGACTGTCACATAACCCACAGTGTCTATATACTAGTATTAGCCATGCGTATCGGGTCTCGGGCCAACTGGCGGCTGTGCCGCATCGCCCAGGTGCGGCATGAGGCCAGGGTACGACGTCTGTCCAGCGGGAGCGCCCATGACGGCAGATAGGCCCTCGGGCCGCACCGTGATGAGGCGGCGCAGCCACTCATTTTCAGTGCGGAGACGCTCGTTCTCCTGTTTTAACTCGTTCACCTGCGACTCGAGCTCGCGCGCGGACATTTCCAGAGCCGCCTCGCGCTGTTTCTTCTTGATGCGGAAGCGGGCACTGGCCGCCGTATTACGCCGCCGCTTGTCCTCCTCAATCGCGAGCCGGTTCGCTTCCGCATCCGCCTCGGGGTTGCCTGTGTCTACCAGCTTCACTCGCTCGGAGAGCGACGAGCCAGCGCTGCGAACGCGCGTGCCACTGGCGCCAGCCTGACTCGTCGCATCGGGGGACACACTCTCCTCGGGAGCGCTTGGGGGCGCTTCCACGGACGACGAGCTGCGCTTGCGCTGCAGGGACGCGGGAGGTACCAATGTGGCACTGGGTGAGCGCTGCGATGAGGCCGGGGCGGCCGGCGGCGGCGGCGGCGGCGGCATGTTCGTGGGCATCCAGGGCGCCGACGACGATCCCGCCGGCGCGGCACCTGGCGCAACGCCTGGGGCGCCGACCGTGCTCTGCTCCTGCCACAGGTTCGCCACCACGCTCGGATTCTTGTTCAAGAGGTACTGAAGGGCCAGCGTCGACGTGAGGTCCCAGTTACCTGCCTCTCCACCTCGCGCAGATGCGTGTGTAGTTTCCGGCGCGGCGGGCGCGGGCGCGGGCGCGGGCGATGGCCCAGGCGCACCGATCCACGGAGCTTGGGGTTGAGGCGCCGAGTGACTGGGCAGCGGCGGCAGCTGCATCGACGACGCGATATCGAACCCATCGGGCACCGACCTGGGCTCGCGGTCGACGGCGAGTAGTTTCTCGCGCGCAGCGTTAGAGTGTGCACTGGACGCAGCGCGCTGGCGGTTACGCTCCTCCTCTTCGCGCTTTTCCTCGTCAGAGGGCGTAGGCTTTCCCTCCTTCTCGTCTTCCGCGAGGAGCGCATGGCCCATAGGCCCATCGAACGAGAAGCTCGCATTCGTCCAAAGAGAGAGCTGGTTCGCAAACGTCGTCATGGCGTCGTCGGAGCCGTCGTTCGCAGGGACCGAGTTTAGATCGGCCAGCAGGGCGTACGCAGGATTCGGCTGTGTCTCGCTCTGGTCATTCTGAGGTGTGCCGCTTTGGAACTCATTGAGTCCCAAGAGGAACGCAATCGAGCCGGACTGATCGGCAGACATCTACGTCGGCGAGCCGGAGCCGCTCGTTCGTCCGATGGCAGAGATATGTCGGGCGATCACCGCGGTCGCCGGCGTATGACTACTTTGTTCTTCGGCCGAAATGACGACAGTGTCTCCCGCGGTGCCTGGGGGGGCCCTGCCGCACGTGTTGGGCACGGCCTAACGAGGCCTCGAGGGCGTGCCAGGCTGGCGCGGCGAGCGCGGCCGTCGCTCGTGTCGCTCCAGCCGGGACGCTGGGACGCCGGACGTGCGCGTGCTCGATGTCGTTCAAGAAAGAGGAAGAGGCCTCGTTCCGGCACGACAAGACGGCCGTGATCCAGGAGGCCCGCGTCTTCAATGAGTCGAGCATCAGCCCGCGGCGGTGCCGCATCTTGTTGACCAAGGTGCTGTACCTGCTGTATACGGGCGAGACCTTCTCGCAGCAGGAGGCGACGGACCTGTTCTTTGGGGCGACCAAGCTGTTCCAGAACAAGGACCCAGGTCTGCGCCAGATTGTGTACCTCGCCATCAAGGAGCTCGCGCCCCATGCCCAGGACGTGATTATGGTCACGGCCTCGATCATGAAGGACATGCAGCCCAACACGGAGGTCGTGTACCGCCCGAATGCCATCCGCGCGCTCATGCGCGTGATCGACCCGAGCATGGTGCAGGGTCTCGAGCGCTATCTCAAGTCGGCGATTGTCGACCGCCAGCCCAGCGTCGCGTGCGCGGCGCTCGTGTCCTCGTATCACCTGTTCACCGGCGCGCGCGACGTGGTCAAGCGCTGGAGCAACGAAGTGCAGGAGGCCATCCATATGCGTCCGTCCGTGTCGCAGGGCGGGGGCCCGCTGGGTGGTCTCGGCCTGCGCCAGGGGCTTACGCTGCGCTTTGGCGGCGACAGCCACGGCAGCCAGGTCGAGACGGCGAGCCTGCCGAGCATGAGCTACCTGATGCAGTACCATGCGCTCGGCCTGCTGTATCTCGTGCGCCAGGGCGACCGCATCGCTGTGACAAAGATGGTGCAGCAGCTCGCCCAGCCGCGGCAGGGCGTTGTGCTGCGCAACCCCATGGCACTGTGTATGCTTGTGAGGTACGCCGCGCACATTGCCGAAGAGGACGCAAACATGCGCGCGCCCCTCATCGAGCTGCTCGAGGGCTGGTTGCGCCACAAGAGCGATATGGTGAACTACGAGGCGGCGCGCGCGTTGTGCACGCTCACGGGCGTCGGCCCTGAGCCCCTGGCGCGCGCGATATCCGTGCTGCAGATGTTCCTTTCGTCGCCCCGCTCGGTGCTCAAGTTCGCGGCGGTGCGCACGCTTGCGGAGCTCGCGCAGACGCGCCCGGCCGCGGTGCAGGCGTGCAACGTGGACATGGAGAGCCTGATCACGGACAGCAACCGCGGCGTGGCGACGTACGCAATTGCGACATTGCTCAAGACGGGCAACGAGTCGAGCGTCGACCGCCTGATCAAGCAGATCAGCGGCTTCATGTCGGAGATCAGCGACGAGTTCAAGGTGGTCGTCGTCGACGCGATCCGCAGCCTCTCGTTCAAGTTCCCCACGAAGCAGGCGTCCATGCTTGGCTTCCTTGCTGGTGTGCTGCGCGACGAGGGCGGCTACGAGTTCAAGCGCTCGGTTGTCGAGGCCATCTTTTCGATGGCCCGCTACGTCCAGGGCTCGAAGGAGGCGGCGCTGAGCCACCTGTGCGAGTTTATCGAGGACTGTGAGTTTACGAAGCTCAACGTGCGCATCCTGCACCTGCTCGGCGCCGAGGGGCCGCACATGCCCGAGCCGCACAAGTACATCCGCTTCATCTACAACCGTGTGATTCTGGAGAACGCTATCGTGCGCGCGGCGGCCGTCAACAGCCTGGCCAAGTTTGGCCTACACAACGCGCAGCTGACGGACCGTATCCGCGTCCTGCTGCGCCGCTGCCTCGAGGACGTCGACGACGAGGTGCGCGATCGCGCCACCCTCGCACTGCGCACGCTCGAGCCGACGACACTGCCCCTCGCGCTCGAGGACGTGCCGAATCTCAAGCTCCTCGAAGAGGGTCTGCAGGCGTACATGGGCACGCCCGAGGCGGCCCCTGCGCCGTTCGACTACGACAGTGTGCCGCGCACCGCCAACGAGCCGGACGAGCCGGCCGAGGCCGCTGTGAGCATGGCGCCTGCTCCGTCTGCGGCTGCGCCCGTTGCGCCGGCGCTCTCGGACGCCGTCGATGCCAGTGCGGCGTATGCGGCGCAGCTCGCGGCCGTGCCAGAGTTCGCCTCGTACGGCGCGCCCCTCACGACGTCGCCACTCACCGCGCCGGTGCCGCTCACCGAGACGGAGATGGAGTATGTGGTGACGGCGTCCAAGCACGTGTTCCCTGCCCATGTGGTGCTTCAGTACCATGTCACCAACACGCTGGCCGAGTCGGTGCTGGAGGATGTCGTGGTCGTGGTGGGCGGCCTCGAAGAGGCAGGGCTGACGGAGGAGGCGGTGGTGCCGATCCCGTCGCTCTCGGCAGCGAGCCCGAGTGGCTCAGTGTACGTGTCGCTGCGGCGCGATGCCAGCTGCCCGTACCCCCTCGCGACGCTCAGCAACACGCTGTGCTTTGTGTCGAAGGAGGTCGACCCGTCGAGCGGCGAGCCGGAGCCCGAGGGCTACCAGGACGAGTACCAGACTGAGGCGCTCGATCTGGGCGTGTGCGACTATATCCAGCCCGCGGACGTGGACTTTGCCGCGACATGGGACACGCTGCCGGCGTCGGCCACCGAGACGTTCGCGCTGACGGCGCTCGAGAGTCTCGATGCCTCGTGCGCCACGCTCCTCGAGCTGCTCGGCATGCAGGCCCTTGGCGGCACTGACACGCCGTCGAACCCCAGCGTCCATACGATGCTGCTGGCTGGCCGCCTGGCGAGCCCCACGGGTCTGGAACTGGTGCTCGCGCGCGTGCGCATGATGCACCAGCCGTCCGAGGGCGTCACGATGGAGCTCGCGGTGCGCAGCTCGAGCGACGAGGCATGCCTCTTTCTTCTATCGGCCATTGCGTAGCTAGGTAGCGAGCTCAACGTGTAGCACGTATATTTTATGGCTGTCCAGGAGGTCTACCGTGGCACAGCCGTGTGGCAGGCCGCCACGCCAGGCGTGGTCCTACGGTATATGGTTTAGCGCAGGCGGCTGAGGTTAGACGCACCGTACATACCGAGCCTCGCGCTCCGACTCGAGCAGCGCCAGGATATCGTTCTCGCGCACAGGGCCCTTGACGTTGCGGATAATGCTGCGCGACGTGTCGTCCATGAACTCGACGCGGACCTGGATGACACCACCACGCGAGCCAGTGCGGCCCAGCACCTTGGTCACCTGTCACGTTAGTACCCGTAGTATGGGCGCGCTCGCCTGGACGGCCGCGCGCCATGTACGTACGCGCGCGAGCTTGACGGGAACCTTTTGAGGAGCAGTAGCGGCATCCATCTTCGTAGAGTAGGGGGAACGGCAGGAGTCGGCGGAGGGCTTTTTCCTGCGGCGCGCCGCCCGCGACCTACCAGGCCAATGCAGTTTTAATCACCTCACGTGATCCAAACCTCGTCGGGCGGCCCCACGTGTGCACTCCACATCCGCCCACGATGAGCGGGGACGACGCGGGGCGCTCGCACGCACAGGCCGTGCGCTTCCTTACGGCGCTGCGCGCGCAGGACGCCGCACCTGCGGACCATATGGCTCTTACCGACGAGCAGCGTGAGTTTCTCCACTCCAAGGGTATGAGCGACGACGCTATCGAGCGCGCGCGACGCGACGCCGAGCGCCCTGCGAGCGCTGCGCTGGCGCGGGCGTCAACGGACGAGTCTGCTGCGGCTCACGCGCGCGATACAAGCGCGTTTGACTGGGCCAAGGCCGCATTTGATGCCCCCGTCGGCTCCGCGGAGGTCTCGGCGCCCTCTGAGCCGCCGACGCCGCCGACCGCTTCGTATCCACGCTCGCCCCTGGCGCTGTACTCGGAGGCGCCACAGCAGCGCGACGCTAATGAGATCCTGTCTAAGCTGGCCGCGACGATTAGTCGGCCGCGCTACGATACCCTAGTCACATTCTTCCGACTACTGCACCTGCTCCTCATGCTGGGCGGCGGTGCGTCGGCGGTGCTTGTGTGGCTGTACCGCCGCCACCTGCTGCCGCGCCTCACTCGCATGGTCGATGCACGCGTACAGCTTCTTACGCTGCAGCACGAGCTCTATGGCAAGCTGGCAGCGGCGACGGCAGCGTACCGCGACGGGGCCCTGGCCAAGCTCCTGCCCCCTGGCTATGAGCGAGAGTATGTCGTTGTTGAACCGGCGCCCGAGGATCCTAAAGAGGGTGATGCGGACGCCAGCGAGGGAAAAGAAGCCCCCGAGGACGCCGCAGATGAATCGGCGGACGCGCAGGACGCGCAGGACGCGCAGGACGCGCAGGACGCGCAGGACGCGCAGGACGCGCCGGAGGCGCCGGAGGCAAGCGAGGCCCCAGCCGAGCCACGGCGCAAGCTCGCGCCGATCGATCTGACGCAGTCGCTGCGTGCCTCGCTGGACCAGCTGACAGCGGCGCTGCAGGCGGCCAAGACCGCACGCTGGCCGGCCGCCAGCGTCGTTGACGCGGACGAGGAGGGCCTGATGGACCTGTCGATGCCCGCGGGGCCGGGATCGCCGCGCGCTGCGCCGCCGTCCGCAAGTATGGCGCGCTTCCGCACCTCGTTTGATTCCATGCGCAACGAGCTCGAGGCGCGTCTCTTTTCTGAGACCGAAGCGGCCAAGCTCGTCGAGTACCGATTCGGTGCGCTTCCCGGCTCGTCGACGCGCCCGACGTCCGGCCCAGCCGTGGAGATGCGTCAGATCAAAGCGGAAATCCGCAGCCTCAAAGGGCTGATGCTGAGCCGACGCAACTTCCCCTCGTACTCGCGCGCGGTCCGCAGCACTCCACAGATCTCCACGTAGCCGCACGCTGCGCGGTCACCCGCCGCGGAGCCGCGGACCTCGTATGCTGACTAACGCAGCCCTTGTGTCGTGCCCTAGGAGGCCCTCCACAGTATGCCGGGCACGTGCCGTGCGAAGGGCCTAGGGGCGCGCCTGCATGGTTGGGTGGCAGGCAGAGCCCACAGCGCGGAGGGAAAATCAGCGCAGCGCCCCGGGTCTCCCGTCGGATTCGTGGGCAGGCGGTGCGACCTTTCCTGCTCCCGTGATTATCCCGCGGCGGACGTCGGACGTGGACGTCCTTCCCCCTCCCCTCCTCTGTTCCATGGACGTGGGCCCTTCTGTGCCGCTCGCGCAGCGAGCCCCCTACGCGCTGCCCGACGCGTCATCGTCGCCGGCCGGCGCCGAGCTGGATCGGATGGACATGCCGTCATCGCCACCGCGCTCGTCGCCCCCCCTGGACGACTGGGCGGATCCCGCGTGGATGCAGTCGCGGCGGCCGACTATGTCGCTTTCCAACCTGCTGAACGAGCATCCGAGCGAATCAGACGGCCCGCCGCGTGTGGCGCCCGTCTCGTGGTCGTCCGAGGCGCCTACGTCGCCGGCCGGCGCCGACGAGCAGGGCGCGCACCGCAGCATGCCGTTCGCGCGTGTGCCGAGCTGCAGCAGCTCTGTGCCCCGCACGCCGCGCATGGCATCACATACCCTCCGCCGCACCGATGAGGATGCAGGCTGGGACAGCGACTTATCGGCAGAGGACCATGCGCCGCTATGGGCGGCCGAGCTCGCGGCGTACCGAGACGAGCGTGCCGCCCGCGAGGTCGCGTTAGAGGCCGCATTTTCGGCGGTTGTGCATGAAAAGCAACAGACCGTCACCACGCGCTTGTGCCAGCTCTATGAAAAGCGCTTCCTTGCGGCGCAGAAGCGCGCCGCGCGCCGTGCACCGGCTCATCGCCGCGCGTCTGCGCTGGCATCCGACGGCGATATCGATATGGAGCTGCTCGACACGCTCGACGATCGCAAGAGCTCGCGGCGTGCTTCGAGCTCGGACTACCTGGATGAACTCGCAGCCGATGTCGGTATGTCCGACGCAGACGTCGAGGGTGATGGCGAACCCATGGAGCCGATTCCCGAGCTGATCGATCCTGCCACGGGGGAAGTGCGTGGCCCGATTCCCATTGGCGCGCGCCGCGCCGCGCTGCTGAGCGAGGCCCACGAGCGGGTGTGGGCGGTGATTGCGAAGCGCGACGTGCCCAAGGTGTACCGCACTGTCGTGGCGAGCGCCACGAACAAAGCCATGTACTGGCGGCGTCTGTCCTCCGTGGTGCAGCGCGAGGCGCGGCGCGGAGCTGCGCGCAACAACAAGTCGACCAAGGACATTCAGCTGCGTGCGCGCAAAGTCATGCGCGAGCTGCTGCTCTACTGGAAGCGCAACGAGCGTGAGGAGCGCGACCTCCGCAAGAAGGCCGAGAAGGAGGCGCTAGAGAAGGCGAAGAAGGAGGAGGAGATGCGCGAAGCCAAGCGCCAGGCGCGCAAGCTCAACTTCCTCATCACGCAGACGGAGCTGTACAGCCACTTCGTGGGCAACAAGCTCAAGACGGCCGAGGCAGAAGAGTCGGAGGACACGGCGAGCGACCGCGCCGTCGCGCCGGGGCCCTCTGCCGAGGCGCCGGCGCCGGCGCCGAGCGACGCGGCGTCCCACGATGCCGCGCTGGCCGCGCTCGACTTTGACGACGAAGACGAATCCAACTTGCGTGCACATGCGGCGCGCAATGCAACGGAAGCCGTGCGGGCCGCCCGCGACAAGGCGCAGGCGTTTGATGCGGCCGTCGCGTCCGAGCGGCGGCAGCTGGCGGACGGCGCCTCGCAGCCCTTCTCCGCGGACGACTTGGACTTTGTCAACCCGACGTCGATGGGCATGACGGAGGTGACGCAGCCCAAGATGCTGACGTGCACGCTCAAGCCGTACCAGCTCAAGGGTCTGACGTGGCTGGCGAACCTGTACGAGCAGGGCATCAATGGCATTCTGGCAGACGAGATGGGTCTCGGCAAAACGGTGCAGAGTATCTCGCTCATGGCTTACCTGGCGGAAGTGCACGACATCTGGGGCCCGTTCCTCGTGATTGCGCCGGCATCGACGCTGCACAACTGGCAGCAGGAGATCACCAAGTTTGTGCCCGCGCTCAAGGCGCTGCCATACTGGGGCAACGTGAAAGACCGTGCGGTGCTGCGCAAGTTTTGGAACCGGAAGCAGATCTCGTACGACCGCGATGCGCCGTTCCACGTGCTGGTCACGTCGTACCAGCTTGTGGTGAGTGACGAAAAGTACTTCCAGCGCGTCAAGTGGCAGTACATGGTGCTCGACGAGGCACAGGCGATCAAGTCCAGCTCGTCGAACCGGTGGAAAACGCTGCTGGGCTTCCACTGCCGCAACCGCCTGCTGCTCACCGGTACGCCTGTGCAAAACTCGATGCAGGAGCTGTGGGCGCTCCTGCACTTTATCATGCCGAGCTTGTTCGACTCGCACGACGAGTTTAGCGAGTGGTTCTCGAAAGACATTGAGAACCATGCGGAAAACAAGGGGACGCTCAACGAGCACCAGCTGCGCCGCCTGCACATGATTCTGAAGCCGTTCATGCTCCGCCGCGTGAAGAAGAATGTGCAGAACGAGCTGGGCGAAAAGATCGAGATTGACGTGTACTGTGACCTCTCTGCGCGCCAGAAGCTCCTGTACCAGAACCTGCGCTCGCACGTGTCTGTCGCCGATCTCGTCGACAAGGCGGCAGCGAACGACGAGAGCGGCCTCAAGAGCCTGATGAACCTTGTCATGCAGTTCCGCAAGGTGTGCAACCACCCCGAGCTGTTCGAGCGCGCAGACGTGCAGGCCCCGCTGGCCCTGTGCCACTACGCGTCCGCGCCTGCGCTCGCGCGCGACACGGAGCCGAGCACCTGCGCGTACACGGCGCGCTCCCTGCTGGACCGCTCGCTGCCCCGCCTGCTCGTGCAGGACGCCGTGCGCGGCGTGCCGACCGAGACAAACCGCGTCGGCTTTGACACGCACTATCTCGACCATCTGCTGAGCATTTGGCGCCGGCCCTATATCCACGAGGCGCAGCAAACCTCGCACGCCTTTGACTTTTTGCGCTTTGCGCATACCTCGCCCAGCGATGCCGAGGCGGCGTTCCATGGCTCTACGACTACGACACTCGTGCGCAACGCGGCCGAGGCGGCCGAGTGGGCCGAGCGCGCGCCCTTCGTGTGTGACGACGCCTTCGCCGCGAGCGCCGTGCGCCCCCTCGGCGCAGTGTGCCGCCCCCTGCCCTGGGCACACACGCGGCCTGCGCCCGGCGTGCTGCCGCTTGGCGAGCTCGTGGCGCATGTGCTCGACGAGCGAGCCGCGCAGCATGTACGGACGGCCATCCCTGCGGCGGTGGCGCCGCCCGCCCGCCTGCATGCGAACGACCGCGTGTTTGTGGAACGCGAGGCGCGCGCGCGGCACGACCCGGCGCTGGAGCACTGTCTCTTTGGCCTGCCGCCCCAGGCGAGGGAGGACCCCGCGCAGGTGGCGCAGCTGCAGGCGCGGCTGCCGACCGTCCCGCCGCAAGGACTCGTGGCGCGCTCGCCGGTGACGCAGCTTTGGCCGCCGGCGATGCAGGTGCCGCGCATGGACAAGCTCATTGTCGACTCGAGCAAGCTGGCGCGCCTGGACGAGCTGCTGCGCGAGCTCAAGGCGGGTGGGCACCGTGTGCTGATCTATTTCCAAATGACGCGCATGATCGACTTGATGGAGGAATACCTCATCTACCGGCAATACAAGTACCTGCGGCTGGATGGTGCCTCGAAGATCTCCGACCGCCGCGACATGGTGACCGACTGGCAGACGCGCCCGGAGCTCTTTGTCTTTTTGCTGTCGACGCGCGCTGGTGGACTGGGTATTAACCTGACGGCCGCCGACACGGTCATCTTCTACGACCACGACTGGAACCCGTCGAACGACTCGCAGGCGATGGACCGCGCGCACCGTCTGGGCCAAACCAAGCAGGTGCGCGTGTACCGCCTGATCACCAAGGGCACGATCGACGAGCGCATCGTCAAGCTGGCGCGCAACAAGAAGGAGGTGCAGGACATTGTGGTCGGCAACAAGGCCTACTCCGAGTCCGGCATGGCCCGCCCCCAGGAGATCGTGTCGCTGCTGCTCGACGACGACGAGCTCGCCGACTCGATGCTCCGCCGCAAGCAGGCAGACGAGGCGCAGCTGGCGCAGGACAAAGCCGAGAACGCACGCGCGATGCACGCGCGCCGCCGGCAGTCCAAGGCGCAGCAGCCGACAGGCGCGTCGGCGCCGGGCGTCGAGTGGGCGCTCGAGGACGACGAAGACGACTTCTTTGGCGCCAAGCCACCCCCCAAGGAAGAGCCCGAGGCGCCGGCGCCGGCGCGCAAGCGCGCGAAGCGCGCCCGCAAAGCCTCTGCAGAAGCCTCATAGACCTAGATCAGTTCCTGCGTCTCGGGCGGCGGTCCACACGGCTGGAGCATGTGCTGCGTAAGTCGCGCCCACGTACCTCGCACAGGCGGAATCGCGTGCGCGCACGCGACTCGCCATCAGCGACCGACATGTATGTGAGGAGCGGCACCTGCGCGACCACGGCCGCACTCGTGTCGCGGTGCTGATGCACCGCCCATTCACTGCGTGAGTACGGCCTACATACTGCTTCGTCATGTCAGGGTGCATGGTCCCGGTGTATCGCGCATGCACTGGGTCAGTGCCTCTCACATACAGTGCTCAAGCTGGGGGTTGCCACCGTAGCGCAGCTCCGACTGCGTGAGCACGGCGTACGTACCATGGTGGTAGGTCGGCGAGAGCGACTACATTTGGGGATTTACACAATATAGGGGACGGCCGCGCGGCGCTCCGCCGGATACGCCGCGCCAAACTGCGCGTGGTACCAGCGGTGGCCGCGCACGGCGCGGGGCAGCATGACGGCCACTTCGAGCACGACAAAGAGGACAGGTGGGTAGTCGTACCAGGGCGCGCGCGTATGGGGCACGCTCGATACGCATGCGATCGCATAGCCGGACCACTCGATCCCTGGTGTGAGTGCCTCGACGTACATTCGCACAGATAGTTGGGGTAACTCACCCACTCGAACAGGGCGCCGCGGGGAATGCGGTACGTGGCAGCGCGTCCCTGTACCACGGGCTCGCCCGGCGCGGGTGCCCCGATGCGCAGGCGCCGCAGGCGCGCGTCGTGGTGCATGTTGCCCCAGAGGCCCAGCGCGAACAGCGCCACGCCGACGCCTGTCCACACGCTTCCGTGGTGCGTGGTGCCGCCATGCGCGAGCCAGGCGCCCAGGAGTGTGCCATTGACGAGGTTGAATGCCATCGCACTCAGCACCACGCTCAGGTGCAGAGGCGAGCGCGGTGGGTTCCGCCACGGCTGGTACACGGCGCGATTCACATAGTGCAGCACAAACAGGGCTACGAGGGCCTGTGTAGGCCATGCAAGGGCGCCGCGGGCGTACGCATTCGCCAAGAGCGCACACGGCGCGACGAGCTCCATGGCCATCCACGCGCCGTTCCCGTGCACGTTCCATGCGCTCGCACGTCCCAGCTTGCCGAATGGCGCATCTACGACGAGCAGCACAGGCGGCAGCAGGACGGCCGCCGCCTGCATCGCACGCAGGGCCCACACGAGCGGCATGGAGAAGGCTATGATCCATCACGTGCACTACGCGGACGGCTCGACCGGCGCCTCGGACTCGAGCACCATGGCCGACTGGGGGTGGGGCGGCTTGAAGGTGCGCAACTGGACCTGGATCTGCTCTTCGAGCAGGCCAGATGCTGCAGCGACAAGGCCGAGGAACGGTGGCGACGGGTTGAGGGGGCGCGAGGCCAGCTCAGGGTGCGCCTGCATTCCGACAAAGTAGGGGTGGTCGTGGATCTCGGCGACCTGCATGCGGTTGCCCTTCTCGTTCTTTCCGATGAACACGAGCTTGTCGCTGCTGAGGGGCCCGCCCTTCTCTAGCTCAGCGGCGATCTCTGGGTTGATTTCGTAGCGGTGGCGGTGGCGCTCCCACACGATCGGCGCGCCGCCGTACAGCTGGCGGATCTTGCTCCGCGACTCGCTCTCGTCGGAGAAGAGCGTGGGGCGCAGACCCAGGCGCATCGTGCCGCCCAGGTGCGTGCGGCTGACCTCGGGCATGTACACGACGACGGGGTCGGTCGTGGTTTCGACGAGCTCGGCGGACTGCGCCTCGGTGCGGCCACAGACGTGCCGGGCAAACTCGACGACGGCGAGCTGGAAGCCGAGGCAGATGCCGAGGAACGGCACCCTCTTTTCGCGCGCCCAGCGCACGGCGAGTACCATCCCCTCGGTGCCGCGCTTGCCGAAGCCACCCGGCACGATGATGCCCTTGGCCGAGCAGAGGTTCTGCCAGGCCTGGTGGTACTTGACCGGGTCGAGCGACTCGGTCTCGGCCTCGAGGTCGCCCGACTCGACCCAGTGGATGCGCAGCTTGCGGCGGCAGCGCATGCTGGCGTGCTCCAGTGCCTTGACGACGGACATGTACGAGTCCTGCAGCGCCGTGTACTTGCCGACGAGCACGATATCCACGACCTCGAACGAGCGCTCCTGGTCCACAGTGAGCTCCTTCCAGCGCTGACGCAGGTCCAGGCCCGCCTGCACGCGCGGCGCCGGCACAGCGTTCGCGAGATCGAGGCGCAGGCGCTGCTCCAGGAAGCGCACCATACCCTGCGCCTCGAGGAGCAGGGGCACGTGGTAGGTCGAGTTGACATCGTGAACGCCGAGCACCTGCTCGGGGCCGACGTGGCAGAAGAGGGAGAGCTTCTGGATGACATTGCGCTCGAGCGGCGCCGCGCAGCGAGCAGCAATCATGTCGGGCGCCAGGCCGAGTCCGCGCAGATCGCGGATCGCCGCCTGCGTCGGCTTGGTCTTCTGCTCGCCGCCAATGACCGGGATCAGCGAGACGTGGATGAGGGCAAAGTTGTCGTGGCCCACGCGGAACTGGAACTGACGCAGCGCCTCGACGAACGGCGCTGACTCAATGTCACCGACGGTGCCACCCAGCTCGACAATACACACGTCCGGCATCTCACTGCTCTCATCCACGGGCTGCGCGGCCACGCACTCGATCCAGTCCTGGATCGCGTCGGTGAGGTGCGGCACAATCTGCACGGTCTTGCCGAGGTAGTCACCACGGCGCTCCTTCTCGATGACCTGGCGGTAGATCTTACCGGTCGTGATGTTGTTGTCGCGGCCGAGCGTCACATTCAGGTACCGCTCGTAGTTCCCCAAATCCAGGTCGACTTCGCCGCCATCGTTGAGCACGAACACCTCGCCATGCTCTGTCGGTGCCATCGTGCCCGCATCGATGTTCATGTACGGGTCGATCTTGATCGCCGTCACACGCAATCCGAGCGTGCGCAGGAGCAGACCCGTCGACGATGCAATTACACCTTTGCCGATGCCCGAGATGACACCACCGCTCACGACGATGTACTTCATGGTCGGGGCCAGGCTAGGCGGCATGCCGTCGAGGAAAATTTAGTGTCACGTGCATTGCACGGCGCCGCGGACGGGGCTGGCGACTATGGTCCAAGCGTCTTTTACTGCGTCTTCTTCTTCGTGGTCGACGCCGAGTGCGTAGGCGTTACGGCATCCTCGCGCGAGGCGAGGTAAATGCAAAAGACCGTGCCGGGTCCAAAGATGACCGCCATCACAAAGCTGCGCACCATCGCGCCGAGCCACTTGGGCAGAGACGCGCTGTGCAGCGCTCGCACACCGCCCTCGTCCTTCAGGTTGAGGTCGGCAATAATGTCGATGCCAATCATGTACAGCACTGCGCAGAACACGCCAAGCAGGTCCCATAGAATAAGACGCTCCGCATCGTTGAGCACCACACGCTGGCCAGCGACCAACGCCTTGAGCACGGGGTGCAGCAGGTACAGCGACCACCAGTGCGTCACCATCGTGAACACGGCATTGTCTTCGTACAAGATCGACACCTTGCTCGTCGTGATCGACGTCTGGGGACCCACGAGTGCCACGTACAGCGACAGACTTAGGAAAATGAGCGGGAACAGCTGGAAGACCACGTTCAGCACGAGCCAGGTCCAGTGCGTTCTCGGGATGAGCACCATGAACACACTGGGCACGAAAATTACGCGCTGGATCGTCTTGATCATGCGAGGGCCATACACGCCAAAAGCACGCTCCGGATACACCTTGTGCAGGTGCATACCCCGCACGAGCGCGAACAGCGGCACCATCAACAGCGGAAGCGACGCGCCCATGCAGATCAGCTGGCCCAGCAAAAAGATGCCAGTGACAATCAGTCCACGCTGGAACGTGTGAGTCTCGGGCTTGATCGCCTGAACGCACGCGAACTGCATCACCGGCATCGCGAGCGACAGGATCGCCAGGAAGCTTCCGCGACCGGTGCGCGTCTCACACAGGTCCACAAACACATGTACCAGCAAAAAGAAAAGCTTCTCCGCCTTGTACGCCCACGGCGCATCAATCGGCAGCCAGCGGCCCTCGCCAGCGAGGCCCAGGGCCGTGCGCGACTGCGCCAGCGACATGGCATCGATGCGCTCAAAGTCTGGCTTGGGCGGCTCATGGATAGCCTTGTACGATATAAACAGGCCCGTCGCGATAGAGACGGTCGACAAAAGGGCCATCAGCACACGCTGCAACGACGCAGAGACCGCTGCCATGGTGGTTGCAAAAAACGCCGGGACCCCCACGTAGGACCAGGGTGACAGGCCACGTGCCGGCTTGGTGGGATGCGGCGCTGCAAGTGGAGGCCGCCTGCACCGCTCGCATCCTTATGAGCGAGGCGATCGATGCGGCGCACGCGCCGCGTGTGCGCCAGCAGCTCGCGCAGCACCGCACCACACTGCAGCAGGTCGAGGAGCTCCTTGCGCGCATGCCTGAGATCGGCGCCGAGCTCGCTGAGCACGCATCCGAGCAGGCACGCATCGAGAGCCTGGACACGATGGCTCGCGCCCTCCTCGACCTGCGCGAGCAGACCCAGGCGCGCGAGGCCGCGCTGCGGCGCGTGCAGGATCAGATTGCATCAGGCCATGGGGGGGCGGAGGTGCCTCGGGCGTATGAGCAGGACGTGCAGGCACACTGCGACGCATACGAGGCCCGCACCGCGCGACAAAAATACGCGAAGGACACTGCATACGTCGAGTTTCGCGCGCGCATTTGGGAGGTGAATGGTGACGGCGCGATGCCGCCTCTGACGGACATGATCCCGGCTGAGCCGGGCGACGGGGCGGACGACGATGAGCTCGTGGTCGGTGGCACGGTCCAGCAGTTCCGGTGCCCGCTCACGGCCCTCATTCTCGACGACCCGGTTGTGAGCTCGGCGTGTGGCCACGCGTACTCGCGCGCCGCCATCCATGCCTACCTGCAGGAGCGCCGCCTCGAGACGCGCCACGTGCCATGCCCTGCGGCTGGCTGCCCGGAGCGGGTCTCGGAGCGTCTTCTCCAAGAGGCGCCCGAGCTTGCTCGGCGCGTCGAGCGCTACCAGCGGCAGCTTGCGCGGAGGGAGGCACAACGACGCGAGGCCCAAGTACTCGAGTAGGTCACTATGTACAGGTAGATGCGGGCCCGCCGCGCGCGCCGCCACTGCCCGACACGGCGCGGCGGCCCGCCGTGCGCTGCGACTCTTTGGGGCCGCGCGGCGCCCATTCCGCGGGCCGGCTCGGCACAGCCGTGCTGCTGACGATCCGGCGGTGCGTGCGGGCAGCCTCGCCCTGCGGGGCCGCGACCCTCGTACTGGGCGGCAACAGCGCCGAAAGACTGTTGGTCGCGATCCCGGCCTGCGCAAGAAGTGCAGCGGCCTCTGGACCATCGAAGGGGCGCACCGCCGCATACGCCGTGCTGGTCAGCCGCGCACACGGTGCGGCTGCCAGGTCCTGCGGCGGCGTCCCGTTGTAGTCCGTACGCAATAGGGGCGATGGCGCGCTCAGGAGCGAAAGGTAGGCTTTTTTCGCGAGGCTGGCGTCGGTGAACAGGATGTACACGGTAGTGTCGTTCAGCCACTTGATGCGGTACACGGTATTGTCCGCATTATTCCACGGCGCAAAAATGGTATGTAGATCGCGCGTGTGCAATGCAGGCGAGAAGCCACTCAGCTCAATGACATGCGTCGCGAGGGGCGACACAAGGGGCAGCGGAAACGTCAGCGACGTCATCGGCCTGCGGCGCCCGTCGACGAAAGAGGTGTATGTGGAGGCACTACATATCCTCGGCGGACCATGCTGCGGCGTGAGTAGGGCAGGCACGCACCGTGGTGTTCCGACTGGATGCGCTGGGTATTATTGATAGATACAAGGAGTTTGCGCTCAAAGCCGTTGCTCCGGTCGACGCCGTCCCACCGGTAGCCCGGCTGGATGCCGAACCGATTCGGCGGCGGCGCCGGGCCCTCGTACCGCGGCCGCGTCACACGCCGACTGGCACGCTTCGTAAGGAATGCACGGGCGGGATCATCCCAGTGCTCATGGCCACGCAGAGACTCGTTCCAGCGTGCATCGTCCGCATACCTGGTGTGAGTCGCTCCACGTACTTGGTCACACGCTCGCCCTGGACGGCCGCGAGCTCCGCACGCTGCTCCGCCTCGGCGCGTCGCTGCACGAGACCGCGGTTCCACTGCGTGCGCTCCCTGTCCAGCCGCTCTCGCTCCCGCGCTTCTTCTTGCAAACGCGCCTCCTCTTCCTCGAGGTTGATACGGCGCCCCTGTGCGTCGCGGTACACGGTCTCGGCCGGGGGGGGCGAAGGGTCCGCGGGGGCCTCTGCCTCGGCAGCCGCGCGTTCCGCAGCCTCGCGAGCCTCGCGCTGCGCTTTCAGCTGCTCGCGCGTCATGAGCCCCACCTTGGGCTTGGCCGGGGGCGCAGGCGCCTCGGGGGGCGGTGCTGGTGCCTCGGGCGGCTGCGCGGCCCGCACCGATGTCCATCCCGCCTGCTGGCTCTTGGAGGACGGAGGCGCCGACTCTGTCTGCACAGGTGCAGCTGGGATGGGCGCCTCTTCGTCCTCGGCGTCGTCCGCCGGGCCGAACGGCGACGGGTCGCGGATGGTCACGGCCTCCGCCACGGCCGGCGCGTCAGTCTGCGCATGCTTCTTCTTCTTCTTCTTCTTCCCATCGCCGTATCGCGCGAGCACAGCCTCCGACTTGGGCCCCGAGTAGTAGTGCTCCGCTAGGTACCGCTGCAGCTTCTCATCGCGCATGGTGCGCCTGCGCAGGCCGCGAGGTATGGCTTACGCAATCAAAACCTCCACGGCGCGTCGGGCGCTCGCTCTCTGCCGCATGTCGCGCATAGAGAAAGGCACGCAGCGCTTTCGGCCCACCGTCGTCGCGCGCCGCCCGTCGCAGCCTGATGGCGGCGGCGATAGTGCTGCGAAGCCGAAGCCTGTGCCGCCACCCTCGCGTGTGCCTGCGGAGAGTGCGGGCCGCGCGCCCGCGACGAGGATTCTGCCGCGTGCGCCGGCGGCGGCGGCGCCCACCGGTGCGGCGCCTAGCGGCCTCGCGCCTACCGCGCGCAGCTATGCGTTTGCATCACAGCCCAGCACGCGTATTGTGCCTGCCCAGCGCATGCCTATCACACCCCGGTCCCTCTCGCAGCCGACTGTGCGAGGGGCGCCGCCGACGCCGCACGGTTCTACGCAGCCCACGTTCTCTCCGTACGAGCGCTTCTTGCATGCGGCTCAGGACGATCCGCAGGGTGTGCTGCAGGTGCCGGCTGGTGTAGATCCCAGCTCCGTTGCCGAGCTGGCCGCCGAGACGTGGCAGCAAATGAGCGCCGACGCGCGTGCGCAGTATGGGGCGCCGAGTGCGACGATGCCGCCAGCGCCAGCGACGTCGCGTGCAGCGACGCCGCGGAAGCGCGTGCACCACTCGATTTCCGACGACGAGGCCGAGTACCAGCGGCAGTGTGAGCAGCAGGGGACCGCGGCACCCGACTCGGACTTGCCGCCGCTCCGCATCGACATTGGCACTACGCGCATGGAGTCGATTGCTGTCACGCACTGGAAGAGTGGGCGTGCGAGCAGCCGGACGTTTGAGCTGGAGCGTGTGCGGGCGCGGCAGCTCAAGAAGCGGCGCGAGGAGGCGGCGCAGCAGGACGGCGATGGTGCGCGGGCGTCCATGGAGCCGGGCAGCGTCAAAACGTCAGACACGCCGGGCCCTCTTACGCCGCGTGAGACGCCGGCGCCCGAGGCGGAGCCGCAGTTTGGCGAGAACCGCTTTGCCGTGCAGACGCGCATTGTGGACGGGAAGATTGTGCTGGACGAGCAATCGCTGTATGCAAACTACCGGGACGACGAGCAGCAGGAGCGCGAGCAGAAGCACTGGGAGGTCATTGACGAGCGGGAAAGTGACCAGTTCGTCAACAGTGCGAGCCGGAGCAAGCAGCGGCGAACGCAGCGGTGGTCCGCGCAGGAAACGGAGCAGTTCTACCAGGCGGTGTCGCAGTGGGGCACTGACTTTGAGATGATCACGCGCCTGTTTCCGCGGCGCACGCGGCGCGAGATCAAGGCCAAGTGGACCAAAGAGTCGCGGCAGCATCCGCAGCGCCTGGACGACGCGTTTAAGCGCCGCGTCAAGGTCGACTTGACGGCGTACGGCCAGGCCGTGGGCGTCGATCTGAGCGGGCCACCGCCGGTGATTACGCCGCGCGCCGAGCCCAAAGCAGACGAGGTCGAGACGGTAGAAGACACTGTACAGTAATGACTATGGACTGCCTGCTACCGCGTGTACGTCTCATAGAGAGGACCAGCCGGCGCCGCATCCTGGTTCACCACGGGCGCGTACTTGGGCGCACCGCGCGAGTCCCACGCATGGCCCTGTCGCATCGGCACTACATCCGGGTCGGGCCGCGACACGGATGCCTTTTCCGCAGCGCGTTGGCGCTTGCCGTACAGTGACTGCATCGCGCACATGTACAGCTGGACCAGGCCCACGACGACGACGAGGCCGCCCATCAGCCCAACGTCCGCCCACGACAAGATATCACACAACTTGTGGCGGCCATTATTGAGGGCGTCGTCCACCTGCTGAATGCCGAGGCCGTTATAGGCAAGTGATCCCTCAAAGCGTGCCATGCACTCATCGATTGCGCTGTTATGCTTGCCTGCAGCGGTCACCGTAAAGGCGATAGTGAAACAGAGCACGACCAGGGTGGCAATGAGGTTCACGATCCAGTAGAGGCGGTACAGGCCCGTGTGGTCCACGAGGATCGTCGAGAACCCGTAGATCTGCCACGCGGCCAGTAAGAAGCAGATCACTGCGACGACATACTTGCCCCAGCTGGGAATCGCGCCCATCCCCCCCACAATCACCGGCGCGGCGAGGGCGATCACGCCAATACACAGCGCCACAAATGCTGTCTCGATGGCAATCAAGTAGGCGCCCAGCTTAACAAGCGGGAAGGCCTATAACGTCAGCGATAGGGACGTACGCAGCAGCAGAACGGTTGGCCTCGGCGCCTCATCTTCGTGGGGGCGGTCGATGTTGCTCTTCGCCGCTGCACCGCCGAGCGTCTGTGCGCCCCACGTGACATGCGTTGGACGCCTCCCCTCCATGAAGGCCCTGCAGCTAGAAAAGCCGGCGGGTGGCGCGCAGCGTGGACAGCGGCATGTCGTCGCCGTGCGGCATGTACCGCTTCCGAATGTGGGAAAAGATTCGGTGCTGGTGAAGGTGAGCACATGGCGCTGACGCGAGATCCTCGCGGCCGGGATGAACCGTCGTGACGAATGGTCTGCACTCGGGCTGTACCCGGGGCTCGTGTTCGAGAACGCGACGCTGGGGTGCGACGGGTGTGGCATCCTTGTGGATCCGACATCATTGAGACCGCTCAGTGAGCAGCTGTATCTCCTGGTGCCCTCACGAGGCTGGGACGCCGACGAGGCAGGACCCGAAGCGGCGCTCCCTACTGCCCCGGCACACCTACGCGTGAACGAGTTTGGCGGCCACGGGTTCGGAATTCTGGGCGCGACGCGTCCCGTGTGTGGCGCGGGCACATTTTGCGAGTACATCGCCGTGCACCGCTCGCAGCTGGTGCCGGCGCCCGCTCACCTATCTGCGGTACAGAGCGCCGCACTGCCATGCGCAGCAGTGACGGCGTACCGCGCGCTATTTACCAAGGGACGCGTCGCTGCCGGCCATAATGTGCTGATCACTGGCATCGGCGGCGGCGTCGCGATCCAGGCGCTCCAGATGGCCCTTGCCGCTGGTGCCACCGTCCTTGTCACGGGCGGCTCGCCCACCAAGGTTGAGCGTGCATGTGCGATGGGCGCGCGCGGTGGCGCCGTGTACAAGGACGCCGACTGGCCCGGCCAGGTGCGTGCCCTCCTCCCGCCGGCACGCCCGTGGATCGATGTTGTGATCGACTCGGCTGGCGGCGCCATTGTGGGACAGGCGCTCCAGGCGGGTCTACGTGATGGTGGGAAAGTCGTGGTGTTTGGTATGACAGCGGCGCCCAGCGTCGAGATGACGATGCGCGACGTGCTCAAGAATGTGGATCTCCAAGGTAGGTCGGCGCACGACTGACGCCAGGCTCCACCCTTGGCTCGGCGCGCGAGTTCCGCGCGAGTATTGAGTTTATCGAGGCGCATCGCATCGTGCCCAGCATCGATACGATACTGCCCGGCTTGGAGCACGCAGGCGATGGGCTAAAGCGCCTAGCAGACGCAGAGCGGCGCAGTGGCGGGAAGGTGGTCATCGACTTGCAGGGGGGGCCTGGCGCCTGCGTGGCAGCGCGCAGCTAGGCATTCTGCAGCTGCTTGTGCGTGCCCGCCTGAACGACGCGACACAGGTCCCGGTCAGTCGAGCTGATCCGCACAAAGCGGAACAGGGGAATCGCCTGCGGGTCGCCCTTCCATGCACGCAATAGCGTGACGTTCGTCTCGTTACACAGGTCCGGTACATCCATGCCCTCACGATATTCTTGTTGCTCCGCCGCATACAAGTCTTCTAGCTCCATAAGCCGCTTGCTTTTCGGGCGACCTGGGCGCTGCTCCTGACGCAGCATGGCGAGCTCTTCGTCGTGCCGCCCGAGGTAGAACGTTGTAATAAAGTCGTGGAATGCATACAGATCCGGAAGATGCGTCTTTTCGTCTGGAAGCAGCAGTACAAAGGTCATAATCCGGTCGACTGGCGTGAGTGGCTGCACGTACCTTTCGCCGATTTTTGCCGGTCGCGTACGTGTTTCGCCTCGTTCAGGCGCCGCTGACGAAGCATAACACGCGCTTTCTGGAACGCATGCCGCGACTTTGGATGCATCGCATCCTTCTGGACGAGTGTCTTAGACGTGTGCTGCCGGTCAGCCCCGCAGGCCTACTACGTACTTTTTTGCCGCCCATCGCCGTGGAAAAAAAACCGTCACTCCACATATGACAGTCTTGTCTGCCCAACGCCCGTGCAGCGCGCGGATCCATGTGGCCACCAGCTCTGTATGACGTCGTCTGGCGTGTCCAAGACTGGCACTATGTGGCTGAAGGGGGCGCCAATGTGGTGGTTGGCTATATAGGTCCCCCCGTGTGGCCATTTGTTGATACCCAGGGCACAGGTGCATCGCTCGCGCTGCGCATCCCCAAGTCATTACCGGAGGGCCCACGTAATACCATCGCTCCTAGCACGCCACCTGCGGATGTTTTTATTGATCAGGTACTCACCCATGTGCTCCCGCGCGAGTCGCTCCCGGTCTTGCGGCGCATCTCCCTTACCGGCGCCGTGCGGCGCTTTGTGCAAGAGCTGGCCGCCCAGATCGAGCAGGCCCGACCAGCGAAGCGTCGCGCGTGCAGTCACATCAATTTGGCAGCCCCGTACATGTGGGCTATGCGCGACTATAGCCAGACGACTGCATCAGGCAGCCTTATGGTGGAGATCAAGCCCAAGTGCGGCTTTCTGCCCCGGTTGCCCGAGACGGCCTACCCGTGTAAACGGCACTATTCGCGCTACAAAATGCACCGCGTGTACAAAGCACTGACGAAGCATAATACATATCCCACCTATGCCGACTTTGAGCAATGGTACGACCCTCTCGACCTGTTCAGCGGCGATCCTGATCGCATACGTCGCGCAGTGCATGCGCTATGTGACGATTGGGCGCGTGGCGAGGGAAACCTCCATGTCATGGTACACGGTACACGGGCGAGCCGGCAAGACGTGGAGAAGCATATTCCGTGGCTCCGCGAAGATGCGGTCGTCGGCATAGCTGAACGCGTGCTGACTACGCTTTTACTACCTCATAATCTGCATTTACTTGCTCAGATCGCCATGCAGCAGCAGCGATTGGATCCATTGGACATTGAAGGTCTAGATCAGCTTTGGCAGCATGTTCGAGACAAATCTTTACTAGATGCGGACGAAAGTTCTTTTCCTCGTATCTCCCTACTGGACTATCAATACGCAGCCAAGGGATGTGCCAAGTCCGTTTCTACGAATGATCGAGCCATGCAACCAATCGTCGCAGCTTACCTGTTGTCAGCCACACTAAAAGATCTCAGTTTGTTCATTCCTATTCAATCCGAGTCCATTTACACAGCCTCCCTTTACGTGACTGATCTTGACGCGAAGCCGGCCCCAAAATTGCGAGCGCATGTAAAGACCGATCGCTTGGTGGCTTTGTCTTTTTCCCATTGGCTGTCCGCGAACTCTCCAGCATGCACATCCACCTAGTTTGCATATGCATTCCTTAGTTTTCTGCAGGCGTTCCAATTCTACGTCGGGATTTCTCCACATTTTTTACTACAACACGAACCGCGCTGACATATAGACCGTTGAACGCGTTGTTTTCCTTCGTGAATACTCACTATGGTGCGCGCTCTCTGTTCGTGGGTATTTGTCGCGACTCTCCTGGCACTCTGCCTTGGACAGGCAGATGCCAAGAGCTCTCCTCGTATTATCGCTCGCGATGGCAAGTCGTCGAAGACAGTTGACGTTTCGTCGAAGGAAGACCAATCCAGCAAGTCGGCGATGAAAGAGGGTGAGGAACACGGCAAACTTTCGATGCCTGATGGTGCGCGTATGCGCACGCTTCGTGTTGGCTCCTCCAACTCTCATATTGCTGCTTACTGGAGCAGCGATGAGAACCAATCGAAGGCAGAACATGCTTTTGTTATGATCCATGGCCGTCTGCGTGATGGCGACCGGTACTGGAAGATCATGAACGACGCTTACAATTCGGCTTTGAATGATAACTACCCCGGTGTGAAGAAGAACAGTGTAATTGTGGCTCCTCAGTTCTTTTCTGAGAAGCTGAACAAGGGCCAGTACAGCTCCAACACGCTCGCCTGGGACGACGTGAACGCTTGGCAGTCGGGAATGGTGGCCACTCATCCCTCTGGCACAGACGTGACGTCGCTAGACGCGCTGGACACTATTGTCGAACATTTTGCGGACCAGTCAAAGTACCCGAACTTGAAGAATCTGACGCTCGTGGGCCATGGTGGCGGTGGTCAGCTGATGAACCGCTATGCCACGATTGGTAAGGATCCCAGCAACAGCAACATTTACGTCCGCTACATTGTAGGCGACCCAAGCAGCTCGGCGTACTATACTCACCACCGTCCTGTGACAGACAAGTCGATTGCCGAGAAGTCCAGCTGCCCTCAGTACGATGACTGGCGCTATGGCTTTACTGGGTTTGAGGGTACCCGCAGCGGAAAGAAGTCTCCTCAAGACTACTTCGGCCAATACATCAACCGCGATGTGGTGAACATTGTCGGCTACAAAGACACGGCCAACAGCGGTGACCAGAAGTGCATGGCGCTTCTTCAGGGTGGCCAGAAGCGTCGTGACCGCAACCTGAGCTGGTGGCGCTACATCAATATGCTCGCGAGGACAAACGAGAACCTACATGGCTTCCCTGGTAACTTCAGTGACCTGCCGGACTGGTCGTCGAAGTCCAACGGTATCATCTACACGCGTCTCTGCGTTGTGGAGGACGCTACGCATGATGCTGCGAAGGTGTTCGGTGGGTCGGAAGGTCGTTCAGCGCTCTTCCACCACTACAACGTCGAGATGGGCTGGCGTCCAAATGGCTGGCACTACAAGGCCCCTAAGCAAAAGACTGCGCGCTCGAATGTGGCCAACGTGACTTCGAGCTCGTCCACTGAGTCGACGGCTTCGTCAACGAGCAACGTCAGCCCTCCTCGTCTTGCTCAGAGCGACGCCACTGCGTCGTTTAAGCCTGTTGGCATTGCCGTCCTTGCCGGTCTCTTGTGCCTGGTCTTTGTTATGTAATTAGCATGCTAGCATCTTCTACGATAGACATTACTTGTATCTTATATGGTATCCTGTATGATTGTGCGGCACGAATTTTCGTCGAGTGCCTCGCGCAGCCTCACACGTGCGACGAAGGCCATGTTCTTGGTGCTAGGAATCCTTAGTGCTTCCGTTTCCAGGTTCCATCCACTGCGGATGTGAAGACTTGCAATGTACATATTGTATGCCAGGTGCTTGGAATGGAGCGTGCCCTGCTCCGATGGCGTCGTGGCGCGGTGCGCAAACCATCCGAGGTGTGTAAGGCGCTCTGTCCAGTTTCGGGATGGCTGCATTAGCGGTACAGGTGGCATGGATTGCTCTGGTATCTGGTCCACATGCAGCCACGCAGCGAGCATAGAGTCATCCAACGTGCTTTTACTGGGTACAAAGCGCTGGCCCTCCAGGGTCCATGCGCAGCAGGGAATGTTGACGAAGCCTGTGCACGCAGGTGTGCGGGCTGCCAGCACAGGCACCCACGGTGTCAGCTCATCGGCATGGTTGCCAATGAGGAATGAGCCTGTAGGCAGCCCCGAGGCCTTAGCCGACGAATCGTCGGTCGACGCAATCTCCGCAGGGTCAAACCAGTGAACTTGTAGCCGTGCACCTGCTTGCTCGTACAAAGGCCAAGACTTCCGCGCACGGCCATCAAAGCCATACCCATGGTATCCCTGCTGTGAGTCGCTGTGACGTACCTCCTGGGTCAGTAGATGGACTAGCAGTCCATTGCCGCATCCCACGTCCACAAAGCCGCCTGGCGGGTGCCCCCAAATGCCACCACACCGGGCCGAGTGCGGCCACGCGTGCTGCGTCTCGACAGGGAACATAGCGCGCCACAAGAGAATGAGCCATGCGGCGATGCCAATGTCTTCGAACACATGTTTCTTGGGGTCGGTGACCTCGGGCCAAGCCTCGATGACAGGACCGGCGTACTTGCTCCGCAAATGCAGGTACAAATCTTGGTACGCATCTCGTGGTACAAGTATATCATGATGCACGCGTTTCACGTACGAAGAGGCATGTCCCACACTGTGCTGGTGCATGAGTCGTAGGAGCGACATGGCCGTGCGCCCGAGGCGCGAAGTCGGCAGGACGCGCGTGCCGTCGCTGGGAAATAGGACAAAATCGACGCGGACTAAGCCCTGGGGTGCGCCGTCAGCATCTGACTGTGCCTGAGGCTGGTATCGGAAGGCCACAGCGCGCACGTCGGGGTGGTAAAATGGGACTTCGTTCTGCTTGGGCCAGTCGTTAGCATTGTACGGCTTGTCCAACACGCCCGGATCGGGTGATTCGTGAGCCTGGTCAGACACCCGCAGGGTGGTATAGACGACCGATCCGCGACCACTGCCATCATGCTGGATGGTGCACTCTTGCAGCATGCCTCGGTCAATGTGCACGCGTCGAGGCAGCAGGCGGCGCACACACTGATAACGGAGGGTCATGCCCTCCTCCATATGTACATCCCAGCTCTTTTCCTGCCAGATTTCTCCGCGTCGAATGCTAGAGCTATTCCGCTCTGGGTGGAAGATCCAGGCCAACATCGTAGCATGCCAGTCGTGGAAGGCAAAGTAGGCTGGGGCTTCGATTACACGCACCCATGGTGGATGATCCGGCAGCTCCCAGGCCACATCACCTCCCTCGTCCATCATGCACCATGTCGGCGTAAATGGCGCGCGCGTGCCCGACGCCTGCGCGGACGACGTCGCGCGCCCCTTCATCTTGTCGAGGTGACAGGAGGATTGATGATGACTAAAGACACAGGTGTTAGCAGCGCCGTCGCTAAGCGCCTTTCTCTCGTGGCGCGCGGTCGGCAGTGAGGATGCAGCTGTACAATTTCACCGTGCAGCCGACGTCCAGTGTGACCGCGGCTGTAGTGGGACAGTTCCTTGGAACGCGCCAACAGCATGTCCTGCTCGTGCGTGGCTCGCGCTTGGAGTTATATGACGTCGACACGGAGCAAGGGCAGATGTCGCAAGTGATGACGCAAAATTTGTTCGGCAACCTCCGCAGCGCTACTTGCTTCCGCCTTACCGGAAGCACCAAAGATCATCTCATTGTTGGCAGCGACTCAGGGCGCATTGCCGTGCTGGAGTACCAAGAGGAGCTGAACCGGTTTGTCAAGGTGCACCTGGAAACGTTTGGGCGCTCTGGGAACCGGCGCATTGTGCCGGGGCAGTATCTTGCCACGGACCCCAAGGGCCGTGCAGTGATGATAGGCGCTGTCGAAAAGTCCAAGCTGATCTATATCCTCAATCGGGACGCCCAGGCCCATCTCACTATCTCGAGCCCACTGGAAGCGCATCGTGCGACGGCCATTGTCGAGTGCATTGTTGGTGTGGATGTTGGCTACGAGAATCCGCTCTTTGCGTCGCTGGAGATGGATTATGCCGAGGCGGACGCCGATGTCACAGGGGCCGCGGCCGCTCATACGGAGAAAATGCTCACGTACTATGAGTTGGACCTGGGACTGAACCACGTCGTGCGCCGCTGGTCGGAGCCCGTGGACCGCAGTGCGCACCATCTTGTGAGTGTCCCTGGTGGATATAACCATTCGACGCAGCGCTGGGATGGCCCGAGTGGTGTGCTTGTGTGCATGGATGATTTCGTCGTGTACAAGCACCAGGGACAACCGGAGCACTGTGTCCCGATACCTGTCCGTTACAACCCCGCAGCTCAGCAGCGGCGTGGGTCTATGGTGGTCGCCAGTGTGCTGCACAAGATGAAGGCTGCCTTCTTCATTCTGTTGCAAACCGAGGACGGCGATCTGTTTAAGGTTACAATCGACCATGACGAAGAGGAAGTGCAGGCCTTGCGCATCCAGTACTTTGATACGGTGCCTGTTGCCGTCAACCTCGCCATTCTTCGTGCAGGCTTCCTGTACGTGGCCTCCGAGACAGGCACCCAGCAGCTTTACTCGTTCCAGAAATTGGGCGATGACGAAGGACTCGAGTGCGTATCGACGTCGTACCCCGACCGGGGCATTCATCGACGCATGTCACTTCCTTCGTTTGTGCCGCGTGGACTGGAAAACCTCGCGCTGGCCTGGGAGCTGGAGGCACTCGATCCGCTGATGGACGCCAAGATGGCGAATCCGCTGCATGACGACGTGCCGCAGATCTATACAGCATGTGGGCGGGGCGCGCGCAGTTCGTTCAAGCGCTTGCGTCATGGTTTGGAAGTCAGTGAAGTCGTCAGCAGCGAACTTCCGGGCGTCCCACAGGCTGTGTGGTCGACCAAGTTGCGCCGATCGGATGAGTACGACGGGTACATTGTGTTGAGCTTTGTCAATGGCACCCTTGTGCTCAGCATTGGAGAGACAATTGAGGAAGTTGTCGACAGTGGACTTTTGACGTCGGCGCCCACGTTGGCGATCCAGCAGCTTGGCGCTGATGCCCTACTACAGGTACACCCACGGGGTATCCGGCACATTCTGCCGAACCAGCAGATCAACGAATGGACGACACCGCTGTTGGAGACCGGTGCATCGACGCAGATTGTCGCCGCCACGACTAACGAGCGACAGGTGGTGATTGCCCTGGACAACCACGAGATTGTGTATTTTGAGCTCGACATGGACGGTCAGCTCAATGAGTACCAAGAGCGACGCGATATGGGCGCCGACGTTGTGGCCATCAGTATCGCTGCATGCCCAGAAGGCAGTCAGCGCACGCCGTATGTGGCTATTGGCTGCGCCGACCAGACCATCCGTATCGTATCACTGGACCCTGATTCGACGCTGTCGCAAGTCAGTTTACAGGCCCTGACTGCGCCGCCATCGAGCATTTGCATCAGTGAGATGCTTGATACATCGCTGGACCGCCATCACCTCACCATGTTTGTGGGTATCGGCTTGACGAACGGTGTTTATATCCGAACGGTACTGGATCCGACGACGGGGCAGCTCACCGACACACGCACACGGTTCCTTGGCAGCCGGCCTGTGACGCTGGTGCGGGTACAGGTCCACGGCGACACGGCTGTGCTTGCACTGAGCAGCCGCAGCTGGCTTAGCTACACCCTGCACGGTCACACGCACTTCACGCCGCTCATGTTCGACACGCTCGCCTACGTGTCTAGCTTTAGCACGGAGCTCTGCCCCGATGGCTTACTGGGTATCACAGGCGATGCACTGCGGATCATCACGGTGCCGCATCTCGGCGGTGAGCTCAAGATGGACTCGATGTCTGTCTCGTATACGCCACGGAAATTGGCAGTCCACCCTGACGATGCGAGTCTGTTCTATATGGTCGAAGCAGACCACCGCGTACTCTCGCCCATCGCTCCTGAGCGCATCCGCGCCCCATCGCCTCGGGGCGTGCTAGACCTTGAGCCTGCTACCTTCGGACTCGTACGTGCTGAGGCAGGACGCTGGGCCAGCTGTGTGCGTATCGTCGATGCCAAGACGATGAATACACTGTGGCAGTTGGAGCTCGAGCAGGACGAGGCAGCATTTAGCGTGGCTCTCGTGCGCTTTACTAGCGCGTCCAACGAGCTCTTTGTGATTGTGGGCTCGGCCGTGGGCGTGACACAGGCGCCCCAGCGCCATCGTGGGGCATATCTAACGACGTACCGACTCGTCCAGGACGGGCGGGCGCTGGACATGGTGCATAAGACGGAGGTGGACGGCGTGCCCCTTGCTCTCCATGCATTTCATGGGCGTCTTCTCGCTGGCACCGGTGCGTATGTGCGCATCTTTGATATGGGGACGAAGAAACTCTTGCGCAAGTGCCAGAGCAGACCGTTTCCGGCTCAGGTCGTGTCGCTGAACGTGCAGGGCGCGCGTGTCATTGTTGGAGATATGCAGGAATCTGTGCACTATGTCATGTACAAGGAGGCCATCAACAGTCTGATTCCTTTCGCGGACGATACCCTGCCACGCTACACGACCTGCTCGATTATGCTCGACTACGATACGGTGATGGCCGGCGACAAGTTTGGCAATGTGTATGTGCTGCGCATTGACTCGGGGGCATCGATGGCCGCGGATGAAGACCCCACGGGTCTCATGCTGCAAAATGACCGCTCATACCTGATGGGGGCAGGTCATCGCTCACAGCTTCTCGCGCATTTCCACCTGGGCGACATTGTGACCAGCCTCTCGCTGGAAAGCCTGGTACCAGGGGGTCGTCCCGTCGTGATATACACGTGCGTGGCCGGGACTGTCGGTGCTCTCGTTCCTTTCATTAGTCGCGAGGACGTCAAGCTGATGTCAACGCTGGAGATGTATATGCGCCAAGAGGACCTGAGTCTTGTCGGGCGTGACCACCTCGCTTACCGAGGTCACTATGCGCCGGTGAAGGCGGTTGTGGACGGCGATTTGTGCGAGTCTTTCCTTTCTTTGCCACATGAGAAGCAGGCCCACATTGCCGAGGAGCTCGATCGGTCACCTGGTGAGATTGCCAAAAAGCTTGCACAGCTGCGCGAGACCACCACCGGGTTTTAGCGCGGCGGCTCTACATAGGCTGACTAATCGTAATCCAGTAGATCTTGGGCAACGGGCGGGGGATTGACGGCTTGCGTACCTGTCCCGCCGATCTCCTCACGACAACTTCACGGCGGTAGCAATCTCTGTTGGCATGTCCCAGGTCCCATCGAGCAAGCTCGGGAACCAGGAGCCTACATATGGGTCTTCGACTCCCGAGTCAAGCAGGTGGTTTCGCCAGCGCATGCGCCGACCCCGACAGCCTTCGACTCCGCCTGCTATTCAACCGGAATTGGCCTCTGGTGATGTCTTCCTTGCGACTCAGCGCCGGACTGTGTCTACTCCATTGGAAGCCAACTATTTAAATGGCGGTATGCCTTCGCTGCTCGCCGTTTCTTTGGCCGACTCGACCCTGCAAGGAAACCAGTCGCCACGTGCGTCTCCCTCGGTGCAGCGCCGCGCCTCCATTTCTGGCACACCTTCGCCATTGCGACAGCCGTTGATTGTACGCCGTGCAAGTGTACAAATTGCGCGTGGATCGCCGAGGGACAATGAATTAGGAACTCGAACGACGCCACACAAATCCGGTACGTATGCACGCTCAGGGCTCGTAGGTCTTGGCTGGCCGACGGCCTTGTCATGATGCGATCGGCCTTGGATGGATGACTGTTGGACATTTGTACTAACACAGTAGACTCTCGAACTGCAGCAGCCTCTTCCATGGGTGTCCCCCGTCACGATTTGCGTCTCCCTCTTTCGGCTGGCCCCACAGGCCGGACCAGCATTGACACCAGATACAATACCCCGCCTCAGTCACCACCCGACATTACGCCCTACACGCCCAGTCCTTTGGCTGAGCAACCGTCACAGACGTCAGACTCGCTACAGCGCATGAATACGAGCTTAGGCACTTCAGGGACTTTACCAGCCTCAATGGAAGAGCCCTTGTCAGATATGCGCAGTTTGAATGTCTCGTACAACTTGGCCAGGGAAAGTGCAACGGAGCGCCTGTCGCCTTCTTCCGCTTTCGGACCGTCGCACAGCACGCCCTCACCCGTCCTTAAGCGACGCACGACCCTCATGTCACCCCTAGCCACGCTGGGCACTCCTTCGCTGTCGAACAATCTTGCCAGTGCACGCGATGGGAAGGCTGTGCCCAACTCCGTCATGGACTCAGATTCCAGTCACGTTGCTCCGCTCATGATTCGCACAGATTTTGATGACTTCCATTGGGAAACGTTCGATGCGCTGCCTACCTCGCCACTTCAAGAGACTCACCAGCCAGTGCTGTCGCCTCCTCAAGCTGTGGATCTCGCACGCACAGGCAGGGGATTTATTGGCATCGTCACTTCTGAAGATGACGTTCCATCTCAGGTTCAGCCTATTACTACGCACTTGACAATCAAGCAGTGCCCACTTTCGAGCTATGCCTGCCTCGCGACGCCTTATTCGCTGGTGGTTCTAGATCTAGCGGGATGCGGTCTCCATGCGGTGCCCCGTGAGCTGGCCCATTGCCATGCGCTAGAGGAGCTGAATATCTCAAATAACCCATTAGGGGATTCAGCCTCCGATGCACCCTTTGCGCCGTTGCTGCAAATACCACGTCTACGCGTGTTGCTGGCAGACGACTGCGGCCTGACAATGATCCCCGTCGAGATCCTATCGCTAACACAGCTTCAAATTTTGGGTCTGCGTCGTAATCAACTGGCCCACATACCTTCCTGGCTGAGTCGCTTGGACTATTTGCAGGTGTTGCTGATTGAGGGCAATACTAATTGGACGGCCCCATGGCGCTCTATACTTACACCCCTACTGGAAATGGAGCATTCTCTAGACCGCGAGTCAACTGAGCTGGCGCCACAGGCATCGGGTAAATTTGGGGTGACAGGTGGTGAGCCACGACGGCCCGGAAGCTCGCCGGGTTTATTCCAGCGGCTCCGCAATGGTACGGCACGTGTGATGTCAAACTCTGAACGTTCGTCTAAGTGGTTTCGCAGCAAGGAATCGACAGCACCCGCCGAGACGGCGCGCAACGCCTCGAAGCCTAGTCCTCCTAGCGCCAATCTGCGCAGCCTCATGGTTCCACTTAGCGCGCCCAGCCAAACAACCGTTCTCCCAATGCCGTCGCTGGGGGAGAAAAACGAAGAGCTACCGTTTCCGTCTTTCTTTTTGCCTATCTACAACAACGAGGATGGCGATGCGGCGGTTCGCTGGTTGAAGAAGTATGGGGTATTGCACGTGCACCAATTGCTGGAATATCTTCGTGACATGGATGATTTGCGACCCGAGCAGCACCGCGAAACGATACCGGTCTCCTTGCCGGTGAGCAGTAGTGCATTGGGAAGTCCTGGTATCTCGTATTCGGCCATCTCCTCTATTGCTGGCAGTGATTCTACACCACTCGATACACCTGGCGAAGTGGCTCTTCGAGGTGGTATTTTAGAAGAAGCTGGTGCGAATACTTTTGCCTCGCCAAGTACAGGTACCTCTACTACGGCTGGGAGCACAGATGTGAAAGAAAATGCCATCAAGCGTGGCTTGGTACTCAATGAAGTTATTGAGACGGAAAGGACTTATGTTGCGGGACTGTCTGAGCTGATGGATATCTACGTACAAGGTGCACGACAACCTCTGGATTCTGGGACAGATGAGCGTGTCATGTCTGTGCCGATGGAGCGCCTCGTATTTGGCCATGTCGAAGGCATTGTGCATTTCCACCGCGATGCTTTCCTTCCCTCGCTTGAACAAGCGACTTATCGCCTTAAGATGTTGACTGATCCTAATTCAGAGGCGTATCCGGCTATAACGGCACAGATTGCTGCTGATGTGGCGAACGTGTTTTCGGAACACGCGGCCTACTTCAAAATGTATATGAACTATGTCAACCAGTACGAAACTGCGGTTTCCTCTATTGCCAAGTGGTCGGAACCGTCGACCATGCGCAGCCGACCGACTATGAAAACCTCGAGTTCATCGCTGACCAATAGAGCTCAGCGACTTTTGCTGTCTGACTCGCCAGTGGAAGAGCGTGGCTCCGATGATATTATTCTCTCTGCGAGCGAACAACGGCGCTTCCAATCCTACATGCGGCGATGCCGTCGGGACCCTCGACACAGTCAAATCAGTCTGGAAGGATATTTGCTTTTGCCCATCCAGCGCATTCCCCGGTATCGCATGATGTTGGACCAGTTGATTAAGTGCACGTCCAGTGATATGCTGCCAGATACTGACCGTGAGTCGCTTGCACGGGCATTTGCCCACATATCGCTAGTCGCATCGTGGGTGAATGAGGGCAAGCGCCAATCGGAGCAGGGTCGACGCCTGTTGCAATGGCAGATGAAGCTCCGTGGAAACTTTTCCGCACCGCTGGTACAGCCACATCGCCGCTTAGTGTGTGATGGGCCACTGCGCTTATGCCGCGTCAACAAGCTCCTGGGTCGGCCGACTCATTTGTTTCCTGAAGACGATGTCTTGGAGCAAAGCAATATGTTTTTGCCCGTCCATCTGCTTCTCTGCAATGACCTGGCAGTCGTCGTATCAGACTTGGCCGCGAGCGAATCCCCAGCCACTCCTGTATCCCCCTTGAATCCATCCGATCCGGATTCTGTGGACCTGATCGCTGTGCTCAAGCCACAAGTCCGCATGGTCCAGCAAAAGGGCAAAAACCGTCTATTGCCGCCTGCATCAGTGACAGGAGAAGTGTATGTGCGAGTCGTGGATGCACGCTATGTGTTCTACTTCTGTGCACAATCACCCCGTGATGCTGTGAGATGGCGTACGGCCATAAATACTCAACCGTTTTAAGTTGCAGTCCAATAGATGCAAAGCCGTGAAAGCCTTGCAGCTTCGGTCCACTGACCCGCGCACGGACGCCTCGGGCGACCGCCACGTGGGCAGCCACATCACTTCGATTGACCACGGCTACAACGCCTGGCGCATGGCTTAGCATGTCTTCGCCAAAGCATCAACGCTCAGATTCGTTTGGTGAATTTGTATCAGCAGGGTCCAGCGATGTGAATACTCCAGCTGTGCCGCCTGAAGGGGAACATGACATTCTCGATTTGCGTGACATTGAGAAAAAGCTGGACGAAAAACGAAACCAGCAGATTGCTGAGGCTATGGCGGCAGAACCTGCCATGGCAACAACATCTGAGCCCGTGTCACTGATTGATGAGCCACTTGTAGAAGAACCTGCTACGGTGCCCACTGACACTAGGCCACCGCCCTCCGCTTCGCTGCCATCGACCTCCCGCTGGACCGGGTCGCTTTGGCACAAGCTTTCTGCTATCAGTTCATTTGGTGAGCAAAAGCATCGCCCTCCTCATCCCCATCGGCGTCCGTCCGTTGTACGGCATCGGTCATCTACGCTACCAATATCTGGTGCGCCAGGCTTTGACCCGGACTCGTCTCTTCACTGGAATCGCGGTCAGTGGTCGCTTAGCGCGCAGGCAGAGCAAGAAAGAGAGAAGCAGCCGATCCCTGTGGCTTTACATGGCCGACGAGAGGATACTGACATGGTCGTCGAGCCGTGGCATGCTGCACGCGTGCAGGCACTGCTACCGCGCCGTCTTCGCCTGGGCAAGAGCTGGTCATTGCTCTACTCACTGGACCAGCATGGGGCAAGTCTTGCTACCCTTTATAACCGGGTCGGACGAACGCTTGATCCGCAACATCGGCGTGCAGCACCTTCCGAGGCATGGCTCCGTGGCTCTTCTACGGCTGCGCAGTCGGCTGTGATGGGATCCAGCTCTTCAGAGGCTTTTCACGTCGGGGGTGGTGTGGATCTGAGCGATGCTGGTATCGTACTCGCAATACGTGATACAAACAACAATGTTTTCGGTGCATTTGTCAACGAGCCTCTGCGTATCTGTTCTCACTATTATGGGAATGGTGAATGCTTCCTGTGGAAAACAGTACAGCGCCGACTTCCCGCCCCACCGAGCGCAACGGATGGCGACGCCAGCAAATATGACGACCTACATCCTGACCTTGCCATCGAGGTGTTCCGCTGGACGGGAAAAAATGATTACATGGTATTGTCGGAGTCTGATTATTTGTCCGTTGGTGGTGGTGAGGGGCGATATGGTCTCTGGGTAGACGAAAAGCTCGACAAGGGTCTCTCGTCCAAATGCCCTGCCTTTCTTAACGAAGTTCTATGCAATGCACAGGAAAGCTCTGCAATGCATGCCGGAGATATCGGGCCTAAGGCACCTATGGACCTGATTTCAAATGACTTGGACGAACAACCAAAGGCACTCGAGACGGAGAAATTCCGTTGTCTCGGTGTCGAGGTGTGGGCGGTAGGATTAGATTAAGCCCTTTTACCTGTAGCTACGAGCCTCCACATCCCTCCACGGCTCTATTGTGGCCTAGCTGGACGTTCATCCGGGATGGGGCCAGCACCAAGTCTCGGGGCGGATATGCATTTGCGCATAGCTCAGGCAGCCATATCTGTACCTACCTATCCTAGAGAATTGTTGCAACTTGCCTGGCACACTGACGGAGAAGACGCGCCGATTCCTCCACTCTCACCGGCTGCACGGGAGGCCGTCTCGCATGTCAAAAGGGCCGTGGCGATGTATCGGGCAGCTTGCGTGGCAGAGAAGAAGCCGGACTCTCTTGATTTGTACACACTCTGGTATCATCAGTGTGGTTGCCTCATTCTTGAGCATGAATTTACTGCAGCTCGCGCCGAACTTGAGCGTCTCGCCAAGGCACTCCGCCCACAAGGCAGTCCGTCTCCGTCTATGCTCGCATTAAATACAGATGTTCTTGGAACACTCCAATGGATCAGTGGAATGTTCCACGATACGCAGGCATCGCAGCGTTACGAGAAATGGCGCCAGAATGCGCGCATGCAGCTATGACCATGGCACGTCGCCAAGTTCGTCTGTATCCACGATGTCTGTAAGCGTCCAAGGGGTATCAGTTGCGGTATCGCAGAGCTTTTGGCGCCAATCTCTTCGTGTGGGCTCTGAGCGTTTGGGTCTAGGCATAGCGGCCAGAGAAGACTCCGCTAGTGCTGTGTCATAAGCGCGGAGTTTGGCAAAGAACTCGTCGAAGACAGAGGCTTTATTCACATCCGTGCAGAATCCACTAATTTGATCGGGAGAATACTTCATAAATGCCAGCACAGCTGATAGCTCGTTGACACTGACAAAATTTTGCGTGAGAGCCACCGACTCATCCAGATTGATCACTAGATGCCACCAGCCACTGGGGACATACATCACTTCTCCTGCATGGCATACACCTTCAAGAAGTTGTCCATCACCACCACACTCACGACGGCCATGTTTTTCCTTGGTCTCTGCATAAAAATCGAGCATCCACTCGCTCAGACTTGCTGGTGCTGTCACTTCAGATTGATCGCTAGAAACGAAAACACCTGGTGGCGTTGTCGTAGGCGGCAGCATCATCCAGAACTTGGTTCCATGCATGACTGCATTCCATGCGGACGTCATGTTCGGGTCTTTGTGCCATCCACTCCCACTGCGGGCTGGCCCTGCAATGAGCCAACGGTAATCAGGGCGCTTGTCTCCAAACAGAGAGAAAAGATCGGCGCGAGTATGCTCGTCAATATCACGATCGATGCCTGCGCCCTTGGCACCAATGGCGCATCGACCTACCAGAGCAGGGACACGCCAGGCTGAAGCGGCTTCCGGTTCCTGGGAGGCCACCTCCGAGTCAAACAGATAGAATGGCGAGATATCTGGTATAGAGCATGCACCCACGCCCATAGGACTTCCCGCAGAGACTGAGCGAGCATAGTCCACGTAGGCACCACCTAATACACGCATAGCTTCTGCCTGGAACGTCCGCTTGCCCCAATGTGCTTTAATATAGTCAAGCGACCATGTTTGGCATGGCCAATCATCCGTGGCATGTACCAAGATACATGGCTGATTCGGACGAGCATGGATGTCAGTGAACATGTCTAAGGTAGTATGCTGTGCATCTACCCGTGGTATGTTGTCAGGAAGCGACGGTAGCTCCGGCGGATTGTCCGTGCGAATTTTCCTGACGCGTTGGAGGCGCCGATGCTCCAGCCGCGCATGATGTTCTAGAAAATCTTGGGGATCGAAAGCTGCAAGCATAAATTCCCGGAAAAGAACATCGGAGTATACATGTGTAGCTTTCACCTGCCACGCAGAAGCGGCTTCAACCCAAGTTGGGTTAACCATGCCACGTTGCTCCAGAGACGCAGACGCATAAACGGCACGCCAACTACCCGGCCAGTGAGTAATAGTACTCCCAAAATCCCTAAAATAGTGCTCACGCCAAATATAAGGTACACTCGTAAGTGCATAAAACATTCGACTAACACGTGCAAGAGCAACCACAGAAGCTGTATCAAGCCAACCGACTAAGAATTGAAGAAGAAATTCGTCCTCGAACCGAGCGAGATTCCCAAGTCCCTGTGATCTAACATTAATATCAGACTCCAGAAGTGCATTTCCCAACGGGCCGACCCCCAACGGATGCCTACCACACGCCGGCGACCACGTCGACGTCATGGCTCAGGACTGTCGTCGTCTTCGCCTCCACATGACCCAGGACACTTTCTGGATTAATTTGTCAGCCTGCACGTGGCCCAGATCAACACACACGCGGACGTCCACCGCACGTTCATCGCCCTGAGAGATGCGCGAGCTGATCACCTTTGCTGTTGGCCAAGCCGGGAACCAGATCGCTTCTTCATTTTGGGAGACAATCCTCAAGGAACATGGCTTGAATAACAATGGTGTATGTATTATAAGGGGACTTAGTTGACGCCGCAGGAATACATTGGCAGTGACCCATTACAGCTGTCAAAAATCAACGTTTTCTTTGAGGAGTCCAATTCCGACAAGAAATATGTGCCACGCTCAGTGAATGTTGATTTAGAACCGGGAACGATCGACCACTTGCGTACAGGTGCACTCGGTGAGCTTTTTCGACCTGATAATTACGTGCACGGTGACTCTGGTGCTGGTAACAACTTTGCCAAGGGATACTATACGGAGGGCGCTGAACTTATGGATGCGGTGCTCGAAGTAGCTCGGAAAGAAACTGAACGTGCAGACATGTTCCAAGGCTTTCAGCTTGTTCATTCCTTGGGTGGTGGCACAGGCTCGGGTCTGGGAACCAACTTGCTAAGCAAGCTACGCGAAGAATACCCAGACCGCATGCTCGCCACATGGTCGGTACTGCCGTCGCCGAAGGTGTCGGACACCGTGGTGGAACCCTATAATGCTACTCTTTCCTTTCACCAGCTCGTGGAAAATGCAGATCTCTCTTTCTGTCTGGACAACCAAGCCCTTTATGATATTTGCCAACGTACGCTCCGCACCGAGTCTCCCAAATATGAAGACCTAAACACGCTCATTTCGTATGCGATGTCGGGCTGCTCAACGACGCTACGCTTCCCTGGCCAGCTTAACTCAGACTTGCGAAAACTCGGTGTCAATATGGTTCCATTCCCTCGCCTACATTTCTTCACTTGTGGCTACGCCCCTCTGGTTGCGTCCTCCCTTCAGGCATACCAGGCTATGAATGTTGCCGAACTGGTTAACCAAGGATTTAGTCCTCGCAATAATATGGCAGCAATTGACCCACGCTCTGGCAAGTATCTCACTGTCGCAGCCATTTTCCGTGGAAAGATCTCTAGCAAGGAGGTCGAGTCAGAAATGCACAATGTTCAGACGAAGTCGGCGAGCGGATTTGTGGAATGGATCCCTCAAAATGTACTAACGTCTTTGTGTGATGTCGCACCACCAAAAGTGAAACTTAGCGCTACGTTTATCGGTAACACGACCGCTATCCAAGAGTTGTTTAAGCGCACCCACCATCAATTTGGTGCTATGTTCCGTCGCAAGGCATTCTTGCACTGGTATACAAACGAAGGCATGGACGAAATGGAATTCACAGAAGCTGAGTCCAACCTACTGGACCTGATCGCTGAGTACGAACAATACGAGGCGGCAGGTGTGGACGAGGACGAAATGTACGAAGGAGAGTACGCCGACGAGGGCGAGTATGTTGGCGAAGAGGAATACGCGGAAGAGGAATATTAAAGTAGGTAGCAATGCATTTGTACCACTCTGCGCATTATGATGAATTTTCAGTCTCACAGAATGGGATCAGCCAGGCAGTCTAGAGTGCAGAGTTGAACCCAAACGCACAATCGCAGGAGCGAACTTGTCCTTCCTACGGTCTACAATGAGACCAGATAATACGATATAACGCCCTTTTCAATAGGTGTCACCGCGCATATTCGCACACACACACACACACGCACACAAACATCTATCCATCCATTAAAAGTGAGGAGTATTGACCCTTCTTTGGTCGATTTGTAGCTACATTGTGAAACCACTCAAAAGGAGTGACTACAAATGACTTGCGATCGACACGTAGAGACATAGCCAATACTTCGAAACTTTTGTTGATTGGGTGAATTTAAGCACCAAGCCGACCGACGTGAACATTTTCGGTTATGTCCACCTGGAGGGCATTCGACACTCGATTACTTCGAGCGAGCACGCATCTTTCTGCGCTTGCGGCGAAGACGGCGCATACGCTTCTTTCTCCACTTCTCTCTCATTTCCAATCTTAAAAGTGTTAGTTGACGCTCATACAACCACGATAAACACTTACCAGTCCGACTGAAAACGATGGCGGTAAGGGACAAGTGTCTGCCGAAGGACGCACTAGTTATACCCTCCTTCCCTGTCGAAAATAGTCACGTGCGTTGTAGTTCTACTTAGGTGAGAGACAGTCAGCATGTGGAGTCATCATCGCGTCGCTGGCCGTCGCAGCGCACGTCCTTCTTCCAGTCATGGCTAGCGAACAGCGTCAGAACGTGAATGTGCCAGAGGCCGCCGCCCCTGTTGCGACGGAACAGCATCCGCAGAATTCGGCAGTTGCCAAAGAACCAGAGGAGCTGAACCCCGATGGAACCCCCCTGTCAGACAAACAGCGCCGAAAGCGAGCCGAGAAGGCCGAAAAGGAGCGCATCAAGGCCGAAAAGGCAGCGCGTCTGGCCGCTGAGCAGGCCGCCCGCCAGGCACAGGAAGTCGACTTTGCTGAAGGTAACTACGGTGTTCTCCCTATGAACCAGTCGCAGGAGCGTAAGAACCAGCAGCTCTTCGCGATTGGGGACATTCATCCGGACAGGGACGGCGAGTCCATTACGTTGTTGGCACGCCTACAGACAAGCCGTGCTCCTTCGGCAAAACTTGTATTTTTGACTTTCCGTCAAAATGTGCACTGCGTGCAAGCCACACTAGCCGTAACGCCCGAAAAGATTTCGCGCCAGATGACTAAGTGGGCGGCATCGATTACCCCTGAGTCGATTGTGCAAGTTGAGGGTACTATTGTCAAAGTGCCCAAGCCGATCGAATCTCCTAGTGTCACAGTGAAAGATGCCGAGATCAAGATCTCACGCATTTTCGTGGCTGTCCCTGTAACGTGGGAGGGTCAGATTCCGTTCTATGTTGACGATGCTACGCGTTCAGATGCGGAAATTGAGGCATCGCAAAACACGCCGCGCCCGCTTCCGCCAATTGCTCTTGACACGCGACTTGACAACCGAGTGTTGGATCTGCGGACACCTACGAACCAAGCGATTTTTCGCTTGAATCACGGCGTGTGCCGCCTTTTCCGCGAGTTTCTGGAAAACAACGACTTTATCGAAATCCACACGCCCAAACTCCAGGGCGCTGCTACAGAGAGCGGGGCTTCGGTATTCAAGGTGGATTATTTCAAGGGTAATGCTTTTCTCGCCCAGAGCCCGCAGCTGGCCAAGCAGATGGCCATTTCGGCAGACTTTGGCCGTGTCTATGAGATTGGACCTGTGTTCCGTGCCGAGGACAGTAACACCAATCGCCATATGACCGAGTTCACCGGGCTGGATTTGGAGATGGCATTCCAGGAGCACTACCATGAAGTGGTAGATCTTCTTAATCAGCTCTTTATGTATATCTTCAGCGAGCTGCCCAAGCGCTACGCCGTTGAAATTGCTGCCATCCGTCGTCAGTTCCCTGTGGAGGAATTCTTGGTGCCTGAGAAGCCAATTGTGATCGACTTCAAGGAGGGTATTCAGATGCTGCGTGACGCTGGCTACGAGGTCGAAGACCTGGATGACTTGAGTACTGAAACGGAACGAGCCTTGGGTAAGCTCGTGCGTGACAAGTACCAGACGGACTTTTATGCGCTCGACAAGTTCCCGTTAGACATCCGTCCCTTCTACACGATGCCAGACGCGAAGGACTCCAAGTACTCGAACTCGTATGACTTTTTCATGCGCGGTCAAGAAATTCTGTCGGGTGCACAACGTGTGCATGACGCTAAATACCTGGAAGAGCGTCTGGCTGCGGCCAATATTCCCGTGTCGGCTATGAAGCACTATGTCGATGCATTCCGACTTGGTGCGCCGCCTCACGCGGGCGGTGGTATTGGCCTGGAGCGTGTGGTTATGCTGTATCTGGGCTTGGGCAACATCCGTCGTGCCAGCATGTTCCCTCGTGATCCCAAGCGCCTGGAGCCCTAAGGATATGTTATGCATTGCGTACACGCTGTATGAACCATTGTGACTGGGTATAAGTAGGGAGTAGCTCCAACGCACAATCTCTTCTAACAACTTGCTTCGGTCAGCAAGGTCTTTTTCTGACAACCCCGGGTATCCTTTGATCATCACTGGAGTTAGTTGCCCGACATACCATGTTCCCAGCCAGGCCAAATGCGGAGTGTTTTGTCGCGAACATGTAGGCGATCAAAAAAGATGCGAGAACCTTCCGGGTCCGTAACGCGGTCGTGGGAGCCGTGGTGAATGGCAATGGGGCACTGGATATTTTCAGCGATCTGGTTGAGATGTTCAAGGCCGGATAGAACTGCCAGACCTGTATCCACTCGAACAAGACCGTGGTAGGACTGGTTGTCTTTGCGTGCGTAAAGCTCGACCCTGAATCAGCATAAATAGTGGAAACGTACATAGGGTCATCAGACAGGTTACCACGGATCGCACGGATCAAGCCAAGTCGACCGGCGAAACACGAGAGGATGCGCCCAATTACTTCAATCCATGTTGCAGGACGAGTTTGTGGGGAGATGAGCAGCATGGGCGCTGTGACAGCCACAGCATCAAGGGCCAAAGAGGAAGGTGACGAGTTGGGTGGATGCAAGGCAGCATGGTACACGACGGAAAAGCCACCCCTGCATGTTAGTGTGAGACAACATACATAGAGCCACCTTGGGCTAGGCGATAGCGCTTATCGAAGTGGGGGACCTGGTCGTTTTCATCGCACAGTCGCACATGTGCCATGACCGCGCTTAAAGCCCCCTCATTCAGGCGCAACGTAGGAAGATGCGAATGAAGCCCAGATGATCGTCCGTATGTTGGCATATCGATAGCGATCGTGCGAAATCCGTGCTTCATGTGTACTAATGCTTGAGGAATAACGCGCCCGGAGTACTCATTGATTCCATGAACTAAATACACGTCCGCATTGAGACCGTGCTGCCGAACTGCCTCAGGCATCTCCCAAACATAGTAATTGATCCACGCATCAACGCGCATCCCATTGTACATGAATGGCAGCGGGCGCTTGCCAGAACCAAGGGACATGTCTAGTATAGGTATGCCGCGACTGAGATAGACACGGCGACGAGTGACTTGGACGGCAGGGTTTTCATAGATGGCTTCGCGTTCAGTGGGACTATATGGAATGGCATCGCGACCGTACGTTGCATCACCTAGTCCAATTTTGGCCAGTCCGCAGGCTACAAGGGCTGGCTCTAGGAAAACAAAGTATACTTCCCATGCCAACCAACTCAAGAAGTCCGACATGTCCAAAGCTAAATATCGGCCCGATCGGCGTAAGCCTTTGATTCGGCTTACGCTTTATCGAATTCTAATTACACTTACGCCTGCAGCGCAACGCGGTCGTGCACAGCTCGCAGTTCCAACGCAGCTTGGTGGATATAGTGCGTCAGGCGCGAAGCCTTGTGCTCCGCCTTGAGGCACATGATCGTAAAGGTAAGGGCGTTATCCTTAATCGCGTATGCCACACCAAAACCTTTTGGCGTCACTTCACCGAAGCCCCAAGCATCAAACATGTCCGAGCTGATTTGAGACGTGCTGAGGATCCAGGTGCCGCTAATCGCATTCATGGGGTCTTTAAAAAGGGCTGGCACCTCCTCGCCCTCCTTGATCAGGCGCTTGAGACCAAACAAGTGGCGGTCGACACCCGCACCTTCTGACGCTTCCTTGGCGTACTTTATGTGCTGGGCAGCAGCGGCTTGGAACTTGCTCAGGCGCTCAGCATCTGACACATTTGGGTCTTCCATGGCCTTACAGAAAGCCAAGCTCTCTACACTCGTGCTGCGAATCGTCTCCGTGCGACCCAGCTTGAACTTGCGCGTTTGAGCGGCCTCGTAGGTAGCGCAGGGGTGTCCATAAAGCTTGTAAAAGCCCAGCTGGATACACATCTGCGCCCATGCATCCGGTGAGCACTTGTACGATTTGATTGCGCTTTTACCGTAGGCCGAGAAATCAAGCACCGAGATGTCTTGACCGTCCATCAGTTCAACAAAGCCCGCGCTCGCATCCTTAGCAGCCTTCGAAATCTCAGGACTGACCTTGATATCGAGGCGTTCAGGCTCGTCCAGTACAGAGCCCGAGCTCGTTCCAGTAAGGTCAATTTTGCCGGCCTGGAGGGCAGCGAGCATAAAGTTGTTTAGACGCAGCGTCTGAGTGCCGTCCATCATCGAGTGCTCACCGACGTATCCCGACATGCCATTGTCGAAGACAATGATCTGTTGCTTGTCAAAGAAACGATTTTTGCCATCACCCCCATAAACACAGCGCGCACGTTCTTCGAGAGTTACCGGGTCTGTAGCGTCCAAGGATAGCACGATAATGCCGCTTTCGATTTTTTCCAGCATCTGACGATTGTGCTCGGCATTTGGACCTGACAAAAGGGCTTCACGGTTCTTCACCCACTCGTCACGGTTGGTGATGGAAAGAGCACCGATCGGAGATTCGGCCGTCTTTTGGGTTTGGGGGTCATTCACAATGCGCTCAAGCTGCACCTCGATTTCAGAAAATGTCAGTTCCCTTCCGGTCTTGGGGTTGACGAGATCCACCGCGAAAAAGTGGCCATTGCGAATCACAATTGCATGATTATGCGACGAAGGCTCAAAGCCCTTAGAGACATCTTCGTCAGCGACGGGAATACGCGATGAGTTGAACATCCACTTGTACGGAGCCATACACATGAATCCTGTCTTTGTCTTTTCCGGGGCAAGCTGCTCAGTGACAAGGAGGTGACGGAAAGCCAGCATAGACTTGAGCAATTGCGCACCGCGCACCACGCCCGTCTTCACTCTTGGATCCGGTTTGTGAAGATAAAAGTAACTCGAGAAAGGCACAACAGGATCACGGTAGGTCATGTACGCAGCAGAGAGCCACCAGTCCGACAGCCAGTTTTCGCGGCCTTCAGCTGTGGCACGCTTGGTAAGACGTTCTTGAAGGGTGTTCATAAATTGAGCATCTTTACCGGTCAGAGCAGAGTCGACAGCAGCCTTCGTCACTGCCTCTGTTTCGTTCGAACTTTGTAGAGGCAGTGTGGAGCGTAAATACTTCGTCAATGTCTGCTCCAGTGGTGGTACAGGGAGCTGAGGCAGCAAGGCCTGGCCGGAGTATGTCGGCTTGGCATTGGTTGAGGAGGCACGCATTGTTTGAGAGATTGATTTGGTGGAAGTGTTGGACAGCGACCGGTGAGCAGAAAACGATGGGACCCTTGACAGATATTGAGCGCCCATATGAACCGGCGAAGGACACGTAGGCGTTCAGGTTTAGCCTAGCTTTTAGAGGCCCCTCTGGCGTTCGGTCCAGCGAATGCCGGTCCTCTACCAAATTCCATGTGGAGTATGCACGTGGCAGCGTGCTCAATGCGTCTTGCAGCGCAAGCGGGGAGCAGCGGCAGCTGTGCTCCAAGGTTAGTGAGCTACTTCAAACTGTGATCTAATAATGGAGAACCCGTTGAAGGAGATTGATGGTATTGTCAAAGGCCTTGTTCGTGCCAAGGATGCAACACAGCAACGTGAATGCCTGCAGAAATACTATACGGAGAACGCCTCATTCGACCATCCCATGTGCGCGGTGGCGTCCTCGAAGAATGTACGTAAACTGTCTCTGATATTAAGTCTCGCGATTCAGGTTTGCTCCAAATTTACCAGTGGCTTCGCATCATGTTCATGGATACTCTTATTGAGGTCCACTCTACTGGTACGTATAGGTACTATCACTAATATACAGCCTATGATGAGAAGAACCAGCGTATTTATGTGGATGCAACACAAACACTCCGGTGCAATCTCTCATTCATCCGTGCTTTGCTGGCACCAAAGGCTAGACTTCTTGTGGTGTTGACCCTTGTTCAGGGAAATGACAAGAAGTTCTACATCTCGCGTCAAGAAGACTTGTATGCTGTGCAAGAAATGCCGGGAGCAGTTCACTCTATTGTGCAACAGAGCATTATAATGATCAAGCTTATTGTCGGGCTGCTAATCATGTTTTACGTGGCATTGTTCCAATTTTTCGGTATTTGGGTACCTAAATCGGTATCAGCTTAATATAGACACATTAATGTTGAGTTATAGACGCTTGCCAAGAACCATAAACCTTGCAACATGGTTCGCTGCACGGGTGCACAGACATGCTGCCATAGATGTGGTGCTAGTGGAATCAAGGTTCTACGTAAGCATCGGTGATTTGATCGGGACTCTTTGGCCAATGACAGGCGCGAAATAATGGGGATCGCTAGTTCACGGATTTTGCGGAGCAAGTCCACCCGCTAGCCTCCCTAACAACGCATTGGTACCAGTGCAGGATTGTGTGACAGGTACTTCGATAAACCCCGTGGTGGTTCATTATTGCTGAGGTTTTGTGATAAACACTAGTTAATAACCTGGCTCGAATTTCGAGCGCGTGTACGGGCCCTACTTATCGACGCTTGTGCTAAGGTTTCTACAAGCAGTATCACTCCTGCTATTTATTCACTATGCCTACTGGTGATAGCGAAAGTGCAATAAACACAAACGAAGAATTTAATGGTGCTCCAGGCCGTTTCCGTGACACGCGTCGCAAGAGTGAGTTCAGTAATCCATTAAATGACTTGCGACGATTCTTGCAGACACATATTGTTAGCGGAAAGAGCGAGAAAACGCTTTCTAAGAAAGATAAGGATGCGGCGAAACATGAATGGTCACGAAACAATCATGTGCGGGGAACCGATTCGCCACCTTGGGGAACATCAACTCAGGGCATATCCAAAAAGTACGGCAAATTTGGCAAGACGCTTGGCACAGGTGCGGGTGGTAGGGTTCGTATCGTGCGCCGTTCCAAAGATCACGAGACTTTTGCTGTAAAAGAGTTTGGAGCCCGCAGAGAGGATGAACCAGAGAAGGACTATGTGAAGAAAGTAACGGCTGAATTCTGTATTGGTAGCACTCTTCATCACATCAACATTATCAAGACTCTGGATATCATTCGAGACTCTGGGATTTACTACGAAGTAATGGAGTATGCGCCGAATGAAATGTTTGCTGTGGTTATGAGCGGGAAAATGGGCTACAACGAAATCAACTGTGTCTTCCGCCAGATTGTGGATGGTGTTGATTATCTTCACGGACTAGGTCTAGCTCACAGAGATTTGAAAATCGACAACTGTGTCATGACGTCCGATGGTATTGTGAAAATCATTGATTTTGGTACGGCTACTGTCTTCCAGTCTCCAGGGAAAAGTTCAGTTCTAGCTACTGGTATTGTTGGCTCTGACCCCTACCTTGCCCCAGAGGTTATATCTAACCAGCTCTATGATGCAAGAATGACAGATATATGGAGCTTGGCCATTATATACATGTGCATGATCCTGCGACGTTTCCCTTGGAAGATACCTGATCGTGAGAAGGATCCAAGTTTCAATATCTTTTGTAATGCTCATCCTGAATTGCTGATTTCTACTTCAAGTACTGCTACCCAGCAGCTAATTGATACTGTTGATCAGGATAATCCTGAATCACGCTATGGAGCTGTGCTTACAGCTACAGAAGCGGATCAGGTGTACCACAAGTTTACTGGGGAAAACCCCTCCATAATTCCAACGGCGGCTGAAGCGGGCTATGTTCTACCAGGGTCCAACTCGATCATCGACTCTGCACCCGTGTCACCAATTGCGTCAAGACCTGATGGGTCAGTCTCTGAGCAACAGTCCCATGATGACGGCGACGAAGAGAATTTGGCAACACCTACCGCTGGTGATGATGAAGCTGTTTCTATGGCAACAACCCCTACTGATAAAAACTCCAAAGATGACAGCGTAGTTGCACCAGATGATCCTCAGCCGAGAGCAGCGGACAGCATCTTCCGTTTCTTGCCTATCCGATCAAGAAACTGCCTGACACGTATGCTTATGTTCGATCCCATGCAGAGAGCAACGATCGGGGACCTTTTACGAGGACGAAAGTATGGTGGAAATGATGGTCCTATTTCGGCTACCATGTATGCCCACCAACAGCAAGCTGCTGAAGCTGAGTTTTCTCCCAAGGCGTATCCTCAGGATGGAAATGTTAGACTACATCAAATGTCAGGGTTATCTGTCTACGTCGACGAGTTTGAGAATGATGAAGATTTCGGTGATGAGTGGCTTAAGAATATAAACACATGCTCCCACTGGCGCCACCAACCGTCCGATCAAAGTTCCTCGTCCTCTCCGCCCACAAAGCCGGCTTCGAAGCCTATTGCGCAGGATGAGAACTGTTTCTCAGATATGGGATTCAGGTCCTTAAACGACATTGAAGAGAAGCCAGCGCTGCGCCCCCTGTTGAACCACGCACATACCACGGCCCCCACACAAGAAAACAAACGTCGACTATTTCATCGCTAGGTTCGTCGAGCAGCTGGGGCATGTGGAGATAGGTACGAGATAAATTGGCCTGTACGTTCCCTAGGGAGCGCGCATGTATACGCTTTCTGATTGGATATATTGTGCAGTAGAAGCATGCCAAACCATAATCTATGCACAGCCCTGTGGGTGAGGAGCAAGTGAAACAATTGGAATGTACTAATACTTTCTTTAGTGTACTTTCTTAAGTTGAGTCGCGTCTCACTGACGGTACCCGCGACGGTCATGAGCAGCGGAGGTCAATCTATGGTACCACAAGGGCCTCGTCCGCTCAATCAGGATGACCTGTACATGGTTAATCATCAGAGTGGACCCCGGCCTCTAGGAATGTCAAACCAATACGACACCCAGGATACGGGTTATGCTGCATTGGGTGCACCTTATTTAAACCAGAATGGCCACAATGATTCTACAGCTCAGGGATACTATGGAAACAACATGGGATATGAGCATGATAACCAGAGCACTCAGCACCTGATGGCTGGTCAACAAGGCTATGATGGCCAATATATGGCACAGGACCGAAGTCATTATGCTTCGAGCAATCAGAACAATTATGCGTATGGCGCACAAAACGCGGCCTACCCTGCCGCAGGAGCTGCCGCTCCCACTGGTACTGAGAATGATGCCTTGACTAGATACCATGATGCCACCAGTGACAAAGATGGAGCCTTGGGCACCAGCCGCCCCAAATCTCGCAAGTGGCTTTGGTGGCTTATTGCTGCTATCGTTCTTATTTGTGTCATTTTAGCTGCTGTTCTTGGTGGTGTGCTTGGATCCCGTTCGTCCAATGATGATGACAATGACAATACAAGTGCGCCTAATAGCTCGGTCGGGACTGGTAACCCACAAAACAATGTTGCCAGTGCTTGGCCCAGGAATGTCGTGGATGCTGCTTCAAAGGCTGCTTCGAACGGTAAAACTGACAAGCTTGCCTTCACTGGCACAGACTTGTACGGCAATCCTATTTATTCCAGTGACGCCAACACTGCGAAGCCAAGCAAGGGTAGCCAAGTTGGTTCATGTGGAAATGACCCATGGAAGGCAACAAACAATCTCAACAATGGTCGCCCTGGCCACCCTCGTCTTATTGCTCCTCAGTATCAATGGGATTGCCTGCAAAGCAAGATCGAGAATGATGCTTACCTGACCGTTTGGAACTACACTATCTTCCAAAATGCTACCAAATGGCTAGACGAGGATCCCGTCACGTACGACGTTGATGGTGGTCTCACACTCTCCGGCATTCTTGATGTGTCCCGCATCGTGCAACAGCGTCTTAAGGCCTGGGCGTATGCATGGCGCCTAACCAAGGATACTAAGTACCGGGATCGGGCTTATAAGGAATTGAGTGTGGCTGCTGGAAACACCTCGCAGCCTTTTGGTGACGGTGCGACTCGCTGGAACCCTCCGCACTTTTTGGATACGGCTGAGATGATCGCTGCATACGCATTTGCGTACGATTGGATGTATGATGCGTGGGACGATCAACAAAAGTCGTACATTGTCGATTGGATTGTCACTTTCGGATTACAGCAAGGTCTCGACATGTACAACAACGGCTCGGCATGGTGGTCGCAACCACAGAGTGGAAATGGCAACTGGAACTGTGTATGCAATGGAGGTCTTGTCTTTGGTGCTTTGGCTATCCAAAATGATGTTCAAGGAGCCGCTAAGGATACGACAAACTCGATTCTCCAAAAAGCGCTAGACAATGCGAAGCAAAATTGTATGCGCGGTGTTTACAAGGACGGTACTTGGTCGGAAACCCCTAATTATTGGTACTTTGGCACTAATGGTCACGCTCGTATGCTTTCTGCCTTGATCACAGCCACTGGCTCAGATCAAGGGCTTATGGCTAATAATAAGAATTGGTACAAGACTGGCGACTTCCACATGTATGTTACTGGTAATGCAGGCATGTTCTTCTATGGTGATAACGGTCCGAACAAGTTCTCCACAACCGCGAACCAGTTGTTCTTGTTTAGCCAACAGACGGGTAATCCTGTCTATGCGCTGTTCCAACGTGACCGCGCTGATGCTGCTGCTGATCCACTCAGCATGTTTTGGTACGACACTTCGTCTAAGGGAGGATTCTACAATGGTCTGGCCCTGGACAAGTACTTTGACAACAAGGAGGGTAGCTGGGTGTCCATGCGCAGCTCGTGGACGGACATGACTGGCAATTACATTGCCATGAAGTCCTCCAACATGACTGGTCACCAAACCCACGGAGATCTTGATGCTGGCGACTTTGTTATTGATGCTTTGGGTGTTCGCTTTGCAGGTGAATACGGCAGTGATAACTACTTGTCGAAGAATTACTTCGCTTCTGAGGATGATGGCGCTGATCGTTGGAAGTATTTCCGGAAGGGCACACAAGGTCAGAACACTATTGTCATTGGACAACAGAACCAAAACGCGAGCTGTCTTCCCACCAACAAGTTTGAATCAAGCAACGATGCGCAGAATGGCGATTTGAGCTTTACTCCCGGGGAACAGTCGACGGCATACTTTGTTACAGACATGAGTCAGTGCTATGCACAATCGCCCGCTGGATCAGTGAAACGAGGCATTCGTTTCTTGAAAGGACGACGTCAAATGCTTATTCAGGACGAAATCAAGAAGCCTGGTAAGCCTATTGAATGGCGTGTGCAAACCAACGCTACAGTCACTCTTTCGAAGGATAAGAAAACAGCCACGATGAAGATTAAGCAAGTCAGGGACCCCAATGCACCTAAAGACCCTCTCACGGCAAACATTGATGAGGTAACAATGCTTGCCACTATCACTTCGCCTCAGGATGCTACATTTGATGTTAGACCCGCTTATGACAAGAGCAAGTCGGCACCGAACTACTACTACGGAGCCGATGTGATTCCGCCTCAAGATAAAGACGATGCTGGTAATCCCATTCAGCCTGAGGTTCTGGATTATGAAGCCAGTGTTCTTTCGATCGCGCTTAGTGGGAACAATGATGCCAACATCCAAGTGTGGTGGCAACCTCAGTATAGCCAAACGACAGATGCCGACAAGGCACCGCCGAAGAATGTGGCATTGGATCAGTGGTCGCTAACAAGCCACTAGAGAATTTTCATTGGCGTGTCATGCAGTCGATATAACTATTCACTACATAGACGGGATATTAGATTTATGTTGATTCAACTAGCTTACAGTGAATTGGAGCCATATTACACAGGCCTGTAGGCATGCCGAGAACTGGATAATAGATGACTTACGTGATTACGCGGGAGATATGACCCTGTGTGAAGGAACGTGCATATATTGAGCCAACGATCTTCGAAAATCTCCAACACGGGCAGTGCGAACCCTTGCGTCCCAATAACCGCCCGGAAAAGTGACCGACACGTTTATTATCTCATGCCTAGGTGATACTGTCATGTAATATTGCACGAGGGTCAGAATAGGACAAATCAGCTTCGTCGAAAACTGCATGCGTTGACTAAATGCAGCTACAATGTTCAAGCACTGGTTCCGTGTGTGATTACTAAGAGTAGCCAAAACCTAATACTGCTAAGGTGACAGTTATCCGGCCGGCACCAAAGTCGTCGTACAGCTTGCCTTCCATCAATACCGTCTGAGCTCGTCGTTCCTAGGGCTAGCCTAGAGAGATATAGTTCAGGACGGTCAACATGGATCATCCTCTGTCTTATGTCCTCAAGTTACCTCCGCCTTCGGAGGGTGTATCTCTTGGTGACTATATCGCAGCCAATGTAACAGATAATGGTAAGGCATCAACCCTGATCGATTGCCTGCCGTCGACAAATAAGCGAGCACTGATCTCGCCGGACTTGTCGCGACCGCCTCTAACGCACCGTATGTTGAAGCAGTTCATCACTTCCTTCTCGCTGCCCTCGACCGTGGGAAAGAAGCCTCTTCAACTGAATGACCGCGTTATGATGGCCCTCCCGACCGGCCCTGAGAATGCTTTGGCTTTATTGTCTATTGCTACATATTATAACTGTGCTCCTGTGAATGCGAGCTGCACCGCGGATGAATTAAAAGACGATGCTCTTCGGCTAGGAGCACGCGCCGTTATTTCCACGCAAGAGTCGATTGAACGTCTCGGTCTTGACAGACTTCACAACGAGTATGGCCTCGAAATCTACTTTGTCGATCCCCGGCCTTCGGGCGCTGCTGGTTTGTTCGATATCAGCATGTATGGCGAAGAAGACCCTGCCTCTCGTCAACGTCCCCCGTCGACTCCTAATGGCCTTAAGAATCACGCACTAGTTCTACACACCTCGGGAACTTCAGGTAAGAAGAAGGTTGTCCCTTATACATTGCGTCACTTGATTGTAGGCGCTGTGTGTGTCATGCAAAGTTGGAACCTGCATCCTGAACAGGTCAACATGAACATGATGCCCTTGTTCCACGTCGGTGGTATTTTGCGTAACCTCTGGGCCCCAGTACTTTCTGGTGGTAGTACCATTCTGTGCAGTGGCTTTGATGCAAACGCCTGGTGGACATTGGCCACACAGCTTGGTGCCACTTGGTATTACGCTGCTCCGACGATGCATCATGCTATCTTGGCATCTAAGCCCTCAGACGTGGACCCTGCAACTCAGCTGAAAATCAACATGATCTGTAATGCTGCCGGTGGTTTGCTTCCGTCGCTTGCCAACGAGCTTCGTGCTACATTCAACTGTACTGTTTTGCCATCGTACGGTATGACAGAATGTATGCCCATTGCATCTCCGCCTATGACGTATCAGCTGGAGCGTCCTGGTTGCTCAGGTATTGCTTGCGGTCCAGGACTCAGTATTCGGGACCCACTTAACATTGAAAATGAGCTGGAAGTTGGCAAGACAGGTAACATTTGCGTTCGTGGTTTGCCTACCTTTAGCGGTTATGAAGTTGAGGGTAGCAGAGAGCTGGACAATTCGATGTTCTCTTCGGAGGGCTGGTTCGATACCGGTGACTGTGGACATATGGATCAAGATGGTTACCTTTATATCACCGGTCGTTCGAAAGAGATTATCAACAAGGGTGGTGAGGTCGTTTCACCTTTCGAGGTTGAAGAAGCCATCACTCAGGCCTGCAAGGACCGGGTCAAGCAAACTCTTTGTTTTTCCATTGAACACAAAGTTCTGCAGGAGACGATTGGTGTCGTTATTGTTCCTCAGCCCGACCAGCCTCGTATTGGTCTGAGCGAGTTGCAAAATTCGCTGCGCAGCCATCTGCACCCCTCTAAGTGGCCGTTTGCGATTGTTTACATGGATGATCTCCCGAAAAACCAGGCTGGTAAGCCTCTTCGTATTAAGCTGGGTTCTCGTCTTGGTATTGGTCCATTGTCGGATGATGTCCCTGCGATGGATCGACACTTTGAGGCCAAGGCGCCTAGCAAGGAGACTCCGCTTTCGCGCCCAATTCCTTGCTCGAGGATCACTGTGGATGTGCGTGCAGTCCAGCGCGCTTGCTACCGTATTCCTGGCGTTCTTGATGCTGCAGTGGTCCAACAGCGCGACCGCTCGCCCATGGCGTTCATTCAAGTCCAGGAAGATGCTGAATTTGACGCCTCAGATATTGATCGTGCGTTGGGTCAAATTCTCCATGGATACGTTGTGCCGAACCCGCTGCATGTCTTCCGCCAGCCTTTGATCAAGACGAATGGTGAATATGACTTTGCCGCTATGGAAAACATTGTTCGCGAACAAAATGCAGCGTCCATGTCACAGACCTCGATTCTTGTGCGCGACATCATCGCCAAGTTGCTGGATCTTGATTCTGGCTCTATCACAGACGAGTCAGACTTCTTCTTGCTTGGTGGTAACAGTTTGCTGCTTGGTCGTCTCATCTTTATGATCCGAAAAGAGACTGATGTGAACTTGGAAGTATCAAGTCTTTTTATCAACTCCACGGTGTCGAAGATCGCGGCACTCATCGATGAACAGCGTGGTCTGGGTGCTAGTATGGAAGAGCAGGACTTTTATCAGCTGGACGAAAAGGGTGCTGGACTGTACTCATCGTACAATCTTGCGCATGACTACAATGCTGAAAATGACCCGGCCTTCTCGGCGCATGGCTACAAGCCACGCAGCTCGACCTCGCCGCTGGTTTTGTTTGTCCAAGCTATTCCTCTGTTTTTCTTTTATCCACTCAAGGCCGCCTGGACTTGGACGATTATTTTACATGGACTTGCCTTCTTCGCATACTACATTGAGGACTCATTCTGGGAGCGTCTAGGTGCGTTACTGGCGTCCATCGTAATTGCTCGTATCACAAGTCGTATCATTTGTCCCACGGCAGCCATTGCCTTCAAATGGGTGGTGATTGGCCGCTATCGCCCCGGCAAGTACCCGATGTGGAGCAACTATCACTTGCGTTGGTGGATCGTGAATCAGTCGTTGCGTACCAGTGGCCGTGGTATCTTTGCGTTGACGCCCTCTTTGATGAAGTTATACTTCCGTTTGTTGGGTATGCAAATTGGAAAGGGTGTGCAGATCGATTCTCAAGCAAAGATTTGGGAGCATGATTTGATCACGATTCATGATCGTGCTGTGATTGATCGTGCGCGTATTCGTGGCTTTTGTGTGGAACGCGATGGGTACTTCCGGTTAGAGCCCATTGTTATTGGACGTGACTGTGTGGTTAACACATACACGCAGATTTCTCCTGGTGCTCGTCTTGCTGATGGCACTGTGTGGGGACCTCAGTCTTCGTCACACGAAGCTCCGTCACCTGATTCCTATGCAGCCTTCAACCGGATGGCTGTGCCTCAGCCCCACATATTGCTCCGTCTCTTGATCGGTTATCCAGTGGTCATTCTTGTTCGCATTATTTCCTATGTGCCTTGGTTTGCTGCATTGTTCTTGCTCTTGTCTCAGCCATTCAACTTCACCAACCAAGATTCGCTTCACAGTATCATCGCCTGGTATTCGTACCCTAAGCGTATTGGTTACCACTTCCTTGCCCGAATTGTGCGCAAAATTCTGCCTCCGTTGATCAATGTGGTTTGCGGTCTAGTTATCAAGCGTGTGCTTGGTCTGAATAAGGCTGGATCTATGCGCAATGCGAATCAGCTGGTGCTCTTCCGTCGCTGGATGTCCGACCAGCTGCTGAACCAGTACCGGCTTAAGCGCGCCTTTGAGATCATTGGTACTCACTACGAGATGGTGTCCGTCGTGTATCGTGTTATGGGCTCCAAGATTGGTAAGCGCGTGTACTGGCCTGGCTCGGGTATTTATTGCCCTGACCCTGAACTGTTGGAAATTGGTGATGATGTTGTGTTTGGCTCGCGGTCTGAAGTGTTCACCTCTGACTCGATTAGCTTCGATCCGATTCGTATTGGACGCGGTGCTATGATTGCCGATCGTGTGGTTTTGTTGCCTGGTACTACGATTGGTGTGCAGTGTGTTATGGGTTCGGGTGCCCTTGCGCGCCGCAATGGCAACTATGAAGATCGTTCGGTTTGGATGGGTTCGAAGAATGGTGAGGCGGTCAGCTTTGGCAAGTCGCAGGGTGGGCCTGCTGAACTGGGCGAAGATGATACTATTACACCGTTCGGTCGTGCGTATTATAAGCGCCAGGCCAACTACTTTGTGATGCCTTACTTGATGATTGTGGCTCTGAATGTCTTTACGCAGGCCATTGCTGCCGCTTACTGGGCTGGTGGCTTTGCGGCTACGGTGGTGGGCATCCACCGAATCGTCGAAACCTACTATCTTCGGTCCAACTGGCTGTTTGGCGACCACTGGTACCGTCCGGCCTTCCTGTATCTCGCGATTGCCATTTTCTTTGTCGTAATCTTGCCTGGTCAAGCAATTATTTCGCTCGCCTGGGTAGTTGCAACAAAGTGGCTTATAATTGGCCGTCGTCGTGAGGGCAAGTATAACTGGGATATGAGCAGCTACTGCCAGCGCTGGCAGACGCACCTAACACTTCAAAAGCCCGCTATGCAAGGCTATGGTGGCCACATTTTCATGAACCTTTCTGGAACGGTCTACGCTGTCTGGTACCTGCGTGCCCTCGGTGCACACATCGGAAAGGACTGTGCTATTTGGGCTAGTGGCAAGCCGGCGCTTCAGCTGACGGAGCCGGATCTGGTGACCATGGGTGATCGTGTGTCTATCGATGACTGTTCCGTGGTGGCGCATATCAACTCCCGTGGTCAGTTCAGCCTGAATCGACTGCGTATTGGAGATGGCTGTGCGATGCGCACGGGTAGCCGTCTCTTGTCAGGAGCCAGCATGGAAGCCCACTCTATGCTCCTGGAGCATACGCTTGTGGCCTCGGGTGAAATCACAGAAAGCTGGGCAGTTTACGGAGGATGGCCTGCCCGCCGTTTGAAGCTGCGAAACCCTGCGCCAGCTAAGGCATAAATTTATATATACAAACCGCTTCATGTTGACAAATGGTCTAAAATTTCTATATATATGTTTATACTTGTTGATAGTCCAAATTATATGGTCGCTAGTGGTAGCATCCAGCGATATGCAAAAGGCCTAGCAAACTGTGTCACGTGATACATTGTATCCCTGTTGCGGGAGGCTTTCATGACGTGCACCTTGTACCATGGATCTTGACGAGTCCGGTGTGCACGAGGAGGGGTACGTGAGCTTTGTGTTCTTGCTAACATGTCCAGATTCTACAGTGATGAGCCTGAATTCCAAGATGGCGATATTGATGACCCGCTGAATGAGGGCGAGGCCGGAGACGACATGGAACAATATGGCGATGAACAGGTGGTTCACTCGAGCGCTGGTGGCACGGTGCCTCCTCACAAGGACAATATTGGAAAGCCAAATGAGGAGAGGATCACCACGCCTTATATGACCAAATACGAGAAAGCCCGTATCCTCGGCACGCGCGCCCTGCAGATCAGGTATGTGGGAACTGCGTATAGCCGGGTGAGTGCTAACGCTTGCCAGTATGAATGCGCCTGTGCTGGTCCCTACCGAGGGTGAAATGGACCCTTTGGCTATCGCGCAGAAAGAGCTCGCGGCAAAAAAGATCCCGCTGCTGGTTCGACGGTATCTTCCTGATGGTAGCTACGAAGACTGGAGTGTCTCGGAGCTGATTATTACTGAATAATATATAGAAAGATGTATGCTAGTACCGCGTCGTGGGAGGCTCAGTAAGAGCTAGGGAGGGTGTCAAAGAGTGCCTAAAGAGGTGGCAGACACAAAGCTTTAAGGGATGCTGGTGCCTTGCGTAAAATCGGAAACTAGGAGCAAGTGGGACGTGCATGATGCGGCAGTCATAAAGCTGACAGTTGGCCGCGAGTGCTGGGCCCCTACGGACCAGCAGTTGGTAGTCCAAGGGCTACGCCAAGCATATGCCAAGAAAGGGAACTCGGCCGAGATATAGTGGCAGGCAAGGGTAGGGTGTAACCAGCCCAAGAAAGCGTAAACCAAAGGCTTGGCGCACGATTAAAACGCCTCCTTGCCCCCACCAAGAGTGTCAGATCGAGACTGGTGTGTTTCCACACCAACACCCCACTTTTTTCCTGCTAGTTCTCGAAGGATTCATTTGAATGACAACGGAGAGCACCGAGTCCTTGGCATGCCGATGGACGGGTTGTGACAAGGTGTGCGAGAACGCCGAGGTACTCTATCGCCACCTGTGTGACGACCATGTTGGTCGCATCAGTAAAAACAACCTGTGCCTCACATGCTCGTGGGATAAATGTGGCGCGAGTTATGGCAAGCGCGACCATATTACCAGCCACATTCGAATTCATACACCTCTTAAGCCGTTCAGTTGCGCTGTTTGCGGAAAGAGTTTCAAGCGCTCACAGGACCTGAAGAAGCATGGACGCACGCATGGAACAGTGGGTCCTAGCACCAGTGTGCCGGTAAGCAAGGGTGCAGACACGCCTGCGAGTCCCCTTAATATGGATTGTAACCGGTCCCCTGCACAGACGGCGGAGATGTTGGTGCCGCCCGAGTTGCCAGACAATATGCCGACGCCAACCTTTTCAGTTGGGTCTTCTCGTGGATCAAAGTCACCGTCATCATCGCCTCATAATGTGGCGTTTGATTCGTTGAAACGTGATAAGGGGAACTCGGCGGATGGGAGGATGCCTGAGCCGATGTATCCAAGCCTGCCGCGGTATCCAATGTCGCCCAACTACCAGTCATATCCTGTTGCATCTCTTCCAAACGAGACCATGAGCTATCCACCATTACACAGTACGCTGGATGCGCCCTATGGGCCGCCGATCCCGGAAAGTACCAAGCGCCCGCGCTCGTCCGTGGACGACTTCTGGAATGACGTGCGTCGCAAGAGGCTGCAGCCCACGTACGACCCCTCCATGATGGATCGCCTTGATTCGTTGCTGTGTCCTCAGGTCGACCAGGAGTTGAGCGACTTGGACTTGCTACTGAACGAATCAGTGAACTACATCAACAACACATTGCCTGTCGATACACGCAATCTTGCCTTGCCAACGCCCCGGTCCAACTTAGCTGATATGAATGCATGGCTGTTGCAGCTAGGCTCGAATTTGTCTCGGCAGAGTCGGCAAGAGGCCTCATCGGTGCCTATGGACCCGGCGATGCCTCCCGGACCGGCACTTGACTTTGGCCAGAACCTGTCACAGTGGGGCTTGACGAGCATACCAGGGGTGGAGATGGTGCCGGATCTTACGCCGGCAGCGGAGTCTTCGTGGATGATGCCGCAGCTTGCACCGATGGACCGCGGCCTTCAGCCTGTGTACCGGCAGGCACTGCCCCTCACCCGCGCGCCACCAATTTCGTCGACTCGTGATGAAGACATGAATGATGAAGACACGGACAAAGTGAGCGAGGCATACGTACCCAGCTCATCCGACTCCCTACGCGTGCTAGGTCCTGGTGCGAGTTCGCGCGAGCGTCACATGAACCTGGTGTTGAATCTGTTGCTGGCGCTGAACCAGCGAGTATACGTCGATCCCAACACGGGTCACAAGTTGCCAATTAACCGCCACGGATCATGGGCATCGCATCGGCGAAGCTCCGGGCGCCTGTGGTCCTCTAGCACCAAGCGATCCCCACCGGCACCGCCGCCAGCCCCGGCCATGCGCTCGCCGTCAGCCTCGCGTGAGGTGCGGCAGGGCGCCCTACCCAGCATTGCACAATTGTTACGTGATGTGAATATGAATTAGACCCATCTCCTATAGTACCGACATTTGATGGGCAAGGTCCCATGCAGTTTGCAATTGTCCATTGCACACGGCCTGCAGGAATCGTGCACTGATACGCCGCCGCTCAGCGACGGTGTGCGTATTTTGTGCATGTGATGCGATGGAGCGTGCCTGTGCAGTTACGCGAGACGGTATGCCCGCGAGTGCAGCCATGTGAATGCCAAACGACTGCGAGGCAGGCCCCGCAACCAAGCGGTGCAGAAAAACGACATCGGCAGCGTCCAAGTTCTCGTCGTTCCGGTTAGCGATGCGGACGGCCATGTGCATGTTGCACAGCTGCATCGGGTACACGTGCGCCCAGCGCGTGAGAGAGAGGTAGTGTGTGATGAATAGCAGCATCGGCATGCGTGCGCCACGCTCGAGCAGGGAACGCAGTACAGCGTCGGCCAACGCGACGCCATCGAACGTCGAGGTACCGCGCCCAAACTCATCCAGAACAACAAGCGTGCGCTCCGTTGCCGTGCGTAGGATGCGCGCCGTGTCCTCCGCCTCGACCATGAACGTAGATTTGCCATGGAACAGGTCGTCCTGTGCACCCATCCGTGTCACAACAGCATCGAAGCATGTGAGTTCCGCAGCACGGCAGGGCACAAACGCGCCGATCTGCGCCATGATCACGATCAGGGCAATTGCTCGTACTGTGCTAGACTTGCCACCCATGTTCGAGCCCGTGAGCAGCACGCCGCGCGGCGCCTGGCCGCTTCCGTTCGGGCCGCCTAGCACGAGGTCATTTGGTACATAGGCATGTGCAAGGCGCGCCTCACTCATGGGGTGCCGAAATTGCGTGAGGCGCAACTGCTGCGCGCCGGCCTCTGTGCTGGTAGCATGCACGGTCGGGCGCACATACCCAGGCCGCGAGGCGACACGCGCGAGGCTGAAAATCGCATCCAGGACGCCAAGCGCCTGCGCGACGCGGCGCAGCGGCACGTATTCTTTAGCTACGCGTGTCTGAAAGTCGCGGAAAGCTGCAAACGCAACGGCGGCAAGTGACTCGCGATGCCGCTCACGCTGTTTCAACAGCTGCACAATCGTTGGCGTGTGGAAGCGCACGACGCGCTGCGTTGCGCTGATCCGGACCCAGTCCGCTGGGACGTGCGCGGCCTCGGAGCTCCGCACTTCAATTAGATGGTCGACGCCGGACACTTGCGTGTACTGTAGCGCCGGCCGATGCAGGGTGCGGCGCAAGTCTAGCAGGTGCGCTTGCAGAGCCTCGTCGTCAGCCTGCAGTGTCGCCTGCATGTCCTGGATCGCAGGGTATCGCGCCGGATCCTTGTAGAGATGCGGCAGGTCGTTTTTGCGTGCGCGTGGAAGATCGAGGGCGGCGATAAAATGAGACACTGCATCGCGTGCAGCCCCAAGATCCAGCAGGGCATCGTCCAGCAGCGCGCTGCCGGTCAGTGGCAGCTCAGAAAACTCGTGTGTGACACGGTGAAAAGCCAGCAGAATCGTCGCGAGCTCCGACGCGTCAACAAGGCCATGCGTGATACGCACGAGACCACGAGCCACGTCCGGTAGATGCGTAAGAAGCGCAACAGCACGATGCAGAACCGGCTGACGGCGCTCCCGCATGAGATCAACGGCGTGTGCGCGCGCGGCAATCTGCGCCGTATCAAGGAGCGGCCGGCGTACCCACTGCCGCAGCAGCCGGCGTCCCATCGCCGTAGCACATTCGTCTAGTAGCCACAGAAGGCTGCCTGATAGCGTTCCATCTGTGGCATTTTGCAGGACGTCGAGGTGTGCAAGGGTCGGTCCACTCAGCAGCATGCTCGAGCGCTCCGTGAACGTGGCAAAGTTGGCAGGGCAAGTGAGCGCCGACGCCAGTTGAAAGCCACATAGATGCGTGAGCAGGAGCAGTAGTGCACGCTGGACGTCCACAGGCAGCTCAGAGGCCCATGCGAGCGCCTCGCCGTGCAAATGCTCAGCAAGGCCCGGCATCGGCGCTTCGCACGCGCCCACCTCCTCGACACGCCGGTGAGGACCAGCCCACTGCCGAACAAAGCGCCGTGCGCGCTCACAGAGAGTGGTTGCAAGCACAATTTCTTTAGGTGCCAGGTGTGCCAGGCGCGTCTCGAGCGCGGTCAAGAGAGCATCGTCGTCAAATGCATCGTATGTCGCGTTCGAGGAGGCCATATCGATAGCAACAAGACCGAGGCGGGGATGTGCAGCACTGGATTCACCGGCCTCGACGAGTGCGACAATCACCTGCTCGTCGCTTGCGTCCGGCGCCGCAACATCGTCGATCCACGTGCTGGCCGTGTACACATTCGTGAGCGCCCGCGCAAATGGTTGGTGCGCATTCTCCGTCGCCGCCTTGAGCGCGCGTGTCTCTGTTTGCCGGCATATACCGACCTTGTGTCCCAGTGCGAGGAGGCGCTTGACATGCACAGGCATGCGCGGCACAGGGATCATAGCCGCATCCATGTTCTTCTCGCGGAAACACGCAATATTCAGGACCTGGCTCGCCAGATGAGCGTCGTCACCGTAGAACTTGAACTTGTATCCTACTTCAATAAGCAATACCATGCCAGGGTGCGCGCGCTTGAGCTCAAGGATCTGTGATTCGAGCGGGGTGTATACGGGCGCGTTGCTGGGGGGCGCCGCTGTGCGCGCTCGCTTGGGGGGTCGACGACCTGTGTCTGCTGGTCGCGCAGCGCTCCGTACGAAGGACTTCTCTCCTGGCTGCGGCGACGGGGCCGTACCTGCCGCCCCCGCCTGCGCAAAGAACGCACGCAGTGTCGGCTGAGCAGGGCCTGCCATGGTGGCGAAGGCCGTATCATGTGGAGGCGACGCGAGACGAGCGTGGGGCACGGCCCTGGCTGCCACGATGACGCTGCTTGTGGACCGGCATGTACAGTTCATCAAGAAGCTCGAGCAGAAGCGCGATAGCAGCCTTGCCTACCACATGACAGCGCATCTGCGGATGAATGGGGTGTACTGGGGTCTGTGTGCTTTAGAGATCATGCACGCCGGCGACGCACTAGACCGGGACGCGCTGATCGAGTTTGTGCTGAGCTGCTACGACGAGACCACGGGCGGCTTTGGCTCCTACCCATCCCATGATGCACACATGCTCAGCACATTAAGTGCGATTCAGATCCTCGCGCTTAAGGATGCGCTTCCAGTGCTGGGCGAGCGTCGTGCGAGGATTGTGCAGTGTAAGTGCGGCGGCACTGACGATAGTTGTGCTGCAGCTGCAGCGCCCCAACGGCTCATTCCAGGGAGACCGCTGGGGTGAGACGGATACACGTTTCCTGTACTGTGCAGTGAGTGCGCTCGCGCACCTCGGGGCACTCGACCAGCTGGATCACGAAAAAACGATCAGCTGGATTTTGCGGTGTGCGAACATGGACGGCGGCTTTGGTCTCACGGAAGGAGCCGAGAGCCATGCAGCCCAAGGTACGTCTGGGTACTAACGTAGTGTTCACGTGTGTGGCCGCCCTCTCGATTCTACAGGCACTTCACCGCCTTGACCAGGATACGCTGGCGTGGTGGCTCGCGGAAAGACAGGTACCGGGCGGTGGGCTGAATGGGCGCCCTCAGAAGCTCGAAGACGTGTGCTACAGCTGGTGGGTCCTTGCCTCGCTGAGCCTGCTGCAGCGCCTGCACTGGATCGACGCAGACAAGCTGCGTGCTTTCATCCTTTCGGCACAGGATCCCGACGGCGGCGGCATTGCCGACCGCCCAGACAATGTAGCCGACGTGTTCCACACGTTGTTTGGTGTGGCTGGGCTTGCGCTGCTGGGCCACCCGGGCCTAGCCCGTGTCGACCCGACTTACTGCATGCCAAGCACAGTGACTGCGCGGCTGGGTATCACCAGGCCGTTCCATGACCTCCATCGGTAGTTTCTACGGGTTCGCTAGCTACTCGAATCGCGGCTGTCGATATCGCCAAGTACTGCGGGATTTTGGAGCGAAACGCGCAGCATGTCCTGCATCGAGCGAGAGAGGCGCAGCAAACCAGGCTCGTGAATACTCGAGCCCTCGCCGCCAAATACCTCGCCGTCGACATGCACGCTGGCAATACTCTCCTCAGGATCGAGATGTGTCGTCGCGAGAGACTCCTTGCCCACATGATGCTCTGACGTGGCATAGATGCTGGGCATCGGCGCGCTCCCTTGGTCTTGCGCAGGCACCGGACGTGGAGTTTCTTCCATCGTAGTACGAGGCGAAAGGTATGCAGGGAACGACGACGAATCGACAGGGGCATCAGAGGTGCGTGGTGTCATCGGCGCCGGTGAGGGCCTAGGAGAAAGTGGGAACGTTGCAGTCGTAGGCGGCGCCATTTCTTGGGCAAGTCCAGCGGGTTTCGCCGATGGGCGCGTCTCGAAATGAGGCGAAGACGACTGCTGAGGCGATAGCATGGACATGGAGACCCAGGAAGAGATAGAATCCACGATGGGCGGCGTGTTGGTTGCAGAGGTTGAAGTCGGAATTGTCTTGGTTGTACTTGTAGTAACAGGACGCATAGTTGCAGCAGATGATGGGATGGGAGAGGGTGGCAAAGTATGAGGCTCGGGCTTTTCTTGTACCGGCTTGGGCGGCGCCGTGGGCGCAGCAGCGGAAAGCGACCAAACGGGTGGCCTAACCACCGACGACACGGGGGCTCCAGCCATCGATAAGGCAGGTGCCGCAGTCGCAGAGGAAGCAGGCGCTCCAGCTGTCGACAAGGCAGGTGCCGCAGCCACAGAAGAAGCAGGCGCTCCAGCTGTCGACAAGGTAGGTGTTCCAGCCCGGTAGGGAGCAGATGCTCCGGTTGTCGACAAGGCAGGTGTTCCAGTCGCGGAGAAAGTAGGTGCACCAGCTCCTGGTGAGGGAGATGTTCCAGCCGCAGAAGCAGGTGCACCAGTTGTCGACAAGGCAGGTGTTCCAGTCGCGAAGAAAGTAGGTGCACCAGCTCCTGGTGAGGGAGATGTTCCAGCCGCAGAAGCAGGTGCATCAGTTGTCGATAAGGCAGGTGTTCCAGCCCGGTAGGGAGCAGATGCTCCAGTTGTCGACAAGGCAGGTGTTCCTGTAGCGGTGGAAGTAGGTGCACCAGCTCCCGATGAGGTACGTGTTTCAGTCGCAGAAGAAACAGGTGCACTAGCTCCCGGTGAGGTACGTGTATCAGCCGCAGGGGAAGCAGGCGCTCCAACTGCCGGTGAGGTAGGTGATGGTGTCGGACTGAGTAAAGATGGAGCATTGAGCGGCTTGAGCGGCTCTGGAGCGACCGGTGCCGCCACAGAGCCCTCTGAGATACGTGGTGTGGCGCCAGTCTCCAAGGCGGGTTCCGGCAGGGGACGCTCGGAACCTTGTGTAGCAGCGGCAAGAGGTGCACTCTCTGGTGGGGGGGCATCGGAATTGGAGGGGGTCGGCGTCCCCTTTGGTACGGAAGGCGCGCTATGCGCAGGGGCACTCTGGGACGGTGCACGAGGGCCTGCAGCCGGCGCCGCACTTTGGGTAGGAACCTTATCACCCTTCTTGAAGAAACCAAAGAGACCTTGCTTGCGCTTTGGCTCTCCGACCGATGGCTTGGCACTGGCAGCCGTGGTCGCTTTACTCGTGGATGGCCGCACCGGCGGCGGTTGCGTTGACGTAGGCGGCGGAGGGGGACGTGAGTCGGACGATGGCGCAGATACTGGTTGGCTTTCTTGCGGTGGCTTGGGGGCCGCAGAAGCACGCCGCCATCCAAAAAGCCCGCGTCCTTTGGACGGCGTCGTAGGCGGCGGTCGAGGTGATAGGGGTACCTCCTGCTGCAAGGGCGACTTGGATCGCGTAGGCGCCTGTGCAGGACGTGCCTGGCTCGGAACTGATGCACCTGATGCACGGGGCGGCATCGAGGTCGAGGGGGGGGCACGGCCCTGCTCACCCATGGGCTCACTGACCGACTGCGACGGGGATGAGGGGACAGATGTACCGCCCATGGGTGAGGGCGATAGCGACCGTTGTGGTGTGTTTGATATGTCTGATGTCGGTCCACTTGCTCGATCGACACTGTGCCACGATTGCATGAGTGAGCGGGGCTCAGGTTGCGATGCCGTCTGCGGCAAGTCCATCATGGATTGCATGGGCGATGAGGATGCAGCAGGACCATACACGCCCGCATCACGCAGCATATCCTGGTTGTTCGAAAATGCAGGGCCGCGCAAAGAGTTGCCCATGGCAAACGTGTCGCTCTCGACGGACTTTGCAAACACGGGGTAGGGACTCTCGGTCACGCCTACGCCCATACCCTCTGGGACTTGTACGCGAGAGATAGGAGATTCGCTCAGGGCACTGGCACTGGGCCCATAAAAATGCGACATGGGCGTTGCAGTCCCCGTCCAGTCAGACGGCCTGTTTGAGCTACGCAGAAGGCTCGTCTGGCTGGCATTTGTTGGGGAGCCAAGGCCATTTGGTGATTGAGGTATGCTGTAAACGCCGTTGAGATGTAGCGAGTCCATCGACGGTGATATAGGGCGGCTCGCAGAGTAGGGCGAGGACATGCCAGACTTGCGTGAATAATACGAGACTTCGTTCCTAAGCACATCCAACTCGCGAGTATCCTTGAAGCGACGGCGGCGAGGCGTCTGTGCAGAGGTCGCCGTGGGTATCGCGCTGCTAGCTGCACGGGGAGTTGAAACCGGCGCCTGCTTGTTGGGCTGGGAGGAGTGTTTGGACATGCTTAGTCCCGAGGCAAAACGACGCCCCTTGACACCCGTCGAGCGCGGCGTCAAAGGGGGAGGCGCTGCAGTTTGTGCCATCACACCAAGCCAACGGAGGAAGCAGGGCAAGCAAGCGCAGATCTAGTAGGAACTACTTAGCGCGACGGTGCCAGCTCGTGTCGCGAACGCTTATGCACAGTCGCGTGCTGTGCACAGGTTCCGCGTCTGCGCGTTTCAGAAAACGGTGCTGGAGGCGGACCGTGCATGCGCTTGCTTCACTGATTGGTCTATAGACAGGAGCGTGCACCCCGATTCGAACGAAAGCTTCTTACAGGATCGGGTGCCGTTCCAAGTGAACGGCCCTATCAACGGGAGCCAGAGCCCTCGTCGTCCTCTTGTTCGTCCTCTGTGGGCGGCAATGGAATAGCACCGTAGCCGTCAAGCTGCGCAGAAGCCAGGCGCCGCTCTTGTCGCTCCAACTCTTCGTCCGCGGCGAATTGATCGGCGGCAGCAACGACCTCTGCAGCACTGCGACACCGGCGGTACTTGGCCAAGTACGCCTGGTTCACAGCAGGGAAGTTTTCGCCCCAAGCGAACTTGGCCAGCAGCTGGTCTCCCTGTGGGCGCGCCTGGCAGATGTAGAAGGCCGCAGCAAGGGCCTCTACGCAGTTTAGCTTGAACAGCTTGCCATAGTTGACAGGGTTCGTTGCCATGAGGCGCGGGAGAAGTCGCTCATGCGGGCTTTTGATTTTTGAAAAGGGTATCTCGTCGAGACGCGCCCAGCTGCACTCGACTACGGCTACGCCATACTCCCGCAGGATCGGCCCGTCGGCCGGAGACAGCACCTGCGTGGCATGCGGCGTAAGTACGATCCCGCGGAATCGCTGGCCGACTCGCATTTCCTTGATGAGGCCGTGGCGAGACAGCTTCTTGCCGCTACAGCGCCGCGGGTCACAGTGCTGGAAGTCCCACATTGCAACAGGCACCGATGTGACCAGGTCCGTGGCCGAACCTAGCCCATCGTCCTCGGCGGACGAGGAGTCGGAAGTCGATCCCACGTCTTCCGAGTCAGATTGCCTGTCTGTCGTCTCGCTCGTGTCAGAATCCGTAGACCCCGTTACAAAAGCATCGGGCTGGAGATGAGGATCTGAGAAGGCATATCGATCATATCGATCAGGACGACGTGGCCGGGGACCACGGCCCCGACTTCGTCCGCGCGCGCGCGCCTGCACCATCCCAAGGAACTACCCCGCCTGCCGTTGGCTCAATTTCGCAGAGCGACCGCCGACACAGGGTTGGCTCGGCTTGATCGAGCCGGTTCACGTGATGCGGGGGGCCGGTCTAGCTAGACCAACGCGGTTCGTGATTGGCAGGAATTTCTATTGAAGCTTTAGAATATGCCACTCGAGTCAACGAGATACGCTTAGTTGCCGACGCGGAGAAGCCGTGTATATATACCCCGGCTCCGGACATAATTGGCCCCTTGTACCTCATCACTATGCCGTACGACCCAAAGAACGAAGACGCCATTTTCCAGAAGGAGGTCGAGCAGGTGAAGCAGTGGTGGAAGTCGCCCCGCTTCGAGGGCGTGACCCGCCCCTACTCCGCCGAAGCTGTCGTTTCCAAGCGTGGCACCATCCGCCAGCAGTACCCCTCGAATGAGCAGGCCAAGAAGATGTGGGCCCTGCTGGAGGAGCACGCTGCGAACAAGACCACCTCGCACACCTACGGTGCGTTGGACCCCGTCCAGGTGACCCAGATGGCCAAGTACCTCGAGACCGTCTATGTCTCTGGCTGGCAGAGCTCGAGCACGGCCAGCTCGACCAACGAGCCCGGCCCCGACCTGGCGGACTACCCGTACAACACGGTCCCTAACAAGGTGGAGCACCTGTTCATGGCCCAGCTCTTCCACGACCGCAAGCAGCAGGAGGCTCGCCGCAACATGACCCCTGAACAGCGCGCCAAGACCCCCTATGTTGACTATCTGCGCCCCATTGTGGCTGACGCCGATACGGGTCACGGTGGTCTCACTGCCGTGATGAAGCTCACCAAGCTCTTTGTCGAGAAGGGCGCGGCCGGTATCCATATTGAGGACCAGGCGCCCGGCACCAAGAAGTGCGGCCACATGGCTGGTAAGGTGCTCGTGCCTATCTCCGAGCATATCAACCGTTTGATTGCCATTCGTCTCCAGTACGACATTATGGGTGTGGATAACCTTGTCGTAGCACGCACGGATTCGGAGGCTGCCACCCTCATCACCACCAACGTGGACGAGCGCGACCACGCGTGGATCCTGGGTACCACCAACACTGAGCTGCGTCCTCTCGTTGAGGTCATGAACGAGGCCGAGCGCAGCGGCAAGCGCGGTGACGCCCTTCAGGCCGTGGAGGACGAATGGACCACGAAGGCCAACCTCTGCCTCTTCTCGGATGCCGTCGTGGCTGCCCTCGCGAAGAAGGGTGCCTCGGAGCAAATTCAAAATGAGTTCAGGGTGGCTGCCAGCAAGCTCTCGAACAAGGATGCCCGCGCCCTGGCCGCCCGCTACGGTGTGGATGAGAAGAGCGGCTTCTTCTGGGACTGGGAGGCCCCCCGCACCCGCGAGGGCTACTACCAGTACCGCGGCGGTACGCAGTGCGCTGTGAACCGTGCTGTGGCCTTCGCTCCCTACGCGGACCTCCTCTGGATGGAGACCAAGTCGCCGATTCTCGCGCAGGCCAAGGAGTTCGCTGATGGCGTGCGCTCCGTTTACCCCAAGCAGTGGCTGGCGTACAACCTGTCGCCTTCGTTCAACTGGGACGCTGCCAAGCTCTCTGAGTCGCAGATGAAGGACTACGTCTGGGACCTCGGTAAGCTCGGCTTCGTGTGGCAGTTCATTACGCTGGGTGGTCTGCATTCGAATGCCTACATTAGTGACCTGTTTGCCAAGGGCTTCGCTAAGGACGGCATGAAGGCTTACGTCTCGCTAGTCCAGCGTAAGGAGCGCGAGATTGGCTGCGATGTCCTGACCCACCAAAAGTGGTCGGGCGCCGACTTTATCGACAGTCTTCTCAAGACCGTCACTGGTGGTGTCTCTTCGACGGCTGCCATGGGCAAGGGTGTGACAGAGACTCAGTTCAAGTAATGGACCCGATAGACCGTGTAGAGACATACCTTGCGAGCCAAGTGGAGTCTGTCTGCTTAGGTAATTTCACTAGGTCACCAGGCGCTAGGCCTCTTCTCTTTGCACCGCGCTTCGGCCTAGGTCGTGTGGTGTGGTCAGAAGCTAGGTGCAAGTCAACGTGCAGGAATATGTGGTCGATGGTGCAGATGATGCGTGTGCGCGTGGCGCTTAGCGCTTTCATGGCTCCCCGTTATACCCTTCCTCGCCACGCGGCAGCCATGGTGCCTATGACTCGGTCGAGCAGCGAGCTGGGCGCTCCTTCCCTGGTGCAGCGTCTATGGCACTATTTCTTTGGTGGGAGTGGGCCGTCCGATGGGCTGGCATTGGCGCAGGTTGATGCGCTTCCGTTGCCGACGCCCGCACCGTCAGCGCCTGTATGGCAATGGGATGGCCTTCTGCTTGCTGCGCCGAAAAAGAAGGTATCTCACTCGCGTAAAGCTATGCGAGCTGCAAACAAGGGTCTCAAGGACCGCGTGGGTATGTATACTAGAGATTGACTCGCAGATTTGGTCCATTGCCCAGGCTGCCACCGCCCCAAACCCCAGCATCATTTGTGTGAGCATTGCTATGGCGATCTCGCGCGAAGTCTCAAGCGTAGCGCTGCCAAGGTGGATCCATAGAAATGTAAATCATGCGATAAAGCAGTCTGTGTTCATCAGCCACATGGCGTAAAGGCAATTTGGCCTATTTCTTGGTATGTGGAGATCGGTCGCTACGTCTAGCGCGTCATGCTTCGAAATCTCGCGGGCGAGCAGCGGGGTGCAGCCGTCGCGCTGAGACGCGCCGTGCACGGAACAGCGACATACAGTGCCGCCCATTTGCTATTATCACCCATACACAACACCAAGCACTACCATGGTGTTTCAGGCTCATCTACCAAGACGCTACGGTATCTGACTACCGATGCGACTCAGCAGGGCGAATTCGCCGACGCCGACCGTACGCAGACTGCACTTACGACAGAGATGATTCCATTCATGAAAAAGTACCCGCTCCCTCAGGAAGACGCAAAGCAAATAGTCCGGCTCATCGCGAGCGCCAATACAAACCTGGCTACTCTGCGAAACGTGCCCGACATGGAAGCCAATATACGCGAATGCGAGGCGCAAGTCTTAGAAGGTACGCACTTTCATACTGATACACAGTGGTGGAACAGTCAAAGGCGTCAGCCGGTGCACTGCGTGCCTTGGCCGCTGCTATCCTACAAATGACGCGTAGTCCTCAACGCTTCGGTGTTGTGGCCCGTCTCTATCATATTGCCTTTCGGCGGGGCAGCGAAGATGCCGGCTATTCATGGGCCACCATGGTACTAGAAGGACTGATAATGGCGCCGACGAAAGAATGGGAGACCGCGCAGGTTGAGGAGGCTACGAAGGTCTACTCCCAACTGGCACGCACAGGGCACGCACAGTCTCAGTTTGGCATGGGTCGTCTTGTCCTTGCAAAGCTCCTATCACAAACAGGCCCCCAGAGGGACGACAAGCAAGTGCAAATGGCCATTGACCTATGGCAGAGGGCTGGGCGGAACGGGTATGCGGATGCCTGGTATGAGTTGGGCCAACTGTACTACTCGGGCGAACTCATACAGGAGGATAAATCACGGGCTACCTCTTGTTTCCAGCAGGGAGCCCGCGGTGGCAGCGCACTTGCGAGCCATGCGCTTGGCACGATCCATCTTAGGCAGGCGAAGAAGGAGGCCGACGGCGGCCACACGGCCGAGTGCGCGAAACTCTCTGCGCTAGCCGCACGCTACTTTATGCAAGCCGCCCAGAAAGGCCATGCCGCCAGTGCCTACAATGTGGGGCTTCTATATCTTCATCCCGACGCTATGCCAACGACCAAGGAAGGCCGCGAGGACCACAAGATGCGGCATGGCGTCCTCCCCGATGACCACAATGCGCGCGAATGGTTTGCTGCAGCGGCCGCACGAAGTACGTATGCACGATCGGCTAACACTAGACTTTCTACCCGCATTGATGAACTACGGGGCCATGCTCGTCGCTGGGCGAGGGGCCAGTGAGACTGACACACGTGCGTCGGACCTAAAGGAAGCGCGCAGCGTGTACGAGCGCGCCGTGCGACTGGGCCGTCGCATGCAGTCGCCGCCGCCGGTGCCGTTACAAAAGGCGCGGCCCCCAAGCAATGCGCCTGAAGTGGCAGAGCACATGGTCTCCCAGGCTGAGGCCGCTCTCCGGACGATCGAGGCGCGCCTCGCGCGCGAGGCTAGCGCCACGACCGACCGGCTGGCCGCGGAGCCAGCTGCGCAACGGTCGTGCACGGTCATGTAGTGTACCTCACGTGCGGACGCTGCCGGCAACGCGTCGTTCGCCCGGGACTTGCAGGCAGGTAGGAAGGCAGCGAATCAGCGAAGGGCATAATGGCCCACGGGCAGAGGCTTCTCCACAACCGGTTACCCCGGCATCAGCAGTTCATGTTGGGTCTCGCTTGCTTCTTGCGACAATATGGCCTCGGCCCAGCAAATCGTGATGCACCCGTATGTCTCGAACCTGGCACGTATCTTGCTACGATTCTCTCTAACACAGTGCAGCTCAAGTTCTGGAGCACCACAGTAGGTCGTGACAAGTCCGCGCGCGCTGTCCAGTACTTGGCGCGTTTCTTGGCCTGGTACTTTGTGACGATGGGTGCGACCAAGGAGACGGTGACGCGTTTTTCGTCGATCAAGTCGAGCATTGCTCTGAGCCGCAAGCGTACGTGCCCACTTTTCTTACCCAGTCTTCCGTGTCGGCAAGTTCCTGGAGCATTTCCAGGCTGCCATGAAGGCACTTGCCATGCCTGATCCTGTGCTCAGGGCGTTGGCGGTGGGTCGTCAGCTGGGCTATGCCTTCTACCTCATCCTGGACGCATTCCAGTGGGTCCATGGCTCCAAGGCGTACCAGTTCGAAAAGGCCACGTACGAGAAGATCGCGAAGAACGCCGCGCGCTTCTGGCTGGCCGGTCTGACGTTCTCGCTGGTCAGCGGTCTGTACAAGCTATACAAGCTGTCGGAGCGCACCAAGCTCGCTGTGCGCCCCAAGGCCACGGCCGAAAAGGAGGCAGAGCGCCGCGTCGAGCTCAACCAGATCTCCTCGGAGACCAAGGCTGTGCGTCTGCAGATGCTGCAGGACTGCTGCGACTGGGTCAACCCTGGTACGGCGACGGGCCTGATCAACGCCAACGACGGTGTTATTGGCCTGGCTGGTGTCCTTTCGTCGTGCCTCGGCGCCAACTCGCAGTGGAAGAAGGTGCACGGTGCTACCAAGTAAGTTCGTAGAAGCCACGGTAGGCTCTGATCTATGTAGTAACATGCAACATGGGCTACGAGCGACCCTGTTACGCAACTACTTCCTCCTTCTCCTCGAGTACCTCCTCGACCCACTCCTGCACCTCCTCCGTGCTTTCCTTTTCGAGCTGCGAGGCGCTCGAGACGATCGCCGAATCGATGCCAAGCTCCTTCCTCGCGGCTCGGAGCTTTTCGCGGCCGTGACTGCGCCACGCCTTCCAGTCATCGAGCATGCGCTTGTACTCCTCCTTGTGAGCCAGGGCCTGGCTCATTTCTGCCTCCTGGTCTTCCTGATCAAAGATCTTCGAGTACTCCTTCAGGTTCTTGCGCACCTTCTTCATCTGGTCCTTGCTCAGGAGAGTCTTGGGCCGAGGACGCCACAGAATCTGCTTGAACTGCTCCATCACATTCTTCTGCAGCTCATTGCCCCTAAAGTCCCAGATCACATACCCATGTTCCATAGAGTGACGCCAGAAGCTCGAAGAGGTGGTGACGTAGCGGCCACTCGGGTCCCACTCGACGTCCGTAATGCTGTAGTGCTCGCCACTGCCGATCAGCTTCACCTCCTCGATCATCTCGCTCGAGCTGTTCTGGCGCGCGTCGCTGTTGAAGTCCACATCGTACCATTCCAGATCAAACTTCGACGACGAGCCCAGGGTAACAGCGAGCAGGTGGCGGCCTCGTGGCGACCAGAAGAGGGTGTTGCAAGTCTTATTGTCGAACGACTTAAGCAGACGGAAGTCGCCGCGCGGATGCAGGTGGAAGAAGTGCAGCTGCGTCTTAAGAGCAATGGTCGGTGCCACCACACCCAGGTTCGGGTCGTTGCTCGAGATAACCGCAAAGTGGCTGCCCTGGGGCTCCCACGCAAAGGCTACCACAGGGTCCTTAAGCTCGACCACCTCGACGGGGAAGTCCTTCTCGCGCATGCGGAACAGTTCAAAGTTGCAGAACACTGTCTTTTTGGTCTTCGTCTGCCGGTCCACCTTGACACACAGATAGTCGCCTTGCGGGTGCCAGTGCAGCTTGCAGTCGGCGACGTTGAAGAGGTTCTTCGAGCGCAGAATCTCCCGGCTAGGGACACTCATGACCGTGACACGAGCAGGCTGATTCTGCACCTCAGGCTGCCAGTACACCAGCATATTGTCCCGGGGCTTCTTGAAGCCCTTTGGCAGGTTCGGGTTCTTGCCGTCCTTCCACAGCTCCAATGCCTCCTTGTCTTTGTCACCCAAGGGACACCACTCAAAGTCCACAACGCCTTCCACCTTGATACTCTTCTGGTCCAACAGGCCCATGGAGGGCAGTCCGTACACGCTGATGAACTTGCCCGGCGTCACTTTTGCACAATACTTGCTGTCGCCACTCCACTTGAGGTAGGGCCAGCTGAAGCCCTTCACAGCGACACCGTTCGGGCCCGCCGAATCCTCTTGCACAATCGGGAATGTGCGCAGCAGATGACCGGTGCGGACCTCCCAGACAGCCACCCTGTTGCCCTCGTCCTCAGGTGCGAAGAACTGAGGACCCTGCGGCGCATTCTCAGGCACCTGGATAGGCTCCGGCGACCAGGTTACCATGTATTTCTCATCCGGACTAAAGTCAACGAGGCGCACACCCGGATGGGGGTATCGCATGATGCGCTCCCACGTCGGGCCACCCCATAGGGCGATACCCTGCAGGTGGAAGGTAGTGAGATAGGTACCGAGCGGCGACCACTGCACATAGGACTCGGTCCAGCGGGTCCGCTTGTGCGCCTCGAGCGGCTGCGCCGTCCGGCTATGCCACATGACCTGCACGTCGTCGCGCGCACACATGACGAGTTGGTCGCGGCCGGCCTCGTCCATGAGCCACGAGCGCAAGTGCCCGCGCTGCTCGAATGGCTCTTCCTTGGGGTCTTGGTACGTCTCGTCCATATTCGCCAGACGCTCAACGTCAGTGAACCGGCTCACCACGAAGCGGTGCTTCTTATCGAAGGCATAGCCGTTCATGGTGCGAATGGCATGCGTCGCCTCATCCGCGTCTTGCAGTTCAATCACGACATAGCCCTTACTTTCGCCATTGTCGGCATACAGCATGTGAATCGATGCCAAGTCCAACTCGATGTTAGCGTATGTGCGGAAGCGCTTCTGGATGGCCTCAAGCAAACGCTGTTCCTTCGCCTCTGTGATCACAGGAACGCCATTGATAACAATCACGTTCTCAAGGCCCTCATCCAGAGGTACGGCGTACTTCGCCTCGATGTCCGAGTAGTCGATGTCGTCCATCGCCGGCTCCATCGTGCCGATGGGTTCACCACAGCGGGCTTTTTCTTCTGGCACCTCGAAAAGGTCACGTGGACATGCTTAGCCAAGCGAGGCCAAAAAAGTTCAGGATGACACACCGTGGCGCTCTTGTCGACGATTGCCCCCCAAAGCCATGGGGAAGCACGAAAAGAAGGCGGGCAAAGGCCGTCTTGACAAGTTCTACTGGCTTGCCAAGTAAGTATGCTGCATATCTCACACATTCGCGCAGGGAACAAGGGTACCGCTCGCGTGCTGCCTTCAAGCTTGTGCAACTGAACAAAAAATACAAGTTTCTTGAGAATGCACGCTGCTGTATCGATCTATGTGCTGCTCCAGGTGGTTGGCTCCAGGTAGCAAGTAAGCATATGCCCCCAGGAAGTCTTATTGTGGGTGTAGATCTCGTCGCTATCAAGCCCATTCCCCGCTGCATCACCTTCGCCGAAGATATCAACTCGTTCAAATGTCGTGACCAGCTCCGCGAGACCCTCAAAGATTGGCGTGCCGATATTGTACTCCACGACGGTGCCCCTAATGTCGGTACAGCGTGGGTGCAGGATGCCTACACACAATCTGAACTTACCTTGCAGGCCCTCAAGCTCGCCGTGGAGTTCCTGAGTCCCGGCGGCACGTTTGTGACCAAGGTATTCCGCTCGAAGGACTACAACAACCTCATGTGGGTATTCAATCAGCTCTTCCACCACGTCGAAGCGACTAAACCGCCGTCCTCGCGTAATGTCTCCGCCGAGATTTTCGTTGTATGCCAAAACTTCCGAAACCTCTCGCGTATCGATCCCAAATTCTTAGATCCCCGCCATGTTTTCAAGGAACTCGATTCGGATCCTGTGCAGGGCACAAGCTCGCACAATCTCCTTGAAAACGTCGTTAACCCAGAAAAGCAGCGCCGCAAGCGTGAGGGATACGAAGACGGCAACTATACCCTGTATAAAGCCATTGGCGCCGACAAGTATATACGCGCCATGGACCCGATTGCCGTACTGGGTACATACAACCGCATTACCTTCGATACAGAAGAAGACAAGGCCCTTCTCAAGCACGCAGCTACATCGGAGGACGTGGTAGCCAATTGTGAGGACCTCAAGGTACTTGGCCGTCGCGACTTTTCTGTGCTCATCAAGTGGCGCAAGGCCGTGCGTGACTCACTAGAGCTAGACCAGCCCAAGGGAAAAGACACAGAAGATGCACAGACAACTGTGGAAATGGAACCCTTGAATGAGGAGGAGGCCATCGATGAAGAGCTTTCGCGCCTTAACGAAGAGGCCCAGAAGCGGGCTCGTAAGGAGCGTAGAAAACGTAACGAGGCTCGTGCCAAGGCCCTCCAGAAGCTTCAGCTCAACATGACGACAGCCATGGATATTGGCGAGGATTGGCGTGACGAGGCTCTCCATGGTGAAGATATGTTCTCACTGGATGCTATCGAAGGGCGACATGCTCCGCGCCATGCACGTGCGGCGGAGCTCTTGGATGCAAATGATGCGCTCGAGGACGAAGACATGGAGGGCGAGGCCCTTAATGCTGAAGAAGACGAGCATGAGGACGAGGACGACAGAGAGACTCGTCTGCGTGAACTCGAATCCAACGTGGATGCTATGTATGAGCAATACAAGGACCACTTGGAGCGCAAGGATGCCAAGTTCCGTGCGAAAGAGGCGCGCCGCAACTCATCCAAGTACGAAGAATGGGACGGCATTTCGCAGAAGCAGGAGGATGAGGACGAAGACAGCGACGAAGGGCCTGTCGCGCGTGGATACGACGCAATGAACAAACGCAAATTTCATGAAGAGACATACGACTCCGATGACGCCGAGGACGACGATGACGAGCGTGAAGAGTTGGAGTCTACCGCAAACGTCCCGCCGGTCAAGTCACGACAAACCAAGAAGGCTCCCGCGGAGTCGGCCCTTCTTACGAACCTGGAGCCATCCGGAGCAGCTGCCCAACGCCAGAGCGCAGCCTCGGCGGTGTGGTTCGACAATCCAATCTTTAAGGATATGGTGCCTCTTGAGGACTTTCTTCCTGAGACGGAGGCTGCGAAGGATTCGACTCCTCCACTCGAAGCGGAGGACAGTGACGAGGAAGAGAGCTCTGCCCAGGAGGAAGATGTCGAGACTTACGGTGACGACATTGAGCTTGTGCCTTCGACCACGAATGAAGACATTCCAGACGGTGAATGGGACGTGCACGATGAAGATGTTGACGCTACCAAGCAAGCGCGCATCAAGCAACATGGTCTGCACACAGCCGAAGCTGTCTCTCTGGCCCATGCGCTTGTGAACCGCCAGCTGACCAAGACAGACCTAGTGAACCAAGGGTTTAATCGTCACAGCTTCAATGACAAAGCGGGTCTACCTGAATGGTTCTTGGAGGACGAAAACAAGCACTACCGGACCAACCTCCCTGTGACCAAGGAGGCTGTCGATGCTCTGCGTGCACGCCAGCGCGCGCTTGATGCTCGTCCTATAAAGAAGATCGCTGAAGCCAAGGCTCGCAAGAAGCATCGTGCTGCCCTACGCCTTGAAAAAGCGCAAAAGAAGGCTGAGGCGATCAACGAGAACACCGACCTGTCGGAGAGGGAGAAGGCCGAGAATATCAGCAAGATCTTGGCTCGAAGTGGCAAGAAAACTGAAAAGAAGGCACCCCAGCTCGTTGTTGCCCGTGGCCCCAACCGCGGTATCAAGGGTCGTCCGAAGGGCACTAAAGGTCGCTATAAGATGGTGGATGCACGTATGAAGAAAGAGCTCCGCGCGCAAAAGCGCCGTGACAAGCGGGATGGCAAGAAACGCAGCTCAGGGCATAAACGCCAGATCCCTAAGGGCTACTAAATCATGGCCTTAGATCGCTAGATAGCGCCTGTTTGTGGCAAGCAGCACATTTTTGATCACGGAACTACAATGATTCTATCACAATAGCATCGTGACTTGGGGGAGCGACGGAGAAAATTTACTCTTCGTCAGCCTCCTCCTCTTCCTCCTGGTCGTACGAAACGTTGAAGAACTTGATCTCGAAACCGGGCTTCGAGGTAGCCACCACACGGAGCCAGTCACGGAGCTCAGCGCGCTTCAGGAACTTCTTCGTCAGGTACTTGAGGTAGCGCTTCGAGAAGGGGATAGTGGTCTTCACCCAAATCTTGCCCTCACCCTCACGGGTAATCTGCACGGCATCGCCAAGCTGGCCGGGCTTGCCGTCGACCTTGATGCGGTCGTGCAGGAACTTCTCGAAAGCGTCAGCGTCCAGGACCTGGTCGTTGGCCGGGCCACTGAAGTCAATGAAGAAGCTGTGGCCCTTGGCAGCAGCCTTGGACGCACCAGCGCCAACAACCTTGTTTGTCTTGGTGACAGCCATGTTCAATGTAATGCAAGCAGCCTACTGGTTTGGATCAGCAAAGCGTAAGAAGAGAGTAAATGCGCACGCAGAACTGCATAATGGGCACCCATGTCAACACGTGACTAACCACGTGGCCTCACATGGCACTAGCCCTGGTCCCTCCTCGTCTGTGGCCTGAAAAAAGCTCGCTGTGCATCGTGGCAGGTCATGGCTGACAACGCCGACTTTATGATCAAGCCAGACAACTCTGGCCAGAGTCTGCGCTTCTCTGAATGGCCACTACTTCTAAAGGACTATGACAAGCTTCTTGTGCGCAGCAGTCACTTCACTCCGATTCCCCACGGTTGCTCGCCGCTCAAGCGCGATATTGCATCGTATGTGAGTAGCGGCGTCATCAACCTGGACAAACCTTCGAACCCGTCTTCGCACGAAGTTGTTGCTTGGATGCGCCGCATTCTACGTGTCGAGAAGACTGGTCACTCGGGTACTCTGGACCCGAAGGTAACGGGCTGTCTGATCGTCTGCATTGACCGGGCAACTCGTCTGGTCAAGTCGCAACAGGGCGCTGGTAAGGAGTATGTGGCTGTGCTGCGCCTGCATGACAAGCTGGAGGACCCTAGCAAGCTCCCACGCGTTCTCGAGACGCTCACTGGTGCTCTCTTCCAGCGCCCCCCGCTGATTTCGGCTGTGAAGCGTCAGCTGCGTATCCGCACAATTTACGAATCCAAGCTCATTGAATTTGACAATGACCGACATCTCGCTGTCTTCTGGGTAAGCTGTGAAGCTGGTACATACATCCGTACGCTGTGCGTGCATTTGGGTCTTCTGCTAGGCGTTGGCGGTCACATGCAGGAGCTTCGTCGTGTTCGCAGCGGTGCTATGAGCGAAAACGATGACATCGTGACCATGCATGATGTGCTTGATGCCCAATGGCTCTATGACAACCAGCGTGACGAGTCGTACCTTCGTCAGGTCATTCGTCCTCTGGAAAGCCTCCTTGTGGGCTACAAGCGTATTGTTGTCAAGGATAGTGCGGTGAATGCTGTCTGCTACGGTGCCAAATTGATGATCCCAGGTCTTTTGCGCTTTGAGTCGAACATTGAGCTGAATGATGAGGTTGTCCTTATCACCACCAAGGGTGAGGCCATTGCGATTGGCATTGCCCAGATGACCACGGTGGACCTGTCGACCTGCGACCACGGCATTGTGGCGAAAGTCAAGCGCTGCATCATGGAGCGTGACACGTACCCGCGCCGCTGGGGTCTTGGTCCCAAGGCACTGGAGAAAAAGAAACTGGTGAAGGAAGGCAAGCTCGATAAGCATGGCCACGAGATTGAGGGTGTGACGCCCGAAAAATGGTCGAAGGAATATGTTGACTACTCCAAGTCAGAGGCGGAGGCTGGCGCGGATACATCCATGGCGGACGTGTCTATGGCCGCTACAGAGACTGCCAACGAGGACGAGGATGTCGATGAGGATGATGACGACGAGGATGAAGAGGGTCCCAAGGAGTCCCAGAAGAAGCGCAAGGCTGAGGGCGACGACCACAGCGCCGAAGACGAGGAAGAACGCAAGCGCCGTAAAAAGGAGAAGAAGGAAGCGAAGAAGGCGAAGGAAGCGGCTGCGGAGGCGGGCGAGAAGAAAGAGAAGAAGGAAAAGAAGGAGAAGAAGGAGAAGAAGAAGAAGAGCGAGTAGATTCGGCTCCTACTTCTTGCATTCCGTAATTTGTAATTCTACGCCTGTGCTATAACGAGTCCTTACCTACACGGTACAGTGACAAGTCTGTATCAGGCCTGTTGCGTTAGATGCATCACATAGGTCAGGGAACGTACTCAAGCTGTCCATTCACGGGGTTGCGACGCGCACTGAAGAAGGTATACGCCAGGATGACGTCTTTGACGTCGCGTGTCTCTTTGTCTTCCAACATGTCCTTGTCGAGGAAGAAGAACACAGGCAAATCAACTTCTTCACCGGCACGAATGCGCTGTTCTTCAAAGCAGAAGCACTCGATTTTGTTAAAGTAGGGGGCAATACGGTCAGGAATCACATTGTAAGTGGCAATGCCGATAATATCATGCTGGGACTTATTATGGGCCTTGAAGAATGTCAAAGCTGTTTCACCAGGAAGTACATAGATCTCGCGTTGCTCCGGCACAAACGTCCAAGGGATCTCATCCGATGTACTTGCGTTGAAGGACACACGGACACGCTGCGTCGCTTTGGTATCATTGAGCGGGTCCTTGTAGGAAGGAACCAGGCGAGATGGTTCCGAGAAGCGTGATGGATCAGTCATGGGCGTACCGCTATACCCCGTTGCTGAGCAAAAGGCACGGTACAGTGGTACAGCTGCATAGCTTAGTCCGAGTGCGGAGATCAGCTGTCCTGTCAGTTGCGTCATCTCGTACCACGGCTGCTGCATACATGGCTGCACTTTGATTACGCTTGCGTTTTTCCTTCATGTCTTTCTCGATCTGGGCCAGTTTTTGCTTGTGCAGCGCTTGCCATTCTTGCTTCGAGATGCAGCGATGCTGCTGCAGCGGCTGCGCAACACTTGGTGAAAATGCATGCCAAACGCGCGGACGTGCCGGGGCCCTATGCGAAAATGAACAGAGAAGCGGTGTGGCGATTCGACGTGTCAGGCACGCCCGACCTATACTTGACGCCATAGACCAATACGAGATCGTAGCGATCGCGTGGGTACTGGCCGTGCACGTTGTACGGACCTAGTGGAGCTCGACCACGTGATCTATATTGGAGCCATGGCAGACAGGCCGGTCGCTCTCCAACACGGCCTCTTTGACATATCCATGCAAGACACATGATTTTTGTGTCGTTCTAGATTGACATCGCTAATTCAAATATAGGAGAATAGAGGCTAGCCTCCCAGGGATAAAGCAAGGGACTGCCATTCGCTTGTTTATGCCAAAGGCACTACAAGGCGGCGGATGTACGTAGACGCAACGCAGTCCATGGCCGACCCATGAGGATATACACAGGGCGACCTGAGCAGGATTCGCCCTCCTGTTCGGTAGCCTCCATGCGCCCGAGTACAAGCGGCGAGCGGACGACGTACTCAAGCCTGCTTGGTACCCATACAAATTTTAACGGTTGGACTTGGCCACACGCTCGAGCTCGTCCTTCTTCTTGATGGCGAACGAGTTCGACGAACCCTTGGCGGCGTTGATGAGCTCATCAGCAAGGCACTCGGCAATGCTCTTCACGTTACGGAAAGCCGACTCGCGCGTACCAGTGGTGAGGAGCGCAATCGACTGGTTCACGCGACGCAGAGGCGACACATCGACGGCCTGGCGACGGACAGTACCCTGCGAACCGATACGGGTCGAGTCCTCACGGGGACCAGTGTTGATGATGGCGTCCACCAGGATCTGAATAGGGTTGGCATCGGTAAGGAGGTGGATGATCTCAAAGGCGTGCGCGACAATGCGGACAGCCATGAGCTTCTTACCGTTGTTGCGGCCGTGGAACATAAGAGCGTTGACAAGACGCTCGACAATGGGCATCTGGGCCTTGCGGAACTGCTTGGTGGCGTAGCGGCCAGCAGTGTGAGGGGCGTACACCGCGTTGCGGAGCGAGATGTAGTCGGTGAGGGAGATGTCCTTCACTTCGACGTCCTGAGCGCTGTATCGTGTTAGCACCAACTTTACACTTGCAATACGTACTCCCACTTGCCAAAAAGACGAACTGAGCCGACCTCGGGGGCAGCGACAGCAGCAATGTTCTCTGTTGAGCGTTAGCTTTCTGTTCTCGGCGATCCCCTCTGAATACATACTAGGAAGTCCAACCTTAGCCATATTGATAAATTAGGAACTGAGCACAGAAAGTGGTACAAGGAACAATACAGTGTAGATTTCTGTAAGCTCCTGATCGAATAACTGAGCTGGTGGGTAGCCAGTCAGTCCAAGACTTGAGGTAGTGATGTGCGTTGGAAGACACAGATGGGATCCGGGCTCGTAGAGGGCCTCGCAGACGCTCTCCACGAACCACGTGACATCCTGCAAAACTACGTAGATCTCACGTGATACCAAAGACGTCTCTATACTACACGTGGCTACACACTCGCCGTGAGATCTAGCACCACGAGGGCCTTGTCCGCTAGGGCGACGGCCAGCTGCTGGGTCGAGCCACGTGGCTCTTCCGAGGAGCGCGCGTGCCACACAAGATCCATCACCGGACCTCCTCCGACGTACTCATAGACGGGCTCTCCGTCCTGGATGGTTAGTTCGACATAGAAATCACGTACTGAGATGCGCGTAACGAGAACTCGATGGTCAATACCACCCGTCGCCAAGTAGCGCGCACATGGACTAAAGCACAGGGCATAGACACTGCGCTCGTGCTTGTCGATAACATGGATACAATCTCCCGTGTCCACATTCCAGAGGCGAGCAGTGTGGTCGAAGCTAGCCGAGGCTAGCATGTGCGGTTGATCGGGATGAGTCGAACCCGGACCCGTTGGGCTCCAGGCAAGCGCATACACTTCTTCCTTGTGTCCTTGAAGCAGGCGTGCAGGCGCTCTGTTCTCGGACGGGGCCTTGTCGAGGGTGCACGTTGCCACACCAGGCACATCCACGGCCCATACATGCACCACCCCGTCATCCGATGCCGATGCAATAAGGGACTGGGACGGGTCGAAGCGGATCGAATTCACCTCGTCCGTGTGACGCACCAAGGACTTGAGGGGCTTGGGCTCGCCGACCTTGCAGATCTGCACGCTGTTGTCTGCTGAGCAAGTGGCAAAGACGGCATCAGCCACGCTCGGGTTCGGATGCGCCACTTGGCTGTCAATGTCGCCGGTGAGCCACTGCACGTCCAGAACATTATCCGAATGCAGGCTAAACTGTTGCCGTGTGCGCCCACTGCTCACGTCCCAAACAATGGCAGTCCCATCGGCGCTGCCAGTAAGAAGCATATTGCCCTTGCGGTTCCAGCGCACGGCAAAAATGGCCCCCTGGTGCATAGACATGACGAGATGCAGGTCGCCCTGAGGCGTCCAGAGCCGCAGGATACCATCGTACGATCCCGAGGCCAAAAGCGTGCCGTCGGGATTCCAGGCCACAGTAGATACATTTTTGGCTTGTGTAGGAGGCAGATGCTTGCAAACCGCGGGTTCCTCGCCTGACGAGGAGAGATCCCAAATGCGCACTGTCGCATCCCCTGCGCCACTTGCCAGCAAGTTGGGGACGGTGGGGTTCCAGGCCAAAGCAAACACTTCAGCCCCATGCCCAGTGAGCACAGTTGCATTCGGGTCCTCAGAGCGCGGCACATCTGGAACTGGTAAGCGTTTTTGTGTGCCCTTGGGGCCACTTACGCGATGCACCTGCACACCCTTTTTTGCCTTGCTTTTGGACGACTGCGTGTGGGCACTCGACTCGCGGTCGTCGGACAGGTCCATGTCGTCAGGATCCGACTTTGCACGCTTCTCTGACGTGTCCACGTCCCAGCCTGCGTGCCGCTTCGAGCCGACGTCGTCGTTTGGGGACTCCGTCGGCGCTGTCGCTGCTGCCGAAGGCAAGGAGGCGGGGGGCTCCGGCACGCGCTGAGGTGCTGGCTGAGCGGGTGCCGGGCCTGTTTCCATGGTCTGTGAAGATACATCTTTCTGCTGCTGGCTCTTTTCAGGAACTGGCGGCGGCGGCGTGAGGCGCACATGCGCCTTTGCGGTGTCTGCCGTGACCAGAGCCTCGGGGGCGAAAACCGTCGCTGTCTCACCCTAGGGAGTCAGTAGCGACAAAACACACCTTTTCTACTTCGCGCTCCGCGCTTACATACATGAGCCCCCGCTGCAGATAATGCAGCAGCTGGCCCGGTTGTACGATCGGCTCGCGTGCCGCCGGCAAGTCATCTAAACGTGCTTCGTATCGAAAAGCAAAGCATGTATGGAGGAAACCGGATTCTTTCAGATAGTGGTAAATAAGGAGATTCACTTCAGAGGCAGAAAATCGCGTGGTATCCCCCGACATGGTGACGCCTACTATGGCGACTGGACGTCCAAGGCGATGCCAGACGGTGGGCTGGGCGACGAGACGTGATATACATAAATCCCAGACACCCCTGGGTCGGGGGCCCTGCGGGTGCGACGGTGAAGTGCCGTGCCTGGGCGACGATGGTTATTTAGCCGCAGCTACATCTGTCACAACCTTTCTAAGACAGGATGGAAACATGCCGGCCTGCGTTACAGCCTAGCGACTCGAATCTCGTGATACCAACGATTTGATGGATAGTCTCGCGCGACCTGCGTGATGAGCAAGCATTCTGCCGTGGCACCTATAAAACTCTCATTGGGCAGGTTGGAATCAGGGCGACCTTATTCACCCTTGGCGTTGGGCAGTGCACGCGCTCCGGATTTGGGCTAGGCAGGGGAACGAGCCAGGGTGGAGGCATCGGGTCGAATAATATGCGCAAACTCGTCTCGAAAGTTAATTTCTCGCGTGCACCCTTCGTGGGCGTTCGAACGAGTCGGGAAAGCACCGAACGTTTTAAATAGTGTAAACAGACGTGACTCCGGTCTCTTTATGCATCGAGATCGAGACCAAGTCTACGCAGTACACAACTATGTCAACAAAGAGCCGGCGGTGGTGAAGACTGCGCCGGTCGAGTCGAATACGGAGGTGAAAGTTGACAGCCCGAACTTGAGCGAGCCGCGCAACTTTTTCGATCGTCTGGAGCATTTTACGTGGGCGTGGTTCACGCTTCCCATGGCTACAGGTGGTCTTGCGCTCCTTCTGAACTCTGGCACGCAGCCCCATTCCTTTGATGGCCTCAACACGATCGGCAAGGTTGTATACATTTTTGACCTGGTCGTGTTTGTGACGCTGTGTTCGTGCATCACCTACCGCTTCGTGCGCTGGCCGCAGACGTTCCGCGAGTCGCTTACGCACCCTACGGAGTCTCTGTTCTTGGGCCCGCTGTTCTTGTCGATGGCCACGATCATTTCGTGTATGGGCCGGTACGGTGAGCCGGCGACGGGTCCGTGGCTCATATGGGTTCTGCGTATCCTGTTCTGGATGTATGTGGCAGTTACATTTATTTTGGCCGTGTTCCAGTACGTGGTGCTGTTCACGTCGCCGAAGCTCAAGTTGATTGATATGACGCCTGCGTGGGACTTGCCGATCTTCCCCTTCATGCTTAGCGGTACCATTGCATCCGTCACAGGTGGCATGCAGCCACCGGAGCACGCCGTGCCCATTCTCGTTGCTGGTATTACCGCGCAGGGTCTTGGCTTCACCATTGCCACGCTCATGTCCGTGCTGTATGTCCGGCGCATGATCGAGTTTGGTCTGCCTCCGCCTGCTGCGCGCCCCGCCATGTTTATTGCGGTGGGCCCGCCGAGCTTCACGGCACTTGCTCTGTTTGGTATGGCCAATAACTTCCCGCGGGACTACATTAACTACTTCAGCTACTACCTGCCCTTCGGCTTCAGCGGCCCTGGCGAGGCATTCAGCAACGAGCAGCAGCAACTGATTGGCGTCCAGATCACCGTGACGCTGGCGATCTGGGTAGCCGTATTCATCTGGAGCATGGGCGTCTGGTTCTTCTGCGTCGCGCTCATTTCTACGCTCATGGTCGCGCGCCAGCTCAAGTTCAAGCTCAACTGGTGGGCATTTGTTTTCCCGAACACAGGTCTCACCATTGCCACGATCACGCTTGCAAAGGCCTTCCGCAGCGAGGGTTTCAAGTGGGTCGGCAGCATCATGAGCATCTTGATTGTCGCTACGTGGCTCTTTATCTTTGTTATGCACGTGCGTGCCATTTTCATGAAGCAGATCCTCTGGCCGGGCAAGGACGAGGACGTGTATGTGCAGCACGAAGACTACAAGGGTCGTCGGCGGGATAGAATACAGCAGCGTCGCCTCTCACGCAACATGTCTTCGGATTTGGATCCCGAGTGGCATGCATCCACACATAGAATCATCGGTTAATTGCATATTTCCAAGTGTGTCGCAGCGGCGAGGGTGCCTTCTGCTCTCATGGCGCCAAGTGGGACGCAGGCCGTGCGCGAGCGCGTGGCTAGCGTCTACGCGCAGGCCGTAGCGCTACCGCCTGGAACGCGCGTGCTGCTCGCGCTGCTCTGTGTATGCACCGCAGCGCTCGCCGCCGTGCGTGTGGGCCACGCACCCCTCGTGCAGGACGCGCCGGCCCTCGTGCTCGTGGTCGGCGCGAGCTGGTGCTTTCCATGGTGCGTGTGCCGGACTCACACAGGGTGCTCATTACGTCGGCGTTTGCGACCTCGACGTGGATTGAGGTGCGTGCCGTGCTCTGACCCAGTTCGTGCTCTTTGTCGTTCTTGTGCCCGCTGCGGCGCCGTTCCTCGAGGCGCAGTGGGGCATGCAGGAGCTGCTGCTGTTCAGCACTGCGGTCATCGTATCTTCGAACGCCGTGACGTGGTTTCTCGGCCTCGCGCTGGGACTCATTCTGCGCAGCGACCAGCTCCTGTTCGCCACGCACTGGGAGGGCCTGCATACCCTGCTCACCGGCTTCCTCGTGGCGTACGCGCAGCTCGTGCCGGAAGCGACGCTTCCGCCCATCCCGTGGCTCCGCGCGCGCGTACGTACTGCCTGCTTACCCAGGACCTGCCGATGCTCGCTGTGGGCGTGGCCAATGTGCCGTGCTTCTTCGGGATCCTCCCGCGATTCCTTCCGATCCAGATTGCATGGATTACGTCGTGGATCTACCTGCGCTTCTACCAGGCACACGCGGATGGGCCACGCGGCGACCCTTCGGACGAGTTTGCGTTCGTCTTGTGGTTCCCGCCGCTCGTGCGCCCTGTGCTCGCGCCCGTCTTCAATGCACTGCACCGCGTAGCCTACGCCGCGCACCTTGTGCCACGGAGCCCCGGGTACATGGACCTGGAGCTCAGCCTTGCGCAGTCGCAGCGCAGCGGCGCCCGCGAAGAGGCTGAGCGCCGCCGCGCCATGGCGCTCGCCGCCCTTGACGCACGCGTCGCGCCCGCAGCGGCGCCGCCCGCAGCGGCGTCGCCCACAGCCGCATCGCCCGCATCTGAGTGAAGCCTACCCTGCTCCTATAGTACATCTAGGCGGAAGGGGCCGAGGTATCCATGCGCGGGGCCTTTTCGAGCCGCCCCGCTACCAGCTCCCGCACGAGCGCCAGCAGCGCGCGGCGGAACGTGCGCTGCCGTAGCCAGGGCGCGGTCGCATCCACAGGGTGGCCGGCGCTCGAGGCGCGCACGTTCCTGTCGAGGAGAGCAAGCGCCGTCGTGCGTGTGTCGTCGTCCGAGGCCCCGCTTGTGCGGTGGCGCAGCCAGTGGCTCGCACGCCGCAGCATGCGCCGCATCGTATAGTCGGGCACCATGCCACGCTCGAGGCACGTAGCGTAAAACTGCTGCGCTGCAACATACGCATGCCGATGCATGAGCAGCTGGTAGTGCTGCGCCACACTCGCGAGGTGCGTCACATCAATGTCGTCGCGCAGAGCCGTAGGAAGAGGGGTATGTGGATGGCGCCTGCCGCATCGCGCCGCCGCGGTCGCCACCGTGTCTTGCAGGTGCGCATCCGGCACCAGACCGTTCTTTTGCATGTGCCGGATCTCGCGCGTCGCCATCGGCCAGTCGCCCAGGTCCATGCTCGTGCGTATCAAACACGTATACATGGCCAGCGTCGGCGCCAGGCCCCACCCCCGCGTCGCATGCACCACCCACGACGCCTCGCGCGCCCGGCCGCCCTGGCACAGCACCTGCACCAGGGCCTCCACATGAGGCACTTGGAGGGCCACACCCTGCTCGAGCAGGCGACGGAACACGTGCTGCGCGCCGTCGACGTCGCCAAGCGCGGCGAGCAGCCGCAGGCGCTCGGCGTAGGCGGTGCCGGTAGGCGCAGGCAGCTCTGAGCTGGGTGGCGCGTCGGTTGCGATGGACGGCGTCGCCGCGGGCGTCTCGGGCTGCAGCGGCGTGTCGCGCACCCAGTCGTGCAGGGCACCGCCGGGGTGGCGCTCGCCAGCCGCGCGCCGCTGACGGTCGCTCGCTAGCAGCGCACGCTGCACGCGGTCCTCAAAGCCGAGAGAGGCCAGCTCGTGCTGCAGCTGGTCAATGCGCCTCGCGACGCACGGCGCCTGTGCATGCGGCTGGAGCGGCTCCGCGAGCTGCGCACAAAAGCGGCTCATTTCGCCGCGGTGCGCATCGACGCACTGCACAATGAGGCGTGCCAAGGCTCGCCGGATACGCCCATTGTACCGCAGGCCATGCGCGAGCGCGTCGCGCAGCGCGGCCTCGGCGAGCGGGACGGACCATAGCGCGCCGGCACACTCGAGCACGGCGGCTGTCAGCAGCGACGTGCGGGGCACGCACGGCACCAGGTGCGCTACGCGCTCGGACGGCGGCATGCCGAGCGACGCACCCGTCACCGTCTGCACGAATGCCACGGCTGCGGGCGGCTCGCCGGCGCGCCGCAGCGCTTGCACCACGCCGACCGCGGCGTGCTCCACGGCGGCGAGCAGCTCGCAGCGCGCGCTTTGGGGGCGCCGCTCATTCGGGAGCACCGTGGACGAAGCGTGGGGCTGTGCCGCGTGCAGTGTTGCCTCGAAGAACGCGAGCGCAGGCGCCACGAGTCCGCGGCGTCCGCACCAGGTCGCAGCGAGCGCCAACGTCGCGGCGTGCGGCTCGATGGGCGGGAGGACCTCGGCTGCCGCTGCCCACGTCTGCGGCACGTCGTCTGGGCTGGGGAGTGCCTCGCTCCCACGCACCTGCGCGAGCTGCAGCACGGCCGGCACGTACCGCGCCGCGCCACTCGCGAGCATCGCGGGCAGCAGCGCCACAAGCAGGTCGGCTGGCGACCCCTGCGCCCAATTCGCGCGCTCCTGCGCTACGAGGGGCGCGAGAGGCGCATACGCAGCGACTAGGTCGAGCCATAGCGCCGTCGGCACGGCATGCCCCGCCGCCTGCATGTGGGAGAGCGCGGCTTGGAGCGCAGGCGCATCGTCCTGGGCAGCGCAGTGCGCCACATGCGCCAGGTGCGCGGCTGCCGGCACAGGCCCCGCAGACGACAGGTCCTGCCAGCATGCGCGCACGTCCGCGCCGTGCCCGAGGGCCGCTGACGCGAGGAGTCGCGCATGGCGCAGCGGCGTATCGACTGTGTGTGGGTGGTGCTTGTGCGCGAGGCGCTCCATCTGCAGAACGCCCAGCGCGTCGTTCCGCCGGCCAAGCCGCGCGGCCATGCGGTGGAAGTGGACGAGGGGTATAGACCCGACGTGGAGCTGGGCATACGTCAGGAGCTTGCGCGCGAGGACCATGGCCTCTTCGGATCCGATCGATACGAGGCTCTCGGCGGCGAGTCCAAGGAGGGCGAGCGCCGTATCGCGTGGTGCCGGCGACGGCCCGCTCGCGCACATGTCGCCAGGTGGCCGGCGGTGGAAGGGCGCCAGGGTGCTCGTGTAGGCAAGCGCGAGCGCATCCTGGACCTGCGCGAGCGCGCGCGGCTCGTGGGGGTGCTGCAGCACCTGCACAAGCGCATCGCGGATCGTGCGTGACTGCGCCGCGTACATGTCTGTGTTGGGAATCGAGAGGTGCTGTGCATGCGTGAGAGTATCAGGCTCGACGGCCGGGTCGTAGACGAGGCGCCACGCATCTGCGCGCAGCGGCGCCATAGCCGGCCGCGAGTGCCAGAAGCGGAGCAAGAGTGGGGTATACGGGCGGAACGGGAGGTCGGCGCCTGGGACGACGGCCCACGGCGCTGGGCCGAGGCGTCCGCTGCGCAGTGGCCTCGCGCGCCACGCCCAGGCTAGGAGCCGTGGCGCGCGCGGTACACCGTACGGCGGTGGTATAGGAGGTGTGCGCCCTCGCATGGGCGGGCAGCTGAAAGGCAAGGCGGCGCAGGAGGCCGTCCCACGTATCGCTCCAGCGCACCGACGCCGATGGCTGCCGCTTCGGAAGAAGCGGCGCGACAGGGACAGGAGCTTAGTCAGCAGGACTGTCGACGCTATGGCACGGGGGTCGAAGTGCCCCGCAGGCGGCGCTTGGCAAAGACGCCCTGGGCGAGGCGCACGACACTGGGCTTGGTCGTGCGTGTGCGGCGCATCGGTGCGACGGTGCCGTTGCGGCGGCGCATCGGGCGCGCCTCGTCGGTTTCCGTGCCGACGCTCGCGGCCACGTGCGTCTCGAGCTCACCGGCGTACACGCGCGCCCCGGTCATGGGGCGTGTGAGTGTGCGGCCGCGGCTAGGGCGCGAGAGCTCCATGGCATCCCAGCGCGCCGCATCGGGGCGGCGCTTGCCTTCCAGCTTGTCCTGCGCCCACATGCGCTCGAGGTACTGCTGGGCCTTTTGCATGAGCTCGGTGCGCGCGGCTTCGCCGCGGTAGCGCACAAGCTTGGCCATGTTCTTCCGCGTAAGTGGGTGGAAGCGCGCGTCGGACTCGATGGGAACCGGTGCCTGCCTCTGGAGGAGCGCCTGCAGGGCGTCCCATCCAATGTTCTTTTGGGCGCGGTGGAGCATCGTATACGCCTCGCGCGCGACGGTGCGTGCCGTCATGTCCAGCTTTACATCTGTTGGGTTGTCCACGAGCTCCAGCACCGCGCGCGGCGCATGGTCGCCCTTGCGGTGGCCCATTAGGTGCACGCGCGTGTACCCGCCGGGCCGCTCCGCGTAGCGTGCGGCCATCTCAGCAAGGCGCGGCAAGCTGGTGCCTGTGTTGAATAGGAACGACTGTGCGCTCGAGAGCGCGGTCGGCGTGCCGCGCTTGCCAAGCGTAATCATCTTCTCGGCGAGGCGCGACGCCTCCTTGGCCTTGGCGACGGTCGTGACAATCCGCTCATGCTCCAGCAGGGACGTGACGAGGTTCCGCAGCAGGTGGTTCCTGTGCGACGCTGTGATGTCAGAGGTGCTGCGTATACGCACTGGAGCGGCCGAGCTTCCTGAACGCCAGCCCCTTCATGGCTCGTCGCTGTCGCTGTGCAGCGGCGGCGTCTCGTGGCCTTTCTTCGTTGTGGACTCGGCCGAACCGGGGCCGACTCGCGGCGCTCGCCGCCACGGCGACGGACCTTGCTCCCTACCATGCTGACTGCTGCTACGTCCATGTTCCCGCGCGCTCTGCGTGCCTCGCCGATGCTTGCCCGTGCTGCCCCGGTGATGCGCGTGCCCCTTGCTCGCATGCCCGCGGCCGCGCCCGTGCTGGTGCGCGGCTACGCCAGTGCGGGCGGCCCCTCGCTGGAGGAGATCAAGGCGCGTATCAACGAGGTGCTCAAGTCGTTTGAGAAGGTCGATGCGGCGAAGCTCACCCCCACTGCGTCGTTCATGGGCGACCTGGGCCTGGACAGCCTGGACTCTGTCGAGGTCGTGATGGCCATCGAGGAGGAGTTCAACATCGTGCGTATTTTGCCCTCACATGTCCAGGAGATTCCCGATGCCGACGCCGACGCCATCACGACGGTGCAGCAGGCCGTGGACTACATTGCCAACACCCCCGATGGTGTGTGTCGGAACGCTGACGCAGCCCTCTAAGAGCACGTGGCCTATAGCTTGGTAGTCCCTGTCGTACCTGGGCCTGTGATGCAGGCTCTACCCGCCTACTGGATGTGCCCCACCTGTGGGCGTTGTCCTATGCGTCCTTCGCATCATCGCGACCCCAGTCAATGGCCTGGATCGCGTTCTCCAAATAGCTTACAGAGCTCTCCGGCGATCCGCTGTAGCTGAACCCCCGGAACTTTTCTTGCACACTGCTCGAGAGCGGCTCGTCCTTGTCGCCTCGCTCAGGCTTTTGGATGGCCACACCTTTCGAGCTGTCGGCGCCCTCCTTCGACCGCGCCTCGGTGGCGTCGGCGCCCTCCTCGTCGGAGATGGCAAAGTCGGCCATCTCGCGAATGTTCGCACTCGTAAACTCGGGGTCAAAGTTCGACACACTGTCGTTCGACTCCACGAGCGGCTTGAACACGGGCGCAATCTGCTTCTGTGCCAGGGCGTGCCAGTCCATGTCATGGAAGAACACGTGCTCCTTCAGGTCCTGCGCATCGTGCTGCGCGCCGAGCCGGTGCTTCGGGTTGCGGTTCAGCAGTCCCTTGACAAACTGCTTGCCTTCATCGCTGATCGCGCCGCGGGGGAACTTGATTTTGCCGAAGCAGATATTTCGGTACATCTGCTGCGTGTCTTCCGCGTAGAAGGGCGACCAACCACAGCACATCTCGAATAGGAGCACGCCCAGGGACCAAAAGTCGACGAGCTTGCTGTAGCCCATCTCGTCGAGCAGAATCTCCGGCGCAAGGTATTCGGTCGTACCGCAAAACGTGTTCGTGAGCTCACCCGCCCCGAGATCGGCCTTGCTCAGACCAAAGTCACACAGCGCCACATGCCCGGTGGCGTCGAGCAAAATGTTCTCGGGCTTCAGGTCGCGGTACACAATATCGTACTTGTGCAGGTGCTCGAGCGCGAGAATCAGCTCGGCAATGTAGAACTTGGAGCGCGCCTCGGTGAAGCGTCCCTCGCGCTGCAGGTGCCAAAAGAGCTCGCCCCCCGACTTGTAGTCGGTCACAAAGAACAGCTCCGTCTCGGACTGGAAGCTAAACTTGAGGCCCACGAGGAACGGACAGTCAAGACTCTTTTCCAGGATCTTGCGCTCACCCATGGTATGCGTCACCTCCTTCTTCATGGCAATCTCTCGCTTGCTTAGAACCTTCATGGCATAGATACGCTGCGTATCCTTCTTTCGCACTTGGAAGACGCGCCCAAATGTGCCACGGCCGATCAGCTTCAGAAATTCAAAGTCGCGCGCCGTCAGCTTGCGGGGCGGCAGGCGCTCGTATGAGATCTGCACATGGATCTCGCCACATGCGACAGTCTCCTCTTCCGGCCCCTCATTGCGCGCGTACAGTGGGTACCACCGTTTCACCGTCGAGCGGTGGATCAGCCGCGGCTGGATATCCCGCATGCCAATCAGCTGCTCACAATCGGCGACACGGTCGTACACGCTGATCTGCACGCTCTGATGCTCCGTCGTGACATCGAACGTCACGGCATTGTTCCACACGGGGCATGCGCCATGGCTCGCATTCTCTTCATCGTAGCCGATATACTCGTTCTTGTCAAACTGCACCACGACGTAGGGCCGCGAGTGCTCCGGGGACGACACACCCAGCCCGCGCGCCTCGATGACCTGCACACGCAGGTACCCCTTGGCCGTGCCCGTCTGCCGCGTCGCCTCCTTCACTTCCGGCCGCGTCTTGGCCGGGGGCAATTCAATCATAAATTCGGGCGCATTGCGCGACGCCATCGGCGCCATATTGGCAATGTCGGTCGACATGCGCCCCTGTGCATAGCCTGGCGTGAACAACACACTTGGCGAGCTCGCGCGGTCCACCGCGCGGTCCCCGCCAATAATGCCCATCGCATTGCTGCGACCACTCGAGTTCGCATTGCGCTCCTGTAGCAGGTCGAATGGATTCTGCTCCATCGACGCTGGGCGCGCCTTGGGCGTCGTCTGTCGGTCAGCACTGTTACTCAGGCACAGGCCATGCCCACGCGCTACGCACCTCGCCATCCTGCGGAGGCGTAAAAGACGCCTTCATGGTGCCTGTAGGAGAAGACGTGCCAAGGCGCGATTGACCCTGGGCCTGCCGCCGCGAGAGTGGTGGTTGATGACGAACTGGACGCCAGCCTTGGCGCCGCACTACGCGTGGTCCTATATTTGCCTACTCAGTGCCCTATTCGTGGGCTGTGCCACACGTCATTGGGCCAAAAAAGTCTGTGCAGCGGATTTATGTCGGTGCCTGCTTGTCGCGCGCACTGCCCGACCGGACACGAACATATTACCTCCGACGTCGACTCCGTCTATGCGGCCGCTGCCGAGGGCAGAAAAGCCTCGGCATGCTTCCATAGCGCGTGCGCGCCCTGTTCGAACGCCGTCAGTGAAGCGGTCGGCGGCAGCGTCGCGCGTTCCGCCAGATGCCGCACAAACGCATGCGCTTGTTCCAGCACGCGGAGCGGCACGCTGTCGCGCTTGAGCAGCGAGAAGACAAGTTCGGCCGCTTCCTGTGCCTGCGCATCGCCGTGCAGAGCATACAGGCCACGAGCCGCACCCAACACATGGGCCGCCGACGCATCTCCGTAGCGCTGGAGGTATTCTGTCTGTAGCACCGCCACAGGCGCCACGAGCACTGGCATATCCTTCTGCAGCGAGGCCAGGGCCTTGGCGGCCACCTCGGGCATAGAGCCGGCTGCTTCTGCCACTTGGCGGAACCGGATCAACTGGACATGCAGCTCGGGATGTGCCGCGTCCAGGCGGTACGCCAGCGAGAGGGCCCGCAGCGCCAGCAGCCACTTGTTCTGGCGGATCGCCACCTCAAAGGTGCATAGCCACGTCTGGATATCTTGAGGAGCGAACAGCTGAAGCTTGCGCAAAAAGTGGTGCGCCACATCCAGTGGCGTGTCGGTCGCCAGCAACGCCTCACCCTTTGGATCCATATCCGGCGGCGGCGTGTTCTCGTCCAGCTCGCTGGGCACTTCCACCTTGGCCGGCACGGGCTTCTCGCGGTGAGGATCGTCATGCAGCTTCACATACAGCGCGACCGCACCCTTGGCGGCACGCACATAGTCGCGCGTCGCAAAGACATGATCTTCAAAACGAATGGTCCTCACATACGCCCGCAGCGTCATTTTGCGCAGGCAGTATGAATGAAAGTCCAGCTGGTCATCGTAGATGTCTTGCACCGTCTTGTCCACCTGGTGGAAGCGCTTGAGCGCTAGCGCATACTCGCCACGGCGCTCATGCGCCTCGGCCGCCTCAACGAGGAAACCGATCGCCTGCATTTCGACCAGGTCGGCCACGGGGTCAGGCACATCCGGCCGCGTGAAGAGCTTCAGCACACGCGACGCTTCCTCGACCTGGTTTACTCGCAGCAGGTACTTGGCCGCTTTAGTGTTCAGGTAGCGATCCTGCCCATCTAGGTGGCGCGCAGCCTGCATCGCATCCGCCGCGGCCTTGTAGGCGCCCGCCCTCTTCAGCACACGAGCATGCGTCATGTACAGCTCGGGCATGGTAGGTGTGTGTTTCAGCATCGACTCCACATACGTCAGGGCCAGGGCGGGGCGGCCCGTGTAGGAGTAGTGATGCGCAAGATAGTACATGGCAAACAGGTACGATGAAGGCGGCTCGTTCGCTGCCTCTGCTTGGTGGGGGTCCCAGCGCAGGCGGAATGCTTCAACCAGCTCCTCAATCACTGCCTGTTTGCCTGGCTGCTGGTATAGGGATTTCATGTCCGAAAAGAGCGACGGCACATTTTTCACAAGCGCGCGCTCCAGGTAGTCCCGCGCCTGTTCGGTAAAAGCATCGCCTTGCGCGATGTGCAGGGCCATGCGTCGCATCGCTGTCGACTTGGGATAAGAATGCTGCAGCTCCAGCAGCTTTACAAGACGCGCGTCCTCTGTCTCTGCGGCCAGGTCCAGGTAGTTGGCAATGAAATGCTTGTTTTCGGGGTTGCGCTCGAGCAACTTGCGCCATGCATCTACTGCCTCCTGCGTGCGGCCCGCCATACAGAGCGCAAGAGCCTTGAGCTGCTCAGCCGCCGGCACATCCACAATGTGCGCCTTTTGTTCCTCGAGAAGCTGGAGCAGCTGGTCGGCCTCGCCCATCTGCTCCAGCAGGCTGGCATGGTAAAGTACGACTTCATTGAACTCGTAATTGTGTTTGGGAATGTCCCGGCTCACATCCTCGTACGCTGCCAGGACACGAACGGCCTGCGCCTGGCTGTCAGCCAGGTCATGTGCAACGGCCAGCGCAACCCAGTTCATGCGCAGGTGCGGCTGCGTACGCAGTATAACGAGGCGAGCATCAATGAGCGGCGCATAGTTGCGCAGCTGCAGCTGCATGAACCCCGACTCTCGCACCAAGTTCAGGTTGCCGCCCTCGATGCGAAGCGCCTGGGCGTAGCACTTGAGCGACTCTTCATAGTTCCGGTCCATGCGGTACACAATACCGAGAGCATGCCAGCAGATAAAACTGGTCAGGTCATGGCGGACACCCAGTTTGGCCAGCTTCAGACCCTCGTCGCGTTGCTGCAGAGTGAAGAGCACCAGACCCTTAATGGCGAGCGTCTCACCGTGCTCTGGCACCTTGCTGAGAATGGCATCCGCTGTTTTTAGAGCAGGCTTGTACTTCCTATTCTCATACTCCTGGATCAGTCGGGCGAAAAGCACCCGTTCTCGTGGCGAGAGCTGCACCTTCTTTGGCGGCATCACGTCGACCCCGAAGACGCCAGCCGACGCACTGTCACTCTTACATCACGTGATCCAAGGACCATGCACAGACGTCTTCTGGTCGGCATGGAGGATACAAAGCGTTGTTGCTATGACGTTTCACCAGGTGTACTATTGTTTGATACTGTGCTTCAGCGCATGGCCGTGGGGGCCGGAACGCGGTGAACACGGCAGGAGCCATCGTATGACGGATCTGTGCACGTGTCTGCCAGGTGGAGTGGCGAGGGCCTGAGGCCGGCCGAGAGAGGAGTTTTGACCTATGACGGGCGCCCACGGAGATGCGGAAGGAAAGGGCCCTCGCCGCCCCTTTTTTCTTCTGCATCCCCTCCTCTCTCACCGAACTGGAGTTGCGCGAGATTGCGCACCCTTTGCCACACGATCCCTTCTCTGTTTGATCCATTGCTGTGTTCGTGTGAGAAACAAAAATGGTGAACTTCACCGTTGACGAGATTCGCGGTCTCATGGACCGCCCCACCAACATCCGTAACATGAGTGTCATTGCGCACGTCGACCACGGCAAGTCGACCCTGACCGACTCGCTGGTGTCGAAGGCTGGTATCATTGCCCACGCCAAGGCTGGTGACATGCGCTTCATGGACACTCGTGATGATGAGAAGGAGCGTGGTATTACCATCAAGTCGACTGCTATCTCGATGTACTTCCCCATGAACAAGGACGACCTCGAGGCTATCCAGCAGCCGAAGAACGGCAACGAGTTCTTGATCAACCTGATTGACTCGCCCGGTCACGTTGACTTCTCGTCGGAGGTCACTGCCGCTCTTCGTGTCACTGACGGTGCCCTTGTCGTCGTCGACTGTATCGAGGGTGTGTGTGTGCAGACCGAGACCGTGCTGCGCCAGGCCCTGGGTGAGCGTATCAAGCCCGTCGTCTGTCTGAACAAGGTCGACCGTGCTCTTCTTGAGCTCCAGGTCGACAAGGAGGATCTCTACCAGTCCTTCCAGCGTACCATCGAGTCGGTGAACGTGGTGATTGCCACCTACAACGACCCCGTCCTCGGTGAGTCGCAGGTGTACCCTGAGAAGGGCACTGTCGCCTTTGCCTCGGGTCTGCACGGCTGGGCCTTCACTCTGCGTCAGTTCGCTGACCGCTACGGCAAGAAGTTCGGTGTCGACAAGAACAAGATGATGACCAAGCTCTGGGGTGAGAACTTCTTCAACCCCAAGACCAAGAAGTGGTCGTCGAAGGAGACCGACTCGGAGGGCAACAAGCTTGAGCGTGCCTTCAACATGTTTGTGCTCGACCCCATCTACCGCATCTTCGAGTGCATCATGAACTTCAAGAAGGATGAGACTGCCAAGCTGCTCGAGAAGCTCGAGATTGTGCTCACTCCCGAAGAGCGCGACCTTGAGGGCAAGGCACTCCTGAAGGTGGTCATGCGCAAGTTCCTGCCCGCCGGTGATGCTCTTCTGGAGATGGTTGTTATCAACCTCCCCTCGCCCGTCACTGCCCAGAAGTACCGTGTCGAGACCCTGTACGAGGGTCCTCTCGACGACGAGTCGGCTATTGGTATCCGCGACTGTGACCCCAACGGTCCTCTCATGCTTTACGTGTCGAAGATGGTGCCCACCTCGGACAAGGGTCGCTTCTACGCCTTCGGTCGTATCTTCTCGGGCACTGTCCGCTCGGGTCCCAAGATCCGTATCCAGGGTCCTAACTACGTGCCTGGCAAGAAGGACGACCTGTTCATCAAGTCGATCCAGCGTACTGTGCTTATGATGGGCCGTTACATTGAGCCGATTGAGGACTGCCCTGCCGGTAACATTCTGGGTCTGGTCGGTGTGGACCAGTTCCTGCTCAAGAGCGGTACCCTGACCTCGTCGGAGACGGCCCACAACATGAAGGTCATGAAGTTCTCCGTCTCGCCTGTCGTGCAGGTCGCCGTGGAGGTGAAGAACGCCAACGATCTGCCCAAGCTGGTCGAAGGTCTCAAGCGTCTGTCGAAGTCCGACCCCTGTGTGCAGTCGTGGATTGCTGAGTCGGGTGAGCACATTGTGGCTGGTGCTGGTGAGCTGCACCTCGAGATCTGTCTTAAGGATCTCGAGGACGACCACGCCGGTATCCCTCTGAAGATCTCGGACCCTGTCGTCGGTTACCGTGAGACTGTGCAGGCCGAGTCGAGCATGGTGGCTCTGTCGAAGTCGCAGAACAAGCACAACCGTCTGTACGTGTCGGCTCAGCCCCTGGATGACGAGCTGTCCAAGGAGATCGAGACTGGTACGGTCAACCCCCGTGACGACTTCAAGATTCGTGCCCGCTACCTGGCCGACAACTACGGCTGGGATGTCACGGACGCCCGTAAGATCTGGTGCTTCGGTCCCGAGACCACTGGTCCGAACGTGCTGGTGGATGTCACCAAGGGTGTGCAGTACTTGAACGAAATCAAGGACTCGTGTGTGGCTGCCTTCCAGTGGGCCACCAAGGAGGGTGTGTGTGCTGAGGAGAACGTTCGTGGTGTGCGCTACAACATCATGGATGTGACGCTCCACACCGATGCCATCCACCGTGGTGGTGGTCAGATCATCCCCACGACCCGCCGTGTGTGTAACGCTGCCGCCCTGCTGGCCCAGCCCGGTCTGCAGGAGCCCATGTACCTGGTCGAGATCCAGTGCCCTGACTCGGGTCTGGGTGGTATCTACTCGACGCTCAACAAGCGTCGTGGTCAGGTCTTCAGCGAGGAGCCCCGTGTTGGTACGCCTATGGTCACTGTCAAGGCGTACCTGCCCGTTAGCGAGTCGTTCGGCTTCAACGCCGACCTGCGCCAGGCCACTGGTGGCCAGGCCTTCCCCCAGAGTGTGTTTGACCACTGGGCCCTCATGAACGGTATCGCGAGCGACAAGACCAGCAAGCTTTACGAGCTTGTCAAGTCGATCCGTATCCGCAAGGGTCTGAAGGAGGATGTGCCGGACCTGAGCGTCTACTACGACAAGCTCTAAGCGATCTCAGCATTCCATGTAGGGACACGCTATGTGGTGAGCATGGTGTGTCAATGATCGTAGAAAGTATTCGGTTCCTAAAACGCAAGTATGGGTTATCATTGGCGTCCGTCGCGGCCTAGCGCTCCAGGTCTGCGGTCAGTCGTTTGCCACTTACTGATGTTGTTGCCGAAGCGTGCGTACAAGAGCACTTTAAGCTCCTTCATGCCCTTTTCACACTCGTCCATACGATCTTGTAGATGCGTCAACTCTTGTTCGGCACGCTGGGTATCCGTTTCGAGCTGGGCCATGGCTTCGCTCTGGGTCATGCTCACGTACGCATCCCCAATTTTGTACCTTGTTGCGTCAGTCTCCTGTAGTAGCCGACGTACAAAATCATCTCGTCTTCCCTCAACTCCAGCTCCAACGACAAATCCTCCAGGTCTTCGCGTTCCGTGCGTCGCGCTTTAATTTCGTCTTCCAGGTCCGAGTAGATGGCGTGGAGCCGGCTGAACTTGTTGATCCGTTGCTGATCCTCCCACGTCACCTCAACATCATTATCACTCTTCTCATCAAGCTATCATCGTAAGCTTGCGATACGTACCATACGCATCGTGGCGAGACCGATGAACGCGCAAGGCAGTAAGTAGGGGGCGCGGCTCGCGGCCTGGTCGTGAGCGCGTTAGTCAGCACACTGGACTGGCTCGCCCAACTAGCGCGCCTGCTCATCGAAGACGGCACGCAATCTCCGGCGCCATGTCCAGTGTCGACCGGCAGATGTTGAAGGAGTGCCGCGCCCTCTTTAACAAGGGGGAGTGGGAAAAGGCTCGAAGTAAAGCGTACGTTCATTCGATTGACCCAGCGCCGCTATTCTCGACTTTGATGCGAACAACTACCATGCGTACGTCACTGTGGCTGACCGCAGACTCGTCTTTCAAGCCTTGGCCCTTCTTCATCTTGGACAGGGACATGAGGCAGAAAACTCCTATTCTAAAGCGATCCAAGTGGATCCAGAGCAGATACTTGCATGGCAGGGCCTGGTGCGCGTGTACGAAACCCTATCACAGTGGGAAAAGCTGTCTGTCGCACTCGAAGAGCTGGCGGACGTGACGCGGAAACAGTACGTACCTTCTTCTTACACAGAAATGATGCTCTCAAGTGTGCCGATGCCCTGGGGCGACTCGTTCAAGTCCAGCGCGAGCATGGCACGCGTGAAGAGGTGCGTGGCGTCTTGCTGACCCACAGTTGATTCAAGCGCTCCTATTCTTCGTGCCTACGTCGCGCTTCTATGAGATATTACTACAGATCCCAGCTCCAGACCAAACGCAAGGCCAGGCGGACTCGGGGATATTTGTGTCGCAGATGCTGATGCACGGCGCCAGTCTCAACAATGCCCTAGAGCTGACGAAACTCGTGGAAGAACGCGACGAAGATGAGATTGAGAGTCTCATCCAGAAACAAAAAAAATCTCTAGACACGGCGCGGCTCGGCACGGCAAGCATGAAGGGTCAGGTTGTAGCGCAAGTTCTCACACGCTCTCCTCTGGCGGACCTGTACGAGTTCGTGCTACAGCACCCCTATGCTAGCGACGAGTTGCGCCGCGAGACAGAGGCCAAGCAACTCCGCTTCTATCATCGGATCACACTAGCAATGCCAGCGCAGGGGCCGCATGCTGACGAGATCCTTCAGGGCCAGCTCCGCAGCAAGACATTAGAACTGGCCAAAGGTATGGTCGTACTGGGTATCCAGGACGAACTGGCATGGCGCATCTTTCTGGAGAGCACCGATGCGCGACTGGACTCCCTGCCTTTTGACACGCTGTGCCGCTATGTCCAGCTCTTTCCCCACACGGGTCGCGCCTGTGCGTTCCGCGCGCTTTTGCGACTTGTGCAAGACGAAGCGTACCTGGTGGCTATGCGCGATGCCGCCCCAGAGCGTTTGGCGGAGGAAACAGATCTGCTGAAACTCTCGCTTGATGGTGCAGAGCAGAGCAAAGACTCGGCGTTGTGCCTGCGCATTAATACCCTCTTTTATATGCTCGACAGGGACTACACCTCTGCGTTAGACGTTTTGGATCAAGCACGTAAGCTTGTGGTCGATCGAAAAGTCTCTCTTGGGGCCACTTTGGTGGCGGTGCAGAGGGAGCTGAACGTGTACTTGGCCACCTGTTATACGCATGTGCATCCGCCCCAGCATCACAAGGCAGCGCTCGAGCTTGCGAACCAAGTGTTGCGCGAGGAGCCTCACCAAATCGACGTGCTGCTCGCTCGCAGCTACATTGACGCGCAGCGCGGCGAGTGGGAAAAGGCCCTCAAAGGCTTTCGCCAAGTCATGGCCCAGCCTCTTGCGTCCGGCGTCGTGCATGGGCGGTGTCTATCAGCGCTGTACTTAAGCCCCGACTACCACTTGGAGGCGGAGGCCGAAACCGCGCGCATGCACTTGGAACTGGGGCAGTATGCAGACGCACGACATTTGCTCGAGCAGCTGCTGGAACGCTGTGACACGGACTCCAACGTGTTCGGCCCCGACTTCCGTGCGCGACTGTGGCACCAGCTTGGCCGGTGCTTCTGGGCGATGGGCGGCGAATTCAGTACGTCGCCTGCGTATGCGTACCGGTGCTTCATCGAGAGTATAAAGCGTTTGGGCACGTACGCACCAGCGTTCACCTCTCTGGGCCAGTACTACGATGAAGCCATCTCACCCAGCGATGTCGTGCGCTCGTCTAAGTGCTTCCAGCGTGCATTTGAGCTAGATGCACGGGAGTACGAGGCAGCTCGCCGCCTTGTGCAGCACTTTTCTGAGCAGCGTGAATGGGGCTTGGTCGACGTCATTGCCCGCCGGGTAGTCGAAGCAGAGGGTGGCGCCGATGTCCTCACTGGCGAGGCGTCAAGGGTGCATGTTACGCAAAACCCGTGGGTGTGGAAGGCGATCGGTATTGTCGAGTCAACACAGGGACATGCTGATGCTGCTGTGGCCGCTTTCCAGGTCGCCTTGCGTGCCTCATCCAAGGACGTTGATGCCTGGGTGCGTCTGGGCGAAGCCTATGTCGAGTCAGGCCGCCCTGTCGCTGCTCTCAAGACATATGATCACGCACTGCATCTACTGGGCAAGACCGACAGGGAAGAGAGCCACTATTGGCACATCTACTACGACGTGGCAGAGGCACAGCGACGCCTTGGTCGCTTTGACCGCGCAACTGATCTTCTGGAGCGAGTGCTTCGTTTGTCGCCGCAGCAATATGGCGTGAAGGTTGTGCTTGCGGAAACGCGCCTTGCACACGCACGGCATTTGCTGACGGGTGGCTACTCGCTGCGAGCTCTGCAAGCGCTCCATATGGCCATTCACAACGCTGCCGAGGCTCTGGAGAAAGACCATTATCTCCGGACTGCGTGGAAAGCAGTGGCCGATGCCTGCTTCTTGCTGTCCAAGATGGATGTTATGGGCCTGGCCAGCGACGCTTCCCTCACCTCGACACTGCAAGATCTGGCTCTGATTTTAGGCCAGCAGGACCTTGACAACCGCCTGCCGGCTGTGCACGTCGTCAAAGCCTCTTCCATGTCCCGACTCGTGGTCGAAGAGCGCGAGCCGCATCCGCACGAGTACCTCGAGTACGCTGCGCTCTTTTACAAGTACCTGGCACTGGTACATGCGATGGATGCGCAGGCCTCTGTCCTCGCCTGGGCTGACCTGGCCACGGCCCTGTGCCGTCTGTGGTGGGTGTGGCCACTTCCTGCTACGGTGGCTCGCCATGAGACACCTGATGTGGCCCACGCCGAGGCACGCGCCGAGAAGGCCCGCACCCAAGCCGTGGAGTGCACGCGCGTAGCCTTGGCAACCAAGCCTCATGCGCGCTTGTGGCTCCTTTTGGGCAACCTGCATTTCTCACACGATGTCGCCTTGGCGCAACACGCCTATATCCAAGCGATCGACGCCAATGGGAAGAGCCCCGTGCCGTGGACGAACCTTGGCTTCTTGTATCTGCAGGCGGGCGACTTGGCATTGGCCGAGGAGGCGTTTGTTCGCGCGCAGACCATTGATCCCGAATGGCCGGGGTCCTGGCTGGGCAGCGCCCTTGTCCACCGTACTCACCAGGGTGACGCGCGCGTCTTCACGCGCTTGTTCGAGCAGGCCTATCTCCTGTCCGACGGTGCACTGCTTGAGGCGGACTACGGCTTTGCTCTGGCCATGTTTCAGCGGGCCAAGGCAGGTACGCCGTTTGCGTCGGTGCGCATGATGGAGCCTCTGCTGGCCTTGCATCACTACATGACTCAGCTCCCGCATGACGAGACAGTTTTGCACCTGAGCGCCCTCCTAGCGGAGCAAATGGGCGGTGCTGCCCTGGCGGCACAGAGGATCGAGCGGGCATCGACCCTTCTTGAGACCGAGTACGAGGCGACCGAGAGTACTTCGAGTGCCTTGCGCTATGGTCTTGCGAACCTCAATCTGGGTCGGATTCACTTGATGCATGGGGGCGCTGATGCCGCCGTCGATGCCCTGGAAGCAGCTCAGGCGCTCTTGGACGAAGATACGGACGGTGGCGAGCACGTCGCAGCGGCCCGCCTATGGTGTGCTGTCATGATAGCACACGCGCAATTCATGTCAGGCAACCACGACGTGGGTATGGAGAGCTTGCAGGAGGTCGTGCAGCTCCTGCCTGCCTCGGATCTGTCACCAGCTATAATCTCCTCTGTGCATGCGTGTGCGGCTGTTTTGCTGGCGCGCATGCGTTGGCAGTGCCGCCAGCCTGTCGATAAAATTGCACAGGATTTGGACCATGCGTATGTCATATCTACTGACCTTAGCCTTTCGTTTGTGCCGAGTGATCCTCTGCTGATCACGACGCGGGTAGCTCTGGCAGCAGTGGCAGGCGATACGGTGCAGTATAACTCGCTGCTCGCAAAGCATGTGGCCCCCCTGCCGCCAGCACAACAGACAGCACTGCGCAATTCGCCGAAGACGGCGCTGCTGAGCCTGCTGCATTTGGCCGCTACGTTCGATCGGCCGACCCTGCTACAATACTTGGCGAACTCGTATACACGCGCTGACAACACGACCGACATTCTCGTCCAGGTGGCCCATACGTTTGTACGAGTTGCCGCAGGATGCGTTCGCAGCGGTGAGCAGCTGCCCGTGCTGCCTCTGCCTGAGCACCGAGACGGATCCGTACTGGCTGTGGCGCGTCATGTGCTCCATACGGTGGAGGCCCGTGCTGATGAGGAGGGCGCGGCACATTGGGCCGCGGCGCATTGGACGCTCGCGCTGGCCGAGTCGCTTACACATCAGCACGGGCCGGCCCAAACTGCTGAGGCAGACGCTCCAGGCGAGGAGCCAGTGGCACAGCCGTCGTCGCCCCCTGCCACGGCCTCGCGAGAAAATGCCTGCCGCCACGCGGCGCAGGCCGTGCACCTGGCCCCCTGGGAGGCAGCGTACCGGCGCACGTTGCAGGCCACACATGATTAGTCAGGGTCGCCGCTTCGATCGCGCTAAGGGCACTCTCCACCCGCTGCTCCATGTGGGTGTATGTGGCCCTCACAGGCGCGGGCCTGGCATGCTTGTTTAGTATCCGGTATCTACCTTCATTTCCTGCAGTGCTTGAGCCCTGGCTATCCGTGCTGGGAAAGATCGCGCAGGCGATCCAGTACTTTGACACGGCCTATCCAGCCCTGCTCGTGTCCCTGCTTCTGAGCGTGATCGCCTTTGGTGCGACATACGTGGTTATTGCCTATTCACGAGAAGCCTTTATGGCGCGAGGAATGAGTGGTATAGACCTGCTCAAGCGTGACATGCTTCCTCCCGGTACGATCCCGCCCCGTATTCCTGAGGCCCTTGGACTGCCCTGTGCGGCTCTGTACCTACTTGCCTTGGTGGTTTTGATTCCATTTCGATACTTTGGCGCTAACATGTATGGACTTCCAACGAGTCTTGCAGGCCCCTCGCAGGACAGTACGCCAGGTGTTCACCAGGATCTAGCCAGCTTCCTGTCAGCCATTCTCTCAATATATTCAGGCACGCTGCTGGGTTTCGTGGATGATGTGCTCGATATTCGCTGGCGATACAAGCTTCCGATCCCGCTGCTGAGTAGTATCCCAATGCTCATCGTGTACATGGCGGGTAATGGCTCTACCAGCGTCGTTGTTCCCGCCTGGCCCCCCTTTTTGCGCGAGGCACTGCAATGCACCTCCCTGGATCTTGGCATTTGGTACTACCTATTTATGATGATGCTAGCCACCTTTTGCACAAACTGCATCAATATCCTCGCTGGTATCAATGGCGTAGAGGTCGGGCAGGCGACCGTGATCGCCATCAGCGTATGCCTCAACAATGCACTTTACCTCGACCTGCCTGCCGTCCTTCGCGCAGCATGGATCAACAACACGGCCGTGCCTGATCCAGTGGATGTTCTGCGTGGATTCCATGGGAGTCGAGACCTGGTGGTGCGCCACCTGTTCAGCATGCACCTGCTCTTGCCCTTCATCGGCGTCAGCTTGGCCCTTTTGCTGTGGAACAAGTACCCTGCGCGCGTGTTTGTGGGCGACACATACTGCTACTTCGCCGGAATGGTGTTGGTATCGTGCGGTGTCCTGGGGCACTATTCCAAAACCCTCCTGCTGTTCTTCCTGCCCCAGATATTCAACTTTTTGCTCAGCTGCCCGCAGCTCTTCGGCCTCGTGCCCTGTCCTCGCCATCGTGTGCCCTTCGTTGACAAGTCGACAGGGCAGCTATACCCCTCATGCGTGCGACTCCCCCAGCCTTTGTCGACCTCGACTATTGCCATGCTTCGTGTTTTGGAAGCGTGCCGGTGCGCTCGCCTTGTGCGTCACGAGCATGGCCACATTGTAGGTGTCACCAACCTGACACTCCTTAATGCCGTGCTCGTTGCGCGCGGCGTGCGTTGTGCGTCCGCCTCCCCCGCGGCAATGGAAGCTTGCATGGCTCAGAAAGACCCGACGTTGCGTGTACCGGCCCAATCGAACACACTGCACATCTCGGAGCGAGGACTGTGGTTCTACGTCATTGCCATTCAGATGGCAGGCTCCCTTGTTGCCTTCACCGTGCGATATTGGCTAGCATCCATTCTGTTTCCATTTACTTAGAGTTAAGGAAGCTCTGGAACTGGCTGAGTGCACGGAAGCGATGAGACACCTAATGTAAGCATAATAGACGTACAGCATTCTTCTCAGATTTATCCATTTCTGCAAAGCTAACGTTAGTGAGCTCTACGCACGTTTTGCCATGACCATCGACCTCAAAGACAGGGTCCCAGCCAAAGTCCGTGGGTCCGCGAGGAGGGACAATGTGCCCGAGCGTCTTACCCTCGAACAGAACCGGCTCAAAGCCCGGACCCTCACAGTACGCAAACGTGCAGATGGCTGTGGCACCCTTATCATCGAAGCCCGCTAACAGACGGTTGAGTCCTGTATTGAGCGTACTCTTACGCACCATCCAGACCCAGTTTGTGCAAAAAGTCTTTAATATAGGGTCCAGGAAGGCCATTGAGTGCGCGGAAAGATAGCGCTGTGTCCTCAGTGAGACAGGGACCCTGTAACTGTTGCGCGGCGGATCGACACTTGGCTAGAGCTACCTCTTGCGTGGAGCCTTGCACCTCGGGAACTTTGGTCAGCGCTTCTCACATACCATCCAGCGACTTGGACTCCAAACTCCAGGACGCATTCGGTGATGCGCCCAGGATATTTTGCACTTCGCGCAGCTTGTTCTTATTGCCAGTCACAAACGTGATAATTTTGGTCATGATGATATTACGTGGAGGGCTTTCGCGTATCTATCTCGGCGCCTGTTCGATGAGTCTTGCGCTCGACTCGCAGGAGCCGTCAGACAAGAAGGCTACCTCGTCTGTTGTCCCTGTCGATGCGGATGTGAATGCACCTGATCACACGTTTGGCTCGCGCATACTTGAGTCACAAGCGGATGTGTGGTCGCACAATGCATGGGATCACGTCGTGCCGCCGAAAGAGCATCTTGATATGGTCCAGGATCTGCTACAGAGGCAGTCGGAGACGCGTGTTAGTGACGAAATGGCGCGTACGTATGACCTTGCTGATTCAGGACAATACCATGAGCATGCGGCCGATTATTGGAATTCGTTCTACTCGCATCATGACAATCGTTTTTTCAAGGACCGCAAGTGGCTTAGCCTCGAATTTCCAGAACTGATTGCTGCGACAAAGTCGGATGCCAAGCCTACTACCATCCTTGAAGTTGGCTGCGGTGCAGGCAACACGGTCTTTCCCCTATTGAGCGTGAACGAAAACCCCCAGCTGCGTCTCATTGCCTGCGACTATGCACCCCAGGCCGTGCAGGTAGTGAAGAGCCAGCCACTGTATGAAAAACCGCCTACCGGCACCTGCGAAGCATATGTGTGGGACCTAAGCAGCGGATCCAACGATACAGGTGACTTTGACCCTGCACGCTTGCCACCTGGTGTGGCTCCTGGCTCGGTCGATGTAGTGGTGCTCATCTTTGTGCTTTCTGCATTACACCCAAAGGAATGGCATGCCGCCGCAGAAAATACATACCAGATGCTTAAACCAGGCGGCTTAGTTCTCCTGCGCGACTATGGTCGGCATGATCTACCTCAGCTTCGCTTTAAAAAAAACCGACTTTTGGATGACAACTTCTATGGTACGTCGCTCAAATCACTGACCCAGTTCGCGGAGACGGTACTCGAGGTACGTGTATTGCATTAATGTCAGTCTACTTTTTTACCCCCGAAGACCTCTACAGCATTTTTGGGGCTGCACCCCGCGAAGCCGAGCGCACAGGCCGCTTCCTTACGCGGCAAATGGCCGTGGACCGGCGACTCCTCGTAAACCGGAAAGAGCGCAAACAAATGTACCGCGTGTGGATGCAGGCAAAGTTCGAAAAGGCCATGGCTTCATAAACTATAATACAGCTACAAGACCTTGATCTCATGCATCAACAGTGTCTCTGTGCTGGACGTGAACCACCCACGGTCCCCCGAGCTAGTCAGCAGAAATCGAGAACAGGGATCCACCACTATGGTTAATGCATGAATACATACCCATCTTCGAAATAGTGCCACCATGGTGCCCTGCCACAATTTTGAAGGGAACACCCGCACTCTCTGTGGCTTCGATATCCCACAGGCGCACATTATCGAAAGAGCCGCTAATCTTAGCCGCACATATACGCACCATACTAAATGTCGGTTGTTGGGCATAACAAGAACGGAGCTTACAGGCCCACTCCCGCGGGGCATCCGCAAGGTGCGCACATGCTTGGGCGCTCGTCCGAGATGCGAGCGCCCAACCGAGTCCGATCGTGTCGCGTCTGGTAGCATGCGTACATCCCATTCTTCCACGGTCTCGTTCCGTCGACCAACATAGATCTTGTCGCCGGTATGATTCCAGCAGACACTCATGCACCATGGGGGTGTACCCGACGGTAGCTCCAGTGCCCGAACGCCCTGCTTGGATTTGGAATCCACACGGCGATCCCATAGCATGACCTGTCCTGAAAGTGTACTGGTTAGGAAAATATCACTGCTGAATTGCGAAATATCCGCATCGTATTGCCATGCACTTGTCATGGAGCCAAACAGCGGTTTGGGGAGCTTCTTGTCTTCTTTCGGAGGTGCACTTAGAGCAGGTGGCTCCTTGGTATCTAGAGGCGCGTCAGTCTTGCGGCCTGGCAGGGCGATAGCAGCGCCCCCCGTATCTCCCCTCCTCAACAAGCCCGCACCATTCACGCTCGTTTTATTGGCTTGATCTCCGAGAGCGGTTGCAGCAGGTCCTTTTCGGTCGTCGTTGGCGTCCATTTCGACCGAGTCTCGGCCACCACTGCCTGGGTCGCGGATCGAGTCGTCTTGGTCTCCGAAAAGAGAATCACCGTCTTCATCCACTTCTCCATCCCCATCTGCATCGTCTTCGCCCTCTGCATCGACCTCATAGTCCATCGGTGAATCATCATCTGCCGGCTTCGCCTCCGAATCATCCTTGGCATCAGACGCAGACTCTTCGAGCTCCTGCGCTAGGTCATTCTCCAAGTCGTGCACTAGTAAAGATGTGAGCACAGGATCCGCATCCATCGAGTCAGAGGGAGGGGTCTTCGATCCTGTGGCTGAGTTCGATACCCCAGACGGTAGACACATCGGTCGGAATACAATGCTCGATATTTGACCCGAATGTCCATCAAACGAGCGTACCACCTGGCCCGTATTCAGGTCCCATTGCTGCCAATTAGCGTTCCAAGTCATCCACGTACGAAAACGCCCCGGTCCCAGCCTCCGCTAACCAGATTCTGCTCGGCTGGATCAAGCGCTAGAGACGACACAGGCCCAGTGTGTTTCCGAAAAACATGTCTTGTTGTTCCTGCTGCGTGCCGCAGGCCCCACAGATTGATTGTGCCAGCCTCACATCCACTCATACCCCAAAGCGAGTCTTTCTGACTAACAAGACTGTGCACTGGGTTGTTGAATGTCTCGCGAGTAGCAGGATTTTCCGCCGCTGTTTTGGAATACGTATGGCCCCACCAAGTGGTAAGCACGCCGCCTTTAGATACACCTTCCACGAATGTATTGCGAAGATTTTGAGTAAGCATGTTCTTGCCATTCATGCTAGCGAACAAGTCATACCACCGCACATAGCCATCACTGCCACCGGTGAGAAGAATAGATGAATCATGACTCAGATCCATCGTATGAATTTGAGCTCCATGCGGAGCGGCACCTACTGGATTGATCGAATATCCTTGCTGCGTGGTCAGTGCCTCTTGTGACGGCCGGAATAAATTCCGGCGTCGCTCAATGGCCCGTAGATAGTCTTCCATAGTGCTGTTATGTGGCGCACTCCTAAGAAGAGAGTCTGAGGCGGCGGCGCTGCTAGCTCTACTATCACTCTCGAGGGGCTCGTCCATACACGCGCACGACCAAAGACACTCGTGGGAGCTACTGGAGTGAAGCTCGCCCTCCACTCCATGGACCGTCACGTGTAGCGGTCTGGATGCATCCAAGGGTATGTCTTTATGATTCGACTGGCGACGCCATAGGTACATTAAGCATTGCGAGCCAAAAAGGGAGTAAGTGCACCGCGTCCAGTCAACACAGCACCAATAGACACGGCGCCCATAGCGGGGAACACTACCCATGGCGTCACTCCGACCCAGTGCAGCACCGCACCCAGCTCGATGACATACACCGATACCAAAAACAGAGCCACCATTGTTTTGGGGGCTCTCACATTCTTCACAATCCGGTGCCACTGGAGGTAAGAAATAGGAACATACAATAGTGAGAAGCACAGTCCAGGGCAAACTCAGTACCAAAAAAGCTGCCAAAAGCGAAACCAGCTTGGGAGGCATGGATTGCCAAGGCTCCATCTGGAACGTATGTTGGTTGGCAGGCCAGGGATAGAATCCATCTTCACGTTCAGCTTTGGAGCGCAGTGAATTCGACAGAGCCGATGCGAATCGCGATGCGATCGCACTTGTGAATTGCAGATCCAAGAGAAGCAGCTGCAATGGCTCCACCACACTGTTCGAGTTACTCGGGAACGAAGCAAGAACCAAATGCATTCGTAGCGGGTGATCCACACCCTGCTTCACAATGGTTTGCTTCAGGGATTCACTCATGCGATCCACACGCTGCAGGTAAGCAGAAGACACGTACCAAACTCCAAGTTGCCGACGCAGTAGCGCCGCGCACACGCAGTGGCCATACGGAATCTGAGCTTTCTTTGTCAGTGACATCACTGATCACCACCCAGGCCTGATGAGGAAGGAAGTCACCCGTTGCCTTCTCTCCAGTCGACAAGATGGTAGAAAAAGAGAGCTTAATGACATCGTCAGCCTCCAGCGTCAGCAATTCGGGCGTGGTCGGCACAGAGGCTTTACCGTCAAAGCTCTTGCGAAAGCGCGACGCGCCATCAAAAGAGGACACAGTCAGTTTTGCATCACGAATATCGTAGGCTAGCGATGCTGCAACACTCCAAATGCTGCATAGCAACAGAGCCACCGCAGCGACAACTGCCCGAGCGGCCATTACTGTGGAACAGACGATCGATGCTCATCCGGACCTGCTAGTTGGCCCTTGCACCCCTTACCTATTAGGCCCCCTATATCTCCACTAAGTCACTGGAAATCATTTCTGATTGGTCCAAGTCACAAGGACCAGCGTCTGGCCAGAGCGGATCCGGAATACAGCGGTTCCGTCTCGTGCACTGTCCGTCCAGCAACAACATGAGCGACACTCAGTTCCAGAAGGCCGTGGAGATTATCCGCAATCTCCCTAAGAACAGCCCTGCGAAGGTGACCCAGGCTCAGCAACTCAGGATATACGGCCTTTACAAACAGGCCACCGAGGGCGACGTGTCGACGTCGCGCCCTGGCATGCTGGACTTCACTGGCCGCGCCAAGTGGTATGTATGCTTTGGCATTGACTCTTTCTACAGGGATGCTTGGAACTCTGAGAAGGGCAAGTCGTCCGAGCAGGCCAAGAAGGACTACGTGGATCTGTTCATCGAAGTACGTAATTACACACCTTACACCAGATCTTCACTCCGCTCAAGGGTATGCCTTTCTCCTCTAACATACAGATGATGCCGAGTTTAACAAGTACCTTGAAGAGGTCAAGAACGCCTAAGTTAGTCTCTATTTCCGTAGACATCAAACCAATTACAAGACATTTGGGTATCTATCTAGTCCCAATCTAGATCTTCGTCTTGAAAGTCCATCAGGGGAGGCACGCTACTCGTATTGGTGCTGGATTGACCCGCTTGTCCTTGGGCCACTTTTTTCTGGAAGGCGAGGGCAGCCGCTTGATATCCCCCATGATCGATTTTTGAGCCATCCTCTGATTTGGGGGGCGGTAAGGGAGCGCGATCGTCCCGCATAATACTCGGGTCAACACGTCCGTCCTCTCCCTCGACGGAAAGCATGAGTTGAGGTGTCTTGGCCTCAATCACCTGTACGTAAGTGGATGTCGCGTACATAATGGTTATCACAATGAGGGCAGAATTCATCTGCCTGTTCGTACTGAGCCATATCCTTTCTAAAGGCACGCCTACATTTTTTGCACAAAAATGCAAGCTCTGTTGTCTTCGCCAAGGGATGATCTTGCGTCTCAGAATGACACTCGGGACACTGCATTAGTGAACCGCACGCACATCAAAAAATTTTCGGCAACAAGGCGCGCGTATAGCCACTTGCGCATTCAAAATATGCTTGCTTTCCATGAGCCTAATCCAAACATACCACATAGCGATGGGGAAGGTTTGTGCGCGCTCTATGCGTGTGTGAAGCGTGTTGCAACACGTATGGCTCTCATCTAACATGCATTAAGTCCTAGTAGGTAATTACGTAGACCTGCTGTTCGTCGCCCCAACCACGCGACTGTGGAGAAGGGTACCACCATGTCAAAGAGCGCGCCCACACAGGAGCTTCACTTTGTCATTGGAGGAGCTGGGTTTCTAGGCTCGCACATTCTGAATGCGCTTGTGAATCGTGGCGAGAAGTTTGTGGCATCATTTGATATCCGTGAGCCCACAGAAGCCATTCAAGGTGCCCGTTACTATGAAGGAGACCTTACCAAGCCGGAAACAATTGTTCAAGCTATGGACGACGCTCAGCGTGATTTTCAATCTGGCACTGATCGCTTGTCTGTAGTGGTTTATCACACAGCGAGTCCTGTTGCCGGTCTAGGGCCTGATGTGTACGAGCGTGTGAATGTGCTAGGGACAGAGAATGTGATCGACGTATGCAAAGACCCAAAGAACCGGGTGACGAAGCTCGTATTTACATCAAGTGCGGGTGTCGTGTTCACGGGGCATGACTTGATTTATGTGGACGAACGCCTTGACTATCCGACCACGCCCATGGACGCTTACAATGACACGAAAGCTCGTGCTGAGAAGGCTGTGCTCGAGGCCAACGACGAGAATGGACTAAAAACCATTGCACTTCGTCCTGCTGGCATTTTTGGCCCCGGAGACCGCCAGGCCCTACCTGGTTTTTTCCAAGTGCTGGAGAAAAAGCGCACAAAATGGCAGATTGGCAACAACGTCAACCTGTTTGACTGGACCTATGTCGAAAACGTGGCACACGCGCACTTGCTTGCGTCTGATAACTTAGGAGTCAATGGGCCAAATGGCCGACCCGCCTCGGCCTTGCCAGCTCAGGACCTGGTCGACAAAGTGCTGCCCATGCCCCATGGTGATTCGGAAAAACCCCGGGAGGTACCCACATCTTTGGAAAGGGAGGATGTTGAGAAGGCAGCAACCGATTACTGCCGCTCTGTGAAACCCCTTATCGACATGTCGAATGACGAGCAGGTGGATGAGCGGCCTGAATACCGTAATCGCTTCGATCCCTTTTTCCATCATGCTAATCCAACAGTGGCATGCGGCGGCAACCCGCGCCCGAAGGTGTATTCGCTTGCCAAGGATAAATTAACGGCGGCCGGTGAGGCCTTTTTCATCACGAATGGGCAGCCTATTCCCTTTTGGGACTTCCCTCGCTCTCTATGGTACCGCTATAATGGCCATTATGACAAGCCTAGTAGCTTGATCGTGCTGAGCTTGTGGTTTGCCTTGACTCTAGCGTTCCTTGCTGAGTGCTTCTCGAAAATCACCGGTCGCCCTGTGCAGTTTACACGCTATCGTGTGACGTATACCGCATGTGCGCGTTACTACAACATTGAAAAGGCACGTCGTATCCTAGGTTACGAGCCTATTTATGGCATGGAAGAGGCTATCGACCGAAGTGTTGACTGGTGGAAGTCGATCCACCCACCGTCGAAGACGTACAAGGACGAGACGCGCAAGACCAAGTAGGGTGCTGTAGGTGCCTGCGTTCTCCACGTTGTCACGTGAGCGAACTGGGAGGCCTTGGGTTGCGCATGGGGCACTTCCTCGAGGAGCATGGGGGATGAGACCGCGTCTCAACGAAGTAGATGGGATCAGGCGCCCAAAGCAGCCTCAGATCATACGTGTGTGAGCTCAGAATTAAACGAGAAGGAGTCTCGTGCGAAAGAATCTGTGCGCGCATCTCTCGCTGCGAAACGGAAAGCTGAGTCGACATCTTCCCAGGATTCTGTATCCCGTCGCTCGTCGGTTGCGGCGTCTGTTCCATTACGTTCTGAGCACCCAGTGATACAAGGCTGCGCATCAGTTTCAGACTACGAAATACTCAATCGCATTGAGGAAGGCTCCTATGGCATTGTCTCGCGGGCGCGTCACAAGCCCACGGGCGAAGTGGTAGCTCTGAAGCAACTGAAGTTGGACAAGGAGAAATATGGTTTTCCAATCACAAGTCTACGAGAGATACATACACTCATGGAGGCGCGGCATCCCCATATTGTAGAGCTCCAGAAGCTCGTCGTTGGATCTACCTTGAGCCAAATTTATCTGGTGATGGAATTCGTGGAGCATGATCTCAAGACTTTGCTCAACAGGATGCGCACGCCTTTCCTACCGTCGGAAATCAAAACATTACTGAAGCAGATCCTGTCAGCTGTGGCGCTGATGCACTCTCGTTGGGTTGTTCATCGTGACTTGAAGACCTCAAACCTATTGATGTCCAATCGTGGAAGTATCAAAATCGCCGACTTTGGACTTGCGCGCATGTTTGGTGATCCTTTGGAGAACATGACCAACCTGGTTGTCACGTTGTGGTATCGCGCCCCAGAGCTGCTACTTGGCGCGAGACAGTATGGGCCTGAAGTCGACATGTGGTCGGTAGGCTGCATTTTTGCCGAGCTACTTCAAAAAGAGCCCCTCTTCCCAGGTAAAAACGAGGCCGACCAGGTATCCAAGATTTTTTTCCTCCTGGGCCAGCCGTCCGAGGCCAATTGGAGGGGCTATTCGAAACTACCAAACGTTCCTACTAGGATTCGAGCACCTACGCGCAGCCATCTATCCCATCGCTTTCGCTACTGTACCGAGGCTACGCGAGACCTTTTGCAACGCATGTTGACGTACGACCCCTCTTGCCGGATTACGGCGGAGGAGGCATTACAACATCCTTATTTCACGGAACCACCTCTTCCGGCGCATCCTGAAACCTTCGGGAGCTTTCCTTCTGCGGCATCAGGAGACCGTCCACGGCACGGCAGTCCTGCGGCGCCGCTCCATCGCGTCTACAGCGAGCAGCGGTATCCTTTACAATTCGATCTGTAATATAGTGTTTGTTGCATGTGACATAATCGTCGCCGTCGCACTCGTTATGGACTCCACATTTCCCCACGACGATGTATCGCTTCCGGTTGGCTTGGCGCTCGTCCCGGGCCGTCTGGGCCCAGCCACGGCCCTGGTCTCAACCCGTCTATGGGCGTATGTTTACGAGCGGCCCGATACTAGGAGAGGAGGACAAGCAAGCCAAGATCATTCGCCTTCTGCAGGAGAAGTTTGAGCCGTCCGATTTGCAGGTGCAGGACGTCAGCGGTATGTATACAGCGTCTTATCTCAGGTGGTTGCGGCTCCTTTTTTGCTATCATGATCAAGTCCAAGGCATTTGCCGACAAGCGCACCGTGCAGTCGCACCGCATGGTGAATCAGGCCATCAAGGACGTTTTTGAAGACATCCATGGCCTCCAGCTTAAGACGATTGCCGACACGGACTAAATGGATTGATCTATACAGTAACGTGGACAGGCACTCATAAGACTTGTATGGCTTTTGCTAGGCGCCGTACTTGGCTTTGAGCCCATCATTGTATGAAATATGCGATAACCGACTCTCGATATTTAGCCTTCGATTCGGGGCTACCGTTGGGACCCGTTGTCGTCGGAATAAGGTGTCGGCTTTTTGTATGGCCGGATCGGAAACATTTTGGTAAAACGTTGGGACCAAAACCGGCCCTTCATAGTTCACATGAGGAAGCGAGCGATGCACGTATGTGAATCGTGGATCAACGGTGGTATCTACGCCCGAGTCGCCTTGGTCGGTCCGCTGAGTCACTGCGCCGTACCTGCGGACGCGCAAGTTGCTTTTGGTAGGAAAAGTAAGTGCCGCTTGCCCTTTGCATGCAGAATCGCGGTGCTCAAAGACCACATCCACCACATGGCAATGAGGAAGTAAACGCGTCCGGACCATTTCAATGGGGCCAAAGGGCTCGGCCAGGTCGTTGGCCAGCTGCTCATTGAAAGGAATGAAGACGGGGCGGGACGCAGAGGCTCGTTGGATCGAGAGCAACATCGAGCGCAGCAGAGGGCTTGCGTACTGTTGTAGCCACACAGGATCCATTTTCACGCAGCGCTGCTGGGGGTTGATAAGCGAGAAGCGCAGGGTTCGCTCGGCTCGGGCAGGCTCGAGCCGAAGAAATGTGCCCATAAAAGGGACATATTTAGTACCATGAAGAGCACGAACAGCATCCTCTTCAGACGTGAACTCGGCAAATGCACATCGCGACGGATGCGCGACAGCATGAGAAAGCTTGATGTCGTGGACCTGCCCCCATCTCGATAAGAACAAAAACAGCAGCGTAGGAAGATGCACGGTGGGTGGGATATGCGATGGAAGCCTGTTGTTATTATGCAGGACATACCCAGCAACAAACATGGTGTAATGGCAGCTCATGGAAATATCAGGGTCTGTCCATGGGGACATCATCTGACGTGAAGCGAGACCGGTGGGAACCCCATCGTACAAGTGCCAAGGCCTACGGCGTGGTCCAAGCTGTTGGTCTGACGGGCTGGTCAAAGTCCTGCATCAGCCTCCGCATCATAGGTCTGTGTAGGACGTGGCTGTGGCACTGCCGAGCAACTATGCATGCGCGCCAGCACGGTGAGTTGCATGGGCCTCTGCAGGGCCGTGCGGCCTGCAGTCCAGTAGGTCCCTCCACTCAAAAAGGATATTTTTTTTTGGGTTTCTATATCAGTGGTAAAAGACAGATATCGCGCGAGACGAGGCGGTCAGGGCTCTGTCCCAGCGCATCTTTCATAGAAGCAAAGATCGTATAGTACAGCGCTCCAGCAAGACACCAGCTATATGGCGGACCCCGCGATGTCTCACATAACAGCCCATAGAGGGAATCGTGGCAGCAAGGGCAAACTGCCTTTTGGGGGATCGACACAGCCTACGCGGTCACAGCATGACCGGAGGTGGCTGCCACAGCAGCAAAGTCGCGAGGAGACCCATGCGCAGGCGTAGGTGTCTCGCTAGGCTCGGAGGGAGGGGCTGGGGTGGGAGCATCCTCACTCGTCGGCTCTGGCTCGCCGGCCGGACGGCTCGCCGGCTTGGGCGGTGCAGGCGCACTGAGGATCGCCGAAAAGTGCGCCTTGCCCTTGGGAGCCGGGTTGACAGGCTCGGCCACGCCGCCGCCGGGCAGGGCCGGGAACTCATCGCTGTTCGGCACGCGCTGCTGAGGAGCCTTGCGGTGCGTCGTAGCGGGCGTCGACGAGCCACGGCGGCCGTTCTTGACGCGCTGCGCTTGCGCCTGGTTCGCGCGGCGCTGGGTCGGCTTCTTGTTTTGGGGCGTCGACGCGCCGCTCGAGGGCGTCTCGGTGTCCGATGGCACACGATCCTGCGTGTGACTGTTACCAGCGCGCGGCGCAGCCTTGTCGTCCGCCGGCAGCTGGCGCGCATCCGAGCCATCTGGCAGCACATGGGGGAAGCGGCACTCGTTTGCGTAGCGGCATGCCGAGCGCGCAAAGAACGCACACGATGGACGGCTGCCGTTCGCGGCGCGCGTGCGCTGACCCTGCGCGTCGGTGCGACTCGTCTTCTGGAGTCCCTTCTTCGCCGAGCGTGCAGGGCGCGGCGCCGGTGGAACCGTCGCATCCGACGGAGCGTCGCTCGGTGCGGGCTGCGCGTCCGACGCAGGCTCCTCTGCGCGGGCCTCGGGCACAGGCGCCTGAGGCGTCGACTCCGGCGTGCCCTGCGCGGGAGGCGCATAGAACGGCACGCCGGCCGGGCCGTATTGCACAGGGTACATGGAGCGATTCATGTCCGCAAACGGCGGCGGCACGCCATAGGGACCTGGAGGGAAGGGCATGCCGGGCCCAGGAAAGAACATGTGTGGCGCGCCAGAGGACGGCACCATTCCCTCAGGCGGAGGAATGACCGGTCCACTGGGGTGCTGGAAGACACAGCGGTCGCCGTAGCGGCAGTAGGGGAAGAACTTGCAGGGAATCATGCGGGCAACTTCGGGTGGCGGGAGGTGGGCCGGTGCCGCACCCTCGTCGCCTGCGGCATGGGCGGGCGTCGAGGTTTGAGGGGGTACCTGGTTGGCCATGCGTGTATCGGCGTGCAGGGCGGCCTCACGTACCAAGGCAAAGGCCTGCTGGTTGTGTTCGTTCGGCACGGCGGCGGTCTGGGCGACGCGTGGGTCGGCGTCTGGGTAAGCCATTGTCAACGTACGACGCGCGAGGAGTTCGTGAACAACAGGCACATGGCCCGCCTGAAGCGCATGCGCAAGTGCGGTCCGGTTCGCTTCGTCTGGGATCAGCATAGAGTACATACCGACAGCACCGATCAGCGAGGGGTTCTGGTCCAAGAGCGAGCGCACCGCGTTCACATCGCCATGCTCACATGCAACAAAAATGTCAAGACTCATTGCAAGAATGTTTGTGCTCCTTTTCCTCCAGTCTTTGCGCCGCTGACAGTAGCCCAGAACAGCACACGACCCGTGGGATGCCTGTCGAAGAAAGCTAGCGCCGGCCGCCCGCCTAAAAATTTTCGCCGGGCGTGTCGCCCATGCACGTGATGGACTATGTGCCACGCCGCGGCATGCAAGGGCCCTGTGCACGACGATGGATGCGCTGGTGACCTGTCTGGGGGCGACGCTATCAGCGGAGCGCGCGGAGCGCGAGCCCGCGGAGCGCATGCTCACAGAGCATGCATACCCGCGGCACGACGCTGACGGCGCGTTTGGGCTCCAGCTCGCGCAGGTCCTGCATACACCGTCGGTGCCCTTGGCGCTGCGCCAAGCGGCTGGCATTGCGCTGAAGGCGTACGTGAACGAGCGCTGGTCCATCTACTTTGAGACGTTTATGCGTCGCGCAGCCGCCGCCGGCATGGCGTCAGACGCTGCCGTGCCGCCTGCCATCAAGGCAGAGATCCGTGGCTTGCTCCTAGCGTCGCTGGGCGATGCGGAGCGCAAGGTGCGCCTGCTCGCCGCGCAGCTGCTGTCGCTCATCGGTAGCTGCGACTTTCCGGATCAGTTCCCCGAGCTGCTACCTGCGCTGCAGCGCTACCTACAAGCGTACACGGAACAGGACGCGCGTGCGCCCGCGCAGGTGCACGGCGCGATCCAGTGCCTCGCTGACCTCGTGCAGGTGGAACTGGACGAGAATCAGCTGCTGGTTGTGGCGCGCGAGTTTATCCCGCTCCTGCAGGAACTGCTGAGCGGCTCGTTCGGGCATGTGGCGCCACACGTCCAGGCGCGCTGCGTGCTCGTGTTCCGCCAGTGCCTCACGTCGCTGTACATGGCCAAAGACACGTATCCTGACACGGTGCAGGAGGCCATTGCGCGCTACCTTCCCCCCTGGCTACAGGCGATGCAGGCCCTGCTGGCCCCTGCGTCTCTTTCCAGCGCCGACTGGCACGACGCTGTCGCATGGGAGACGCTCGGCCTGCGCCGCGAGATTCTGCGCACGCTCAGTGTGGCGTCGCGCTTTAAGGGCGTGTTTGCTGCGGCGGGCCCGGCACTCCTGGGCACATGTCTCGACCTGCTGCAGGCGCTGGTGCCCCTATTTGCGCAGACCGAGCTGGACAGCGTGCTGGCGCCGCCGACGCCGGCAGAGGGCGACGATGATGTGGCTTCGGATGTACCGGCCCTCGCGATCGCTGCCTTTACGCTTCTTGGTGACACACTGCGTGCGCCAAGTATGCGGGCGCTCCTGGTCCAGGGCGGCGTCGGTGGCGAAGGCACGGCGACGGACGCGCTGCATGCGCTTCTCCAGCTCATGCGCACGTATGCACAGGTAACGTGCGACGACGAGGCTGCGTGGGAGACGGACGCGGATGCGTTTATCGAGGGCGACGACGAGGACCATATGGGGGCGACGCTGCGCACGGCTGCGATGGACCTGCTCGAGCAGCTGCTCGAGGACTACCCGCTGCCCGTGCTGCGTGTGCTGCGTGTGGCTCTGGATTCGCTCGCACACACGGACCGCACAGAGGCCGCCTGGTGGAAGCCGCTCGAGGCGCAGCTCCTCCTGCTTGGCTCGTCGCACGAGGCCATTGAGGAGCTTGTGGAGGAGCGCTCCGACGATTCGCTCCTGTCGATCCCCGCGGTGCTGGCATCGGTCGTGCTCCCCCACCTGGCGGCGCCGGCGCCGGCGCTCCTCCGCGGGCGCTGCTTTGTGGTAGGATCGCAATATGCGTCGGAGCTGCCGCCTGAGCTCGCGCAGCGCCTCTTCCACGCAGCGCTCGCTGCGATGCGCGCGCCCGAGGACGACGCGCCGCTCCCCCTCAAGCTCTCGGCGGTGCGTGCGATCCGCAACTTGGGGCAGCGGCAGCCATCGATCACTGCGCCGGAGGCGCCGGCACTGCTATCGCAGCTGGGATCCCTGCTTCCGCATGCGTCGGGCAGCGCGCTGGTCCTGCTGCTCGATGCCGTCGAGGCGGCCGTGCCGCGCGATGCGCGAGCCCTGGATCCCTCGACGCTGCAGCTTGTGGCAGACGCGGCGCTGGCGACGTGGCGGCACCACACCAGCGATCCCAGTGTGGAGCTGTCGATTGCCTCGCTGCTCGATGCGCTCGTGCGGTGCCCGGTGCCGGGCAGCCGTGCGCTGGCGGTGCGTGCGTGCATGGCACACACGCTGCCCGTGCTGGGCAGCGCGGACGACGTGGGCGCGCCGGCCAGTGCGGCTGCCTTGCTGCGCAGCGTGCTGAGCGCGGCGCCCGCCGACACGGACGCCCTCGATGGCGTCGTGCCTGTGTATGTGCCGGCCGCTGCTGCGTTTCTGCGCACGAGCGACGACCCCGAGGCCGTGCTATGCATTGTCCAGGGCATGACGACGCTGCTGCAGAAGCGCGCTGGCGAGCTGCTTGCGTGGCACGACGAGCAGGGCGCACCCGCGCTGCAGGTCTTGCTGCGGGTGCTCGAGCGCCTCTTGCTTCTCGACGACGAGTCGCTGTGCGGTATGCCGCTCGGCACGCTGCTCGTGACCCTCTTTGTGCAGGCCGGCGAGGCGCTGAGCCCCGTGATGCCCGCGCTCTTGCATGCGCTTGTGGCCAAGCTGGCTGCCGCCCAGACATCGACGTGCGTGCTCGCGCTGCTGTTCCCCGTCGCGTACCTTGTGGCGGAGCACACGGACGCGGTGCTTGCGCAGCTGCAGGGCACGCAGCTGGGCGACGCGAGTGCCCTCGAGGTGCTTGTGCGCGTGTGGCTGCGCGAAGTCGGGCATGTGCACAGCTGGTTCGTCGGCAACGTGCACCTGCTCGGCCTGGGACAGCTGCTGGAGCGCGGCCCGCCGCTGCTGGACGAGATGCGCGTGGACGGCGACGTGCTGCCGAAGCACGATGGAGGTACGTTCGCTGCGCTGACCCAGGCATCGTTACGCGCTCGCGGGCCAAGGGCGGTACGTGGACGCGGCTGACGCAGTGGCGCAATATGCGCAGGTGCCGGCCAGCACGAAGATCATGCAGGCGCTGCTGCGCGAGAGTGCGGCGGCGGCGCCCCGCGTGGACCTCTCGTCCGTGCCGCTCGACGATGGCGCGGACGAGTGGGACGACGACGAGCCTGCGATCGATCTGTTTCAGGGTGCGTAGGGCGTACTTACGCAGATCTCTACGGGGCTGGCCTGCTTTCTGACGACTTGGACGAGCCGGACGATGCGCCCCTGGTCGATGTGCCAGGCACAGCGCGCATTCAGGCACTGGACCGCCACGTACGTACCCTTGACTCATGCCAGGCCTACGTGGCGCACGTCTGGACGCGCCTGGCGCCCGCGCGCCTCGCGCAGGCCGCGGCGCCACTATCGGCCGAGGAACGCGCCGCGCTCCCTCACTGATAGTGCAGTAGCTCCACGCCCGTGTCGGGTCCGCTGACCGCGAGGAGCGCGTCGTGGGGGTGGAACGCGACGCGGCTCGTGCTCCGGGCGTACTGGCTCGGCGGCACGGTCCACCACTCGCGCGTGCGCCGCGGCGCGAGGGGCGCTGGAGGGTGCAGTGTCCGCACATAGGGCGTGCCGATCGGCCGCAGGTCGCGCAGGTCGCACAGCCACGCCGCGTGCGAGACCGTGGGGCCCGTCGCTACCGGCGCGCTCGTCAGCGCACATACCGGCAGGCGATCATGCACGGACAGGCCCGATAGTGCGCCGTGGTCCGAGGGCACGGTGCTCTGCAGCACCGACGACCCCGCGCGGATGTCCCACACGCGCACCTCGCCGTCGACGCTGGCCGAGACGAGCTCGCGCGCGCCGTGCCTCTGGAGATGCAGCTCATGCACCCAGGCGGCATGCTCCTCCCACAGGCGCACGAGACTCGACGACGGCGGGTTCCGCTGGTCGTACACGCCAATCGAGCCGTCGCCAAACGCGGCCATATAGAGGTGCCCAATGTCGCGGTCGCACGTCAGCGCCGTCGCGCAGCTGTTCACCCGCGTCGGCACATCGGCAATGCAGAGCTCGCGGTGCGCATCCCACAGGCGCACAAGGCGCGTGTCGCCACCGACGAGCAGGCGGCCGCTCACCTGCTGCCACGCCACGTGCAGGCCACTGGGGTACTTGCTGCGCAGCAGGTCGGGCAGCGCACGGAACGCACTCACCAGCTCGGGGCCGTGCCGCGCGGTGGACGCGCGGTCGTAGTGGCGGTACAGACGCACGTCGCCGTCGGCCGACCCCGCGAGCAGCAGCGCGTCGACTTCCTCGTTGACAAAGGTCAGCGCCGTGATGTCCGAGCCCGCGCGGTTGCCGTTGTGGAACGACGAGACGAGCCGCGCCTCCCGCCAGTCAAACACGCTCACAAGGTCGCCATCGCTCGCTGTGACCAGGTGCGGGTCGTATTCGTGGAGGAGCAGCTGCGTCGGCGCGCCCGGCAGCGCCAGCGTCCCGACGCGCTGCACCGTGCGCAGCGACGCAGCGTCGACCGGCTCCATCGCCTCGGCCATGTGCTGCTCGCACTGCTGCCGCCGCCACGCCTGGCGGTTGTGCGACCGACTGCCCGGCTCGTCGGCCTCGCGCGCTTTCATCTGCGGCTCGGTATAGTACTCGGCGCACCACGCAAAGAGCCGGCTCTTGAGCGGCAGGGTCTCGTGCATGGTCGCCACGGGCGGCTCGTCGCCCTCGCCACGCAGCCGCAGCACGCGCAAGTCGGCCGCGATGCCCTGCGCCAGGCGCTGCGCAAGTGACGCCTCGTTCCGCCGCATCGGCGCATACGCCGCCAGGGCGTCGACACTCGCGCTTCGCCGCTCGGGCGGTGCGGGTGCGAGGAACGGCGGCTCGTACGTCGCGGCCGGATCGTGCGTCGGCGTGCGCGGGGCGGCCACAGGCACACGCTCCGCTGCTGGCGCCGGCTCCGGAGCCGCGATCGCCGACACACTGAGCGTCGAGAATGCGCGCATCGTGCGCGCCAGCGCGTGGCGACGCACGGACATCTCGCCAGCACTGTTCGCCCGGCTAGGCGTCCGGGGCGGGCGCGCGAGCGCAGTAGGCACCGCGTGCGCCGTCGCGAGCTCGTCCAGCGGGACGTGCTCGAACGCGGAGCCGCGCGCGCGCAGCAGGCCCTGATCGAGCAGGCGCGCGACCACATGGTCCACGACCGTGCACGCAAGGTTCGCCACTTCGGGGTGCGCATCCATGCTGAGGTCCAGGAGCGCCACGAACAGCGACACGAACGCCGGCACATTCGCCACGTCGCTCGTGGCGAATGGCTCGCCACGCTCCGCGACGCCTGTGAAGACGGCGGCGATGAGCTCCTCCTCGAGGCGCACACGCTCGTCCACGTCCGAACTCACGCGCGGCAGCACGACGCCGTCGCGCGCGTTGGAGTCGCGCGAAAAGTACAGGTAGGCAGCCAGCACAAAGAAGCTGTGGTAGAGGTGCACGAGCGCACTGAGCGTCACCACAAGCTCCTTGCGTACGAGCGGACTGCAGTCGCACACGCTCGAGAGCACGGCCACCGCGATGCCCACCTCGATGCTGCGCTGCCGCTCGGGCGTGAGGCCCGTCTGCCCGCCCGTGCCGACGCACCGGCTGCGCGGCGTGCTGCGCACGCGCTCGCGCTCGCGCCGCGCATCGCCGCCCTCGGACACGTCCAGCGCACCGCCGTCCGTGCCGAGCAGGACACCGAGCGCATACAGCACCGCCGCGCGGACCTCGGGCGACGCGTCGCTCAGCAGGCAGCACAGCTTGCCGTGCGCATCGCGTGCGAGCGCCCGCGCTTTGCCGACGGAGCTCTGGTCCCACAGCTGCGCGAGGCACAGCGCGGACCACTGGCGCAGCAGGAAGTCGTCGTCCTCCAGATGCTCGAGGCTAATGTCCATGATGTCCGTGCCGAGGCATGCCTCCTGCCCAAGCGGAAAGTCCTGGCAGAACACGGCAAGAATAAAGGCACACATCGCGCGGTGCTCGCTCACGTTGGGGAGCGACAGGCCGTTCGCCTGGCCGGCCCACGCCGTGGTGCCTGGCGCGTGGAAGGGGTTGAGCACGCTCGCAAAGTACATGTACCCATTGTCGCGCAGCAGGTCGACCTGGCAGCTGTGGTCGACCGCGAGTATGCGCGCCCAGATGTAGATGAGCACCGGCTTCAGGTCCGCGGCGGGGCTCTGCAGCAGCTTGAGCACGTAGGGGAAGATGCCAATGCTCAGCGCCAAATTGACCGCCCACGGGCCGAGGTCGAGGAACTGGCTGAGGAGGATCAGCGCGCGCAGGCGGTGCACCTGCGAGAGCAGCACCTGCAGCACGATGGGCAGCTGCGACGGCGGGTCGTGCTCCATCGGCTTCTCGTCCTCGTCGTCCAGCTCGCTGAGCTCGTGCGTGTCGGCGGGTGCATCGTCGCTCAGGCGCACGACGGGGTGGCGGCGCACATGGCGACGGGGCGGCCGGCGGCTCACATCGCCCTGCGAGAGCCACACCTCGAACGCTTTCAGCTGCTCGCTGAAAAACGACGAGTGGCGGTACTCGAACGCAGCGAGGTGCGGCGGCATGGGCGGCCCGCCGTTCTCGGCGTCGAAGCGCGCCTGCTCCTTGGCCAGGAGCGTCGGCAGCTGCGCCAGGCACTGGTCGACGGCCAGGTCCCAGCTGTCCCACAGCGGGTGGTTGTGCGTCGGCGGGAGACGGGGATGGCTCACGGGCGTGCAGTGGTAGAAGCGCATGATGCGCTCGGCCAGCAGGTAGTTGCGCAGGAGGGCTGCGACCATGAGGTCATCGCGGAAAAAGCGCCGGAACAGCGCGCGCGGCAGCACCGTCCACGCAATGGTATCAGTCACTGCGGTGAGGATCCAGTTCAGCTCGCCCAGTGGCGTGCGGCGGTCCTGCAGGCGCCCGGGAATGTTCATCACCATGTCGACATTCAGTCGACTCGGCAGCGGATTCTGCAGCACGAACCAGCGCAGCGAGATTTCGATCGGTGACGTGAGGCAGCAGGTGAACAGGTCCGCTGGCAGGTCCGGGTTCATCGGCAGCACCTCGTCGGCGCCGCACGCCGCGAGGTGGATCGATTCACGCAGCGAAAAGTGCTGCTCGCCCGAAGCATCGACCGTGATGCCATCGGCGTTCGGCATCGGCGGCGGCTCGCGGCCCTCGGCGAGCGCGATCTTGATCTCCTCCTCGGCGCACATCTCGGACATGCGTCGGAAGTGGTTCACAATGTGCCCCGAGGCGCTCGTGTCCCACACGTAGATACACGGGCTGCCGAGCCACGACTGCAGGTCGTACAGCGTCAGCGGAATGTACTGCGTATACGCCTTATTAAACACCCAAATCTCGCCGCCGGGCGTCGGCTTCGGCACGCCGTATCCATTGTAGTAGAACAGCACGCGCTCGTCCTTGGCATTCCGCCGCAGATTCGTGCAGAAACGCTTGGTCTCCTCGACGATCGGGTCGAGGTACTGCTTGTACCGCGTCTTCATGCTCAGCGTCTCGAACTGCACCTGCAGGTTGCGCCCAATCGCGGGCAGCGCCTTGGACGCGTCCAGCGACTCGGGGTCCATCCAGCAGATGAGCTTGGAGCATGGATTCGTTTTCGACACATCAGGGGGGTCGACGCCAATGTTCAGACACATCACGAGGGCTGCTGTGACGGTGCGCAAGCGCTCGCGCATGCGCCAATCGGGAATATCCTCCGCGCGCCGCTGCCGCGGGTCGCCGTTGGTCCGGTGCCGCTTGTTGCTCCAGTGTGCCATGTACGACGACTCAAGCAGGACCCAGTCCTCCAGCTCGGGCTGTAGCAGCGCACCGTGGCGCGGGCCCACGGCAAACATATCTTCCGCACTCCCACTCAGCTCCGTCGCTTCCCTCTCATCCATATGAGGGCCGAGGTCCTGCGGACCGCTGCCGATCCCACGGGCCGTCGCACGGTCCGTCGCCATGGCGGGCAGGCGGGCGACCAGCTCCACTTGCGGCGGGGGCCAGGCGCCGTCTCGGCCGAATTACCCCACCTGCGCACGTCCGGGGCCGCCGCCTGGCCGTGGTTGCCGATGCGTCCTCTCGGGCTGCGCCTTCTTGCCCGGATGACGAAGACGGCTCCCCAGCGCCGCCTGCGCGCGGTGCATCGCCACTTCCACACGGGCATATCAGCACCTGCGCCGGGTCAGGCAGGCCCGAATAGGGGCACACTCACGCTCGGGCCGCATGTGGCGATCCCCGTGCACGAGCCGGACGCGCCAGAGCGTGTGCCGGGCGAGCACCTGTGGCTCGATACAAGCGACCCTGTGGTGCTTGAGCATCTCGAGTTTCTTGGGAAAAAGTGGCAGCTCGGTCAGGACGTGTTCCTCTCGGCGCCGCCCGGGCCGTACACCCGGCGCCTGTGCCAGACGTTTGCGGCGCTGATCCAGGTGCCTGTCGAGTACGTGTCACTGCACCGCGATATTGGCGAAGCGGAGCTCTTGCAGCAACGCTCCCTCGATGCAGGCGGCTCCCTGCGCTACGACGATGGGCCGGTCGTCCGCGCGATGAAGCACGGACGCATTCTCGTGCTCGACGGCATCGAGCGCGCCGAGCGCGGCGTCATGCCGATTCTCAACAACATCCTGGAGAACCGCGAGCAGAACCTCGCCGACGGCACCCAGCTCGTGCCGGCCGAGCGCCTCGCGGCGCGCAGCGCGGAGGCCCACGCCCCGGGCCATGCCACGTTCATCCCCGTGCACCCCAACTTCCGCGTGTTCTGCCTCGGCCTGCCGGTGCCGCCGTACCGCGGGCACCCCCTCGACCCGCCGTTCCGCTCCCGCTTCCAGGCGCGCTGGGTCGAAGGCGCCGTGTATGCGTCGCCGCCCGTGCAAGCCGAGACGCCCGAGGCCCTGTCGCTCACGCAGCGTTGGCAGGCGTGGCTCGCGCTCTTCCGCTCGCACGCCAGTGCGACAGAGGCATCGGGACTCCTCCCCTCGACCGATCTGCTGCCGCATGTGCCCGAGACGGCCCTGCCGCTCCTGCGTGATATCGCGGCGCTGTTCCCCCCACCCGCGCAGCTTGCTGCGCCGACCAAGCCGCTCGCGGCGTCCACGCCCGTCGCCGAGGCGACGCGCGCTATGCTGGGCGCCGCGTACCCTCTTATGCTGACGCTCGATGCCAAGAAACGCTCGCGGCTGCACGAAATGCTCGTGCGTGTCGGTCTCGCGGGGGGGCTCGGCGCTGACCACCTGTTTGATGCGGGCGTCGGTCTGAACGGGTACGTGTTTGTTTCTGCGGCGCGCGCATCGCCGACCGAGGCGCGCCTTACATTTGAGCATGCCGAGACGCACCACACGGTGCACGTCTCGGCGGCATGTGGCACTCAGCCGCTCGTGCCGCTCACGGAGCTGGCACAGCGCACGGACGTGCTTCTCACACCACGGATGCGCGCCCTTGTGACCATCATGCTGCAGCTGCACTGTGCAGGGCGCGATATGTGCCTGGTTCCGAGCACGCTCGATGGGTCCGTGCCATCGCAGGCGTCGTCGTCGAAGTCTACGGCCCTCCAGCTCTTTGCGTCGCTCCTGGGCTACCAGGTCGAGACGGTCTGGCTGTGGAAGGATGTGAGTGGCACGGAGCTGCTCATGCGCCGCGCCACGACGCCGGACGGCGCGACGGTGTGGGAGCCAGCGCCGCTTGTCGGCGCGGCACTGCAGGGCAAGCTGGTGCACCTGGCCGGCGTGGATGTGCTGGGCCCGACCGTCGAGAGCCTTGCGCGCCTCACGCAGGACCGCGAGCTGGAGCTGTGGGGTGGCACGCGCCTTACCGCGGATGCCCGTGCGCTCGATACCCTCCGCGATGGGCGCGTGTGCCGCATGGCCCCGAACGTGCGTGTGATTGCGTCGGCGCCCAAGGTCGGGGACTGGCTTACCGAGTGCGTGGCGTCGATGCTGGCGACTGTGTGTGCGCCGCCGATGTCCGACGCCGAGGAGCGAGCGATCGTGGAGCAGTGTGCTGGCGTGCGCGATCGCGCGCAGCTCGACCGTCTGTTTGCATTGGCGCACGAGTACCGCGCGCAGGCGTCCGACCCGAACGTCGGCCTGCACAAGGGCCGGCGTTTGGGGACGCGGCAGCTCATCCGCCTCGCGCGGCGCCTCGCACACTGGCCCGACGAGGACCTGTACGCATTGGTGATGCGGAACCAGCTGTGCGACTTTCTGCCGCGCACGGTGCGTGAGGTTGTGCATGAGATGCTGGTGCGCCACGGCATTGTGCCGCATGGCTTTGAGGGCGCCTTCCAGTATGTGCCGCCCCTCACGCTCGCGGCCCCGGTCGTCGATGGATCGACGCTGCGGTTCGTCGATGCGCGCGGGGGACGCGAGCGCCTCGCGCTGCCGCGCTATGCGTGGCGCGAGAAGGACCCACAGGGCGCGTCGCTCATTCCGCATGCGCACGGCTCGTTCTTCCACAATGCGCAGCAGACGTCGCTGCTCTACTCGTTTGCGCAGGATCTCGAGGTGCTGGGCGAGCACCTCCTGCTGATGGGCGCGCAGGGCACCGGAAAGAACAAGACGATTGACCAGGTACTGGAGCTGCTGGACCGCCCGCGCGAGTACATCCAGATGAACCGCGACTCGACAGTCGGCGAGCTGCTGCAGCGTGCGTATCTGGAGGACGGGCAGCTGCGGTATGCGGACTCGCCGCTCGTGCGTGCGATCCAGCTGGGCCGCGTCATTGTTGTGGACGAGGTGGACAAGTGCTCGCCGTCCGTGGCGGCCGTGTTCAAGTCGCTTGCGGAGCGCAGCGAGCTGTCGCTCCCGGACGGACGGCGCGTCGTGCCGCGCGACACGCCTGCCGACGCCAGCGCGATCCGCGTGCACCCCGACTTTCGTCTCGTGCTGCTGGCCAACCGTCCCGGCTGGCCGTTCCTGGGCAACGCCTTCACCGAGGTGATTGGCGAAGGATTTAGCTCGTACGCCGTGTCGAACCCGGATGTGGAGTCCGAGGTGCAGCTGCTCGGCCACTTGGCGCCGACGGTGGACGCGGCGCTGCTGCGCTCGCTCGTTCTCTCGTTCCACGACCTGCGCGAAGCGTTTGACCAGGGGCAGCTGAGCCATCCCTACTCGCTGCGCGAGCTGATCCACATTGTGCGGCACCTGAGCCGGTACCCTGGCGAGGAGCTCGGCGATGTGATGCTCAATGCGCTTGCGTTCGACCTGCACAAGCCTGAAGCGCTCAAGCTCATTGCACGCACGTTTGCGAACCACGGCCTGCGTCTTGGCGGTCTGACGCTCGAGGCGGTGCAGGCCAGACTGCAGACACTGGCCGCGAAGAAGGACCTGCGCGTGGAGTTCCGTCCGACGGGCGATACGAGCCTCGACCGACCGAAGCGCGGCAAGGACGATCCGAACAACGATCCGCACGTAGGCGGCAACACGTGGCGCGGCGGCACGGGTGGGCGCGACACGGCCGGACTCGGTGGACGCGGCGGCTATGAGCGACTGTACAAGGGCCACAAGATCCACCAGATCCCCGACGAGCTGAAGCGGGATGTGCCCGAGCACATCCAGGCAGAAGCACGCGAGATGGCGCGCAAGGCACTGGCCGAAAAGCTGGCCGAGGACCGACTGGATCGCGACGAGGCGCAGTTCATGCAGTCGATCAAGGCGAACGTCGAGCCACAGGTGCAGAACCTCGCGCATGTGCTGAACGGGCTCACGGCTAACGAGCACGAGCGCCGATGGATGGTGCGGCAGCAGGACGGACAGCTGGACGAGCGGCGCCTGACGGAGGGGCTCGTGGGCGAGCGCGCCATCTTTAAGCGGCGCAGCGAGGCTCCGCCCGAGGTGGGCGCGCCGCAGCTCAAGCCCAAGCGCATCCGTATCGTGCTGGATGCGTCTGCCTCCATGTACCACATGCAGTTTGATGGGCGCCTCTCGCGCGAGCTGGAGACGTGCCTGATGGTCATGGAGGCGATGGAGCGCGTCGATCCCACGCGCTTCGAGTTTGACATTGTGGCGCACTCAGGCGACGAGGTGGTCATTCCGCTCGTGCCGCTCGGCACGATGCCCAAGGGCGACGGCGACCGCTTCCGCGTACTGCGCAACATTGTTGCCTACACCCAGTACTGCATGAGCGGCGACAACACGGTCGAATGCGTGCGGCAGTCGATCAAGGACGTGCGCGAACGCGATGCGGACGACTACTTTGTGATTGCGCTCTCGGACGCAAACCTGGGCCGCTATTCCATTACGCCTGACACGCTCGGCGCCGCGCTCAAGCAGGACGACAAGGTCAAGGCCGCCGTCATCTTTATCGACAAGGGCGGCGCGGAGGCCAGCCACATGGCGCAGGCGCTTCCGGGCCGTGCGTTTGTCGCGCAAGACACGCGCGAGATCCCACGTGTGCTCTCGGACATACTCACGTCGCTGCTGCGCTAGTGGTCGATCTTCAGACTAAAGTCGATGTGGTGCGTCGACTGGTGAATGGCACTCGTAGACACAATATCGATGGCTGCGTCAGATGCAGCCACGTACCGTCACATACATGCTGGTCCGTCTGAACGTTAGCCAACGTAATGCCGCCGCTGCTCTCGAGCAAAAAGCGGAACTCTTTGCTCAGGCGCGCCTTCAGCGACCGCGCACAGGCCACGAGCTCGTTGCCGACGAGGTTGTCGAGCATGACAACGTCGGCGCCCGCGCGGATCGCTTCCTCGGCCTCGGCCTCCGACTGCACTTCCACGTCAATGCGCACAGAAAAGCCAGCGACGCGGCGCGCCTGCGCCACAGCCTCGCGAATCGATCCGGTGCTCCACACATGGTTGTCCTTGAGCATGACCATGCTGCTCAGGTCGTAGCGGTGCGCATCGACGCCACCGACAATCATCCCGTACTTTTCCACGAGCCTGAAGCCTGGCGTCGTCTTGCGCGTGCCCGCTACGATGCCCTGGAAGCCAGTGCCACGTGCTGCCTCAAGGAGTATGCGCGAGCTGCGGTCAGCATGCACCACGTACGCTGTAGCAATGCCCGAGCAGCGCGCGAGTGTGTTGAGTGCTACGCGCTCGCCCAGTAGGAGGTAGCGTGCGGGGCCCGAAACACTCGCCACGGCAACCTTGACACGGCCAGCGGGCGTCCCCGGCACACTATCCGTGGCCCGCACATACGTGCCTTCCGCGTAGTGCCACTGCACACTGCGTCAGCCCACATCACGCACCTGCATTGTAGCTGCTCAAATACGGCATCGACAAACGGCACACCGGCCAGCACGCCCTGGTATCAACAAACACCACGTACTTCCGCCTTGCACCACAGTGTCGCGGTGCGGGGCGCATCGCCGACCACGAAGCCGCCCCAGTCAAACGACGGACAGTCTTCGCTGAGCCACGCTGTGACACTCGCCTTCCACGACGGGGGCAGCAAATGCGCGTACGACGTATTCATTCGTGGATATCGTCCACGGGACAGGCGCGGGGCTCCACTTGTCTATGATATCTAGGGGCTGGCCAACAGCGCTGCTCGGCCTTCTTCCTTGAGCGCCTGCGCTACGGCGTCGACGAGCTTGGCATGCATGGGCGTCTGACACGCAATGACACCCTTGTTCGCAGCAAGTGTGCGCCCCCGCCCGAAGTCGAGGGGGCGGCCGGCCACATCCGAGACACGGCCGCCGGCCTCTTCTACCAGCAAGGCGCCCGCCGCATGGTCCCAAATTTTTTCCTGGTACGTGCCGTCGCCGACAGGCAGGCGCAAGTACACATCGCCATCGCCGCGCGAGATACTCGCATACTTTGCCTGGCTATCCATACGCACATGGTTGTCGCCCATGCCGAGAATCTGGGCGATGCGCGCATTGGTACCGAGCGACGAGTGCGATGCCTCAACCGATTCACAAAAGGCGGCGCCCTCGAATGTGCCCTGCAAGTCGCGCATGCGCACGGGTGCCGGCTCCGCCTGCTTGTCGTCGATGGGCACCACATAGGCGCCGTGGCCTCGTACCGCGACAAACAGCGCACCGAGGCCCTCCATGGACGAGCCGCGGATCTCGCCATCCTTCGGCTTCGGCTGGCATTTGTCGCGCGGGAGGTTAGGGCATCCCATCACGCCCAGCTCGACGCGTCCCTTCTCAATGAGCGCAAGACACACAGCGTACTGTCCACCGCGCAGAAAGCCCTTCGTGCCGTCGATCGGATCGAGCGTCCAGAAGCGTGCATCGCTCCCGCCCTCAAACACGCCACGATCGATCGTCTGGAGCAGCTCATCGTCAGAGAGTGGCGCGTCAATATAGTGCGACGCCTGCAGTGCCTCATTTACCAACTGCGATACCTTTTGGCGGTTCGGCGCGCCCTGCTCGCCCTGTAGGTCGTGCGAGTCTTCCTCGCCGACGATCTTGTCACTGGGAAAGTGCTTAAGAAGAATGTGGTTGACGGCCGCCTGCGCGCTAAAGTCGCCGATCGTTACAGGCGACTTGTCCTTCTTCGTGACCGACTCGGCAGACGTGAGTGTCTGGAACACCTTGGTCGTGATCGAGCATGCCACGCGCACAGCCTCCAGCGCGACTCGCTGTTCCTCCAAGAGATAGTTATTCATAGTGTAGACGACTTGGCGAGAATTCCTTAGCAGGCCCCTCCACTGTGTTCGTAGGCCGCACGTAACGGCGTGGTGCATCCCAAGGCGACGCCCTGGCCAAATGCTGCGCTGGCCTCTACTGATGACTAAGCAATAACACCTCTCGGGCTTCTAGGCGGAGCGGCCAGGACGTGTAGCATCGGTACCTACGAAGCCATGTGTGCAACACTAGCTATAGCGCAGCGGTCAGGGAGTTGCTGCGCACAGGTTGCTGGCCGCTATCCATGCAGATCTCCCTGCCCGGTGCCACATGCACGCCCGACACAGCCTATTCGCAGGTGCAGCGGTCGTCGATCTCTGCCGTTTACGTGTCAGCATCGTCGGACTAGCTGCCGAGACCTGCGAGCGGTGTGCTGGACCAATCTTGTACACGTGGAATGTTCTCCAACGGGGTCCTTAGTAGTTAAGCGGACGAACGTATCCGGATGACATCATTGTGCACATTCTGATTGGCTCATGATCCCCCATTATGCGCGCACGGACGCGCATAGGCGGGGAATCTGTTGATCTTACGTAGCATAGAGCGCGGGGAATGTCCCGTGCATCAGTGGCGTTGCCGCTCGGGCGGCGACGCAAACCCATAAATAGTGCGCCTTGAGGAGTTCTATCCTTACCAACCAACCTTTCAAAAATGGAGCAAGCCCAGAACACCTACAACCAGGCCAAGGACCAGCTCGGCAACCTCGGCCAGCAGGCCCAGGAGCACGGCCAGAACGCCGGCAACCAGGCCCAGCAGTACGTTGACCAGGCCAAGGACAAGGTCAGCGAGCTCGGCCAGGGCCAAGGCCAGGGCAAGGGCTTCGGCGAGCAGGCCCAGCAATACGTTGACCAGGCCAAGGAGCAGCTTGGCAACCTCACCGGCAACAAGTAAATATGAACTTTTCTCTTTTTGATTATCACATATTATTTATAGAATCCAATCTGCCACCTACCGGTGATTGATGCATTATCTGTATAATGGCGAGGCGATTAGTGATGTCAGTGGGTATCGAGCGGCGATAAAGGCACCAATGCCCGCGACATGGAGAGCCAAGCCTGTAATGCGTGCGAGTAGCGAGCCGCGAGCACTCAGCCTTGGAAATCCCATGAAGTTGCATAGGATATGCGCAGCCAAAGGAGCCCACACCATTCCTGTTCGCTGAAACAGAAACGTAGCGTACCAACCGAACACGGTCGTATACACAAATTGCAGTGCTGCCATGAGCTAGCTCTTGTACATACCTGTTTGCGCCAACGCTGATGACCATGCGCGCCAGCGCTGGCGCCGCACAGACTCGACGAAATGGTGCAGGTGAGCAGCTCCAAAGAACACGGGAGCGAGGAGCATGACCTTGGTGCGCGACATGGTAGGGCACAATGCGGACATGGTTGCGACCATGCAGGAGCGAAACACTAGCTCTTCCGTTGCAGGGCCCTAGTTGTCAGCGATCGCCACGTACTATCACATAGTTGCGCAAGTAGAGCAGGCTGGGGCGCGGCCCCGTCTCGTCATAGTAGCCAGCTTGTCCCGGAAGTGCCTGTGCTTGCAGATCCGTCCAAAACGTCCCGAGATATAGCAGCGACGTTAACAGCGTAGCGTTCCCAATGATGCGTAGACCTTGAAGTAGCGTGGCCGAGAGAGACGGGTGAAAAGGCAGCCAGTGGGACACGAGGAACGAGAGTCGCGGAGTCGGCAGCCCTAGCCACGCTAAGGCATCGAGACAGCGGAACGGTTGTCGCGTACTTATGAGCCCGTGCCTTGCCAGCACTCGGCACGTCCATATCACATCGATGAGGGTAGCCACCGACGCGCACCATAGACGCGCCCAGACCGTTCGTGGGTGATCACGGGGGAGCAGCGGCGCCCATCGGCCCGTGCGAGCAAGGGCTACGAGCTGGGGAAGTGCATGCAGCGAGCCCACATATACGCCTGCCATGCCCCAGCACGTCCCGTACATCATCCACGGCCGGTCCATTGCCTCGCTCATGGCGTCCGCAGCTGGCGAGCCACGCGCGCACAAAGGTGGAGCAGGGTGCGTGGCTTTCATAATTGCAATTTCGCCCTGACGCGTCCGTTTGCTCGACGATGAACGTGCACCGTGTGTGGGCCGTCCTGGCCGTTTTGTGCGTGTGTCTGTTGGGCGCAGCGGCTGTTAACTGGGACAAGAATGACATTGAGGTACGCGGTGCTCTCTTACACAGATTTTTGAGCTGCAGCAGGCGCTCGAGCAGAGCGAGGGCCCTGGCGCCAGCTTTTACTCGATCCTCGGTCTCCGGCCCTCCGCGTCGCAGTCAGAGATCCGCAAGGCGTACCGGGAGAAGAGCTTGGAGTGGCAGTACGTCTTTGAATATACTGACGCACAGCCCCGACAAGAACCCAGATATGCCTGACGCGTACAAGCGCTTTGAGCGGCTGGGCTTGATCCACAAGATTTTGCGCGACGAGCGCCGCGACCGCTACAACCACTTCCTCTCGAATGGCTTCCCCAAGTGGCGGGGCACTGGCTACTACTATTCGCGCTTCCGCCCTGGCTTGCTCATGGTCCTGATTTTCCTTGTTGTGCTTTCGGTGGCCGTGGAGCACTTGGTGCGTGTGTACAACTTCCGTGTGAACCAGAAGCGCATTGAGAACCTGCGCCGCAGCGCTCTGGCGCTCGCATGGGGTGCCTGGTTCCAGACGCCCAAGGAGGCCATCAAGGGCACTAAGCCGAAGAGTGTGCCCGCACAGAAAAAGGTCCGCGTCCCGCTGCATGGCTTTACCGACATGCCTCCTGCACCGTCCGCCACTGCGATCGCCACGGGTCAGGTCGACTGGGACGCAGAGGGCCAAAAGGTTCGTCAGGCTGTGACGGCGCCGGTGGCAGCGACGGAGTCGATGCGCATCGTCGATATGATGGTGTTCAGCGATGGCAGTATGGCTGTGATCGACGACGAATCGGGCGAGTGGCTCACGATCGAGCCGCTGTCGGACGCGGATGCACCGACCCTGTCGGATGCGTGGCCCGCGGCGCTCGTGCGCCGTTTCATGTCGTCACCTGCCGCTGAGCCTGCGCCGGCCGTCGATACAGCGGACGCTACTGAACCGACGACCACGAGTGCAAAGACAAGCAAAACGTCGGCGAAGCGCCGCAAGCATGCGTAACTATTTATGCGCGGAGGAACTGCGCGTGCCAGTGCACATGCTCGGCCGCAAAGGTACTGACAAAAAAGTCTGTAGGTTAGGCAGTGCTTGGACGTACAGCTGTGGTCGTAGCCTTCGTGCAGGCGCACCTGGACGCGCTCGGCGTCGATGCCGCTGCGTTTCGCAGCCTCGGTAAGTGACTCGGGCTGCAGCTCCTTGTCCTTGTAGAAGCCGTCGTTGAGGCCGCAGTCGACAAGGATGTGCACGTCACGCGAGCTATCGACCTGGCTCAACAGCTCGGCCGCATCGTATGCCTTGCCCTCCTCGATGCCGCCCTCGAGGTAGCCGTTGATAAGCTTCTGGCCCAGCGACGAGTTGGTCGGGTGCGACATGGGCGAGAAGGCCGACGCCGCACGGAAGGTGCCGGGCTCACGCAGGTACAGCATGAGTGCGCCGTGGCCGCCCATCGAGTGACCGAGAATCGAGGCACGCGATGTGTCGATGGGAAGGCCCTCGCGCTCGATGACAGCGGGAATTTCGCGGAGCACATGGTCGTACATGCGATAGTGCCGGCTCCAAGGCGCCTTCGTCGCATTCACGTAAAAACCTGCGCCTGTGCCAAAGTCCCAATTGTCATCCTCTCCGGGGAGGTTGGCGCCACGTGGGCTTGTATCCGGGAACACGATCGCGAGACCCTCGTCAGCCGCCGCACCGAACAGATGGCCTTTCTGTGCGGCGTTGTCCTCCGTGCACGTGAGGCCCGAGAGGTAGTACAGGACGGGCACCTTCGCGCCGTTGCTCGCCTGGGGCGGCACATACACATTCATGTTGGCGCTCAGGCCACCAAGCGCCTCGGAGGTGAATGCGTACTTGGTCAGGAGGCCGCCAAACACCTTGTTCTGCGCACGCAAAGTCAAGCTCATGATGGAGGTGGACGGGCACGCCCGATGCGCTGTGGAGGTGCGCAGGGGCCGCGCGGGCTCCGCCTACCTTTGACTGTCATGCCGTGGGACACGTGGAAAGAGAAAGCATGGTCGGCGGGTACGTGGCGCGACTAACGCAGCGAAAAAGGTGGAAACGACGGCGTGGCGTACGATGGACCCGATTGGGCACTGGACCAACCGTCAAATTGGCAAGCTGGGCCTCGAGGCGTTCTACCCGACGCCTCTGGAACAGGAGATCGACAAGGCCGCGCGGATCGTTCGCACGTTCACACATCGCAAAGAGGATGCCGCGGCCAATGTAGAGGTTCGGCCGTCGGATGTCGTTGACGAGAATGCGTCGAAAAAGACGCAGCCTATGTTGGCCAAGATCCCGCCCGAAGTGCTGCGTGCCGCCAAGGGCGTGGCTGTGTTTACCGTGTTCCGCTCCGGCTTCATCTTCTCGGGCGCAGGCGGCTCAGGTGTCGTGCTAACGAAGGACGAGAGCGGCGAGTGGGGCCCGCCGTCGGGCTTGCTCGTACACACGGTCGGCTGGGGCCTGATGGCCGGCGTAGACGTGTACGATGTCGTGCTGGTGCTGCGCAACCAGCGCGCTGTGGATGCGTTCAAGTACCCGAAGATCAGCGTGGGTGGCGAGCTTACCGTGTCGGCGGGTCCCGTTGGCAACGGTGCGATGGTCGACTCGGGCGTCGAGGCCTCGCCGTGCTTCTCCTACGTCAAGTCCAAGGGTCTCTATGCGGGAGTACAGCTCGATGGCACCATCATTCTTACGCGCTCGGACGAGAATGCACGCTTCTACAACTACCCCGACATCTCGGTCGAGACACTCCTCGACGTCAAGATCCCGCGCCACCAAATGCCACGGGAGTGCATGCCGCTCTGGCAGGCGCTATGTGCGGGCGAGGGTCGCCCTGAGCATCTCGGCACGGACGCGATCCCTAGTGCTCCGGCGCCGGGCGACCACACGTTCACCGACGAGGAGATTGACGCGCTCCGCCAGGACCAGGAGAAACTGGGCGGTGCTCCGGGCCCCGGGGCGCAGCCAGCTCCGGCGCCGGTGGGCGAGGCCAAGGGCAGCGCCGCGCCGCCCGCCGCCGACATCCTTCCGCCCCCACAGCGCCGTATCTAGGCGAACTGCACGCGGCCGTCCGCATCGGCGCGGTCTCGAAAGCCTCGCCACCACTCCTCGGCCGTGCGCCGTGGTTTGCCCTGTGTTTGCAAGTGCGTGACAAGGTACAGACCGTCGATAGTCTGCACGGCCAGTGCGCCCCAGCTCTCCACGAACGTGCCTTGCCCCGGCGCGAGTGCGGCGCCATGGTACGTGGCATCGCTGGGCAGTAGATGCCCCGCCAGAAAGGCGCAGAGTACAGGCGGAAAGCGCGTGTGTGGTGCGGGCATGAGCGTCGTAGTAAGAGGTTGCTAGTGTAAGTGCATCCACGTACCATGTAGCCGAAGGCGCGCATGCGCGCATCGCATGTCTTGGCGTCCCAGCGTGCCCAGCGCACGACGGAGAACTTGGGCTGCAGCTTCGGCGCGCGCGTCGCATGCTGCGCCTCCTGCGGCACCACATGTGCGCTATAGTCGGGCAGCGATGCGACCACATCCACGAGGAGCTGGGCGCCGCGCCGCGCCAGCTGCGCCTCCAGCTCGGGGTAGGTGATGCCGGGCGGGACAGGCACTTCGACCTGCTTCAATATACCTCCGTGGTCAAAGTCGGTCGGGTGGAGCTGCTGCACGGTCAGGCCTGTGCGGCTGTACTGCCGCGCAATGGCCCACTGAAGGGGCGCGGCGCCTCGAAGCTCAGGCAGCATCGACGGGTGCAGATTGAGCGTGTGAGACGCATTTGGGAATTGCTGCAGGAGCGACGACGGAATTCGGTGCCCGAACGACGCAGTGAGAAGAAGAGGGGCCGACGACCCGGCCATTTCGTCCGGCAGCACGAGGTCGTCGAGACCTGTGGGCGGGACCTGCAGCGTTGGCAGCCCCTGTGCCTCGGCAAGCTGCTTGACCGGCGACACGCGCATGCGCTTCGCACCCCATGCATGCTTTACGTCGGGGGGAGTCAGTACATGCAGTGAGCGATGAAGTTCCGGACGTTCGAGCAGGGCCTGGAGCGCTACACACGCAAAATGGTCCGTGCCACAGAAGAGGGTATCGTACGGCGGAGGGCGCGCGCGCTCCGCCGACATAGCGGCTGTATTGACGGTTCGCACATAAGCAGGACGCCATCGCGTCCCAACACAGCGCCACGGCCTGTGCCCGAGAGCCAAGACGCGCATCGTGTGGCCTTCAGCGCTCGTTGCGCGGCGCCGCAGGCAGGCGGCGTGAGCGGTGCCCCTCATCCTGACTAAGCAGTGGGTCCTTCCATGCCGCTCGCCGCACGAGGCCTCCGACTTGCGTACGGGGCCATGCCAGCGGTGGGCGCGGGCCGAGCAGCGTCGCTCGCGGATCGGCCGCTCTCTGGGCTGCTGGGAATTGATAAGCCGAGCGGCCCCACGTCGATGGACCTACTTGACCGGCTCAAGCCGCTCCTTGCGTCTTCCTCGCTCTTTTATGCAGCCGACGAGAAGCGCGCGTCCCAGGACCGCCGACGCCTGAAGCCATGGGAAAAGGCGCTCCAGAAAAAGTGTGGTGGTCGTCTGCCACCTAAGCTCGGGCAGGGCGGCACGCTCGATCCGCTTGCAGAGGGCGTGCTCGTCATTGGCATTGGCGCCGCGACGAAGCAGCTATCCCAGTTCCTCCACTGCAGCAAAGAGTATGAGACGACGGGTCTGCTCGGTACCAGCACGACGTCGTACGATTCACAGGAGCCTGTCATGTGCCGCGCGCCCCATGCGCACGTCGACGAGGCCCTTGTACGCTCGCAGCTTCCGCGCTTCACGGGCGCGGTCAAGCAGCTGCCGCCCGTCTTTAGTGCGCTGCGCATGGACGGCAAGCGCCTCTTTGAGTATGCGCGGGAGGGCCTGCCGCTGCCGCGGCCCATTGAGCCGCGCGACGTCACGGTGCACGAGCTACGCCTCGTAGCGTGGCATGCGCCTGACGCGCACGCGTACGAGCCGCCCACGGCGCAGGTGTCGCCGGAGGACCAGGCGCTCCTTGGGCAGGTGCGTCGCCTCGCTGGGAGCGATGCCGGCGGCACAGACACATTCAAGGAAGGCGAAGCACCCAAGCCGGAGCCTGCTGCTGCTACGGATGCGCCGACGGAGGCACCGGAGCGTGTGCGGCCGGCCGCATTTACGCTGGCCATGACCGTGTCGTCTGGCACGTACGTGCGCTCCATTGTGCACGATCTCGGCACGGCGTGCGGGAGCGCCGCACATGTGGTGCGCCTGCGACGCACACGTCAAGGCGACTTTTCGCTCGGCACGCAAGACGCGCCGGGCAACTGCCTGCCGTGGTCGGTCTTCGAGCAGGGCCTCAAGGAGCTCGAGGGGGCGCAGCGCGGCGATACCTCGTGCGATACGCGCGATGAGCACGGGCTGCGAGCATGGGAACGGGCCGTCCTAGAGTACATACATTTGGTATAATTAGGCATCGCGATGGAGGGGGACCACTGCGTCTAGGGCCTTTTGCAGGCGCTGCATATGCTGGATCGCATACTGCAGGGCGCGCGCCGTCTCGTCCTGCTGGTGCTTCGGCACGCCGGCGCCTACGTCGGAGCGCAGCGTCGACACAGCTTGCACATGCAAGATGGAGCTGGGCGTCCACTCCATGGGGCGATTCGTGCCGTCCATCGCCCACTCGATGGAGCGGAAGATGCGCAGTTCATGCAGCACAAGAGGGCTCTCGGACAACAGCACGTACCGTAGGCCATACTGCATGTGCTCGTCGGCGGGCGTCCAGTTCAGCAGGGCCACGAGCTCCTGCCACCCGTCGCAATGCATGGCGTAGCGTCCAAGCTCGTCATAAGGTAGTGCAAAGATACTCGACGTGCCCAGCGCCGGCAGGGGCGGCGCAGGAACGCGGGGCGTCACGTCGTCGACCATGACGACGGAGCGGACCGCCACCGTGGGCGCGGCGCCAGGCGGCGCCGGCGGCTGGGGCAGCAGGAGCTGCGTACGCCCCTGCTCGGTGCGCACCGTCAGGCGGAGCTGCTCGCGTGTGCGCCGCACATTGCTCCACTGCGAGTCGGACTGCTCCACGGCGCGCGCCGCGTCATCGTCGCTGCGGTGCAGTCGCGTGGTACGCACGACGAAGGCCTCCGGCGGGATATGTACCATACGCGACAATACCTCAAGGAGCGTACTCACATGCAGCGGCTCCATGTCGCCTTTCGCCGACACTTGCGTGTGCTGCCGCTGCACGTCCATGGCGGTGGTGGGTCCCCTGGGCGATCGGGCGCCGCTCGATCGTCCTCCACACGCTCTCATGGCAGCGGCGAAAGACGCGCCGGACCTCGGCGCGTACACGGCGCATGCGGCGCCTGGCGAGAGCGACGACGAAGTATTTGCGGAGCTGGATCGCGAGGTGGAAGCACTCAATGAGGCGGACGCGGACGACGCCGCGCAGGTCGTGGGCGGCACGGGGCGTGGCGCCGACGGCGATCTAGCTGCGGCGTTCCAGGAGTACCGGCAGCAGCGGCTAGCTGAAATCCAGGCGCAGTATGTTGAATCTACTCATGACAGTGTGGCTGCGCGTACCGGCGCGGACAGGGGCGATCCTGACCGTGGGCAGTACCGCGACGTCAAAGACGAGAAGGAGCTACTCAGCCGCAGTGTGCGTGAGCCGCGGTGCGTGATCCACTTTGCCAAGAAAGAGTTTCGGCGGTGCCAGATCCTCGATCGGCACCTCGAGGTACGTGTGCGGCGCTGACATAGCACCTGGCGCGCCAGCACCCCGCGACGCTGTTCCTACGTACAGAGGTCGAGAATACGCCGTTCCTCGTCGAGAAGCTCGGCATTCGCGTACTGCCGTGCGTGATGGCCTTTGTGCAGGGCGTCTGCAAGGACCGGCTCATCGGCTTTGAGGAGCTGGGCAACTCGGACGCGTTCTCGACGGCCGCCCTCGAGTGGCGCCTAGGGCAGACAGGTACGTCGATTCTACCCACACCAAGGCGTCCTCAAGCCTCAGCAAAAGGCGCACCAGCCGATCCTCGGCTTTGGCGTGCCACAACGCGCGGCGCCAAGCGGCGCCGACGACGACGAGTGGGAGTAGATCACGTGGATAGCAGCGGCGCGGCGCCGCGCGGCGCCGCTTGGCACAGACCACGGCGATGCCGCAGGCCACGCTCGAGGTCCCGGCCGTGTACCCCGTGGGTGCGTAGCGGCTGCTAACGGCAGTGGGGCTGTATCGTCTCGTGCATGACGAGAAGCTATGGCGGCCCATGTGGGACTCGTGCTACCGGACCGTACGCCGCGCGACGCTCGCTACACTCGCGTGGACCTTTGTGTCCCTGCCGGGCCAGCGGCTCGTCTCGCGCCTGTTCCTCGGGCGCATTGGCCGCGCAGTGGGTGCCAAGGCGACGTACTCGTACTTGGAGCACTGGGCCGGCTACATCGGGCTGCCGATGCCGTCGTTCGAGCTGCTCACGACCGTGCTCCTCGTGCTGAACCAGGTGAATGTGGTATTTGAGCTGTTCCTCGGCAAGGAGCTGCGCCGCTTCCGCGCGACGGCCTACGATGCCACCGTCGCCTCGCGCGGCAAGTCAGCGGACTTCTGGACACCGTTCACGGAAGAGTACTCGCAGCTGCCCCAGGCCGAGGCGCCAAGCGCGCCCCACGGCGTGCGCGCGCGGGCCATGGACGGCCTGCGCCGCCGCGTGTACCGCCTGCTCGTGCGCCGCGGCGCGTCCGCGCTGTTTGGCGCCGTGCCCATCTTTGGCCAGCTCGTGACTGCCGCGCTGGATGCGCTCCGCTATGGCGAACACATGCACAGGCCCTACTTCGCTGCCAAGCATATGAATGCGCAGCAGCAGGCCATGTGGGTCGAGGAGCGGCGCACGGCCTACTTCCTGTTTGGGCTGGTCGCCTCGCTCCTGGAGCGTGTGCCGCTCCTGGGCCTCGTCTTCTCGATTTCGAACCGGATCGGCGCGGCCATGTGGGCGCACGACTTGGAGAAGCGGCAGCACCGCTTCCACTCCGGCGAGCTCGTGCCTCAGGCGGACACGCGCCCGGTGGTGCCGCCGGAGGGCGCGCCGGGGAGCTACGGGCACCCGCTCCGCGCGGACGTCCACGTGCCGGGCGGCATCGACGCGGCGTACGCGTCCAGCACGGCCGCGCCGCGTCTTCCGCCCCGTTCATAGTCGTGTACGCGCTTGCGTGCGCTGCACACGTTCGGCCGTGTGCGCCGCCATCTCCGCATCCAGCTGCAGGCGCGCGAGGCGCAGCCACTCGACGACATCGTCCGTCGCTTCGAGGCGCTCCGCGACGTCCGGCTCCGCGGGAGCGGCCTCCGTGTCGTCGCGCGGAATCGCCGGGAGGTACCGCTCGAGCGCCGCGGGAGGGCGCAACGACGGCATCCACGTATGCAGGCAGTCGGCCAACTCCTCGAGCGAGCGGACGCCCAGCGTGGCGCGCACAAGCAGAGCAGCGCATGCGGCGCCAGCGCCCACCAGGGCCGTGGCCACAGCAAACGCACGTACGGCCAGCAGCGCGCCGTCGTTATCGAGGTCCTCGATGCGCGCCGCAGGCTCCGCCGACGGGCCTGTGCCGGAGCGCGAGAGCGCACGTAGCGGCCCCGGCTGCGCCGCTGGTGCGCGGCCGGCCGCCGCAGTCGGTGGCGGCGCGCGGCGCGAGAGCGCGCTGAGAGGCGCGCTGCGCGCCGGCTCGCTCGACGGCGCACGCGCACCGCCGCGGAAGACGGCCGCATTCATCTCGCCAAAGAGCGCCCAGGCACTTTTGGGCGCGTCGTCGACGGGGCGCGCCGCCGGCGCCGCCGCAGCGTGCGGCGTCTTCGCAGCCGCGGCAGGACCTACGACGGACCAGGCGGGGCGGCGCCAGACGCCATAGAGCACCGTGCCCACGGCCCCGGCAACAAACACAGCCGCAGAGACGGCCGCGACAGGCTGCACAGGCACGCGTGAAGCGGGCCGCTCGGTGTCCGCCTCCGTGGCCGGTCGCATAGCGCGTGTTACGTGGAGGTCTACGAACTAGCCACGCACGACCGAGTCGGGCAGGACGCCCATATCGGGCGGAAGCGCGTCGGGCGCCTGGCCGCCATAATTCACGAGCTCCGTCGACTCGAGGAACAGTTCGTCCCGCAGCACATGCGTCCACTCGCCAAGGCGGTGCAGGACGTAGCGCTCGAGCGCATACATCGCAAGCCCGCCCAGGACCGTGTAGTGGCCCCAGCGCACATACAGCCGCTGCCGTGCGATGGGCGCGTGCCAGTCGGCGGTCAGCCCGCAGAACAGGGCCGCGGTCACGTACGGCGCGGCGAGGAGGGCGAGCAGCGACACGACGGTGGGGCGCAGCGCATGCCGTGCGGCTGGCCCCACCGGCACGCGCCACAAGCGCCCCGCCTGCATGTGGTCGTACACGTCCCAGAGGAGCGGCACGTCGTCGGGCACAATCGAGAGCGCCAGGAGGAGCGCCGTATTGAGAACGAGGGCGCCTGTGCACCACGCAAACCACACAGAGAACGTCGGGATCGCTGTCGGATCGCCGCTCGGCCACAGATACTGCAGCAGGACCAGGCCCACGAGCGTCGGCACGAGGCCGCCGAACATGCCGAGATGGAACGCAAAGCGCCCACACGCGCGCGCGAGAGACTGCATGTCCGCCACGTAGGCGGGCCACGCCCGCTGCGCGGGCCGCACGGCCGCCACGCCCTGCGCGACGGCCGCCAGGCCGGCCAGTACGAGGTAGCCGTGCAGCACCGTATAGGCGTCGTGCATGGGCGCCCAGCGGCCCCACACGGCAAGCCCACGCCCGATCGCGAGCGGCACACCGAGCGCCGCGAGCACGCCGCACAGGCAGAGCGCGGCAAAGAGGCCCAGGGCCGCGACGAGGCGCAGGCGCCAGCGGGGCGGCATGTACACGATCGTGTAGGGCGCGCGGTCCTTCATCCGCGCGAGAGCCGCGAGCTGCTCGTCGAGCTTGGCGCGCGCGTGCGCGTCGACCGGCTCGCCCTGCGCATCGGTCGGGATGAGCACGGCGCACTTGCTCGCTGGCCGGTCGTCCGCCGGCACACGCATGAAGCCGCCGTCGGGCACGAACGACGCCGAGACTGGCTGCACCCACGAGCGCGCCCAGTCGGCCCACGACGCATACACATAGTGCCCGCGCTCGAGCAGCTGCTCGTCGCCCATCAGGTACGCGCTCATGCGCAGGCGCCGGGCAACCCAGATCCACCACTGGCGGAAGAGGCGGCGTGCATGGTGCGCACACCGCGCGCGCTTCAGCGACACGCGCAGGCCAAAGTGCACGAGGAGCAGCTCCACAGGCACCACGGTGCGCGGCGCATGCGGCTGCCACACGAGGGGCAAGAGGCCCGGCACCACGAGCAGCACACGCAGGCCGAGGCCGAGCGTGCACGCAGCGAACGCACTGTATATGCCGACCGAGTGCGTGAGCTTGACGAGCTGCGTGGCGGTGCGGTGCTGCAGGATATCGCGCAGCGGACTAAAGTCGGGATCGCTCGCGTCGCCGAGAAAGTACACGACGCCGGGGCGCACGGCTGTGCGGACCGCACTGAGCAGCTGCGAGAAGAAGAACATGTACACGGTGCCAGACGCCCAGCGCACGAACACGAACGGCAGCGGCATGGCCGCCGCCTGCGCGCCCAGCTGCGCGAGCGAGGCGCCGGGAAAGAGGGGCAGCGTGCACCAGTCGATCAGCACGCCGCACAGCACGGGAAACACGAGCAGGTCCATGGCCGAGAAAAAAAAGACCTTGAGCGTAAGCAGGTAGTACTGCGCGAGCTTGGCGACGGAGCGCGTCGATCCGCCATGCACCCAGGGGCCGAAGCGCGCCTCGAGCTGCAGGACGCCGGCCATGTAGGCATGGCCCAGCAGGACGCACAGTGTGCGCTGCAGGGGATGGCCCCCGCGCGTCACAGCATCGAGGCGCGCGCCGACGGAGACGAGGCGGTGCACGATGCCCGACCCGGGCGCCGGCGCCGGCGCCGCGGGAGCGGGCGCCGCGGCCTCGAAGGACGTGGACACCATGCGCCCCATGCCGTGGATGAGCCCCTCAAAGAGCGGATCGGTAAACACCCGCAGCGCCTTGGCAGGCAGGAGCAGCGTGTCGTAGAAGCGCAGGCCCAGGACGCGTCCGACCGTGTACGGCACCATGACGCAGAGCGACATGATCAGGAGGACGATCGTCTCGAGAACAAAGAGGTTCTGCAGGAGCTCGATCCACGTGCCGCGCAGGCCGACCGCATGGAGCATGCCATCGAGGTCCTCGGCCATGTGCTCGCCATTGTCCCACTCTTCCTCGTCGTCGCGCTCGTCGACGTCGTCGTCGAGCACGGGCGGCGCCGCATCCAGCACCGGCGGCGGCGGCGGCGGCAGTGGCGCCGCTGGCGCTGCCGGCGCCGCGCCGGCTTGCACGGGCGCCACCGGCTCGTCGTCGTCGGTCCATGCATCGTCGTCGTCAGCGGCCACGGGCGCCGGCTCGATCTCCGGCACCTCGGTCGCGAGCATCTGCTCGGCACGGGCCTGTGCGGCGTTGAGCGCAGCGGCACGCAGGCGCTCCATCGCCCTATCGCGCTCCGCATCGGCCGGGGGCGCCTCCGCCGGCGCCTCGTCCCAGCGCCCGTTCACGGCCTGCGTGAGCTCGTCGCGCATAAAGAACAGGGAGACGAACACCAGGCCGAGGCTGACTGTCAGCACGGCACCCGTGAGCCACTGGCGCGTAAGCACGGCCCACGCCCATCGAGAGAGCGCGCCAAGGCGCGACTCGGTCGGCCGCACAACCAGGGCAGGCGCCGCCTCGTCGGGCAGCACCGCCACGCGGCGGCGCAGGATCATCTCCGCGACCCAGTCGCCCGTCTGGAGGTAGGCGCGCCAGATGCGCCGCGTCGCGTAGGGCACGAGCAGGAGCCAGCACACGAGCACGGCAGCGAGGCGCACAGCGAACTGGAGTGCCCGGTACGCCTGCCATCCGACGTAACGCACATAGAGCCACACGGGCAGAGTGCCCTGCGGCATCTCATGGGTATAGCGCTTGTGGAACACAAACGGGTACTGGCACAGTTCGCAGTACTTTTTCTGGCTGTGCTGCAGCCACTGCACAAGGCTGGGTCAGTAGGCAGGCGTACCATTCCTGGTGGCAGTAGCGGATACTACCCGTGCACTTGCATGGGTGGTACAGAGGCGCATCGGGCTCCTCCTCCATGCGGCAGATCCGGCACGCAGGCACCTCCGGGGTGCCATCGGTCCCCAGCATGGCGCCGTCGTCGTCGCGTCGTGCTACGTTCGGCGCGGCGCGCTCGGCCGATCTCCTCCACCTACGGCAGGGCGTCCGCACACGCCCCGAGGAGGGCCGCTGCGCGGTCTATGTGCTCGGGGCGCGTCGAGACGGCGCCCACGACCCAGCGGATACACACGCCGATGCCTGGAACGACGGTCGGGGTGAGCAGCAGGTCAGAGGAGCGCGCAAGCAGCTGCTGCTCCCACGCGCGGTTCAGCGCGTCTGTCTGCGCCGCATCGAGGCCCGGACGCGTCACGCGCAGGACCACAAGGCCCCAGCGGGGCGGTACGGGCACCTCGATGCGGGGGTGCGCCGCGACGCGCTCCGCAAAGGCGGTCGCCATGGCGACGTGGGAGCGGATGTGTGCCTGGAAGCCCTGCACGCCGTAGCTACGCAGCACCATCCACACTTTGAGCGCGCGGAAGCGGCGGCCGAGCGAGATCTGCATGTTGCGCAGGTCCGAGACGAGGTCCTCGCCGCCCCTCGATGCGAGGTACGCAGGCGTGAGCGTCAGGGCGTGCACGAGCGGCGTGCGATCGCGCACAAACGTCGGCGAGCTCTCGAACGGGACGAGGCCCCACTTGTGCAGGTTCGTCGAGAACGAGTCAAAGTGCGCATTGATGGCATCAAGATGCGCGTCGCGGTACTCGGGCACGCTCAGTGCGACGCCGCCGTACGCAGCATCGACATGCAGCCACAGGTGCGGCGCGGCATCGCGCGCCTCCGCGATCTCCGCGAGGCAGTCGATCGCACACGTATTCGTCGTGCCGTACGTCGCCACGAGATAGAAGGGCACAAGGCCCGCCTGCGTGTCCTGCGCGATGGCGTCGCGCAGCGTCGCGCCACGCAGGGCATACGCGTCGCTGCGGTGCACGGGCAACACGCGGCACGGCAGCCCGAGAATCAGCGCGGCCTTCTTCGCGGACGAGTGCGTCTGCTCTGTGCAGTACATGACCAGGCGCGAGCGTGCCACCTGCGCGTCCTCGTTCCGCTCGGACGCCAGGCGCGCAACCGCACGCTCGCGCGCAGCGACGGCCAGCGTGAGCGTCGCCTCGCTAGCTGAGCCAAAGATGACCCCGCCGCCATTGTGCGTGGTGTCGAGGCTCAGAAACGCACGGTCCAGGCCCAGCATCTTCGCGACCCAGTCCAGCACGAGGAACTCGAGCTCCGTCACGGCCGGCGACGCGTTCCAGTTGAACGCGGGGTTCGTCGTCATGCACGCGAGCATATCCGCCAAAATGCCCTCGTACGTGGCGTTCGCAGGGAAGAACCCGAAGAACATGGGGTGCTGCCAGTGAGTGATGCCCGGCAGGATGTGGGCATCATAGTCGTGCATGATCGCCGACCACGGCTCGCCGTGCACGGGCGCCTCGAGCGGTAGGCGCTGCGCGAGGTAGCCACGCTCGACCTGCGCGGTCACTGGCCGACTCTCGAGGGTGTCGTAATAGTCGCATATGCGGTCCACGGTGGCGTGCGCCGCGGCACGGAAGCTAGGATCAGCACGCAGCGCACGTACGCATCGCGGTCCATGGCAAGCGCCGCGGCGCCACGGCGGGCTCGGCCGACTCACGTGATGGAGCGCGGCGGGCGACGACCGCGCGGCCGATCGGCCGCCGCGCACCACCACGACGCAACGGATGGCGTCGGCGGCGGGCGGCTTGGATGTGTTTGAACCGGCGCGCTTCGAGACGCTGTATGGAATTCTGCATACTGTCGTGAGCGCGCCGGCCGCAGCTGTACCCACATGGTACCTGGACGTCGAGCGCAACCGTGCGGCCCTCGCGACGCTCGGCCGCGTCAAGCCCCCCAGCGAGGCGGAGCGGCGCGATATTTCCAAGGGCATCATTGTGCTCGAAGGCCACGCGCAGTCGCTCAACGCAGACTTTGTTGCACAGACGCTGCTGCTCTCCGACGAGCTCCACGTGTCGGAGACGTATGCGGCCTCCCTGCTCCAGGAAGGCATTGCAGCAAGTGCGCGCTGGGGCCGCACGCCCACCGAGGTGGCGTGCCTGCTCTTCTACCGCGAGCACCTCGCCCTGCTGGCCTGCCTCAAGGAGCTGGCCAGTGGCGCCTACACGCTGTGCGTCGGCGGCGACCTTGCCGCGGGTGTGCGCATGAGCCGGCTCCTCGACGAGCTCGTGCAGGGCGACGAGTTGGTCCAGCGCCTGCTCGAGGCCATGCGCTCGTACCCACAGGCGCGCGAGCGCGTGCGTGCGGCCATGCAGCGCGCGAGTGCGTCGCCGCGCCTAAGCGATGAGGTGCAGATGGAGCGCACGACGTGGCTCGAGCAGGCGGAGCAGGAGGTCGGCCACATCGTGTACCTGCTCGCACTTGCGCGGCGCCTTGCGCCCCCCGCGCTCGAAGCGCTCGTAGCGCACCTCGCTCAGAGCCAGGTGGCGCCGGCGCCGGCGCCAGCGACCGCGCTGTATGCGCTCATGGCCGTGCTGGCGGCCCTCGATACGGTCCCGGACGAGGCAGGCGAATGGCTGGCCCGGCACGCCACGTCCCCGGTGCACACGGCCGAGGCCCTGTGTGCCGATGCGGGCCTCCTCTCGCGCCTGTGGACGGCGGCCACGGGTGCATGGCAGCATGCCGGTCTCCAGCACATGGTGCAGCTGGCGCTCGCCCTGTTCATCGCCGAAGCCCTCGCGAACCACGCGGCGCTCTCCGCGTCGCTCGGCCACACGATGGAGGATGTGCATGCGCTGGCTCTGCGTGCGCTCACCGCGGACGACGACGCGAGCGCGCTTGTGTTCCTCGCCGTGCGTGTGCTCGGCTTCCGCCGCGTCCTCGACGGCGACCTGGAGGAGCGGCCGCCCGTGATCGATGCCGAGTTCCAGGAGTATGTGCTGCAGCAAGTCCAGCACCTCATGCTCAGCGTCACGACCACCTTCTTTCCGCTCCTGCGCAAGATGCAGCGCAGCGAAGAAGACTCGGCATTCGCGTCCCTGCGCGCCGCGCGCCCCGGCGCGCCGCCGCCAGCGCGCCGCTTTGACATCGAGGCGCTCTTTGACGTCATGGCCCTCCTGTGCCGCGGCCGCCCGGAAGCGGGCCTGCCGTTCTGGCAGGGGCAGGAGCGTGGCCTCTCGCGCTTCCTCCTCTGGGCCGTCGACACGCGCGAGCCGGGGCAGCAGCGCGCGCTCTTCGACATGCTTGCCGCCCTCGCGGAGGGCGAGCAGTGTGCGGCGTACGCGCATGCCCTGCTCGAATACGACGCCGGCGCGCCGCCGGGCGGCGAGCGCCGACTCGTGACGTGGTCGCGCCTGTTTGAGTGGATCGCGCACTATGTCGATGCGTTCCAGCGGCACGCGTCCGCCGTGATGCCGCCGGACGAAATGGTCCTGCTGCGTGCGTTCCTCGGCGTGCTGGCCACGGTCGTGCGGTACAGCGCCGCGACGCGCGACGCGCTTTTCCTCCACAAGGAGTATGCGCCCCTGGACAAGCTGTTCGCGCTGTATGCGTGCGCGGTGCCCGTGGACCTCAAGGCCGCGATCCTGCAAGCCCTGACCGCCTTTGCGGCGCGCCCGCGCGATGCCACATCGCCGCGCGTGCTCTCTGCGCTGTGGGAGCGCCTCGAGCAGAGTGGCGCGGTGCGCGGCGCCGCGCCCCGTGCCGTGTACGAGCTGGAGCATGTGGAAGCCGTGCACGGCCGGTACCCAGGCACGCGGCGCCTGGTCGAGCTGCTGACGGCGGTGCTGCCGTACGCGACGCCCGCGGCGCAGGCGGACGCGCTGGTCGCGCATGTGCAGGGCCACGGGGCCCTGCCGCCTGCGCACGCCTTTACGGCCACGGGCGCCGCGCCGTACGTGGCGTTCGTCATTGAGCAGGTGCTGCTCGCCGCCCCGCGTCGTCTGTACGCCCAGCCGGCCGAGCGCTGGGCGCTCTCGGCGGCGTGCATCGAGTTTCTGGACCGCTGCCTCGCGGCCTTCTCGCTAGCGCCCCTCGACACGAAAGAGGCGCTCGCCAAGCACCCCGGCTTCGACATCCTGCGCCGCCTCCTCAGCGGCTCGGCGCTGCTGCAGGAGCTGCTTGTGTTCGTGCACCCAGACCCGTCGCTCGCGGGCTTTGAGGTCGTGAACCAGGACCGCGCGCAGACGCCCGAGTTTGCGCGCGCCGTGCGCGGCGTGCTGCGCATTTTGCTGCGTGTGCTGGACGTGCAGCCACTGCTCCTGCACACGCTCCTGCCCGCCTGGAGCGACGCTGTGGTGGGCGACCGCGCGCAGCTCGTGCCGCTCGAGGTACACCTGCTGCATGCGCACCAGGTGGTCGTGCAACTCGCGCTCTACGTGAACTGCATCGACGCGGATATGGCATGGCTCTCGGTGCGGCTCGTGAGCGCGCTCGCGCGCACGTCCACGTTCCAGGCCTCGGACGCGTTTGGGCCGCTCCGCGCACGCACATCGATGAACCGCCTGGCAGGCCTCTTGGAGATGACCGGCGAGGCCGCGCGCGTGACGAGCGGGGCCGTCGCGTGGCTCGACGCCAAGCCAGACAGCACCGAGTCGCCGACCGAGGCCGCGGACCCCCTCAGCGCGCCGGCCGGCGCCGCGCAGGTGCAGGAGGCGCTCCTGGAGCTGCTGCTCGCACAGACGGCGCGGCACGTGCCGGCCCCGAATGTCGCGCACCTGCTGCTGGGCTTTGAGCCGGAGGCCACGGCGCCCGACCGCCTTGTGCACGGCGCGCGCGGCGGCCTGCTGCCTGCGCTCCTCGCGCGCGTCCAGCCACCCGTCACGCTGCCGTCGCTGCTCGTCGAGCGGTGCCTCGCGGTGCTGCACCAAGTGTGCATGCACCCCTTTACGAGCACGGCCACGCTGCGCTTCCTGCGCACCCACGACTTTGTCGCGACGCAGCTCACGCACCTGTCGGCGCAGCCGGCCGCGGAGCCGGCGGCGAGTGGCGCGCTTGTACTGCACCAGGGCGAGGTCGTGCCGACCAGGGCCGAGTCGGCGCTCGCCTGGCTACACATTCACGCGCATGTGCTCGCGCTCGTCGCGCTCGAGCTGCACACGCTCGTCGGGCAGGACCAGCTGGGTCGCGTGGCGCCCCTGCTCTCGACGCTGCTGGGCGAGCCGGCGATGCAGGGCCGCGGCGCGTCGAGTGGCCAGTGGCTCGCGCTGCTGCATACGTCCGAGGTGCAGTGGGACGACGCGCACGATGCGCACGATGCGCGTACGGCTGCGCTCCTTGCGCCGGCGGTCGTCAGCGATGTGCTCGTGTCGGACAAGGTATACGACTTGAGCGCGGTCGCTGCGCTCCTGCTGGAGCAGCGCAGTGCGATGGAGCCCGCCGCATGGATGGAGCAGGCGCGCGCGCGCCTCCTCTGGGCCGCTGCGCAAAACACGCGCCGTGCGATGGCTGTGGCGCGGCGCGAGGCGTTCCAGGCGTGCTGTGAGGTGCTGGATGTGCTGATGAACGAGGTGCTCGCGGCGGTGCGCAGCGATGCGCGTGTGCCGCTCCTCCTGGACGTGGCGAGCGCGCTCCTGCCGCGCCTGCGCCCCGACGAGGACGACGCGTACGTGTCGGACCTGGCCGCTAGCACACTGCTGCATGCGCTGTACGCCCTGCGCGGGCAGCTGGAGCCCCCGAATGACCGGCTGCTTGCGATTCTCCGGGGCATGCTCGAGTCGATCGACCGCGGCCTCAGCGCGGCGGCGCGCAGTGACGTGTACCTGGCCGTGACGTGCCTGACGCAGCTGGCCATGCGCGGCGCAGGGCCGCTCGGCACGCGTGTGCGCACGCTCCTTGCGACGCATGCGCCGCGCCTCGTGGATGTGGCGGCGCGCGACGCCCTCGACGGCACCGATGTCGTGCAGACGGTGGCGCTGACCACGCTGACGTTCCTCGCCTCTCTGGAAGCGGCTGCGCCGCCGATGCGTGTGGGGCCGCTGCTATCGTCTCGTGGCTACCTTGCGAGTCTCGCGCGGCGCCTCCAAGAGCTGGACCGCCCGCTGCAGGCGGCGCTGGCGCCTGACCCGCCGTCGCTGAATGCGCAGTACGTGTACGAGGCGCTCATGGCGCTTCTCGTGCGTCTCGCGTCGTCGTGTGCGCCGCTCGTCCTCGACGCGCGCGTGGTCGATGTGCTGGCGCGCGTCGACTTTCCGTCGATGCGCCCGGAGCACACGCTCGACGACGTGGATGGGTTCCTGCCGCCGGTCGCGGAGCGCTACGCGAGCCTTCTGACGCCGCTGCTGCAGCTGCTGGCAGCGCTGCTAGCGCATGCGCCGGGCGCGTCGTCGTCCGTGCAGGCCGTGCTTGTGGCGCACCAAGACGCGCTGCTGGCCATCCTGCATGGCATGACGCACGCGGCGCCCGGCGTCACGGACGTCGAGCAGGGCGCCCTGCTCGTCCACCTGCTCTCGTCGCTGACGCCGCCTGCGCCGTTCCACGCGGCGGTGCTGTCGGTGGCGGCCCTGTACCTGGTCCCGCAGGCGCACGAGCTGCTTGCGCCACAGACCCCGACGGAGCGCGAGGACACGGCGATCTTGGCGCCCACGCTGAATGGCCTCGTCCAGCAGGCGTCGCCGACGCGTCTGACGCTGTTCGAGCAGGCGGCGCGCCGCAGCGTTGATCGCCTTGTGCGTGCGCTGATCCGGTACATGGAATATGCGAGTGCACATGGTGAGGCGCGCGCGATCCTGGTGCCGTCACTGCATGTCGGCCGTGCCACGGACCATGCTGCGTCGAGTGGGCGCGTCGTTGCCGCTCCGTCGCTCGGCGTCGCCATCGCTGCGCTGCGCGAGCAGCTCGCGTCGCTCTCGGCCGCCGTGCAGAGTCTGGAGCGGGTCGAGGCGGTGCGTGCCGACCCACACGCCCTGCACGCGGACGAGTGGGCAGACTTGGCGGCCGATGCCGGCGTGGCGCCGAGCCTCGCGCCGTCGGCGCAGCGTGTCGCGGGCGAAAAGGCCGTGCAGCAGGCCGCCGATGTGCTGCACCACACGGTGGAGGCCAAGCTCGACATGGTGGAGCGCTGGATGGTGCTTCTTGTGCGGCACCTCGACCTGTTCACGCGCCTCGGCACGTCGCGTGCGGCGGGCGATGTGCCTGCGCTGCGCGCGGGTGCCCAGACGGCCCTGGCGCCCGTGCTCGATGAGCATCTCGCGTACCTGGCGCTGCCCCCGTGCGTGGGCCCTGAGGCGGCGGAGCACGTGGCGTTCCTGCAAATGGCCGCGCGCCGCATCGCAGACCGGCTGCGCCCCGAGGTCGCGTAGGGTATATAGAAGCCTACCGCATAAAGTGAACTAGTTCAATGATGCGACGAATCTCCGCCTCGAGGCCGGCCTGCGAGAACCCAATCTGCCCGAGGCCCTGGATGCACCAGTCCATTTCGCGGCGCTTGTTGCGTCGCGTAAAGGGCTCGTGGGAGCGCGAGTCAGGGACAGATATGAGCAGGTTGATGTCATGAGACGAGGCGGACGGCAGTGGCTGCGCAGAAGGCGGAGGTGTCTCATGGGGCGTCTCCACCCCAGTGGGGTTCAACAGGGAGTGGAGCGTAGGGGCCGTCCTGTTTGGGGGCTCGTCGACCGGGGCGTCGGAGTTCTCTTCACCGACCGGCAACGCGCGCGCGATGCTTTGCGCCACACGGAACAGCTGGCGTGTCATAGATGATCCACGGAAGAGGAGGCCTGTGGGCAAGAGGTTCCGCGCATAGTGCGCAATCGTGCGACTAATGCCGAGGGTGGACAGCTGTGACTCGCGCAGCAAGTCATGGATGGCGTCCATGAGCGGCTCCACCTGCTCCTCGTCAGAGTACATGGTCCATTGGTGGTACGCCTTCGTGGACGAGAACCAGTCGGTGATCCGCCGCATGATCGCCTGGTATAGCAAAAAGCTGAGGGTGAGGAGGAGCCAGCCCCATTGCAGCGTGTTCATCGGCAGGGCTACTTGATGCGTCTCGCGCATCTTGGTCGCGAGAATAAACATGCTCAGTTCAATTTTGTGCAGATCGCCCCACAGGCGCTCACAGGCCGACCGGATCTCTGCCATTGACGCAAAGGTAGGCGGAATAGCACTGAGCGCAGGTAGGGTCATCAACGACGCATACGTGTCGTGCGCCACACCGCCAATCGCCATCGTCAAGAGATAATACAAGGACACGGCCGACGTGGAATTGGCCTGTTCGCACACCGCCACGAACTCGCTCAACGTCGCCGGGTGCACCGTCGCGTCGAGGCCTCCGCGGAATCCAACCACACAAAAGTCGCGCGGCATTTGGGGCCGCCGCATGTAGGACACATTCGATACTGCATCGTACACCCAAGTTGAATGCGGCAGGCGGTTGCCCGACAAACGTGAAAACTGGTCATAGATCGATATAGATGGTTGCACATAGTTGAGATCAAACTCGGTACGGAGAAATAGGCGCACGATTTGGGCGCTGGCCATGCGCTGCAGCTCGTATGCGATCTTGGGACGGACATAGTCCAGCAGCGATGCCAATAGCATCAGCACGCTGGCGCCCTGCATCGTGTAGCTGTTGACCAGGTCGTACTTGTGCACAAGAATGAGCGCACGCCGCACAAAATGGCTAAACACAGCTTCGCGCGCCACGCCATAATCGATGAGCTCCTGCTGCGAAAGCGACCGGACGGATGGCGGGAGATCATGCAGCTCCATAAATTCTTCACGATGCGGCAAAAGCTGCACGTCAGGGATCGCACGCGCGGTGCTGGTGCTTCGGGACATATCCCGACTGCGTCGCCATTGGATGTATCGGTCTGTGCACACAATTTGCTTCACTCGGCACCGCGAGCAGGCAGTGGCACCCGGTGGCAGCTCCATCAGGTCGCAGCGCACGCGGCGCAAACGACAGGTATCGCATGCCACACCCTGCCGTCGTTTTTGCCGCTTGACCGTGCCCGGCTCTGGCAAGATCGACTCGGGCGGGCCCTGGGGGGCCGTGCGGCGGAAGCCGAGCTCGGGATCGTCCCAGGCCGCCTGCACCAGGTTGGTGTGGCCCATCGGCTCAAATACGCTCAGGTCCAGTGACTCGAACGGGAGCAAAATAAGCTGGGATCCCCAGGCACAGATGGTCGTGAGGAGAGCTTCCACAGTTTCCGGCGTTGATTCGACCGTATTGTTGGGGTCCGCCGAAACCGAAAACGACTTGCGGTGGTCAAAGAACTCGCGCGTCTGTACATCGCCTTCTTCTCCATTCAGGTACCTCGACATGATATGAACATCACCAAATGACCGATTAAATGCCTGAGAAAACCTTTCGTACTCAACACAGGGCATGAATGTATTGGAATAGCTGAAAAAGCAATTAATGAGCTGGAGATAGATGCGCGGCCAAGTGAGCTCCTTGGACGTGCTTGAGCTCGGCGACTCTGTCTTTTCCGCCTCCGGATATATCGTAGACCCATGTAGTTTGCGACTCATTTCAATGCGGCGACCCGTTCGTGATGGGCGGGGAAAGAAGCGCGCTTGAGAGATGACCACCTGCTCACAAGTGATCTGCCGGTGCTCACATCGCGAGCAGCGTACATGTTCGGAGCGACCCATCCGCTGCATCATCGTCTCACGCTCAGAATAGTCGCAGCGCAAATGCTTTCGTCGGCACTCTCCGCAGGTTTTCCCTGATTTGCGTGCATGGTGCTCCACGTCCGCCTCTATAATCCCAGACCCCGGGCGAGAGACGATTAGAACCTCTGAAGGTTTCGATGACGTAGAATGACACCATGACGATTCGTCCTCGTCTCCTCTAAGATAAGGGAAAGACGACATAGCAGCATCTGGAGACTTGACGTGCAGATGGGCCGCCCCTATGCAAGATCTTCGCGGGTTCGCGAACATGCGCCACAACCCGGCGCTTATTTGATCCACGTGATCCAACTCGCCGACCTCCGCGCAAGACAGCGTTGGTGCACCATGCGAGCCGCTCCGCCCCTGTGGCGCGCGTCGCGCCTAAGGCCGCAAGCCTACGTTGGGCCGCCAGATCCAGTCTCAAATTTGCGCCCTGTTGTGTATAGCGAGCCACAGGTGCGCCCAAAGTCCGCTCTCCACCCCTACTCGCTCGAGGAATTCACCGCACGGGCCCAGACGCAGCGCGGACGCTCGTCCAGCGCCCTTGTTCGCTATGCGGACCACCTGCTGGGCCAGCTTGAGGCTGTGGGCATGCATGCGCGTCTGCAAAGTATGTGGTTGGATCAGTTCAACCAGCGCTTCTGGTTTGACAACAATGTGCGCTTCACCCGCGCCCTGGAGGAATACAAAGCACACGTCGCGCCACAGGGCGACGCGACGCTGGAGCTGCTGGCCCCTTTTTACCGCGAATGGCTCGTAGTCAACGCGAAACGGCTACGTCACTACAACCACACTCTCTGGGTCGCGACCTACAAAACGATCGGCGCTCAGCTGCGTCTGGCTCTGCTTCAAGGCTACACGCGTGTAGTGGTATGGTTCGCAGGACGATAGTCATGCATGGTACTAGTCAAAGGCTGCTTCGTCGCCGCCATCGTCTATATCGTCGTCGTCTTCTCCATTGTCGAAGTAGTTCTGTGCATAGTCGTCGTCCACTTCGTCCTCGTAGTCGCCCAGGTCCTCTTCGTCGGACTCAGGCGGCGCCTCTTCTTCACCGTCCCCAGCCCGCTTCTCCTCCATGTGCAAGTGGTCCCAGTCGATTTTGGCCGGGCGGTCTTGCATGTGGGCTGTGCGCCGGGCAGCTCGCTTGGATTCACTGCTCGTAAAACTGTCCCATAGATGCGGTGGAAAGACGTCCTTCTGTAGCGGTGCAAGCTGCAAAAATGACACTGTCGAAGCAGCCCCTCGCCTGTCCGGCTGATACCGGTCCGTATATCGCAAGAGCTCGCCTGCGCCATTCTTTTTCAGGACATGCTGCGTCCAGTAGGGCGAGTCACGCGCCTTACTGAGAAAGTCAAGCTGCAGCGCGGCCGTATGTCGCTCGGCCTCTGTGGGCGGACGCAATACTGGCACCTCGGCAGGTACAGGAAACACAGAAGCCTCCTCCAGCTGTGCTCCCTCGAGGTAGGGTAGTCCCATCGGCTTCAGCCCTTGGGCGCCGCCACGGCCCCCGCGCCGTCCCCCGCCGGTCGCCATACCGTCGGTGGAGGAAAAGACGCAGCTCATGGCCTCCACTAGGAGCTTACAAAGTAGGTCTACGGGTATGGTACACTAGCGTGTGCGGATGATGCCCGCCGCAATGAGCTTCTGAATCTTGGCGCGAATACCGGGGTTTTTCATGTGGTCCTGCAGCGCCGCCGGATTCGACTGCGCCTGCTGCAGAATCGACTGCATGACCGGATCCTGCATGATGTTCGCCACTTCAGGGTCCCGCATCGCGCGCTCGAGCGTCTGCTCGTCGGACTCGCCAGAACGCTGCGCGTAAAGGCCCTGCATAATCTTTGCCTGCAGAGCTTGAATCTCGCGCTGGTTCTGTGCGCCGCCCTCTTGTGCCTCGTCCACATCGTCAGCGGCCTGTGCGGCCTCCATGGCCTTCGTAAATTCCTTCATAGAGAACAGCACATTGGCCTTGCGGATGTAAGCCTTGACGAACTTCGGATCCACCTTGATGGCCTCTTCAGCGTCCTTGAGCGCCTCAGGCAGCGCAGCGAGCTTGGTATACGCCGAAGCACGGTTTGTGTAGCCGCGCGGGTCCGACGGGTTGCGCTTGATCGACTCGCTGTACGCCTGGACCGAGCCAGGGAAGTCACCCTCTTTGTATAGGGTGTTGCCACGGTTACGCTCTTCCTCCGCCTTGGCAGGGTCGATGTAGGCCTGGCGCTCACGCTCCTTGAGGTCCTTTTCCGCCTGACGGAGCTTGGCAAGGATCTCGGGCGTGCGGTGCTCTGTGAGTGACTTTTCAAAGAATGTAATGGCTTGCGGTAGGTCGTCCTTCTTAAGGTACGCCGAGCCAATACGCCCGAATGCCTTGGCCACCAGCTTGTAATCCGCCAGCATCGCACGACCTTCTTCGACAGCCTTCTCACATGTCTTGATGCACTCGTCCAGATTGCCCTGCTCAAAGTAGACAGCGCCCAGATTGTTCAGGTACGTGATGTCCTGGTACAGCTCCCAGGCCTTTTGGTAGTGCGCAGCTGCCACATCAAATTCGCGCTTCAGATAGTGCGCGTTCCCCTGCTTCTTCTCAGCCTCAGCCTCGGCCTTCTTCGGGTCTTCAGGCTCGGCGGGCGGCGCCTCTTTGGGCGCCGCGGGCTCCGGCTTCGGTGCCTCCTTCTTCGGTGCAGGTTCCTCGTCCATGGGCCGCGCGTTGTCTGAACTGGGATCGAAGGCACGCATATCCACGCCAATGAGCGCGCCCATCACCTGGATCATGCGCTGGTCTTGCAGCGCCATCATCGGGTTCGCGCGACCGCTCTGCAGGTCCTTGAGCTGCTGAACAAACGAGGGGTCCTTCAGCAGGCCTTCGGTGTTGGGGTTGCGCTCGAGCTTCTCAAAGAGCTGCGGGTCACGGAACAGGTTTCCCATCGCAGCCGAGGGATCCTGTGCACCTGCGCTGTCGGCCTTGGCACGCTGCACATCTGCTAGACCCTTCTGCAGCGCTGCATCTCCCGGAACAGCCTCCAGGCCAGCATGGTACGCAGCAATCGCCTCGTCGTAGCGACGCGCGCCGTGCAAAGCACTGCCCTTGCGACCGTACCCCTTAGCAAAGGAGGGGTTCAGGCGAATGGTCGTCTCCGCGTCCTCCAGCGCCGCGCTCCAGTTCTTCAGACCGGCGAAACTCGCGCTGCGATTCGAGTACAGCACGTGCACGCCATCCTGCTCGCCTTGGCTCTCTGCCGCGGCGATCGCATCGGTGTAGTGCTTGATAGCATTGTCGTAGTCCTTCGCAGCGAAACTAGCGTTGCCCTGCGCCTTGAGCTCAGATACCGACATGTCGTCAAGAGCGCCGCAAGTGGTCAGCGCCTATATACGCCAGGGCCTTGTACTTCCAGCACTTTCTTTCGGCCGAACGCTAGGACCAGCGCTCCACGCGAGACACTACGCCTCGGAGGGCGCGGGCGCCGCGCGGCGCTGGCGGGCCTGCTTGATGCGCGCAAGGCGCGCACGAAGAAGTCGGACGCTGGTGTCAGTGCGAAATACGTACCGCTCGTCTGCGTCTTCCTGGGCGCGCTGCTCGTCTTCAATGCGGGCAAGGACCTCTTCGCGCGCCTCGCGGTCCAGCCGCGCGCGCTGCTCTGCCTGTGATTCGCCCTGCTCGTGAGGTGTCTCTGATTGTGTATTAGAATGCAGTTCAGGCTCCGCAGATATCGTCGCATGCTCGTAGTTCGTCGCCGGTGATTCGTTGGCGGGCGCGACGACCGTTCGCTGGAACTCGGCCCACTCGTCGTCCATGGTATCGTGCCGCACACGCTTTGTATCCGTGCTAGCATCTGCTTCCGTGTCTGGATCCTTGCGTTTAAGGGGCATGTCCTCCTCACGATCGGAGGGCGGGTCGGTGGATGGCCGCCTCGTTTCGGCCGCTTCGGGCCGCGGCGGCGCAGCTGCTACGTTCGGCGCAGGGACGCCATGTTGGTTGGTTTTCGTGGCGCTGCTTCCGCCGCCGCGCCGGGCGATGGCCTCACGCAGCAGGGACCTATCACTCGCCATGGCGCCAAGGCACGCCCGCCGTCGCTGGTGGAGCTCGTGGGAGTCGGTCACGTGGCCGCCGCGGCGGCAGGGGCCGAATCGTCGCGCTGAGCACGGTGCGCGAGCGAGACGGTCGACGATGGCGGCCCCGGACGCGGCCTCTGGCGTTCGTGCAGCAGCGAGGGAGGCGCTCGAGGTGAATGTGTATCAAGATCCGCGCATTTCTGCACCTTGGCTCGATCTACTTGCCCTAGTGCGTCAAGGCGAGAATGTGGACGATGTGCGCGATGTATACGATCGCTTTTTCGAGTACTTCCCACAGGCGAGCACACAATGGATGGACTACATTGATTGGGAGCTGAGCCGCTCGAACTTTGAGCAGGTGAATGCGATCTTTACGCGATGCCTGCGCAATACCATGTCCGTGGACCTGTGGAAGATGTACCTGGCGTACACGCGGCGAGTGAACCCGCTTCCGCCATTCACCGCTGAAGAGAACAGTCCACGCGACCAGGTACGCCGCGTGTTAGAGCAGGCGTACGAGTTTGCACTCAAGTACATTGGCTGGGACCGCGAGAGCAGCCCGATTTGGCAAGACTATCTCCAGCTCCTGCGGGAGCGCGAGGCGCGTGGGACATGGCAGGAGGGCCAGAAGATGGACCAGCTCCGCCGGGTATTCCAGCGCGCTGTCATGATCCCGTTGAACCAGGTGGAAGCGATCTGGCGCGAGTACGACGCGTACGAGACGTCGCTGAACAAGATCACAGCGAAGAAGTTCCTGGGCGAGCGTTCGCCCGCGTATATGCAGGCGCGCACTGTCCTCAAGGAGCTGCGCAACCTCACGGATAACTTGGTGAGGCCTGACCTGCCTGTGCAGCCGTGCTGGATCGTGCCGAACGGCAAGACGCCTGCGAAGGAGCGGCAGAGCCTGCAGGGCTGGCGCCGGTATCTCGAGTGGGAGGAGAAGAATCCACTCGCGATCGAGGACCCTTCTTTGCTGCAGCATCGCGTCCTGTCGGCCTACAAGAAGGCTACGATGTATGTGCGCTTCGATGCAGTTGTCTGGTATATGGCCGCGATGTACTGCCAGTCCGTGCACCGCGACGCGGAGGCCTTGGTGTGGCTGCACGAGGGGACCGAGGCCTGCCCCTGGAGCATGCTGCTTCGCTTCCAGTACGCAGAGTTGGCGCGTGCGCAGGGCAAGGACCAGGATGCGTCAGCAGCGCTGGACGACTTGCTGATGTATATGCACCACCAGATCGACACGCGCCTGGAGGCGCAGCGAGCTGCATGTGCGGCCGTCGATGCAGAGACAGATGCAGAGCGCGAGGCGGCGCTGCAGAGGCGTGCGCAGGATGACGCGCCTGATGACGACGATGCCGACAAGGCGGCGCTGGCCGATATCGAGCGTCGGATACAAGAGACACGCGAGCAGCGGCACGCCAAGGTGCTGGCTGACGCCCGGCCGGGCCTGGACGAGTGGCGCGAGGCGCTCAGCCAGGTATGGATTAAGTACATGCAGCTGGTGCGCCGCGCCGAGGGTATCCGCCCGGCGCGGCAAGTGTTTGCGCGCGCTCGAAAGTCGCCGCACTGTACATGGCAGGTCTACGAGGCGAATGCGATGCTCGAGTACCACTGCTCCAAGGACACGACGGTGGCCACCAAGGTGTTTGAGCTGGCACTAAAGGTCTTTGGGCCAGACGAGCACCTCGTCGTGCGGTACCTGGACTTCCTGATCTCCATCAACGATGATACCAATGCGCGCGCCGTGCTGGAACGCACAGTCAGCAGCATGCCCGTTGACAAAGCCAAGTCGGTATGGATGCGGTGGGCCGAGTACGAGTACAGCTACGGCGACACAAGCGCGATGGCACGTTTGGACGCGCGCCTCGCTGACGTGTATCCCGACGTGTCGCGCCTGGACCGCGCCGCGGACCGCTGGCGCTATGGCACGCTCGACTATGTGCGCGCGAAGGACCTTGGCTACTCGCGCATAGCGGCGCCGGCCGCGAAAGAGGCGAAGGAGGCCCCGGCCGATGAGCCCGCTGCAGATGCCGCTAAGGCGTCCCAGAACAAGGCGCCTGCGCCGGAGCCCGCGCCCAAGGTCGAGACGGGCGGGCGCCAGTCCATGGAGGAGATTCGCCGTGCGCTTGCGACGTCTTCAGAGCCTGTGAAGCGCACGCGCCCCAAGGCGGAGCCGGAGAAGTCAAGCAAGAAGCGCAAAGATACGGCGGTTAGCGAAGCGGCGCGCCGTCCCGCGCGCGACACGCCGCCGCCGGTGCCGGTGCTGCCGGATGCCGTGATGTACTTTATGAGGTGCGTTCTCTCTACTGACCCAGTCTTCTTCCGCCGGCCATGATGTATGAGGGCCCGCCGATCACGGCTGACACTGTGTTCGAGTGTTTGGCCCACTCAAATCTGCCCGTCTTGCCGCCGGTGGATGGACGGAAAGGGCTCAAGCGGCGTACGTAGATGGACCACGGGCGTGGTATATGTGGAGGCGACGTGCCAGTCTCTTCTTGACGACCCACCGAGCCGGTGGGCTTTGGTGCCGAGATGCCGCGCTCGTTCTCGACGACAGTGCTATTTCCGTGTGTCTTTTCGCAGGCGGCGCTGGGTAGGTACATGGGACTTATGTAGCTATCTGGTTCAAGTATCCCAATCCGTATGCGGAGCATGTGCGGTCCATTGATGTGCTGCAGCACCACATCGACCGAACGACGGGGGCCGTGCAGATGGAGCGGCTGATTGGAGTGGATCAGTCGACGCCGAGCTGGATACGCAGGGTGCGTGTGCGCCACTGACTGTAGCTGCTGGGCGTGACCGACTGCACGTACGTGCGAGAGGTGATCCGCTTTGACCCGCATGTGCCGTGCATCGACATGGAGAGCATGAATTTGAGCTTCAACCATTACCTGCTGGTCACGGAGCGCATCCGATACATGCCCGCGGACGACAACACGCGCTTTGACCAAATGGCCGAGTTTGATTGTCGCGGGCTGCGCACGTCGCGCGAGGGCGGCTTCTGGGCGTCCGCGGCACGCAAGGTCGAAGAGGCTACCATCGACCTGTTCAAGAAAAATGCGGCGCGGGGGCGCCTCGGGTTCTCGCATGTGCTGCAGGCCATGTTCCAGGACAAGTCGCTGGAAGAGTATGAGGCGCAGGTGCTCGTACCGTCCGAGTACGAGGCCTAACCATAGATATCCGCCGTGAGCACAGACTACATGGGCTATGTTACAGCGCATCGCCTTCGTCCATGGCATGGGCGCCGCCGGCCGCAGGCCATGCCGACCGGTGCGAGGGACCCGCAAGCCACCCGATGGACGAGTGCATTTGCGAAGCGGCCTGGTCCATGGCGACGCGCATCGCCGTCTCTGTCGCGCCGCTCGCGCCGGCTGTGGAGCCAAGCTGCGCGAGTCCGCGGGCCCAGGTGTGCACGAGGTCCTGTCCGTAGATGCGCGCCTCCTGATTCACTTGGGCATCGATGGTGACCAGCCAGAACGTCCATTCGCGCAATAGCGCAGGGAAGATGGCATGCGCCAGGGTATCGCGAGCGTCCCGGCTCGCCGGCGCGCTCGCCGAGTACGTCGTGAGAAGGCTGTCGTGGAGGTGGACCTTGCCGGGCACGTCGTCGGACGGCAGCACATGCGCGATGCGCAGCATGCACTGCGTTGCCCCCAGCAGGAAGGCGAAAGTGGTGGACGGATGCGTCGGCGCCCGCGCGTCGCTGCGCTGCGCCAGCGAGAAGAGGGGAATGTACTGCATCAGCTCAAAGCTGAGCTCAAGGAGGCAGGTGCGCACGCGGCTAAGCACATACTGCTCGCGCACCTGGCCCGGCGTGGCAGCTGTCGGTAGCATATGGCGCAAGCGCGTCTCCAGCGAGTGCAGCGCTGCGAGGGCATTGTCCACCGAGGGCGTCGGTAGCAGGGTATACATGCGCTCCGCGGTCGAGTGATCTTTGGCAAGCTCCAGGAGCATGCCAAGGAGCGCTGGCCGATCCAGTGTCGCGAGCCAGCGGCCAAGGTCGCCGCCGTTGGCGCGCCGGTGGCTGCCATCGGTGGGTGCGGGGCGCACCGGCCGTCGGCGCTTCGGCTGCTCGTCCATGGCCTCCAGCTCTGGCTCGTCATCCAAGTCCACATCCGAGGAGCTGCGGCGTCGCTTGCTCAGCGAGCGCGATTGCCAGTCGGCGGCAGGCACCGGCCGAGGGGCCGCAGGCCCTGTTTCCGCCAAGGTCCCGCTACACCCAAAGCCAAACGAGAGAGCTGGCGGTACCGTGTGTCGCGCGCGTGCCGTATGGAACGGAATCGGAGGGGGCGGCGTCACCACCGCATTCTCAGTCCCCCGCCAAGACATGACGCCGTCGCACAAGTCGCGAGCGGAAGACACCGGTGGCGGCCGCGGCCGAATGGATGAGGTAAGCCTGCGGCGGCGCGCCGCGCGTCCAGGCGCCGAGCGCGAGAGGAACCCTAGTGATTCTCGTTGCGCGATGGCCGGCGGTCTGCGCAGGTCTGCGCGTGCGGTTCGGCGCAGCAGGGCCGATGAGACGGGGCCCCTGGACAAGGGCACAGACGAGATGGTCGTGCTCTCTGGCGAGGACGCGGCCCGCCTCGTTGCCATTATGGACAGGTGCGCACATCCCACTGACCGTGCAGTGCGATGCCGGGCGTGCTGGACCGCCAAGGAGGCACAGCAACCCTGCGAGAAATGCTCACGGCCTCTGCACCGCTGGATGCGGTCGAGATCTGGAAGTGCGTGGCGTCTCTGTGCGCCCCTGCCGCGCGCACAGATGCGCGCGACTGTATGGGCGTGCTGCTATTCCAGCACCTGCTGACCCAGCTGTTGCCGAGTCTGGCCACGGCGGGACCTGTGCAGGCCCAGACACGCGCGGATGCATTTGCGCTGCATATGCGGCTCCCCGCAGGCGACTACTTCACGAACGCGGTCGCACTCACGGAGTCGGCTCGCGCTGCGCTCGACACGGGCGCGGCGGACGGCGTGGCTGTGGCGCCGCCCATGGGCGTCCCGCCTGTGTATACGCTGGGAGACTGTGCCACAGTGGCCAAGCCACTTCCAAAGCCGAAGGAACCCCAGACGATGCATGCGGCGACATACCTTTCGTACGGGGCGTTCGGGTCATCACTTGGCCCGTCCGTCGACTCGAGCGGCAAAACGCTCGACGCCACATCGACAGACGCGATGTACACTGCGCGCCATCGAATGGCCCGGCGGCTGCATGGCCGCTGGGGCGCACCATTGGCGGAGCGCTTGGAATCAGCGTACCGCATAGATGGCCAGGCTCAGCAAGACGAGGCCGAGCCTATGGACGAGGATGAGGCGGCGGCACGCAGCCTGGCCACCGAGGCAGCAGCGCTGGACCCCGAGCTGGATGCAGGGCTCCTTGAGCACGCCCTAGAGGCGCTCGATGTCGACCTGATCCTACGGGAAAACCAGCTCCGGCTGGAGGAGCTGCAGGAGCTGCAGTGGGCGCGCGCTCGGATGGAGTATGCGCACGCTAGCTCCGCGCATGTGCGCGAACGCGAGCATGCCCTGGCGGAGGACGTGCTCGCGTCGCTGACGGACCTGCTGCTGCGCGTGCCGCCGAACGCCGTGACCGCGACGGCCCGTGCCGCGGGCCCCATGGTGCTGCTGTCGCAGGTGGTCCTTGCGTCGTCGCTCACACCAACGTCGGCGCTGTCGCATGGGTTTTACGGCACACTCAGCGTGCCCGTGCATGGCGCCAAGACGCAGGCGCAGCTGCCAGGCGCCCACGACCCGAACTCCTTGCCGGTGTGGGCGCCGCTCCTGCGGCCCAGCACCGTGGCGGATAATGCGACGGCCCGGCCGGGAGCGGACCCCCGTGTTCTCGCGTATGCGTGGGACGACGCGCAGGCATCGCCCGCGCAAGCTGTCAAGGCGGCGATGGGCCCAGCTGTGCCGTACGGCCAAGGCGGTGTGCGCCCCGTCCCGGTGCTGGGGGGAATCAGCTCGCCTCTAGCCACGACGCAGGTGGGCGCTCAGCTAGGCACACGCCCTGCACGCCCAGTATCGCGGCCCTCGTAGTAAGTAGCATGTATTTTATTGGTATACAAAGGTGTCTACTCGTCCTCGTCCTCTTCGTCGTCGTCTTCCTCGTCATCGTCTTCCTCGTCAGAGTCGTCTTCGTCCGACAAGGCGTCGCTATCATCGTCGTCCAGAGGGGCCTCGTCCTCTTCCAAATCCTCGTCAAGATCGTCCTCGTCAAGGCCGCCCTCTAGATCGTCGATATCCACCTCTTCGGCATCAAGATCGTCTTCGTCCATGCCGTCGTCGTCGTCGTCGATCGTGACGTCTGCGCCGGCACTAAGACCAATATCTTCCACATCGTCCTCGTCGTCTTCGTCCTCGTCCCTGGGCTCGACCCACACCTCACCCTCCTGGCGCTGCTGCGAGGCGGCCTGCTTCTTGGCGAGCTCGGCCTGCGTGGACTTTTTGCCGAGCTTCTGGCCCTGCACGTGGATCGGCGTATCGTCGGCGCTGTAAGACATGTGCAGGTCAATCTGGCTCATCACCAGCTCCATGCGCCCCTTCAGGGCCAGCAAGCGCTCGTACGATGCGAGGCGGGCCGCGAGGCTGTGGTGCAGCTGGGATAGACGAGTCACGAGATTCGGGAGGCTCATAAGGTAGGCGGTGTGGCACGTCAGCGTCTGGTGAATCCACTCGACGATGCCGCGCGCGCGCGCGCTGCCAAGTGCACCCTTGCTCTTGACGCCACCGCGGTTCAAGCGGTCGACGCACGCCTCGAGCAGGCGCACAGCCAGGGGGCCCGAAATGCGGCGCACCGTCGTGCGGATCAGCGCCACGTCCGAGTGCACGAGGCAGGATGTGAGGAGCGCGTGGTCTCCGGAATGCAGTGCCTGTGTCAGCGAGGAGGCAAGCGAGGCACCACCCACGGGGACAATCGGCGCTGCAGGCTCGGACGCGTCCGCATCGAGCGCGGACGCATCGCCCGCAAGCGCCTCGCCCCGCTGCACCTTGAGCGCCTTGAGGCGCTGCGCAAGCGTCGGCTCATCCACCGCCTCGCCGCTCCGAAGGAGCTCGTCGTGAGGGTCAGGCTCGCCAGGTGCCACGGTGGGGAGCAGCCCGCCTTCCGTGCCCAGCAGCGCGGCCGCTGCGGCCGTGTGGCCAGGCAGCTCCGTGCGTGTGCCGGCAGCGCCCGCCTGGTCTTTGTACCGCTGTGTGTCGCTGGACGCCGCCTCCTGCTTCCGCGCCGCACTGGTATGCACAACAATGGGTGAGCAGAGTGCCTCGCCATCGTAGAGAGCGGCTTCGTCCAGCACGATTTTGACGCCCTTCACGGTGCGCGCAAGCACAAGACGGTCGCCACCGCGCGTACGCATGGCGTCGCACAGGTCGGTGCTGCCGCCCGAAAGGCGCACCTCCGAGACGGGCGTGAGCGTAACGAGGCCCTGCGCCGTCGGCACATCGCGGGGCAGGACGTACACGTGGGCCGTGCCGCGCACAGATATGGTCAGCAGGTGCCACCCAGCGTGCTTGTCCTCCCAGGCGAGCAGGCGGCGCGCCGGCGCATCGAGCGTGAGCATCGCACTGGCTTGGCCGTGGGATTGCGTCGTGTCGCACAGCCAGTAGTACAGGTGGCGGTCCTCGGCCGCGGCGCTCACAAACGCATGCGTGCCGATCCACGCGAGGTGCGTCACGGGCGTCGCATGCCCCGAGTACTGCGCCGTAGGGCGCGAGCGGGGTGTGCCGCTCACATCATACAGCAGAATCGCATGGTGCGCGGCCAGCATGCGGCCTTGCCGCCCAGCCTGCAGCAGCGAGACGGGCGTCTTGCCGTCGGGAAGGAAGTGTACGGCCGGCGGCACACGGTCCTGCGCCGTGGCCTGGGTAATGTGCGCGAGGTCCCACCCGTGGACCCAGCCGTGGGCTGTGGCGCCCCACAAATGCTGTGCATCGCACGACAGAGAAACGACGGCGGCCGATGCACTGTCCGGCGTCGACGCAACGAGGATGTGCACGACGCTCGACGTTTGCGGCGAGAAAATGAGGACGGTGCCATCAGAGAGGCCGAGCGCGACGTGCGCCGCAGCGGGCGATAAGGCGCCTGACGCCTCGGCCTTGGCGAGCGCCTTGCGCTTTTTGGACGACAGGCCGTCCGTGTGGCTCTTGGCGCCCAGCTGCACCCACGCCATTGCACGGCACGCGACGCCCTCGGGCAGCAGGTAGTCGGCCACGACGCCGGCGGTGCCGGGCGCGTAGACACGCAAGCGGGCGCGGTCGACGGCCTGCGAGAGCTGTGCAAGGAGAGATGCATCACCGGCAAATTCCGTGATCTGTTCACTAAAGTTACTCTCTAGCGGCTGGGACAGGGCCGACGTAGACACGGGCCGCGACTTGGGCGGCTTGGATGTCTTGTTCTTCGCCATGTTCGTCCAGAGGGACCCGTCGCGAACCAAGCCGCCGACGCTGGCGCGGCAAAAATTTTCGGTGGCAGAGGCTGAGTCAGCGTTGGTCAGCGGTACGTGCACGGGGGCCACCCGCGGCGCCGTGGGTGTTGTTGTCGCTGTGCCCGTGTAGCGCCGGCCCCAGCGATGAATTACGTCCGTACGTATGAGCAGATGAGCTAACGAAACAGAGCTTGAGAAGCTTGGTATGTGTGGCGAGAGAGACTAACCCGCTAGGCGAGGGCACGTATGCGACCGTATACAAGGTGCGTCGCCGCATGCTCACGGCAGGGTCGCTCGCGCCTGACGAACGAGATTGTTGCGCTGAAAGATATCCACCTCGATGCCGAAGAGGGCACGCCGTCTACGGCGATCCGCGAGATCTCGCTGATGAAGGAGCTGCGGCATACCAACGTGGTGCGGCTGCATGACGTGATCCATACAGAGTCGAAGCTGATGCTCGTGTTCGAGTTTATGGAGCAGGATTTGAAGCGCTACATGGATATGCATGGCAACCGCGGTGCGCTGGACCCCGTAACCGTGCGCAGCTTCATGTTCCAGCTGCTGAAAGGCACTGCATTCTGCCACGAAAACCGTGTGCTGCACCGCGACTTGAAGCCGCAGAACCTGCTCATCAATAAGCGCGGCGAGCTCAAGCTCGCGGACTTTGGTCTGGCGCGCGCATTTGGTATCCCCGTCAACACGTTTAGCAACGAGGTGGTCACACTGTGGTACCGTGCGCCGGACGTGCTGCTGGGCAGCCGCACGTACTCGACGAGCATTGACGTGTGGTCCACGGGCTGTATCATGGCCGAGATGATCAGCGGCATCCCGCTCTTCCGCGGCCGCGACAACAACGACCAGCTGATGCAGATCATCCGCATCCTCGGCACCCCCGACGAGGCGACCATCAAGCGGATCATCCATGACTCGCCCGAGATTCAATACCGCCCGCTGCCGCGCCTGCCGAAGGTGCCATTCCAGACCCTGTTCCCGAAAGTACACCCCCTGGCTATTGACCTGCTGGAGAAGCTCCTCCGGTTCGACCCGTCACAGCGTATCACCGCCGACGAGGCGCTGCGGCATCCGTACTTTACGACGAGTGCCGCGATCTCGAACGAGGGTCTTGCGCCAATGACCGCACCGCTCCCGTCGTCGTCATATGTGCCCGAGGGTGCGGTGGCAGGTCAGGCATCGGCCCCCCCCGTGTAGTGTAGGATCCTGGGCTGGACGTCCCGGCGTTGGTGGAGGTGTGTCGCGTGAGGCAGCGCGACCTCCACCCTGCACGTAGATCTTCATCCAACATCAAGATGGGTAGGGGATCGTGCGGCGGCCCTGGCCTTGCCCCCCTCCTCTCAGGACGCACGGCATGGCACCTTCTACGCCCACACGGAGCCAAGGCTCTACCGGAGCGCTGACGCGGGGCCTCGGCATGATGTCGCTCGAGTCGCCCCTGGCCGATGTGCCAACCAACATCCGCTCGCGGCTCACCGCCTCGCCGCTGCACCTCGGCGGCAAGGGACTGCGCACAGGTGCGCCTGCGGCGAGCACGAGGCGCGATAAAGAAGACCTGTTCCCTGGTGTGCCTGGAGACATGGAAATGCGCGGCGTCGTGGCCAAGGACTGGGACGGCCCCGATGTGAATCTCACGCGGCGCCGCGGCTCGGCGATGGTGTCGCGCGGTGACCGCTATATCCCGAACCGCGACCTGCTGCGCACAGGGGGCACGACGCCGTTTCTCGAGGACAGCGCAGGCGATACCCTCTCGCGGCGGAGCAGCTCCGAGACCACGGCGAGCTCGAGCGACTCGCACGCCGCCGCCGACCTGGAGCCGGCGCCTGCGCTGGAGGGCGTGTGCCAGGTGGACCTCGGGCAGCGCATCCTGTCGTTTTCCGCGGTGCCGCCGAGTGCGTCGCATGCGAAGGACCTGCGTGCGCGCTATGCACCGAAGCCAAAGAGCACGCTGCCCAGCAGCCTCCTTGCGGCGGGCCGGCGGCGCGTTCCCACAGCGCCCGAGCGCGTGCTGGATGCGCCGGCGATCGTGCCTGACTTTTACGTGAACCTGCTCCACTGGTCGTCGCAGAATATGATTGCCATCGCACTGCAGTCGGCCGTGTACGCGTGGAACAGCGAGACGGGCGAGACGCAGATGCTCATGGACCTCGACGACGAGAATGAGCGCGTGGGCGGCGGCGGACTCGTTACGAGCCTGCAGTGGGATGCGCACGGCAACATTCTGGCGATCGGCACGGATCGTGGCTATACCCAGATCTGGGACGCGGCGCGTGGCGCGCGGCTCCGCACGCTGCGTCCCAGCGCCGAGGGCGGCGCCGACGCCGCTGCGGTGAATGTGGCGGCCTGGGCCGTCGACGGCACACTGAGCCTCGGCTATGCGAGCGGGCTCCTGCGCGAGCACGACGTGCGGCAGCGGGCCAGCGAGACGCGCTCGCTCGAGCATGCACATGCGGCGCAAGTCTGTGGCCTGAGCTGGCGCGAGGACAGTGCGCTGCTGGCCAGCGGCGGCAACGACAACGTCGTCAAGGTGTGGGACCGTCGCACGCATGTGCCCAAGATGCGCAAGGAGAACCACCGCGCGGCCGTCAAGGCCCTCGCGTGGTCGCCCCATAACAGCAGCTTGCTGGCCACCGGCGGCGGCAGTGCCGACCGGTGCATCCACTTTTGGAATACGACGCAAAACACGCGTGTGCAGACGATCCAGACGGGCGCGCAAATCACGTCGCTGCAGTGGGCGCCGCACTACCGCGAGATTGTCTCGGCGCACGGTGTGAGCCAAGCCGAGAACGGCACCGGCGCCCTGTGCATCTGGGCCCACCCATCGGGCCAGAAGGTCGCGGACGTGCCGGGCGCCCACGACGGCCGCATCCTGCACTCGAGCCTGAGCCCAGATGGCCAGACGCTCGCGACGGTCGGCAGCGACGAGAGCCTCAAGTTCTGGCGCCTGTTTGAGCAGACGGCCGACTCGGCGAAGGCCGCCCAGCAGCGGGGCGTGCTGAGTGGCTACAAGGGGTTGGCACGCACCGCGCCAGCGCGGTCCCTCCGCTAGATAGGTGTATACATACGATGCATCGCCACGGCGAAGCCCAAGTTGAGTACTCCCAATACCACAAACACCATGCCGCCCGTGTGGCCGTCCAGGGCGCCCAGCAGACGGCGCAGTGGCTGGAACGACAGGGCCACACACAGATTGAGCACCCAGTTGAGCCCGAGACCCATCGCGGAGCCCGTCGTGACATGAGCGGGCGGCATCACCTCAGGGATCAGCACGAACGGCACGGGCCCGAGGCCCACAGAGAAGCACGCAATCATCAGCACAATGGCCATCCCACTGAGCCAGGAGTGGGCGCCCGCCAGGGCGTATGCCAGCACAAGGCTGAAAACGCCCATGCCCGCGGCGCTCAGCAGCAAGAGGCGCTTGCGCCCAAACCGCGGGTCGTCCACAAGCCACAGCGGCGGCAGCGTCATGGCTGCATTGATGATCGTGATCACAAGGCCCACGAACGGCGCCATACTGGGAAGCAGCGCAGACAGGATACCCGTGCTGTAGTACATGATGGCATTCACGCCGCTGAGTTGCTGCGCCGCCTGCGTCAGCGCAACAATACGCAGGCCATGCCCCAGCGACGGCGCACGCGTCGCGCGGTCCCTGTCGTTGCTGTGCGTGTGCTGCGGCAGCGCGCCATAGTCGAGGCCGAGGCGCGCGCGTACGGCCTCGGCCGCCGGGGCAGCAGGCACACCGTGCGCCGTGCCGTGCGTGTCGAGCCAGCCGGGGCTCTCCACCGCGTACACGAGCCCAAACGCAAGCTGCAGCACAGCGACGACCGCGCTCGCCTGGGGCACGCGCTGCCACGCGTGGTGGCCCAGCACGGCCCACGTACCGACGGCCTGCGCGACGAGGATGCCCGTGACAGTGGCCAGCTGGTTGCAAATGCCAATCGTACCGGCAATGGAGGGCGGCGCCAGTTCCTGCAGGTACAGCGGCACTTGGACGACAGCGATGCCGGCGCCCAGGCCCTGGAGGAGGCGTCCGCACAGGATCAGCGAGAGACCCGTTGATACAGCGAGCAGCAGGCTGCCACCGAGGGCGAGCGCGGCCGCCGCATTCAGGCACGTCCGGCGCCCGACGTTCACGTACATGGGAAGGGGAATCATGATCATCGATGCGAGGCCGCCGCCGCAAGTGTAGATAGCTGTGGCGTAGCCGTACTGGTCGTCCGTCAGGCCCACACACTCGCGTGTAGGCGCCGCGCCCACGAAGCGCGAGTGCAGTGCATTCAGCTCAGAGATGCCGAATCCAAACTGAAACGTGCCTAAAGCGACCCACAGGATCATCGCGGCCCACAGGGCGGGCCATGGGAGCAGCGACATGCGCCGAAGCCGTGGTGGGGCACCGCAGGGCCAGGTGTGGAGGGACTCGGCCGCTCAAGGGCCGACCGATCGCTCCGCTCCTTGCAAGACGCCGCGACATGTGGGCTAGGCAGTTTGCGCCACATGGGCTGCTGCGCGGTGTATCTCGTACATCCGTGATGCCGCGCATGCCTGTGAAAGCTACGGCGATGACCGCAAGGTGTGCGGCGCCGAGCCGCACATTTGTGGCGACGCCGCGCGTCGCTCTCACGCCGTCGCTTGTGCGTGGCCATAGTGGGATCCAGCGTCCCGAGCCGGGCACAGGGTACGCCGCATCGCTTACAGCAGGATCAAGATCACGTTCCGTGACTCGCAGGGCCAGGACATCAAGACCGTCGAGGCGAACGAGGGCGACGATATCCTCTCGATTGCGCACGAGTACGACATTGACCTGGAGGGCGCGTGTGAGCGCTCGATTGCTTGCTCTACGTGCCATGTCATCCTCGACGAGGATGTGTACTATCAGCTTGACGAGCCAAGTGACGATGAAAACGACATGCTCGACCTCGCTTTCGGCCTAACGGACACGTCGCGGCTGGGCTGCCAGGTGTATGTTACGAAGGCCCTGGACGGCATGGTCGTCCAACTGCCGGCGGCCACGCGCAACATGTACGTCGACGGTGCCAAGCCCGGTCATTAGTCTATGTAGGTAGGGACAAGGCGCGCGGCGTCAGATGCAGCCGCTCGTACAATCGGGCCATTTTCACCTCCACGCCAGGATCGCTCCGCAGCAGCGTCACGACGTCGCCAGGCGGTCGGGCGCCCGCGCCCGCACCTGTGATGCGCGAGACACGACCTGCCGCATGCGTGTAGTGTACAGCATCCTGTACAGCATCGATGCCCACCAGAAAAACGTGCGAGAGACCCTGGACATCCAGACCCCGGGCGCTCGTGCTCTGTAGCACATACACACACTCGTCGGCACTGCGAGCAGCATCGTCCGGCTGCACCATATGAACAGGCACGCCCAGCGACGCCAACTCGTCGGCCACTCGGCGCACGCTCCACTGCGGCGGCACGAGCGCGATCGCGCGACGCACGCCTTCTGACGCATAGATATAGGCCAGCGCCTCGAGGAGGAGCGGATCAACCGCATGCCGCGGTGGCCCTGGCGCCACTGGACGCGCAGGTGCACCAGGTGCCCCAGGAGCTGCGCGCTTCCGCCGCACGTCCAGATTGCGTAGGCCCGGTGGCGCACCATCGCGCGGCTCGTCCACGACCACACAAGCATGGTCAATCTCTCGCGGCAATGCGCCGCTCAGCGGCACATCCACTGCGCTCAGCTGACCGCTCATGCCAGTAAGGTCAATCCAGCGCGCCAGATCGCGGGTCTCGCGCGTATTCGTGCGCAGCCATCCCGTACGCGCCCCGAAAAAGTGGCGCAAAACTGAGTTCGCCGTCGCACTCGTACACACGAGTTGCAGCGGCACAGCGCCTGCCACGCGCTCACGCGGCGGTGCCAAGTCCGACTTTTCCGCACCGCGGTATTGTGTACGGCGTATGTGCTCGGGCGGCCGGCGCTCGGTGCCTTTGGTGTGCTGACCACGCTCAAGACCAGCGTTCATGACACGCTCTCCGCCCGAGTACGTCGCACGCGCCTGCATCACAGTATTCAGCACATCGAGACCGGCCGTGCGGTGTACGGCATGCTTCCAGCGCTGCTTCTCACTGGGAAAGCGCCCAGGAAGCTGAAGCAGCGCATCCGCCTCATCAAGCACCAACGTGCGCAGCGTAGGAATGCCCAGCAGTGTCGCGCCGTGCGGCATGCGCAAGATCTCCTGCACTCGCGTCGGTGTGCCGACAAGAATGTGCGGCGGTCGCCGACGTAGCCGTTCACACTGGCTGTCCGGTGTCTCGGCACTGCCCCGCACGACACACTGGAGCACCGCGTCCATGTGTCCGTGTAGCTCACGTGGCATAAGCTCGTAAGCCCAGCGCATGTATTGAAGCGCAAGCTCGTTGGATGGCACGAGCACGAGCGCGGAAATACCCGCCGAGGGTGCCGTAGAGTTCGTCTTGAAGAGCAGACGAGGGCGCGCAAGAAGCGCTAATAGGACCGCGAAGCTCTTGCCTGAGCCCGTATGGGCACGCAGAATCACGTCGTTGGGGGCAAGCATCGCTGGGATGAGCGCGCTCTGCGCGGGCGTCGGCGCGGCAATATGCGGAAGCGCCGCGGCCATCTGACGGCACAGCTTCTCCGGCAAGCCTAACTGGTGAAACGCATTGGTGCTAGGTGGGGGCGCATGGTCTTGGGTATACCGACAGAAAGGCGTAGACACGCGCCAGGCAGTAGTGACACCACGGCATATGCTCGGCAGCGACGCACGAGCGCTTTGCCATCGTAGGAGCATGCAAGGTGGGCCTGATAAAACGAGCAGCCTGGCCAGGTACGCGTCGGTGGCGTTGGGAAAAAGTCCGACGATTCGACCTGCAGCCGCTGCATGCAGGGAGCGAGCAGGCAAAAAAGGCTGCTTACATATATGTTTACTCAGACCTTCCGCTACCGAAGTCTTGGCTCTCGACGCCAGCGCCCAGGGTTGTGCTGCCATGAGTCTCCGGCCGGGTGAGGAGGGAGACCCTCGGTCACGGCCTGTGTCTGGCACGAGCGTGGACTCGATCATGAACTCGTACTTGCCTCCGCGCGAGAGCACCCCAGAGAGTGTATTCATCATGGGCGAGGCTTTGGGGAGTACCAGCGAGCATATGATGCCTGGCTCGGACGCGCCGGGATCTCCTCTCTCGCAACGGTTGCGTGCGGAGCTGCCTCCTCTGCCTAATTTGCGACCTACTTCCGGGGTTTCGGCGCAGGAGCCCATGGCCTTCCCGTCCGCCCCCAGCACTCGCTCCCAGCCTGTGCTGTCGCCCTCCGCGCCTTGGTCAGGCTCGACGGATAGGTCCGAGCAGAGTCTTGGTATCGATGAGAGCTACGATCGCTCTTCAAAAGCACTGCTCCCGCACGATGTGACGATAAGCCACCTACACCAAGGCGGCGGGGACGGGGACGAAGATCCGGTCTCGTACTATATGGACAAATCTGACGGGGATCTCGCGGAAATGTCGCACGCGGATGCTAATATTCTGTCGCTGTCTGACGCACAAGAGGACATGGATAGCATCGCCATGCCATACGTCCATCACAGCTCCACATGGCCGGACGGCGATACGGACAGCATCCTAGATCAGTATGCTGGCGAGCGCCCCACAGATGGCTTCTCGGGCACCTACAGGCGGCGCCCCACAGAGCCAGACACGCCAAATTACAACTGGCGAGGTATGGATCAGCGATCGGGCCGCGACAGTGCGGCCTCGATGGGCATATACTCCGGCGTGGACAGTGACGAGGAGAATTCGATCTACGACACGCCGCTGCACAAGCGTGTTTCGCACCGGATGCCACACAAGTACATGGGTGTGCATGGGGACTCTTCGCTCATCTCTTTGACTGACCCTACGACGGATCCCCTGCCCTTGTCGAGCGAGTACGACACGCTTGCCTTCGAGGGTGAGCACGAGGACTTGCAGGGTGCGGATCGCGAGTGGGACGAAAAGCCATTGCGCTTTTTTCAGCATTGGTCGATGCGTGGGTGCGTCAATTTGTCGATGCTAGCGTTCCTGACGCTTGCGGTGCTGATGCTCTTCCTGGGCTACCCTGTCCTCCATACCTACACCGAAACAGCAGCGCGCAATAGCCTGCAATTCGGGAACGTGGCGACGAACGGTCTACCCTTCACAGGAAACAAGCAGAATTGGCGCAGTAGTCTCATTGATCCTGACACCCCACCGGACAAGCACTACCGCCGGAGGACTCGCAACAACAAGCTCATGAAACTGGTATTCAGCGACGAATTTAACAGGCCTGGACGCACCTTTTACCCTGGCGATGACCCATTCTGGCAGGCGGAGGACTTGCATTACTGGCAGACGGAAAACTACGAGTGGTATGACCCTGACACTGTGACGACGGAGGACGGCAATCTCGTTATTCGCTTCATGCAGAAGCCGGAGCACGGGCTCAACTTCCGTGGTGGCATGATTTCAGGCTGGAACCGTTTTTGCTTTACTGGCGGCTACGTCGAAGTCCGTCTCATTCTGCCCGGCCATAACAATGTCTCAGGTCTGTGGCCGGCTGTGTGGGCCATGGGCAACCTCGGCCGTGCAGGCTACGGTGCGTCGACAGACGGCATGTGGCCCTACTCGTACGACGAATGTGATGTCGGTACGATGCCGAACCAGACGTGGCTGCCGAGCCAGGGTGGTGGGCCCGTTGCCGCCGAGTCATCCGGGCGTTACGTGGAAGAATACGGACCGGGTCTGAGCTACCTCAAGGGCCAGCGGCTGAGCCGCTGCTCTTGCCCGGATAGCGACCACCCAGGCCCGCGGCATCCCGATGGCTCATGGGTCGGTCGCTCGGCACCAGAGATCGATATGCTAGAGGCGACCTCGAACAACGGCCCCGGAGAGCATGGCCAGGCCTCCATGTCACTGCAAATTGCACCGTTTGATGCCGCCTACAATGTCAGTAACCCTGATGCATTTGTCGTATATCCAGACCCTGTACACAATGCCACGAAGAACGATTATACCGGCGCCGTCTTCCAGCAGGCCGTGTCGGCCAAAGTCAATACATCAGATACTGCGTATCAACACACGGGAGGGGAATACGACACGTACGCCTTCGAGTACGTGCCAGGCAAGTCAGAAGACTCTTATATCACATGGTTCATGTCGGACAAGCCCGTTGTGGATCTGAATGCCTCCGCGATTGGTCCGAACAAGGCGACGGAGGTCGGCGCGCGTTTGATACCCGACGAGCCTATGTACTTGATTTTGAACTTGGGCATGTCTTCTTCTTTCGTTTGGATTAACTGGGATGAAATCGATAAAGACTTCGACCAACCGTACGAAATGCGCGTCGACTATGTGCGCGTGTACCAAGACGAAGACAGTATTTCCCCGGACAGCCTCTCATGCGATCCGAAAGACCGTCCCACGAAGGAATACATCGAACGACACCTGGAAGCCTACACCAACCCGCTGCTCACTTCATGGGACTTGCCAGCCGACCAGGGTGGCTACAATCATCCCATCCCTGGTAACAAGCTCATGGGCCAGTGTTCCTAGATCATTCACTACGCATCGAATTAGACAGCCTGCGGGCACTGCGCAGCAAAGTGGTCTTCAGCACCACACGTGTAGCACGAGCGCTGCGGCGGCTGGTCACAGTCGCGCGAGATGTGGCCCTGGTTGCCACAGTTGTAGCACTTCGGCCCGGCGTTCGACAACGAGCCGGCCGCCGAGGGGCAGTCACGCGACAGGTGGCCGAGGCCGCCACAGTTGTAGCACGAGCGGCCGCCGCGGCCAGCACCGCCGCCGCTCCGGGGACACGCGCGCGCAATATGGCCCGTCATGCCGCAGCGGTAGCACTCGCCACCCGCGGCGGCAGCGGGGGCCTGCGGGCAGTCACGCGACACATGCCCCGTCTCGTTGCAGCGGAAGCAAGTCTTCGGCACGGCCTCGTTCGTGCACGCCGACGACACATGGCCCTGCTGGCCACAGTTGTAGCTGCGGTTAGGTGCTTCGTTCACCCACCAAGTAGGGTTGCCAGCATCCGGGCAAGCGGCAATCGAGTGACCAGCTTTCGCGTCAGAGAGCGTATACGTACGACGACCACAGCTTAAAAAAATCAAGGAAAAAAAGACACCATGTATTAGTACGACGCCCCAAACACATTGTCACTCAATAGCAACCAACACCCACTTGTAACAGCTCCTCGAAAACGACATGATTTCGTAAAAGGAAGGGACGGGGCGCCGCCCATGGACTTCGGTCGCGTGCCATCAATGAGACATGTGATTGGCTCGTTGGGATGGAGGTATGTATGCTACATTAACGGCCGATCCGCACAACGCGTTTGCGCTGGCGACGCCCCAGCGCAGGGGGGGGCTTGGCAGGCGTTTGGGCGGCAGGGGGCTCGTCGTCGTCGCCCAGGCCCATACTGCTCATCATGCTGCCCAGTGGACCCATGCTTTTGAGCGCATCGGCGCCAGGCATTTTTGCCATGTCCATGTTCAGCAGGCCCGTAGCCAGAGCTGGGCTGTGGGGCGGCAGCGGCTCAGGGAAGGGAACCTGGCGGATCAGACGCTGGCGCGGACGTAGAGCCGCCCTGGAAGACTGCTGGGAGCACCGACGCCGCTCCGTCAGCGGCGGAGGTACGCCACCCGCCTTGGACTGGAGCAGCTCACTGATTGCCTCGATGAGCTTTTGTTCTGCGGTCAGTGAGCCATACGCACTCGTAGGTATATTCGCGTGCAGCGGGCGGCCATCGGGCCCAAAGAGGCGCACCTTGATGCGCCCGGGGTTCTCCCAGTCTTGCGGGTGCGTGCGGTTCGGCTGCACTGTGAGCCGAGGAGACATACCTCATGCTTGTACTCCAGTTCGAGCCGTTTCGCAGCGTTCGCAAGGTACAGACTGTTCGGAAAGAGCACTGCCTTTTCGTACGCGACGCGACGGCAGCCGTGGCGGTACCGCCGCTTCGCATCCACATAGATCGGGTACACGGTCGTCCAGTGCTTGTGGGGCCCGTCCTCCTCGCCATCCATGACCACATCACTCGGGTACTGGCGTGCGGGCTGGGCTCCAGGACGGCCGCCGGACATTTGCTGCATCATTTGCTGCATCATTTCCATCTGCGCTGGCGGCATACTCTGCTGCGCGTTGCTACCGCCAGCAGGCACGGGAGGTGCCTCAGGGAGATCAAACTTGTCTAAGAGCGGGATACGTACCTCAAAGTCGTCGTCAAACTCCTCGCCAGGCATGATACGGCAGGTGGGCGAAGCGTCGAAGACGAGGCGCCGGGGTCGCCGCGAAGACAAAGCCACGTGGCCTATGGAAGAGCCATCGAGCTTCGTTCGTCACGCTCCCTCTACACCGATGAGTGATTCGATCCTCGCTGCGCTGTCATCCCTGTCGATCCAGGCAGAGGAGCCTCGCGCTGCTACTCATACGCCTGCTGACTCGCCGGCCGCATGGGAGGGTGCGCTCGCTGCCCTGCCGGCGTCCTCGAAGCCCGCCAGCTACCGCATGCTAAAGACGCTCGTGTTCAAGCCCAAGACGGCCAAGTCTGAGACGCCTGTGCCCGTCATGGTCGTCACCGATGACAGCACACAGTCTAACACTGCGGCTATTGGCGCGCACCTGAAGCTGAAGGAGCTGCGCTTGGCTGTGCCTGAGCTCCTGCACGCGACACTTGGGGCCACCAAGGACGATGTGTCGCCCTTTTCCGTGACGGCGGACAATGCCAGCAAACTGCGTGTGTTGGTCGATCAGGACATGATCGATTCGAATGCCACGTATGCGGTGCATGCTCGCTCAGCGAGCGAGACCGTCTTTGTGACGGGCGCGGCCCTCGTGGCCTATCTTTCAGAGACCCATGTGCCGCTGGACACGATCCCCTTCACCTCGCTGCAAGCGCCCGCGCCGGCGGCGTCGGCGGCCAAGCCTGCGCCCAAGGCGAAGGCCGATGCGAAGATTGCGGACGCCGAACTCATCGGCATTACGGTGCGCAAGGACCTGGATTTCCCCGAGTGGTACCAGCAGGTGCTGCGCAAGGGCGACATGCTGGACTACTACGATGTGAGTGGCTGCTACATCATCAAGCCTTGGAGCTACTTCGTGTGGGAGAGCATCCAGCGCTTCTTCGACGGCGAGATCAAGAAAATCGGCGTCGAGAACTGCTACTTCCCCATGTTTGTTTCGTCAGATGTGCTGGAGCGTGAGAAGGACCACATTGAGGGCTTTGCCCCTGAGGTAGCGTGGGTCACAAAGGCAGGCAAGTCGGACCTGGAGAAACCGGTCGCCATCCGCCCTACGTCCGAGACGGTCATGTATCCCTACTATGCCAAGTGGATCCAGAGCCACCGCGACCTGCCGCTGCGCCTGAACCAGTGGAACAGTGTGGTCCGCTGGGAGTTCAAGCACCCCCAGCCGTTCCTGCGCACGCGTGAGTTCCTGTGGCAGGAGGGCCACACGGCTCACTTGAACAAGGAGCAGGCAGACGAGGAGGTGCGTCACATTCTCGACCTGTACCGGCGCGTCTACGAAGAGCTTCTTGCCCTGCCCGTGGTGCCCGGCATCAAGAGTGAGAAGGAGAAGTTCGCCGGTGGCCTGTACACCACCACGGTGGAAGGCTATGTGCCGACGACCGGCCGCGGTATCCAGGGCGGTACCTCCCACGGTCTCGGCCAGAACTTTAGCCGCATGTTCGATATCACGGTGCAGGACCCCAAGGCGACCGATGAGACGCGGGGCAAGCCGGAAGGCCGTCTGCACGTGTGGCAGAACTCGTGGGGTCTCTCGACGCGTACGATCGGTGTGATGGTCATGGTGCACGGTGACAACAAGGGTCTCGTTATGCCTCCGCGAGTGTCGCAGATCCAGGTGGTGCTCGTGCCCTGCGGGCTGGGTGTGAAGGTGCCGCAGGACGTGAAGGACCGCGTGAACAGCACGTGCGGCGAGATTGCCGAGCAGCTGACCGCCCGCGGCCTGCGTGTGCATGCGGATCTGCGTGACAACTACAACCCTGGCTTCAAGTTCAACGACTGGGAGCTGCGCGGCGTGCCGCTGCGCCTCGAGGTCGGCCCGAAGGACCTGGAGAGCCAGTCGGCCATGGCCGTGCGCCGCGACACGGGTGTGAAGACGCAGCTCTCGCTCCAGACACTCGAAAGCACCGTGCCGGAACTGCTGGAGACGATCCATCGCGACATGTTTACGAAGGCCGAGGCCGAATTCCGTGCTCACCGCAAGATCGTCACGTCGTGGGACGACTTCACGCCGACGCTGAACGAGAAGAACCACGTGATCATTCCGTGGTGCGAGGAGGAGGCGTGCGAGGACCAGATCAAGGACCGCAGCGCGCGCATTGCGCTCGCGGGCGAGGCGCAAGACGAGCGTGCGCCGTCGATGGGGGCCAAGTCGCTGTGCATTCCATTCGACCAGTCGCCCTACCCGTCGGTCGAGGGCCGCCTGTGCCCGCAGTGTGGCAAGCCCGCGAAGCGCTGGACCATGTTTGGCCGCAGCTACTAAGTCTCTACTTGCGCTTTTGGCTTGTCGTGCCCTTGGGGAGCTCCTGGCTGTCAGTATGTAGCACGTACCCGCGTGAATGGCAAAAAGTCGCGACCCTGCATGTAGGGCTGGAGCACGGGCGGAATGCGCAGACCCTCGGGTGTCTGCCAGTTCTCGACAATGCAACAGAGCGCGCGCTCCGTTGCGCACAGCGTGCCGTTGAGCATATGGCAGTACTGCTTCTTGGTGTCGCCCTGCTTCTTCATGCCGCAGCGCACCTCGAGGCGGCGGCTCTGGTAGTCCGTGCAGTTCGAGCACGAGACGAGCTCCTTGTGCTCACCCTGGAAGGGGAACCAGGCCTCCAAGTCGTACTTCATGGCGGCCGCGTTGTTCAGCGCACCAGACACGATTGCCACAACGTGGTAGGGGATCTGCAGGCTCTGGTAGAACTCCTCCGAGTTCGCGAGCATCTCATCGAGCATCGCCCACGAGCTCGCGGGGTCCGTGATGCAGAACTGCTCAATCTTCTCAAACTGGTGCACGCGGAAGATGCCCCAGGTATCCTTGCCGTGCGAGCCGGCCTCTTTGCGGAAGCAGGTCGAGTAGCCCGCGTACTTGATCGGCAGCTGCTCCGCCGGCCGGTCGAACCACTCGTTGGAGTGGAAGGCGGAGATCGGCTGCTCGGAGGTAGCGATCAGGTACTTCTCGTCCTCGTCGCCCGTGACCTTGTACAGCTCTTCGTCAAAGTCCTCCAGCTGCGCCGTCCTGGCCATGTGCTCCTTGCGCATCATGAAGGGCGTCATAATCTTCTTGAACGACTTCTTGCGCAGAAAGTCGAGGCCATAGTTGATCAGCGCCTGGTTTAGGTCCACACCATCGCCGGTCAGGTAGAAGCCACGGTGGCCCGCAATCTTCGCGCCGCGCTCCGTGTCGAAGAGCTCCAGGCGGTACATCACCTCGTGGTGCGACAGGATATCGTTCTTCTTCTCAAACTGAGCGTTGGGTCCATCGGGGTGCCACGTCCGCATCACCACGTTGTCGTCCTCGGTCTGCGACACGGGCACCTGGTCGCCGACGATATTGCCAATCGTCACCGCCTTGGCACGCATGGCACGCTCAGCCTCGGCGACCTGCGGCTTGAACTCGACGATCTTCGCATCCATCGCCTTCTTCTGCGACAGCTCAGCATCAGCATCCTCCTTGGCCTTCTTCTTGGCAGTAATGGCCTTCTGGATCGCGTTCACCTCCTGCTGCATGTTGTTCAGCTGGAACTCGAGCGAGACCCAGTGCTTGTACATCGATAGCACCTCATCGACGAGCTCTTCTGAAGCGCCGCGCTTGCGCTGCGACTCGCGCACCAGGTCCGGGTTGCCGCCCTTTTCTACTTGCAGCAGCTGAAGATCAATCATCGTGCGAATACAGGGCGCTTCACGCACGGCGTGGTCGGCCGCCCCTGTGTCACGTGGGCGTAACCTACGCCGCGGCCCAGGTCCGCTACGAGCTGTCTTCTTCACTATGGCTGCTGTTGTGGACCTGCCTTTTGCTCTGCCGCCGGCACCGGCGAACTACGAGCCTGCTGCTGCCTCGACATCGGGCGTGTCGCTCGACAAGACTGTGCTGACGCCCGTGGGCGAAGGCTTCCTGGGCTACTTCCGCCGCCGCCTCAACCAGCACTCGTTCGAACAGGACGATGCGTTGATGAAGCAGCGTCTCGCTGACCATGAGGCCGCCAATGCGGAGGTCGATGAGCTGGACAACGACATTGGCGAGGAGCCCGAAAGCGCCGAGCTTCTCGAAAGCGACCCGAAGGAGTGGAAGTCGCTCGACCACTACGCCGTGCTGGGTCTGTCGTCGCGCCGCTACAAGGCCACGCCCTACGAGATCAAGATTGCACACCGCAAGAAGGTGCTCAAGCACCACCCCGACAAGAAAGTCGGTGCGACGGGCCTTAGCGACGACTCGTTCTTCAAGTGTGTGGCCAAGTCGTTCGAGATCTTGTCGAACCCCGAGAAGCGCCGCCAGTTCGACAGTGTCGACGAGGGCGTCGACGATGACGACGTGCCGTCTGGCAAGGAGAGCCCTGAGCGCTTCTACGAGCTCTGGGGTCCTGTGTTCGAGCGCGAGGCTCGCTTCTCGAAGGAGACGCCCGTGCCGTCGCTTGGCCACGCAGAGAGCTCCAAGGAAGAAGTGGACGACTTTTACAACTTCTTCTACAACTTTGACAGCTGGCGCAGCTTCGAGTACCTGGACAAGGAGGTGAACGAGGGCAGCGACAACCGTGACGACAAGCGCTACACGGAGAAGAAGAACCGCAACGAGCGCGCCCGCCGCAAGAAGGAGGACAACGCTCGTCTGCGCAACCTCGTCGACAAGGCGCTGTCTGTCGACCCTCGCATCAAAGCGTTCCGGGCGGCGGAGCGCGCTGCGCGTGAGGCCAAGAAGAACAAGGGCCGCCCCGGCATGCCTGGTGGCCAGAGCGCTGCCGACAAGGCCGCCGAGGAGAAGCGCAAGAAGGAAGAGGCCGAGAAGGCTGCACAGGAGGCCAAGGCCAAGGAGGAGACAGAGAAGGCGGAGCGCGAGGCCGCCAAGAAGGTGCGCGAGGCCGCCAAGAAGAACCTCAAGCGTGAGAAGAAACTCATCCGCAACATTGTCACGGGCGCCAACTACTTCCAGCCTGAGGGTGCCACGCCCTCGGCCGCCGTGCTGGAGAAGCAGCTCGACGCTATTGACAAGCTCTGTGGTGCGCTGGAGCCAGAGCAGGTGCAGACCCTCCGCGAGGCTTGCGAGAAGGGCACAGACGCCGCCAAGGAGGCTCTGAACCAGGCCTGTGCCGACAAAGGTCTGGGCGACGCTTTTGCCTAGGACCGCTCCCGTAGCACTTGCAACATGCGGTAGAGCTCTTTGTAGCTAAAGACGCCGAGTCGCGCAAATCGTGAAGCATTTCGCACAGTTACAGGGAGCACGAGCGGCGCCGAGAAGTCAGACCGGAGTCGTTGGAACAGCGTTCCGCGCTGTTCCATGGGTATCGAGGCATCAGATAGGGCCTTGGCCACGTAGGTTGCAGCGGTGCTTAGCTGAATCTGCCGCTCGCGCGCGAGCGTAGCGAGGTCACTCCCATCGACCCACGCCTGCCAAGCACGTTCATGCGCCATGGGCCGTTTGCGCGTCGTGGGGCTCGAGGGGCGTGTCCGTGTCTGCATCGCATGGTCTAGCGCGTCACCGATCTGTGCATAGGTCAGGGGGCGGCGCCGATGAGCATGGAGAGGGATTGCATGAACGAGCTCCAGCGATACGTACGCATCCGACGCTGCATAGGCAAGTTGCATTTCAGTCAATGGGATTCGCGTCCAAGAGCTAATACGTGTGGGTCCCTTATCCAGGTCGTGTTGTAGGTAGGTCATACACAGATCTCGCAGACTAATGAGTGTCCGGCGCTTCGTCCAGCGCTCAGGATCCAGTTCACTGGCTACTCTGCTGAGCTCGAGTCCCCCCACTGACCGGATGCCAAAGTCTCTTTCCATTTTGGACAGATCCTGCTGGATCGCCACACCGACCTTGTGGATACGGGGGTCTTGCAGCATGTCGATCAGGCTGCCTGGTACCGTGGGCATTCGCGACAGCTGAATCACGAAAATATCTGTGGCCGTAGCGAGCTGCATTACAGCTGTACGACCGACATACAGCCCAAATTCCCACTCCAAATCGAGACCCACAGTGCGGTGCAATGTGCCCAACGAAGCCAGCGCGGGCGGAACGTGCGCGTCTACTTCGTGCTTGTGCACGAGATAGTGCAGGCGCGGAGCGCCGGCTCGCACGCGATGCTCTGGAGCCCACTCTTCCAATGCACGAGGAATGGAACCAGTGGGTTCGCGAAACGTGTAGAAAGGCAATGTAGGGTCTGGTGGCGCTGATGCGCGTGCAGAGGTCTTCTCTGACACAGCATCCGCAGTAGCCGCGGCGATCGCGTCCAGTCGTTTGGATGGATGCTCGGCTAACATAGCATTCCGCGTCATAAAAAGCGGCCGCACAGATCCATGCAGATGTGCTCGCATCGACTGGTCTAGGAGCAGGCGCGGTAGGCCATGCCTTGGCGTCATGGATGGCCTAAGCGCAATGCGAAGCGTGCCACGTGGTGTTCTTCTCTACCTCGACACTACTGGAGCCAGACAGGGGCGGCCATGGCTTCTTCGGCAATCACAAGGTCGATAGAGTCGCCGAAGTAGTCTGCCTCTTCATCATCGAGGGCGCGTATGGCCGTCATATGAGAGGCACTGTCACCGAGAGCATAGGCCAAATAACCGACTGGAGCAATAAACGCACGGGACGAGTAGTCCACCAGGGGCTTACCGTCCTTGACACGCACGCCCGCCGGTATAGCTGGAAACTGGCAGCCCATAAGAGTCTTTTTCATGGTCTGCAAGAGAGGAAGAATGCGCTGGTCGCCTGAAACGGCATAATAGTGTGCCAGACGCCATGCTGTCATGTAAGGCAATGATCATCACGTACGCGTTCGGCATGCATTCCAGCTCATCTCGCCATCGTATTTCGACTCCAGGTGTTTTCCTTTGGCAGGATGCCAGCCATGACGACTGTCATACACGAGAAAATCGGCCAGCAAGCCTGTCTTGTTCACATGAAGCTGGGACAGTGCTACTTGCAGCGTAGCCTCCAAAATATGCTGCCATTGCGCTCGCGCATGGGGATCAGGGTGCTTCATGTGAAACAGCAAGAAGGACGAGAGAATAAAGTCCGAGCTGCGTGTCGAGTCGTGGAGTCGGCGGTTCTCCTTGCTGTCCGTATCGCACCAGTCGCCCAACAGGGGGACAAGCAGCTGCGGGTGAATACAGTGAGCCATAAGAGCATCGCACAGTCGTGCCGCTTCATTCCCATAGGCGCCGGCCGGGAACTGATGCGAGCCGTGCGGCCAGATGCGCTGGGCCTGGAACAAGGCGGTGGCTATGTCAATGTCTGCCAGTTAGCGTTGCCACACTGGACCTACCGCCATCTGTGGCGCAGTCAGTCGCGTCATCAGCCACATAGAGCTGTCCTCCATGATTTTGGCGAACCTGCCACATCATGAGGCCGCGTTCGTTGCGAAAGTTGAGGAAAAATGTCAGCAGTCCGTCAAAGTCGGCTTGACTGAACCGTCAGTCGCGATGCACCACATACTTTCCATGCAGCACAGCAATGAGCATGGCATAACCTCACATAAGTTCATGTCGACGTACCATGTGCTTCAGAGCATGTCACTGCATCGCCATTCTCACCCTGACATGGTTAGCCACCAGTGTCGCACACTTACGGAGCCGTTGTAGAAGCAATACAAGCCCTGAAAGAATAAGCTTCTTGAATGGAGAACATACCGAGGGGCTGGACCGCATGTATGTCTGACACCACTGGTGATACTTCTGGTCCATGAACGTTCGATTCCAAGAGGCACTCGTTGGCCGTGTCCGAAGCACATGGGCACAGGCCACAGCCATGTGGAGCACTCATTGGCGAACCAGTTCGTGCCAACTGCGGCTGCGCCGGAAGACGTTTGCACAGTCTCTCCTGCATCACTGCATCTTACAAGACGAGGCTATAGATACCAGTGGTCGAATTCGAGTTAAGCGCCACGGTGTATGTGGAAAGTAACATGCATCATTACATGATGTATTTTTAGCGTCGCTGAGCTATGTCACCAGCGAGACTAGAAGAACACCACCGCTACCAAGCCTGCGGCTTAACGGCGACCGGCACCGGGCACGTAGCGACCCTTGCGCTCCGGAAGTTGCTGGGAAGTGATAGGGGCAGTGACAGTAACAGGCAGGTTGTCGAAGCCCAGGTTGTGGAGCATCTCCTCCGTGTCGGGGTCGACTTCGATCGGGTTGACCGACGAGTCCAGAGCCGACACCTCGGGCACGTATTGGTCCTGTGATGGTTAGCCGCCGAATGCAGTGCTTCGTACATACCTTGCGCTCACGCTCCTCTTCCTGAAGCTTGAACGAGATACCACGGACCGGACCACGCTGGATGCGGCGCATCAGGTGGGTGGTGAAGCCCGCAATCTTGTTGCGGAGGCGCTTCGAGGGCACAATGGCCACCTCGTCGATCACCTTCTTGTTGGTGTGGAAGTCCACCGCGTTGAGACGGGGGTAGTACTTCTCAATCAGAACGCGAGCGGCGCGCTTGGTGGTCTTGGTGCGGACGCGACCCTGCGAGGCTGTTAGTTCCGTTCACCCATGTCACTTGGGGGCTCGATGGTCGCACACACTCCAAGCAGACAGAGCCTACTTGCGACGCCAGCTCGATGCGCAGGGCCATGGATACGACTCCTAAGAGCGCTCGCATTCACCATGAGTCACAATGGAAAATTGACATAGTGCGCACGACGCACGATCCCCCAAGCGTTCTCATTCACATACCATACTGTGCTAAGAGTTAGGGGAAAAGCTCGGCTCGCCAGGTCTACGCTAGCTCGACCTTCCTGCGGCGTGTGGCATGCAGTTTTGAGCTAATCACGTGAACTACTACAATCCCTGGGCCTCATGAAGAGTGGGTAGGCCATTAATTCGAAAAATACCCCCAGTGCCGGTGCGAATTCACACGCTGGTGGGCGGCCATTTTCTTCTCGCTACCTTCAAGTACAATATGGTCAGGATCTCGGTTCTGGTATGTGCTTTTTGTTGTGGATGTAACTAATGCATGCATAGAACGACGCCCTCGTGAGCATCGTCAATGCTGAGCGCCGCGGTAAGCGCCAGGTTCTTATCCGCCCCTCGTCGAAGGTGGTCATCAAGTTCCTTAGCGTGATGCAGAAACACGGTACGTTCTCACAGCGACCATCGTGTGCTGCAGCCCGGCCGATGTGCCACTCGGAATTATAACTGTTGGACTGTTGGGTCGCGCTTCCACCGACGTCCTTCTTTAAGATTCCGAGATAGCAACGCGGCCAGCCAACATCCATACGAAGACCTTTGTCGCATGGGTGGTTCGCGTAATCGGTTTATTCTGCCGTGGCTGCAACATGCTGGTCGCTTTCCAGGAGTTCACATTCTAACACTTGCAGGTTACATTGGTGACTTTGAGATCATTGACGACCACCGTGCCGGCAAGATCGTCGTTCAGCTGATTGGCCGCATCAACAAGTGCGGTGTCATCTCGCCCCGCTACCCCGTTCCTCTGAACGAGATCGAGGGCTGGGTGTCGTCGATGCTTCCCGCCCGTTCGTTCGGCTTCGTGGTCCTCACTACCTCGTCGGGCATCATGGACCACGAGGAGGCCCGTCGGAAACACGTGGCCGGCAAGATCCTTGGCTACTTCTACTAATGGCATCGTCCATCCTGAAGAGCCGATATGGCCGGGTATGGCCATTCGCTCGCAATGAGCACCAAAACCTCGCAGCACCCGAGACCTCTACGTCGCGGCCTGTACTGTTGTAGTAGAATCCTTCCGTGATGGCTGCGAGTCGTACCCCCAGGGCAACGAGAGATATGCTAACGATCTGCATGAGTGTGGTCGTGCCAAACCATAGAGTCTCCAAAGCACTGCGGCCTACGGCGCAGTTGAGGATGGATCGACTGCCGCCGCACCTTTGGACCGCTTCGGCTCAGTGACAGGGTTGGCATTAGAGGCACCCTGTGCATTCTGGGATTCATCATAGCTGCGCTTCAGTGGCGCCAGTCCTTCGGAGCCGCACGCAGCTTCGGACGCAGATGATGCAGGAATCACCTGCTCATGCTCATTCGTCTTGTTCAGCGAAGCAGCGAGACTGGATTGCAAGGCACTGAGTGCAGCGCCCACATCCTGTAGACCACTTTTGGCCGATGCATGGGCCTGGTCGTAGTGTTCCACGTTTTGCTTGAGCACCTTAATGCGTTCCTTCAATCCCTGGATCTTTCTGGGTGTGAGTGACCAGTACATACGCATCCATAGCCTCAGGTGATGGGTATACGAGGACCTTGCTTGCAATATCATTGTACTCCAGCTTCTGGGCACGGGCAATCTGGGCTTGCTCCAGTGCCACCTTGAGTTCGCTCACATTGGCCTGCTCCTTCTCACAGCGCTGATCTAAAGGTCAGCCATACTCCACACATACGCAGATTGTCGGCGGCCCGTTCGTATGCCTGAATTTCGCTAGTCGTCGTAGAGTCGGCACTCGCTTGGAGTCGCTCAACGTGCTGGCAAAAGAGTGCAAGGTCTGTCTCAAGTAGCAACGATGCAGCATCTCTAGACTGTTACTATGCATGAATGGCCACGTACCGTTCCTTGTCACTCCCTAGCCTGGCCAACTGCGCCACGCGTTTGGCGACACGGCGAACGAATTTCTCATCTGTTGCCAAGCGCGCCTTCAACACTACATCTGCACGTATTAGCTTTAGCAACATGCCTTGCTCTTGGGTAGTCAGCGGTGCTGGTCGGTCCCCCGCGGTTGCCATCGCGGGCGGTAGCTTAGATTGTGGAGTGCCCCTCCAGCCACCAAGCCTAGCCACCCACTGTGCGAGTCAGGCACATGACTTCGCTACGAGACAAATATCAATCCATGACATAGGATGCAATTTGACAGCTATGTCAGGCGCGTGAGAGGCGCACTGCTCTCCAGGGAATAATAGCACAATGATACAACGCCAAAAGGACGGCCGTTGTGCTCGGAACCGCTGCTACGTTTTGGGGCTCAGTGGAATCGGCCCTAGAGTCATATTGTGTCAAGATTAGGCCTGCACCTTCTTGGCAGCGGCACCAAGGATGGCACGGCGCTGCTTCTTGAGCACCTGGACGGTGAAGCGCTCGACTGTAGAGTAAGCAAACCATCAGCTTGGTACGTACAGTCCGTCGTGTTCTTGCGGGCCTCACGAGCCGCCAGGGTCTTGGCCCACTTGCTCTCAGCCCACTTCTCGGCCACACCCGAGGCATCGAACGCCTTCTTCACGGTCGGAGTACCGGCAGCGCGGGGCACCTTGATGACGAAGCGAGTGAGCGTCATGTCACGGTAAGACATGACCTGACGGGGCACACCCGTCGAAGGACCGTCAACAACAGCCTGCAGTGTCAGTGACCTATTCCGGCTCGCGCGTGTGTCACCAGGAGCAGAAAAACCCATGGTGGCACATGCGCCGTTTGCAATACATACCCTGTTCTGGTCAACAATCTCAACAATGGTGACGAGCTTGTTCTTGTACTCGCCCTTGGTAACGAGGGCCACACGGCCAACCTCAACATAGCGCTTGAACGAAACCCCCTGGACAGGCATGGCGATACTGAACCACTTGGTGAGGATGCTAGAAGAGGCGGCATGTCCGCCAGGAGACCAGCCTCCGCCCATTTGCACGTGACATGGTATAGTTTTGAAATGTGGCCTCACACGTGGCATGGCCACGTGTGCGTGCCCAAAGCGGGAGGGCCTCCACCGCGCACGAGCAAGTATATTTTGTTTCGCGTGCGTCCCTGCGATCGGCCGGGGCGACAGTGCTACGCGCCTGGTCGAACTCGTCGTAGCGGTGGCCCTTCTCGCACAAAGACTAAAATATTCTGACATTGGGTATGAGCGGAAGGGATCCTAGTGACTCGGCGCCGGTAAGTACAGCTTCCGGCGCTGGGTCGACGAACCATGCGCAAGATACCCGGACCAGCAGCCGCTCCGATAAGCCCGCGACATTGACAGTCACAGGACAAGAGTCAAGGATCAGCCCAGAAAAGTCACTCTCGCCGCGTATGGGCACAGGCCGCAAGGCGGCACTCTCCTTGCAACTATTTATGGCGACACAAACGCCAGGTACGACGACGCCTACAGTGTCACCCGTGCCTAGTATCGACACAGCGTCGGAGTCGACGTCGTGTGTGCCGGAACTATCCGAAGGCCAGATGACAGCGCCTGCGCAACCAATTCAAGCGGGCCCGTCAGGGAGTGCGACTGGGCCCTCGAACTTCAATCCAAGTCCGTGCACGGAGTCCGCCGAGGGCCAGGCAGACCTGACCAATATGATGATGTATGAGAACCCGGATGACTCCAAGGAGTCTCATGCGCCAACCCTGTACGATACTTCAACAGATGAGAGCACGTCGGACAGTGACACAGCGAGCGACCAGGAAACGGCAAGCGAGCGCACATCGTCGCAGCTCGATCGATACGCGGACCTGGCGGGGTCTTTAAGGCCTTCCATTGCGATCCCATCACCTAGCCTCGTGCCCGACGGATCACAACCGTCGCACTCTCGTCGCCATCATCACCATGTGCAGGATTCGAGTGAGCCTCCTCCAAGCGTCGTACAGCTTCAGCCATTCCACCATCAAGTCGGTGGACACAGTCACATTTTCCAGTTTTCACGCCGTGCCGTTTGCAAGCCACTGACGTCACGAGAAAACCAGTTTTATGAGGCACTCGAGCGCGATCATCCCGATATGTTAGCGTTTGTGCCGCAGTACCTAGGCGTTCTGAATGTCACTTACCGCCAACTCCATCGTGCACAGGAATCGGAAGAAGCTGGAGCAGGTACTAGTTCAGCTTTTGCCAGCGCTACACCGCATCGAAAAGTGTTCGAGGGGCAAAAGGATATGAAGAATGAAGTGCCTGAGGTAGAGATTGACCGGAACCAGCATATCTTGCCCGAGTGGCTTGTCAGGCAATCGCGCAAGATGGACTGCCCGGTCAGCTGTGACAACGAGTCGAGCTGCTCCTCGTCGGATCCTTTAATCTATGGCAAGGGTAGGACGCTTGTGAACAGGCGCCTTCAAGAGCAGGTTATCCGAGAGGTGTTCAGTCAAAGCAGAACACGGCACCACCGTTCGAAGCGCTCCACCCCTGAATCCCCAGGCACTGAGCAACGGTTTGTCAAGTCTTGGGACGACGACGATCGCATGGATGGACAGCATATGCGTGGTGCCGTGGAGGCATGGCGCCAGAATCGACATAACAGCAGTGACAGTGCATGGCCGTCGCTAGCCACTGACATTGACTCGGTGCTTCCCGATTCTTCAGAGCCGCCACTGGCCGTGCCTGATGCACTTGAGGCGCCGGAAGCCTCTGTGCCTAAAGTGAATCCAGTGCATGCGCGCCAGGAGCAATTTATTCTCCTCGAGGACCTCACTGGCGGGCTGAAAGCGCCGTGTGTGTTGGACCTCAAGATGGGCACGCGGCAGTATGGCGTGGACGCCACAGATGCGAAGAAACGAAGTCAAACGAACAAGTGTAATAAAACCACAAGTTGCACGCACGGTGTGCGCATATGTGGTATGCAGATGTACGATGCACGAACGGAACAATTTGAATTTCAAGACAAGTATTACGGACGTGACGTGAAGGCAGAAGAGTTCACCGCGGTGCTCGAGCGGTTTTTCCATAATGGATACCAAGTTTTAATCCACCACGTGCCTGTCATGGTGGACAAGCTTCACCAGCTGGCACGACATGTGTGTAAGCTCAAGGGATATCGTTTTTACGCAAGCAGTCTGTTACTTATCTACGATGGCGACCTGCGACGGCAGAATGCGTTGCTTCAAAGTTTTGAGGCAAAACTACCTGGCGCGACCGGCCACCCCTACGTCCTGTCGCGGTCTACACACTCAGACACGAGTGATGTGTCTTGCTCGGCGACGGGAGCTAGTGAAGCGCTCGGATGTCTGTCCCTGTCTGAGCCCAAAGGTGTCTCGACCGAGTCGTCGAGTGCCGCCACCCCGTTACTGACGCTGCCAACGCCAGCAGGGACTGACTCGGAACAGGCACCGGATCCAGCAATGCACTGTCGACGGAGCGGGCGCCGGGGTCACATGAAGATCCGTATCATTGACTTTGCGCACTGCACGACGGGCTCCGACTTTTACTTCCCCGAGGATCATGGCGGCAAGCCACCATCAACGGCGGAGGAACAGGCACTGCCGATTGGCCGGCATCCCCCGGCGCATCGCGACCAGCCAGATGCAGGCTATCTGTGGGGTCTGCGATGTCTCACGCTGGCGTTCCATGAAATTTGGGAGCGTGAGCGTGCGCGGCGCATCGGGCACGCTCTGGCCGGTCTGACGCGGCAGACAGCGCTCTCGGAACGTGAGCACGCGCTGCGCGAGGCCGATATTGGGCCATTGGATGTGCCAGGAGGAGACATCTTTGTTCAACTGTTTGGCACCGGCGCGGACCAGCCAGGTGTGTTGAGCGGTTATAGATCTGCGTAGAGAACATCGGCTTCAAGCCCGATCTATAACCCTAATATAATTGCTCGTGGCAGGCCGCTCAGGCCGGGTGGCGAATTTGCCGAGCGCCTCCTTGCTACCATGAGCGAGCGAGAGCCAGGCGTGCAGCTGCCGCCACTTTCGCATCGCACTTCTGATCGTCACAATACCTCTATATTCCTTGGCAAGGATGAGGAACGCTGGGCGAAGTTTCTTGGCGAATCGTCTGGGGCGCCGTGCAAGTTCGTGCAGAGCGCCTACACGTTGTTGCCGTTTAAACGCTCCGACAATGCGAGGGGTTTGCACAAGTATGCAAGTGAACTCGATCTGCAAGCCAAGGATAATAGATTGGGATTTGATCTGCCAAAGGCGAAGCGTACTGAAAGTTACGATATCCTGTCGAATACTTCATCAAGGCGCGGGGAACCATGGCCCATGCAGCAGCCATCAGGACGCCGTCAAGACCAGTCCATGTTAACAAAGTCATCGACCCTGATATCACCGGATGCTTTCTCGCCGCCGCTCAGGTCGCCACTCGTGCTATCGACAACGCCGAGCAAGTTGGATGCGACGTCGCCATCGAAGCTCGAAGAGGCCCTGACTACAGCTTTGGCGGAACAGACTCACGTCAGCGCTACCCCTTCGGTGGCCTCAGAGATTATCGGTGAAGAGCAGGAAGCAGACTTGCCGCAGGCTTTGACGGTGAATATTCCGAAGATACCGCAATACCCATCAACGCTTGGGCCAACCGTGCAAACTCGGCGTTACCGGCGTTCGCGCCTGCTGCGCTCGGCGCAAAAGGATCGTATACCGACCCCACGCAGTGGCTCGCCTGAACCCCTGGGTATGGCGAGCACGGGCCCCAATATCCCGCTGTACGGCAACCTGGACATCTTGACGCTGAGGCCACGGCGTACAATCGAGGACGTGGAAGGCACGCTGTATGACGAGGATGGCCCATTCCGTGAAGGTGAGATGAGCGATAGTCTCAGTGTGCGTCTGTTCTATGCGCCCGGGAAAGAGGGGAAGCCCGGCATGAGCTACCTCATCACGACGCCTGACAACCGTGTGTTCTCAGCAGCCAAGCGGCGGCGCTGGGCCATGGATGAGCGCGGTCACTTTTATGCTGCTATGGAAATCAAAAGTGTTGAGTCGAAGCTGCGCCATGCCTACAATGACTTGGTCGACCCTGTGTATGCGCGTGAGTACGAGAATGATCTACGCAAGTACTACGAAGATGATATCCTGGATGAGTTGCAAAAGGCCGAGACGCTGACACCGGGTCAGAGCGTCGTTATGCCGCATGTGCTGCGCACGGAAGACGGAAAAATCATACGACTCGAGGAAGACTTCCCTGAAGAGGCGTTTTTTGCGATCGCCGGGTGCCACGACGACGAGCTCTATCCCGTGGTGCTGCGCGTGTTTGTGGATGCAATCCGCCTACTATGGCGCATGCACTCACATGGCTGGATGCATGGCGATATCAAGCTCGAGAACCTTATGTTCAACGAAGATGCCCAACTGTACATGATTGATTTTGAGAATGCATCGCCCTTCCGCGGCACACGGCAGCACGACGGGATGATCCAGCTTCTCAGCTACGACTGGACGCCTCCTGAGCTTGAGGTAAGCCCTCTTGGGCGTCGTATGGGCCCCTCCGGCGACCTTTGGGCGCTGGGTGCGAACCTCATTCGTGCGTTTGCGCTACGAGACGGTGTCACCGATAATGCAGTGCGCGAGATGCTCATGGGTGAGGGGATGGACACTTTTTTTGCATTCCGACGACGGCTGCTTCAAACGAGCGAGTTAGAGCCAGGCGCGCCACCTGTGGCGTATGGTGTGAACCTTGGCCCTCTGTTGCGCGTCGCGGATGAAGAACAAGGCCCCTTGCATCTGAAGCCGGCGCGCGTGCTGCGCCTGTTTGCACAAAAGGGACCCTTGCTCCTGCAGTACGTGCTGGCACACAGCATTGCACCGACTCCCGCAGAGCGGAACGAAAAGTTGGGTATGCTGCTGGCCGAACAGCTCTTGCAGGCGCCCGAGAATGAGGCGCTGTGGCAGACGGTGTCCAAGGCTCTTGACACGTCCATCAAGCTTAGTGGTAGTTCTTGGGTGCGCCCCAAGCTGGATGAGGCTCGCCGCATTCTTGAATTGGACCAAGATGATTATGATAAATAGCTATCTATACAATCCTACGATGCGTCGTTCTCTGCTGCAAGACTCGCAATCAGCGCCTCAAGCTGCGACTGAATCGAGGCGTTTTTGGCGGCCTCGGATGCGTCGCTGTCCAGTAGGGCCGAGCTCAGCTCCGCTGTCTCGGGAACTGGCGCCGGCGATACTTGCTCGGCAGACTCAGCATCACCCTGTGGTGCCTCGGTGGCAAGTGCCTCAGCCGAGGACGCTGCATGTGTGTCCCTCGCCTCGGTGAGGTCCGAGACCGACGTCGACGGATCGCGCAGTGTCTCGGTCAGGTGCTGCAGTGCCTCGTTTGACACATCAATGCCATACGACTTGAGCAGTGCCTCCATACGCCCAGAGCTCGTCTCGTCGCCACCGTCCTGCCCAGGGTCGTCACCGCCCTCGTGGTCGTCACTTTCATGCCCAGAATAGTCGGCCTCAGCATCAGCAATGGCCTGCTCATCGGCCAGACGCTGGGCCTCATCGTCGTCGCCATCCTCGCGGGAGCCAGCAAGCGCCGCCGATAGTGTACGCAGTGCATCGCTGTAGTCGGCCAAATTGATACCACCAAAGTCGGTGCCATCGACAGTTTCGCCCCCCGCCTCCAGCGAGGACACAGGCACAGGGGGCACGCCGTCGGCTGGTGCGTCCGTCGACGTGGGCCCCTTGCCAGGTGGACCAATCTGCTGGAATGCTGCCTCCAGCGTCTGTGACACGGCCGCATCCAGATCGGCCTGCGAGGCCGGCGCGCCCGACGTGGCTGGCGAGGCACCTCCGATGGCCTCGGACGACTGCGTCTGCTGCGCCACACGCGAAGCTTGACGCACAAGTGTCTCAATGGAAGCAGAGAGCGACCCCGGGCCTGTAGCGGGCAGCACCGAGGCCGCTGATGGCATTGGCGGAGCAGCTTCGTCGTCCGGGTGCCCATCGCCAGCCGCTCCCGCGTCGGGCCGTGAGGTGCCAAGCAAACGGGTAAGCGACTGCAGTACGGGCGAGGAGGCCGAGGGCAGCGTGCCGCCGAGCCCTAACGTAGGCGCGTCTGTCACGGCCGGGCGACCATCAGACGGGCGCTGCGCGTGCTTCAGGAGCGCCGACGCCAGCATGCTCGAAAGGGCCGAGGCACTGGGGCCATCGCCATGGCCGCCCGTCGATGAGCGCAGCTGCTGCACAAGCGACGTCAGCGAAGGCGTCAGATCCTGTACGGACGGCGCACTGCCATCGCCACCGCTTGCATGGCGCAGGCGCTGCTGGTGCGCCAAGAGCAGCGCCGCAGCTGCGGCACCATTCTGGAAGATGCTGCTTGCTGGATTGTCGAGAGGCGCAGCGCCAGGCTGGCCATACGGCTTGGGGCCTGGGCGCAGACTTGACGATGGGCGAAGGCTGCGCTGTTTGTGTAAAGGCACCGTCGCTTGGCGGTACGCCGCAGCGCCCTCGAACTGAGCACGAGCCTTAAAGGGACTCGCAGGGGCCGGCCCCTTCGGGCCATTGACCATCATCGGATGGTCCTTGCCGATCTGGGGACGCCGCGTAGGCTTCCGACCGGCATTGCTGCCGTCCCAGTTCGGGTTGATGCGGTACAAACTGCCTGCCTTGTGTAGACGCCCACGCTTGAATGCCTTCTGCAGCGCCTGACTCGCCGACGGCCGGAAGTTCTTCATGAGCGGATATGTATCCTCCATCCAGTGGAACAGCATGCGGGGAGGCGTACCATTCACGTCGCCAATCGCCTGCAGTCCCTCGATGATCATGTCTTCGTACGACGGAAGCGTGCTTGTGATCCGCGGCGAATCGTGCTGGCCCGTGGTATCATCCGCCCCTGAGTCATGCAGGCCATACGTGGGCGTATATGAGCTGAGCGTCGGCCGGATCGACGTGCCCAGCGAGTCGCCAAGGCTCGGCGTGGACGACGCAGCCGTTGGCGTAGCAGTGGCTAGGGGGCTCGTCGTCGACGAGGACTGCTCGAGCAGCTTGGACAAGGCCGAGTTCGCTGGCATGCGGCTGTTGGTGAGCAGTGACGAACTGTTTAGCAGCGACGATAGGCCACCAGTGGTCGTCGTCGAGCCTTGCTTCGACGGTGCGAGCGGCTGCCCTTGGAGCCCCAGCATCGGTCCAGACGAGTTGGAGTTCTGGATCGATTCCAGGATCGCCGCAATGCGAGACGAAATATGGCTGCCACCCGTGAGCGGCTCAGTCTCATTGCTCGGACCGTTGCGCAGATTCGCATGGGGCAGAGGACTCGAAGCCAGTCCCGTCGGCGCAGACGTTGGCATCACCACAGGGATGGAGGGGGTATAGGGACGACTCTGCGTGTCAAGGGACACAACAGGGGGCGGCACTGGCGGCGTCACTGGCGGCGGCTGCACCGCTGAGGTGGACGTAGACTGCTCCAGCGGCGCTGATAGGCAGTTGGCAGGCACCTCGGGCGCCGAACTTGGGCCAGTTGACATAGGCACTGGCACTGGCGGTGCTGACGGTGCGGGCGAGGTCCGCTCCAGTCGTGTTGGTTCAGTGTGCACTACTGCCTCACGCCGGTTTGCAGCTAGGCGTTCGTCCATGTCGCTGGGGTACAGCACAGTGTGAACATTCGCAGCCAGCGGGGTATCCTGGACAAGATCTTCAATTTGGCAGATGAGATTAACAAGCTCCGACACAGTGAGCGAGGACAGGTAGGCATGGCCCTGCGGGGGACGCGTGTCAGTGCGCACACGTTTGGGCGGATCCGAGGGCGCCCGGAGCACGTCCTGATCGGGCGAGTGAGAGCGCTTGACAGCGACAGGGGTGGGTGACATGAGGTGCCCAGACATAATGGCGGGCCGCGCGACGCCGTCCGGCGCAGCGGCACCCGGCGTCGAGGGAATCAGCGCGTGCTAGAAAGTACACGCGTTCAGTGTCTGTGCGCACGCGTCGTGGAGCGCGTTGCGCGGGGCCGATCGTCGTGAGCTGACTTAGCAGCTGTACAGTTCGGTGGCGGAGCGGCGTGGAGAGGCTGGGCAGCGAAACTGTATATTTTTTTTTCGATGTCTGCCATGTTTACTCAGCCCTGGCGATATGCGTCTTGATCACGCGCACGAAATACGCGACCAGAGCATAGGGATCCATGTGCAGCGGAAGAATGTTGTGGAGGTTGTCTGCGTGATCAGTCCAATCAGACGGCGTCGGTGCTTGTTGTTGGTGCACCGACACCCCGGTTCCGGCACTCCGCAGCTTCTTTTACACGGGAACGGTCCCATCAAGACGGCCGCTCTGGTAGCTCGGATTCGGACCTGTGTTCCAACACCATGGAAGAAGCCGAACAGATAGAGACACGGCCTCATCCTGTCATGGTATTCCTGCAAGCGCTCTGGCGCACTCTCTGGCAGGTCTGGATCGAACCCTTTTTGATTTTCGTGCATCTGTACGAACCGGCGGACCGTACATACGGCCGCTGTGATGTCCCGTTCAGCAAGATGGAATTGCGTCTGCACGAAAATCCCGATGTGACGGTATCGTTCTACAAGACCATGATGCCGAATGGCAAGGACTTTGTGTGGTACCAGGTTTGGGAAGATAAGCTTGCACAACGCTCGACGGGGCGATTGGCGGACATGGTTTTCTGCCATGGCACGGGTGTACACTCAGGTACGCTGGCGAGCCACTCGCGACGCTATTTGGATGCGGGCTACCGTCTCATTGTACCAGATCTTCCGTCGCACGGCTATTCGACAGGTTTGCACGTGTACCAGGCTAGGATGCGAGGGTACACGGATGGTGTGCGCCAAGTGATCCACGATGTTGCGCGACGTGACGACGAGTTGCAGGGCCACAAGACGCCCAAGCAGAACCGCCGTCGCACCTTCCTACTGGGTCTGTCGTTTGGTGGTCTAGTGGCCACGCTATACCCGGTATACTATCCGGCGGCTAGCCGCGAGGACACGACTGACATGGACGAGATTCCGATTGATGGTGTGATTGGCGTGGGTCCCCTTATCGACTACAACCCGAAGGATGTCAAGGTGGGCCCTTTTGTCCGCCTGCTTACTGTGATCACTCGCTTTCTGTACGCCGAGCGTCTGGAGCTGTATGTGCCGCACAAAAAGGCGGTCGACAGGGACCCTAAGGTCTACAAGCAGCTGATTGACTCGGACCCCCGCAGTCACCGCGGCTCGTTCCGTGTGGGTCACCTGTTCTGCTTGCGCTACGGCATTGCCGATGTGCAGGACATGACGTATAATTTTAAGGTGCCCGTGTACATCCAGCATGGTCTCCAGGACCGTGTTGTGTCCGTTCAGTCGTCGGTGATGTGGCTTCAAAAGGTGCATTCGACGGACGTGACGATGACGGTGTACCCCGTGTGCCAGCACGTTATCTACCGCAAGGCCAAGTCCGAGGAGGAGGACTTGGCTGGCCGTGTGTGTGTGCTGGAGGACAACGTCAGGTGGATGAATGAGCGTTGCCCTGGTAGTGGTCACATTGACCGTGGCATGTCGTTCTCGTCCGATTACACAACCGACGGTGAGCAGATCCAACGCGCTCCGTCGTTCTCGCTGTCATCTGGTCTCATGACGCCAAGTGAGCTGGCTCTCAATGCGCTGTCGCAGAACAATGAGGAGCGTGTGGCCGACACGATGCAGACACTCTCCGACAAACTGGACTCGATTCAGCAGAACGAGACTGCGACGTCGACGGCGCTGCCAGATTCTGGCGCACAGCTGTCTCAGCGCCAGGTGCGCAAAACCATGCAAGTTTCGGGCCCTAACAATTCTGTCGAGCGCCGTATCTACCGCGAAAACTGGACGCTGCCTGAGGAGATGCGCCCGTACGACCTGGTCATCCAGTAGACAATCGTCAACACGTGCTATGAGTTCTTTAGTCATCTCGATGATCCTGTCGGTGTGTGTCGGACCGCGAAGCTTGGTAACCAGGCTTGGGGACCGATGCTGTGTGTACCGCGTCCCACGGTGTTGCCGTCTGCCGGCGGTGTGAGAGCAAATCTGCTGCGCCGCAGCCTGCATGGCTCGGTTGTGCGCCGTCACAGCGATATCCAGGTGTCGACGCTACCGAACCAGCTGCGTGTGGCGACCGAAGCGGTGCCAGGCCACTTTAGCGCAGTCGGTGTCTATGTGGATGCGGGCTCGCGCTTCGAGCGCCCATGGGTGCCTGGTGAAAGCGGCGTGAGTCATATACTCGACCGCATGGCATTCAAGAGCACGAGCACGCGGTCGTCATCGGACATGGAGCAGCTGATGCAGTCGGTCGGTGGCAATGTGATGTGTGCATCGTCGCGCGAGACGATGATGTACCAGTCGTCGGTGTTCAACCAGGACGTGCGCAAGGTGCTAGAGATCTTTGCCGACACGATCCAGAACCCCACACTCGATGCGGCCGAGCTGGCCGTGCAGCGCGAGGCGGCGGCCTGGGAGGTGAGCGAAATTTGGAGCAAGCCTGAGATGATTCTTCCCGAAATGGTGCACGCTGTTGCCTTTAAAGACAACACGCTTGGGCACCCTCTATTGTGTCCGTTGGAGAGCCTTGATGTGATGACCACAGACAATTTGCGCGAGTACATGCGCCAATGGTACCGCCCTGAGCGGATCGTCGTGGCGGGCGCAGGCATGGCACACCACGAACTCGTGTCGATGGCGTCGGAGCTGTTTGGTTCGATGCGCAGTGAGCCGCAGGACCCGGTCGTAGCGCAGCTTGCGAACGAACGTGCGCGCTACACGGGCGGCGAGCTGTACATACCGGACGCCTCGACTGAGTTCACACACGTGTACGTGGCCTACGAGGGCCTGTCGATACATGACGACGACATATATGCGCTGGCCACCATGCAGATGCTGCTCGGTGGCGGCGGCAGCTTCAGCGCGGGTGGTCCGGGCAAGGGCATGTACAGCCGCCTGTATACCAATGTGCTCAATCAGTATCACGCTGTCGACCACTGTGCGAGCTTCCACCACTGTTACGCAGACACGGGCGTGTTTGGCCTGTCCGCGAGCGTGCACCCGAGTTTCAATACGTCGGTGCCGTATATGATTGCGCGGGAGCTCGAGCTCTGCACTTCTGGCATGTACCGCAACTGTGTCACGAAGAATGAGTGGGAGCGTGCCAAGAACCAGCTCAAGAGCAGCCTGGTCATGGCACTCGAGAGCCGCCTCGTCGAGGTGGAGGACCTCGGGCGTCAGGTGCTCGTGCACGGCCACAAAATTACCGTGAACGAGATGTGCCAGGCGATTGACCGTCTCACGCTCGATGATCTTCACCGCGTCGCGAAGCGCGTGTTGATGAGCGGAAAGCCCAGCACAGTCGTAGCGCAGGGCGAGCTCGAGGGGCTCGGCGATGTGCGTCAGCTGCTAGCATCACGGGGTATGTAGCTACGTGTAGGTCTATGGTACATATGGACCGCTAGTCCCAGGCCCAGGCCAGAGGCATCTGCGCGACCGAGGCAGCCTTGGGCAGGGCCGGTGAGTCAAGCGGCATGGCCAGCAGGCGACTACGCGTCGGGCCCGTGGGTGTCACGGGCATGGGGCTGCTCAGCGCCGCACTCGACGGCACGGGATCACTGTGCACCGGCGTCGCTTGGCTCTGCGGTGTCGCCAGATGCTGCGCACGACGCGTCGCTGCCGTCGGCGAGTCGAGAGGACCCAGCGCGCGCGACGGCGTGCGCATCCCGTTGTACGGGGTGTGCGCCAGAAAGTGGGTCGGCGTCGGGAGCCACTCGGCGTGAGCATAGGGGGTAAAGTGGCGGCTGGGTGTGCCGACCAGTTGCAGCGATGATGGCGGCGACGGCGTGCGCCATAGTGGCCGGCTGCCGTCGTCCGACGACGCAGAGATCCCCGCGGGCGACGCGTCGTCGTACTCTGGCAGGAATGCTCGGTCCTCCATACACCGCTTCGGACTAGGCGCGAGTGAGAGCGTCGACGAGCGCAGCAGGGCATGCGCATGCAGGCCCGCGTGGGCGGCGGCGGTGCTCGTCGCGCGCGGCTGCGCCATGGCAGACCGGTGGTCGTAGCAGTCGTCGCAGACCCAGTCGGCTGCCGGCAGCTGATCCACATGCGAGACGCCTGCACAGGCCAAGTGCAGCCACCGCGCACAGCCGTCGCACTGGACCATGTCCATGTGGTCGTCAGTAAAGCCGCAGCGGCAAGCCATCAGGGGCGCAATGCCGCTAGCGGCGAGCGAATGCATTGTCGAGACCATGCGCCGCCGACCGGTGGCAGCAGGCATGCCGCGCCGCTGGCGCGTGCCGTCCGACGCAATCCACCAGTCGTGTCGCGGCGCGCGGGGCGACCGCCGCCCTGTGGCGCGACGACTTCGCTCCCGCAGGCCTTTGGCCACCATAGGATGGTACGTCGAGGCTGTGGCTGCCGCATCAGCGCCAGCGCTGTGTGGGTCGTCATCCTCTAGATCGTCATCAGTAGCGAGCCAATGCGCCACGAGGCGCAGGCGCTCCGAGCGCTCCTGGGGGCCCACGAGGGGGACCGGTGCCGGAGGCGCCGCGGCGGGGGCTGCGTCGCCCAGTACATGGCGGTGCAGTGCGAGGCGGCCGAAACCCTCCAAGTACACGGCCTGCATCGGCGGAGCACGGGGTGCCATGGGCGCCAAAGGCGCTGCAAAAGGTGCGAGAAGATCAGACATTGAGGCCTGGCTGCGCGCAGAATCGGCGCCTGTAGTGGGCGCGGGCTCGTAGGGCGCGGGCGCCGGTGCATCAGCACTGCGCTTCATGCCAGGCGCCGCATGAGCGTGGAGACCAAGCATCGTATACTGCGTGTGGCCGCACACGGCCGGCGGGCACGGGACATCCGCCCGCGGTGCGGTAGCGCGGCGGCGAGTACTGCTGTCGTGCGTGTCTCGGGCGCCTGTGCGCCCACGCTTGGCGTGCGCACGACGAGCGCGGTCCTTGCCCTTGGTGCGGTCCTTCGTCGGCCGTGTGGGATCGCGTGGCAGCACCTGCGGCCGCCTCGGTGCGAGCGAGGCGGGCGTGCTGGGGCCGGGAGTAGGCGGTGCCATGACGCCCAGCATGAGGGATGGGAAACTTGGCGAAGAGCGCTGGCGTGCCTGTCCGAGAAAAGATGCACAGGTACGCCCAGCCGTCTTGCGTGGCGGGAACGACCAAATAGCGCCGTCGACCTCGGCGACCCACGCTGCCCCTGCACGCGGGGCGCGGGGCGTCCCTCCGCGACACGCTGCAGGCGCCAATCATGCAGCGAAGGGGCTGGCGCGTAAAGCAGGCCGCATCAGGGCCCTCTCCTTGCATGCATGGGATTATGTCATCAGCTGGGTATCGCTACGGCGCCGGGGGGGCCGTCGAGAGACGGTCGAGCAGCGTCTGGAGGTGTCTGCGTCAGAGAGATGGACGTACCGGATGCGCGCCTCGTCGCGTGTAGCGCGCTCCTTGGCGCCTGCGCGCTCGCGTTTCACACGCTCGTCGGCTTCCTTGCATCGCCGCTCCAGCTCGCGCAGACGCACGGAGAGCTGAGCGGGCGTCGCCGGTGTAGGAGCCACCGTGGGCGCATCGCGTAGGCGTGCGACCTGCTGCTCCAGCTCGCGATTCGCGCGCTGAAGGTCCGTGAGTTCGCATTCCTTCGCAAGCATTCGGCGCCGCCACTGCTGCTGCTTCTCGACGGCCGCGCGGATGGACTTCTCGATGCGCTCCACGTGACTCCACCGTGCCTCCTGCAGGCGCCGCACATCGCTGCGTCAGTGTGCCATAGATACGTACGCCAGCCTCGCTGCATGGTCCTTCTCGAGGGCTTCCGCTCGCTGCGAAAAGTGTGTCTGGATTGCTGCAAGGCGCCGCAGCCGCTGCGTCACCTTGTCGTGGAACTGCGAAAAGTGGGTGTGAAGCAAGCGCGCTTCGCCCGGCGCTGCCTCCTCGCCCAGCGCACGCACGAGGCCATCGAACACGGCCAAGAGGAGCGTATTGCGCTCCGCCAGCTGTGGGCGCGTTGACGCATCGAGGCTTCGCGCCGACGACGACGCATCGCGACGCGCCGACTCGGCAGCCGCCAAGGACGCGCGCTCCGCCTCGAGACGCGCCTGTTCGAGCGCACGCTGCGTGTTCTCCAAACGCTCCTGCGCCTGGAGTCGCGTGCGCGTCTCGCCTTGTAGCGCGGTCGCCAGCTCGCCCGTCTCCACACGTAGCCGCGCGACATCGTCCTGCGCCTCCTGCCACAGCTGCAGCTTCTCGTCAAGATCGCCTCGCAGGCGCTCGACGTCGCGCTGGTGCTTCGCATGTGCCTCTGTCAGCGTGCGCTGCGCCTGTGCCTCGTGGGCGCGGTGCTGCTCCTGCAGCCGCCGCGCTTCGTCGCGCGCCTGCGCGACCTGCTGCCCTAATGACTCGATAAGGGCGTCCTTCGCGGCTAGCGAGTGCCGCGTGTGCGCCTCGCTCGTATCGTAGCGCTGCGACCAGTCGACATCCGCCTTCTCGCGCGCCTCCTCCTCCTCTTTCAGGTCGCGCACGAGCTGCACGAGCTTGTCGTTCAGGCGCGCATTCAGGTCCTCGAGGTCCGCGTGCTGCGCAGCGAGACGCTCCATGGCCGCCTGAGCATCGTCGAACTGCGCCCGAGACGCGGCACACTGCTCCTGAAGCGCCGCCTCGATGCCCTCGTGATGCCGCCGCACAGCGGCCAGCTCACTTGTGAGCCGCTGCACGTCGGCCAGCGCCGCAGCATGAGAAGCCTCGCGTGTCTGCAGCTGCGCCTGTAGCTCGCCCGTCATCGACTCAGCCTCGTCCAGTGCGGCCTCAAGCCGGTCCATCTCGCCCTCCTTCTCGGCGACAACGAGGCGCTCAGCTGCCAGGGCGTCCTGCAGCTCACAGATCACGTCGTGCTGCTCATCTAGCTGTTGTTGCAACGCCGGCGCATCGTCCGCACCGCTGCTGTCTCCGTAGCGCAGCGCCTCGTCACCGGACGAGGGAGCCGCACCCTCGCGCATCGCATCGACATGCGCCTGCAGCGCAAGACGCTCGGCCTGCTCGGCGCGAAGGGCCGCCTCGAGTTGCGCGACATGGGGCGCGGCGCTGTCGCCCCGTTGCTTTTGCTCAGCAGTGTGCGCGCGCGCCTCGGCCTGCCGCAACTGCTCCTGGAGCTGCTCATAGTCTGCCAGCTTGGTCTCCCACTGCTTTACCTGCCGGTTCACCGTCTTGAGTGCCTGGTCCTGGCTCTTCACGAGCTCGGTCATCTTCTGCAGGCGCCGCACGTAGCTGAGCTTCTCCTGGCGCAGCGATATGACCTCGGCGCCGACGTCCTCGGGACTCATGTTGCGCCGGTGAAAGTCGACCTCGATCTTCAGATCGTCCCGCTCAGCTGTGAGCTGCTCAATTTTCTGTAGCGTCGACTTGATCGAGATGCCCGCCTCCGTCCGGCGGCGCATCTCCTGTACGCCCCAGTGGCCAGAGCGCGACGCGTTCAGCTCGGTGTCGCCCTCACCCTCGTCCTCATCCAGCACATGCAGCGCATCGCGACTCTGAGCAAGTTGGCTCGCGCGCAGAGACGTTGTAATGGATGACGACGTATCATTCAAGCTACCCTCGTCCAAGTGCGCAGGCGTATTGTACAATGACGACCGCGTCGTGGCCGTGCGCGGCGTCGCAGACGTAGACGAAGGGCGCTTCGGAGTAGGCGCCGTCTCTTCAGGCGTGCGATCCTCGTCTGCATCGTCGGCCAATTCAGATGCCGTATCCTCCTGCTCATCCTCTGTAGACATAAGCAGGTTCTGCGCCGGTGGCGGCCTCAAGTCGAGCGACGTGGACGAGTCGAGGCCTAGCGACGTATTACCTCGAGGGTAGGTCGTCACACTTTGGTCCATGGACATGTCCCTGTCAGGGCGCTGCCCCTCATCATAGAGTGCCTGGAGTGCAGCAAGCCGTTGCGACATGATGCAGGGAGCCCCGACACGCCCCTCGACGTGCCTGCGACAAGCTACGTCCGCGCGGCGCTGGATCAACACCGACCGTGTCGTATCACGTGATGTCTCGCCGGCACCACGCCTACGACGACGTCGAGCTAGACCTAGCCGCCGCCCGATGTCTTGTCTATGGAACAATGGCAGCGGGCATACCAGGTACAGGAGGCGAGTACAGCACAGCGGTGGGAGCTTCTGTACCGGGTCACACATACATGCGCCAAGCTAGATTCCCAGTTACGAGCCACGGAGCCGAGCCATTATTCCTCCGCGTCGTCGCTCACATACTGTCAAGTTAGTATCTGTGCAAGATAAAGCCCGCGGGCCTGCATGCCATACGAGCGAGCAGGCCGTCCGCGCACCGTACGTACCTTGTGACGGATGTCCTTCCACTGCTTCTGTCGTGAGGCACGTGCAAAATGCCGCAGCATGACGCGCCGTGTCAGTCCTGGCCCCTTACAAAAGCCGTAATACGTACGCCCTTGTTGTGGTAGTCCCACCACTTTTCCGTCAGGGTGTCGAAGGCAATGCCGAAGCCAAAGGCACCGGCGAAGATGGTGCCAACGCTAAGACGTCAGCACGATGACTCGGCGTCAGGTACATACTAGATCGAGTTGCGCTTCACAATGATGTTGTAGAACGAGTTCGCCAGCGACATGGTGACGTGCGGTACGAGCGGAGCACGGCGGGTGTGGCCGGACCCGACCGATGAGGTCACGTGACTATGTAGGCTACCGTGGGGCGCCGCCGGTGCCCTTGAACCACTGCGTGAGACGCGCGCGACGTACCTTGGGGAACTTGCGCTTCTCTCGAGCCTCGGCCGCGGGCGCCTCTACGCTGGGTGCGCGGACCATAGGCACCTGCGCGCCGGTGAACGGGGGCACGACTGGTACATCGCGTGCGCGCGCGACCAGCTCAGGCTTGAGCGGCGCGGGTGCATCTGTGGCTGCATGTGAGGGTGGCATACGTACCGTTTCTGCTTGGGTCACTCCAGCGCACGCCAAGCACAGCGGCCGGTGCGAATCCGAGACTAGCGAGCGTCTGTGCGCGCGCCGGGTCGGTGCGCGGGAAATCGCGGCGTGGCGGCGACTGGAATAGCACATAGGTATCAGATGTATCCACGAGTGCTTCATCCACAAAGGCATACACATCCGCGATCGTCGCGGCGGCAGGGAAGGTGCTCTCGATCTGCATGCGATCCGCGAAGCGCACGCGGATACGGATGTGTTCGTACACTTTTTTGGTGCGCCCCAGCTCCTGATCTCTCTTCTCGCGCATGGCGCGTGTCATGAGCGGGGCATTGGTGCTGTGGCGGCCCTGAAGGGCGTCCGCGAATGCGGCACGAAGCTCGTGAGGCGTCGGCTCAAAGTCGTCGGTGTCGGCCGGCGGCGGCGCTGCATCAGTGAGCATGCATTGCGTACCATGCGCGCGCGTGCTCGGCGCGCGGTACACCGACGTGGGCGGCATGCCGCTCGGCGCGCTCGAGTCCATGACAGGAGCGGCCCACGCGTGCGGTGCCACTGCCTACGCTGACATAAGCGTGGTCCCAGCGCGGCGCAGCGCCGCCGTCCAGGGACCCCCTATGCATATATGGGTGGCGCGGGCGGCCACACAGCCGCCCCAGGTGCTGGTGACACGCTATGACCCGTTGAATCCGGCGCAAGAGAAAGAATCTGCGCTCGTGTTGTCATTCTCGGTAGTCGAGGAGCAGGGGACCCTGACGCTCCTCGACGCGCGCGACGTGACTTGGAGCTCGATGCGGCGGCTGTCGATCGCGAGCATGCCGCTCGTGGGGCTGCTGGGCCTTCTGCGTGTGGGATCTGACATGTTTATTGTGGCTGTATCGGCGTCTGACCGCGTCGGCGAGTTGCGCGGTGCGCACGTTGTGCATCGTGTGCGCAATGTGTCGTTCTTCTGCGTGAGCCGAAGGCTCCCGAACGACATGGCGCTGGCCCAGGGCGCGACGGAGCCGGGTGACAGTGGGCGCCTCGGACCGCCGGGTGCACCGGACGACCCCTGCGTGGCCATTCGGAAGTACCTGTCCGGCGGCTCGTTCTACTTCACGACAAGTGGGTACGACTTGACGCGGCGTCTGCAGTGCTCGAATGACGAGCACGCCTTCCAGGAGCAGTTTGTGTGGAATGAGCACATGAGAAAGCCGCTCGAGATGTTCCGTGACCGCCTGGATCTTCCGCGGCAGCGCCGCTTCGATGCCGAGGACCTGTGTCTCTCGGTGATCCAGGGCTATGTGGGAATTCGGCGCATCCCCGGCCCCGTGCCGTGCCAGCTCGTGGTGCTCAGCCGGCTGAGTACGCAGCGTGCGGGCACGCGGTACAACATGCGAGGGATCGACGACGACGGCCATGCGGCCCACTTTGTCGAGACGGAGACGATGCTCCAAGTGGATGACCTTACCTACTCGTACGTGCAGCTGCGTGGCTCTGTGCCTGTGTTTTGGGAGCAGCAGGGGCTCCAAGCGCTCAGTGCCAAGATTCAGATCACCCGCACCGGTGCTGCGTCGATGCCTGCCTTCCGCAAGCACATGGAGGACCTGCTCGATGAGTACCACCGCGTGTGTGCGGTGGACCTGCTGGGCATGCGCGACGCGGAGAGGGCGCTCAGCGATGCATATCGGACGCACCTGCGCGAGCTGAATGCGGCGGATGTGACGTACACACACTACGACTTTCATGCGCTCACCAAGTCAATCAGCAGCCTCGAGATCGTTGCGCAGGAGCTGGACCGCCGGCGCGACATGCAAGCGCAGCGTCAGAGCCAAAAGTATGCGCTGCACCGCGGTCAGGCGGAGCTGCAGCGACAGAGCGGTGTGTTTCGCATCAACTGCTTCGACTGCCTCGACCGCACCAACCTGGTCCAGGGTCTGTTCTCGCACGCCCTGCTGCATGACTGGCGGCAGTCGCTGCGTGACGACGCGCTTGACGAGCCGCTCCAGGTCACATGGGCGCACGACGCGGCGATTTCCAGCGCGCTAAGTGCCGCTCACCGCGAGCTGTGGGCGGAGAATGGCGACGCACTCTCGGTGATCAACACGGGCACTGGCTCGCTCAACGCGCACTTTGCGCGCTCAGGCGCCAAGAAGGGGTGGACGGGCCTCATTAGCGACGCAGCAAAGAGTGCGAGTCGCATGTATGTGAACCACTTCCAGGACGCGTCGAAGCAGGAGGCCATTGATCTCCTGCTAGGCCAGCGCAGCGGGCAGCGGAGCATTGAGCTGTGCGATCCACTGTACTCGGGTGTCTCGGCGGCGCTAGAGCAGCGCTGGGCCGACTATGCGACTGTACACCAGGAGCGCATGCTGTTTGGCACATTCAACGTGTGTGCCGTCACGCCGCGCCAGGCCGATCTGTCCGACTGGCTGTGTCCCCACGCGCCGAGCGCCGCGGCGCCGGCACTCGTGGCCGTGTGTCTGCAGGAGATTGTGCCGCTGACCGCGCAGCAAATGCTGCTGGCATCGAGCGAGGAGTTTGCGGCCTGGGACGCTGCGATCTTGCGGACACTGGGTATGTATGGCGAGACGTACGTGCCGCTGCGCCAAGTGCAGCTCTTTGGCTCGGCGCTGCTGATGTACGCCAAGCCGTCGCTCCTGCCGCATATCCGGCGCGTGGAGGGCGCGACCAAAAAGACGGGCTTCCGCGGCATGAGCGGAAACAAGGGCGGCGTCAGTGTCCGCTTCGACCTATTTGATACGAGCGTGTGCGTGGTCGGCGCGCATTTCGCGGCTGGCGCGGGCAACACGGAGGAACGTAACAGCGACTATGCGAGTCTCGTGCGTGGCCTGACCTTCTCGCGCGGTCGCACCGTGGACGAGCACGACCACATTGTATGGATGGGCGACTTGAACTACCGCCTCGTGCACCCCAGCAACGAGGAGGTGCGTGAATTGTGCGCTGCACAGAAGTACAGTGTGCTGGCTTCAGAGGACCAGCTGACGCTGGAACGGCGCACGGGCGCCGTGTTTCACGGCTACGAAGAGGCACCGCTTACATTCCCGCCCACCTACAAGTACGACGTCGGTACGGACCTGTACGACACGTCCGAAAAGATGCGGCCACCCGCGTGGACGGACCGTGTTCTGTTCCGCTGCACAAACGCGCATCTCGGCATGGATGCACACGCGTATGGCAGTGCACAGAGCGTGCGCCTCAGCGACCACCGCCCAGTGTATGCGCTACTGGATGTGGACCTCTGCACGGTGGATCAAGCGGCGAAGGAGGCCGCATACGAGGAGCTGGTACGTGCGCGCCTAGAGGCGTCGGGGCAGGGCACCCCAGCGCCGAGCGAGCCATGGTGGCTCCGGGGCCCGCTCGACCCTGAGATGGGCGAGGATATCGCCGGCGATCCATGGGCCGATGCAGCTCCCGACGAGAGCGTGCGCCGCCGTGCGCCGCCGCCGCCGCCGCGCGGGGCGGCCGTGGACGACAGCGCTGCCCAGCCTGCCACACCAGCCCCGCCCGCCACGCCGAGAACGGCACCGCCAACGCCGCCGCGGCCGTCCAGAGCGTCGACGGAGTCTGCGTCGTCCGGCCTGGCTGCCTCGGCGCCGCCGCCGCCGCTGCCCCCGCGACCCATGTAAGTGGCCAATCACGTGGAGTGGGCGGTCCGTGTCCCGCGTGCCTGAGCGGGCCCGATCTGGCTTTAGAACCATGATCCGGATAGGCTCAGCGTGGCGTGCGCCGCTGCGTGCGGCACCGCTCGTGCGCGCGCGGACGTTCTCCTCGACTAGTGTGCGTGCATCCCTGTGGAAGAGTCGATGGGTGCGGTACCCAGTGTATGGCCTTGGCTCTCTTGCGTTTTCGGCCACGGCGGTGTTGGGCGGGCTGCTCATCTACGACTCGATGACGTACCACCGTGTGTTGGTGACCGACACGGACACGTCGCTGGAGCGTGCTTGTGAGTGGGGTGGTCCTGCAAACCGTCCGATCCTGTCGCGAGCCAACGCGCCGCCGGCGGATGGCCGCCCGCCGAAGGAGCGTCTTGTGATTGTGGGAGGTGGCTGGGGCGCTGTGTCCCTGCTCAAGTCGCTGGACCCTGATGTGTACGAGGTGACTCTGGTGAGCCCGACCAACTACTTCCTGTTCACGCCGCTGCTGCCGGCCGTGGCGGTCGGCACGGTGGGTGTGCGCTCGGTGACCGAGTCGCTGCGCCGCCTGCTCGCACGCACGCGTGGGCAGTTTGTGCAGGGCGCGGCCGTCAATGTGCATCCCCACGAGAGCCTGGACCGCCACACGCTCCAGGCGATGGACGGCGCGCGGGGCCTGCTGGAGGTCGAGCTGATTTCACCGCAGTGGGACGGCTCGGCGGACGGGGAGCGCAAGCCGAGCGATACCTCGGTGATGTACGTGCCGTACGACAAGCTGGTGATTGCGGTGGGCAGTGTGACGAACAACCACGGCGCGACGGGTCTCGAGCACGCGTTCCGCCTCAAGACGGTGCGTGATGCGCAACGCTTGCGCAAGCAGCTGCTGGAGAACTTTGAGATGGCGTCGCTGCCGACGACGTCTGACGAGGAACGCAAGCGTCTGCTGTCCTTTGTGGTGTGTGGTGGTGGCCCGACGGGCGTTGAGCTCGCGGCTGAGATCCACGACATGATCGAAGAGGACGTGTACAAGAACTACCCGTCCATCGTGGAGCGCGAGGCGCAGGTGCATGTGCTGCAGAACGAGACGCACATTCTGAACACGTATGCCGAGGCCATCTCCAAGTTTGCCGAGCAGCGCTTCCGCTCCGAGGACGTGGACGTTGTGACGAATGCGCAGGTGACGCAGATCCACCCCGACGGCGTGTCGTTTGAGCAGTTCAACCCACTGACCGGCGAGAAGTTCATGCGCACGATACCCTCGGGGTGCACCGTGTGGTCGGTCGGTGTGACGATGAACGACTTTACGCGCCGCCTCTCGACGACGCTGCCGAATCAGGGGCACCGCCATGCGCTCAAGGTCGACTCGCAGCTGCGGGTGCTCGGCACGGAGCCAGGCACCGTGTATGCGGTGGGTGACGCGTCGACGCTCGACTCGGACCTGAAAGGCTACATTTTCGGCCATTTGGACCGGTTCGACAAGGACAAAGACGGCGAGCTGACGCTGGCCGAGTTCACGCAGCTGATCAAGGTGCTGCGTCTCAAGTTCCCGATCGCAAACGAGCAGCTGCAGGGCATCAAGCCGCTGTTCGAGAAGTACGACTTCGACAAGAACGAGCGCCTGTGTGCTAACGAGCTCGCCGAGATGATTGCGGACGCAACGAAGAACATGACCTCGTACCCCCCCACCGCGCAGATTGCGTCCCAGGAGGGCAAGTACCTCGCGCACAAGCTGAACAGGTACGCGTCCCTGCGCGCCCGCGATGCTCTGCCACGTGATGCCGAGGACCTCGACGAGGCCATCCACAAGCCGTTCGTGTTCCGCAGCCTAGGAAGCATTGCCTATCTTGGCAATGCCGCAGCGTTTGAGCTGCCTATCCCTGGTCCGTTTAAGACATTATTCGGGGGTTTGATTGCCATGTATGCATGGCGCAGTGTCTACCTCTCAGAAATGGTGTCATTGCGCACGCGCGTGCTCGTGCTCGGCGACTATATTAAGCGCAGTTTGTGGGGTCGCGACGTGTTATGGCTCTAGGATTGTAGCCTGGTAGGTCATTGATTACACGGTTATCCTGCACGTCACTGCACGTGCATGCCAGTGAAAGTCGCGTTTATTGAGTAGGTACCCTCGTGACGGGCACTGTGCAAAGGCCGCCATGCTCGGCCCGCTGAGAAGCGCGCCAGAGTCCCATGGCGAGGAGGAAGGACTGTCGATTCCGCTAGAGAAGCGGAGTGACGATGCGGACAACAAATGGGTTGTTGAAAATACGCCAGAGGATGCATTCGATGAGCACCAGCAAGAGCGACTGTCCCACACCATGGACCCCGACTCGGGTGTGCGGCGCGGCCTCAAAAACCGGCATCTGAGCATGCTGGCGCTCGCGGGAATTATTGGCCCTGGTCTCCTTGTCGGTGCTGGGGGTGCCCTCTCGAAGGGTGGCCCCGCGTCCCTGCTCCTCGGCTTTGGCATCGTCGGCATCATTGCCTTTTGCGTGATGCAGTCCCTCGGCGAGCTCACGACGCAGTTTCCGCTTGGCGGTGCCTTTATCCAGCTGGGCGACCGCACGGTCGACCGCGCCTTTGGCTTTATTGTCGGCTGGAACTACTTTATCCTGTGGGTCACTGTGCTGGCGAACGAGTACAACGTGATTACCTCGCTGGTCACGGACTGGAGCGACAAGGTGCCGCAGTGGGGCTACTTTCTCATTTTCTGGTTCGTCTTCCTGGGGTACCAGATGCTCGGTGTCGAGAGCTTTGGCGAGGCCGAGTTCTGGCTCGGCCTCGCCAAGCTGCTTGGCCTCGCGGCCTACTTTATCTTCTCGATTGTATACGTGTCGGGCGGCGTCAATGGCGACGCCGTGGGCTTCCGATACTGGAACAACCCCGGCGCGTTTGGCGGCCACGGCTTCCGCGGCGTGGCCGCCGTGTTCGTGTTCTGCTCCACGTTCTATTCGGGCATCGAGTCCGTCGCCCTGGCGGCCACGGAAACACGCAATCCCCGCAAGGCCGTGCCGAGCGCGACGCGCAAGGTGTTCTGGCGAATCCTCTTTGTGTATGTGGGGAGCGCCTTTTTCTTTGGCATCACCTGCCCGGCCAACGCCAGCGGACTGATCAACGGGGCGAGCGAGATGCTGCAGAGCCCCATGACCGTCGCCATCCAGCAGGCCGGCTGGGAGAACGGCAAGCACCTCATCAATGCGTTTATCTTTGTGACGTGTTTGTCGGCCCTGAACGGCTCGGTGTACATTGGCTCGCGTACTCTCCTGTTTATGGCTCACGATAACAAGGCGCCCCCGCTGCTGCGATACACGAATCGCCGGGGTGTCCCGGTGTGGGCCGTGCTGTTTACAAACGCATGCGGCGCCCTCTCCATGATGAACGTCAGCACGGGCGCTTCAAAGGCGTATAACTACATCGTCAATGTGTCGGGCGTGTCGACGTTCCTTGTGTGGGCCTCGGTGTGCTTTATGCACCTGCGCTTCCGCACCGCTATGCGCGTGCAGCACCGCAGTGTCGACGAGCTGCCGTACTGTGCCTTTTTGTACCCGTGGACCGCGTACTTTGGCCTTTTTGCCAGCGTGTTTCTCGCGCTCGTCCAGGGGTGGACCACGCTGTCACCCTTTTCGGCAGGCGACTTTGTCGATGCATACATCATGCTTCCGCTCTTTCCCGTTGGCTTCTTGGCCTACAAACTGGTGTTCCGCACGCGCTGGGTGCGTGCCACGGAGATGGACTTGGACTCCGGACGCCGCTTCGACTTGGATGACGACTAATATAGACCCTAAGTCCGCTATAGGCAGTGGCAGGTCTACTGCTTGTAAATTAGCTTCTCTCCCGAAACCTGGCCGTTGCGCATGCGGTCGAGGCCAGCAAGGACCGCGTCGAAGCCGCCCGTCTGCAGCGTCGAGCGGTTCGGGCGCAGCGCGCCCGACGAGAGCAGCTGGAACATGAGACCGTTCTTGCCGCTGGCCATCTCCTGCATGTAGCGCATGTCCTCCTGGCAGTACGCCTCGTCGAATACGATCGAGAACATCTCCGTGCGCTCGCCCGAGGTGGTGTAGAGCAGCAAAAAGGTCGTCTTCACCTTGGGGTTCGCCTCGGCCACCGTCTTGGGGTTGAAAGGCAGCAGACACACAACCTTGCCGCCCTCCTTGCTCAGCGCACGAGCACACGCCTCCTGTGAGCCCTGCTCCGAGCGCGAGTCGAACGCGTACGCGAGGTCGGGGTGCGCCGCAGCAATCTTGGCGGGCGTCTCAGGGTCAGAGTAGTCGAACGCCTCCGCCGCACCCAGCGACTTGAGCCACTCGTGGTTCTTCGACGACGCCGTCACAATCACGTAGGCACCCGTCGCACGCGCAGCCTGGATGGCAAACTGGCCCGTCGACGACGCACCCGACCACACAAGCACCTTGAGCTTGGGGTCCACGTCCGGCAGAGGGCCGCGAGGCGGCACCGGCAGGCCGAGGTGCTTCGGCTGGAAGAGGCCGAACAGCGCAGTAAATCCACCAACACCCAGACCCGCGCCGTCGACGTCCGAGATCGAGTCAGGCACCGTCGTCACAGCGGACGGGTAGGTCACCAGGTACTCCGCAAAGGCGCCCATGCCGGGCGTGTGCCCACCGCGCACGCAGCCCGCGACACGCTCGCCAATCTCGACCGTGTTCCCGGCATTCGCATCCTTGTCGACCACCGTGCCAATAAAGTCCGAGCCGACGATCGCGTCCTTGATGCCAAAGTAGTCCAGGTGCTTCCAATCCGTGGGGTTCAGCGCGTTGGCCGCCACCTTGACGAGGATTTGGCCAGGGCCCGGCTTCGGCGTGTCGATCGTCTTGACCGAAGCGGCACTCTTGCCGTCGATGGTAAGGGCTTTCATCTGAGCAGGTACAGTGTGAGCAGACATGTTGTGGGAGGGGGCCCAGGGCGGCCGCCCTTCTTAAGGGTCCGTCCGCGAAGCCCCAGCGGTGGCGCGTCGGGTGTTTAGTCATCCTCCGCGGACCCCGAGCGAGTGGGACCCTGTACGATAGCGCATGACGCCGATCCCGACGCTGTGGTCGCTCCAGGCGCAGGCGGCGACCCGCGAGGTGCGCCGCCGTGCGCCACGTCACGCAGCGGACGCGACCGACGCCTATTCGTCAGACGATGAGGCAGAGCAAGGGCCGGTCGCCGGCGACGAGGCCGCGTGGCCGCCAGGCACGTCGCACCGTCCTGGCGCGCTGCCCAGCGATGTGTCGGCGCTCGCTGAGCAGGCCGAGGACCGTCGGTGGCTCCCCTCGACAAATGTGGTCGCGCGTGCTGGGTCCACACAGCACACCGCCGAGGTGGCCGCGCGGCAGCGCATCGAGCAGGAGGCGCGCCGCTCAGCCCGTGCCGAGCATCTGCCGTGGCGTGGACAGGCCGCCGAGGACGCGCGCCTCCTGCGCGTACTCAAAGGCCTCCCGCCGCTCGGCAGCACGGCGGATGCGGACCAGCTGAGTGACTGGGAAGACACGCTCGAGAACGCTAAGCTTGAGCACGTGCGCTTCGGCGAGCGCGATATTGTGCAGATCGGCCGCCGGCGCACACTCGCCGAGGAGGAGCTAAGCCACATGGACGACGATGTGCCGCCTGCGCTCGACCTGCTTGGCACGGACGCGCCGGCTCTGCTGGCCCCCGTCGCGTGGGATGGGAGCACGAGCGCCGAGCTCGACGCGGATATTACGCCCGGGTCCCTCGCATCACTCTCGCATACGAGCCTGCCTGTGCGTGTGCGCGCACGTCCGCACCTGATGGGGCCGCCCGACTCGCTGAGCGCGAGTCCCGCAGGGCCCAGAGCGCCGGCGCTCTGGGCTGCCGAAGGCCGCGCCGAATCCATGTACATGGACGGCGACTTGGACGGCGACCTGGACGACATGGATACATCGCGTAGCAGCTATATACCCTTTTAGCACGCCACGCCGAGCTGCGCGGCGATGCGCTCCACTACATAGCGGCGCGCGAGGGGGTGCATGGATGCATTCGCGCTCATCGCCTGGTCGGCAGCGAGCAGGGCCGCCGAGGACGGGGTCCGCGCCGCCTCCGGTGCCCGCAGCGACGGGTCATGCAGTGCCTGCCCCGCCTTGTAGGGCGTATAGTCGCCGGCCCGCACCTGTGCATCGAGCAGCGAGCGGACAACGGCCTTCCTCCCGGGCCCCGTGCCAAGCTCGACACCCTGGGGCACGGCGATCGGCGGCGCATACCGCACGAGAGGGGTGTGAGACCCGCCCAGCACACAGGCGCCGTTGCGCTGGAAGAACAGCTTGTTTGCGCGGTGCGTCTCCTTTTGGGTAAGCGGCGCACTCTTGAGCTCGCCGATCGGCACATCAGCACCGAGGCGCACCTTGGGCAGGGGCACCGCGGGGCGCCGGCTTGCCTCGCGGAAGAGCGGCTGGTCCCAGGGCGTCGAGGGCGTCAGCGCCTCGTCCAGCGCCGGTGCGGCCGGCTCGGCGGCACTACGGCGCGCCCGCTGGCCCTTGCCCATGTGGCGGCTAGGTGGCGCGCTCTGTCGCGCAGTCGCCGCGGTAGAAAAGGCTCGCAGCGTGCGCACACGCATCGTCGAAGAACGCAGCGCGAAGCCGCCGACGGCGGCCGTCGCGCCAAGGGCATTTTTGTAATTATCGGGCGAGCGTCCACGCCGCGGCCGCGGCCGGCGAGCGCTGCGTCGAGCGCGGGGCGTGCGAGCATGTCCGACACGACAACGCCGCAGCAGCTGGGCGACTGGGTGGACTCGCTGCTGACGCAAATTGAGGAGCGCTTTGAGGAGCGCAACAAGCATGTGGTGCAGCGCAGTACGTGGATTGTCTAACGCAGTGAACGATATGGCGGACCGCCTCGATGCGCTGGAGGCGTCCATCCAAGGTATGTCCAGGGCACTCACGCAGAACTGGTGCGTGGGTCGGATGTGAAGCCTGCGCCAACGGCCTAGTGTGCGTCGGGTCTGTGGTCTATCTAGCGGCGGCCAAACGTCACGCCGTAGCCGTACACGGGCTCGTCGCGTTCGAGCGCAGGCCAGCTGGTGCCCTGTTCCTTCTTCACGAGCACCATGTCCAGCTTCATCTTGCCGAGGGTGTACGACGACGCTGCCGCATCCACGTCGCCGAAGGGCTGCAGCGTGCGCTCAAATCGGCGCGCATGGGGCACCGAAGGCGTTGGCGCAAGCAGCAGGGACAGCACAACCTCGGACTCGCGGATTTCGATCGTGCTCTGCTCCGCATCGACGTTTTTGGCGTATACAGTGACACGCACGTCGGCGGGCGTCTCGTAGTGGTCCACGCGGCACGACACTTGTGCCTTGTCCGGCTCGGGCACGGCAAACAGGTGGCCATGCTCTGCCGTCGTGCACGGCTCGATCTGCAGAAAGTCGTCGAAGTGCAGGACGCGGCGCTTGCAGCACGTATAGCCCTTGGAGCCCTCGTGGAAGATCGGCGTGCCCCGGTGGTAGCGGCACGACTCGGCCGTCCGGTCGCGTGCTGGGATCGCTGCCTCCGCGACGAATCCGCAGCCTGGGCGGCGGCATGCCGTGCCAGCGGCGATGGACGTGAGTGTCTCGGGGTCACGCGGCTCAGGCGCAGGCTCGGTCGCCTTGGGTGGCGCGGGCGCTGTGCGCGTCTGGGGCGCGTCGCCGCTGAGCTGGATGGCGCTCAGCGACTGCGCCACCTGCTCGGGCTCAGCTGGCGCAGGCTTGCGCGGCTGCTCCGGCAGTGCCTGTGCCTCGTCCGTGTGCGCATCCGCGACGGCACAGCCCGGCAGCTGGAGGAACTGCTCAAAGTCCAGCACGGGCTTGTTGGTCGCCTGGCAGCAAGACCACGACTTGAGGCCTTCGTGGAAGACAGGCGCGCCGGGATGGTAGCGGCACGGGCCGGTCGTGCCGGGTCCCATCTCGCGGCCACACCCGCGTCGTCGGCACAGCACCATGGAAGACGACAGTAGCCTGGAAAAGGGGCGTTTTCTCTACCTCCACCCAGCTGCGTCGCAGCCACGCGGATCTGCCTGATGACGCCGCGCGCGTCGCCTGCGTCGGGCGCAGGCGCGGCGGTGCCGGCGCGCACGCCGTCCCTGCGGCGCTCGCACCTCGAGTCGCGGCGCATGACAGGCGACATGGACGTGCTCCTGGGACGCGGGACACGCGCGCCCCAACCCCGTACGTGCCTGAGACTCACCCCAGCGGGCCCATTTCTGCCGCCAGACACGCCGATCATACTTGGCGAACGCGGCACGACGAGTGTGGGCGACGACGAGCGCATCCGTGCGATCCTAGCATTCCTCTCTGACCCCGACAAGGCGCGCCGGTGCGCCGAGACCCAGCTGATCGAGACGCCCGATTTCCAGTCGGCCGATGAGCCGGCCGTGCGGACCAAGACGCGCGGGGCGTCGGCGCCCGTGGTACGTGCATGCGTCTCACAGCAGGACGACACATCGGACGAAGCATACGAACAGCTACACAGCAAGTTTGAGCGCGCCGAAAAGCGGCTGCGCCGGCTCGAGAAAGAGGGCCTCGTCCGCGATCGGCGGCATATGGTCGAGCAGGTGGCACGCCTCGAGACGATGGATGTGCACAAGCTGCTGCCTGCTCTCGAGGCGCGCGAGGCCGAGCTGAGTGGCACCGAGCGGCGCCCGCGCGAAGCGATCCTGGCGTGTGCCCAGCACATGCAGCAGGAGCTTCTCGCCGACGCGCGCGAGACCCTCGCACGTTATGACAAGCTGCTACCTGACCATGCGCGCGGCGACAGGCCCCCCTCGAAGCGGCCCCTGCCCCACCCATCGGTCGAGCCGCGCAGGAGCCGCGGCGAGCAGCGGCAAGCGCGTGCGCGGCGCGCTGAGGACAGTGACGCCGGCTCCGCGGGCGCCACCGGACGTACGGGCCCGTCGCTCGCGGCACTCGCTGTGCCGGCCGCCGAGGACGCGGCGCGCTCGCACGGCGCGCGCAACTCGGCGCGCACGCGAGCCACGAGTGCGTTTGGCGAACGCCTACCCGACTATGTGGCCCGCCGCGCGGCCTTTGATGATACCATGGCGCCGTGGATCGAGGCGGCCGCGGCGGAGCGGTGCCCATAATTCCCCTACTCCACCGACGCCCTAGTTGCCTGTAGTGATGAGCGAGGCGGACGCGGAGAAGCCAGCGCAGCTCGCGCTGTCGCTCGCGCTCGTCGACTCGCTGAAGCCTGCGAAGGTGTTCAAGGAGTTCGTGCAGCCGGACCACAAGGTGACGAGTCTGGACTACGACGATCGCGGCGAGCTGTGCGTGACGGCGTCGGACGACGAGACGATCCAGCTGTACAACTGCCGCAGCGGCAAGTGCGTAGTCGAGCTAACACAGGCATATCAAGACGCTCTACAGCAAAAAGTATGGCGTGCACCTCGCGCGCTTCACGCACCGGTCGTCGGCGATCGTGTATGCGTCGACGAAGGAAGACGGTACGTGGCCGCCGCTCACGCAGACACGGTGCGGTACCACTCGCTGCACGACAACAAGTATCTGCAGTACTTCCGCGGGCACAAGCGCACGGTCGTCTCGCTCGCCATGTCGCCGGTCGACGACACGTTCCTGTCGGCGGCGGTCGACGACTCGGTGCGGCTATGGGACCTGCGCAGCCCGGCGGCGCAGGGCCAGCTGCGCGTGCAGGGCCACCCGGTCGTGGCGTACGACCCCAGCGGCCTCGTATTTGCGGTGGCGATCAACGAGCGGTCGGCGGTCCTGCTGTATGACCTGCGCAAGTTTGACCAGAACCCGTTCCTGACGATCACGATCGACGATACCGTGGCGCTCTCGCAGGTGACGATGCCGCCACGCATTCCCGTCATCACACACCTGAGCTTCAGCCAGACGGGCCAGCATCTCCTCGCAGGCACATCGGGCGACGTACACTATGTGCTCGATGCCTTCTCCGGCAAGCTGCTGTACCGCCTCGTGGGCCACGTCGGCCTCGAGCGCGCGGACGGCGCATCCATCGGACTCGTGGCGTCGGCTGGCATCAGCGGCCAGGAGCTCTGCTGGACGCCCGACGGCCAGATGGTCATTGCCGGCTCGGCGAACGCGCAGCTGTGTGTGTGGTCGATCCCGGCGTCGCCACCCGCGGCGCCCGTGACACTGCAGCCGAGTGCGATCCTGAATGGCCAGGAAGGCACGCCGCGCGTCGTGGCATTCAACCCGCGGTGCGCGCAGCTCAGCACGGCCGGTGCGCAGGTCGCCTTTTGGCTGCCGGACCCAGCGACATAGAGCCGGTAGCCCTGCCCTCCACCACCATGCTCCGTGCCGTGGCGGTTCGTGGACGCCCCTGGCGCGCTGTGGCGCGCTACTCGACGAGTGCGCCGCAGGTGTATGCGAGCGCGAGCGAGGTTCCCCTTGTGCGCACGGACTTTGACGCCGAGAAGCGGATCTGGACGCTGCAATTTCTGGGCCAGGAGACGCCGGACCACCGCCTGACGCACGCCATGATCCAGCAGGGCCTGCTGCCGGCCCTGCGCGATGTGCGGAGGCAGTGGGAGCAGTGGGTCGCGGCGCATGCGATGGAGCCGGGCGCCGCGCTCGTCACGACGGCCCCGGTCGACAGCAAGTTCTTTTCGAACGGCCTCGATCTGCCGAACGCGATCCGTGACCGCTACTTCTTCAACGACTGCCTGAATGCGCTGATACGCGAGTTGCTCACCTTCCCCATCCCCACTGTGGCCGCCGTGACGGGGCACGCGTTTGCCGCGGGGTGCGTGCTCGCGCTCGCGCACGACTACCGCGTGATGAACGCGCAGCGCGGCTACCTGTGTATGAACGAGATCGAGTTCGGCGCGCCGATCCCCCGCGGCATGCTCGGCGCGATCCAGTCGGTGGCGACGAAGGCTGCGCAGCGCAAGCTCCTGCTCGAGGCGCACCGCTTCACCGCGGCGGACGCCGAGGCCCACGGGCTCGTCCATGCGACGGCGCAAGGGACGGAGGCAACGCTGCACAAGGCCGTCGCCCTCGCCGACCAGGTCCGCTCGCGCGCAGCTGCGGGCGCGTGGCAGAGCATCAAGGAGGCGCTCTACGCCGACGCGCTCGCGATGCAGTACGAGCCACCATGCGCCAAGCCGCCCCTGGCCCTCTAGCCACGTGGACCGGCGAGGGGTGCCCCGCAGGGAGCCGGTGCTTGCCTCATAGTCATGCCCACAGAAACGGTGTACCGCAGTTCCGAGGACCAGACGCCGCTTGTGCGGAGCGTGCTGCACGAGCAGGAGCACGTCTGGGTGCTGTATCTTACGGGCCAGCAGACCAAGGACAACCGCCTGACGCACGCGCTGTTGCGGGACGGCCTGCTGGCGGCGCTGCGCGACGTGCGGCGCCAGTGGAACGAGTGGGTCGAGCACGAAGAGGTCGGCGAGGGCGCCGCGCTGATCACGTCTGCGGAGCTCTCGTCGAAGATCTTCTCGAATGGACTGGACCTGTTCAATGCGCTGAAGGACCCGCACTTCTTCAACGAGTACCTGAACCCTGTGTTCGCCGAGCTGCTGACGTTCCCCATCCCGACCATCGCGGCGATTGGCGGCCACGCGTTCGCGGCGGGCTTCACGCTCGCGCTCGCGCACGACTACCGCGTGATGAACGCGCAGCGCGGCTACCTGTGCATGAACGAGATCGAGTTTGGCGCGCACATTCCCCGCGGCATGCTCGGCGCGATCCAGTCGGTGGTCAAGTCGTCGACGCTCATGCGCAAGATCGTGCTGGAGGGCCACCGCTTCCCTGGCAGCGAGGCACTGCAGGCAGGCCTCGTCGACGCCCTGGCCGATGGCCAGGAGGGCACGCTGCGCCGCGCCTTTGAGCTCGCCGGGCAGGTCAAGTCGCGCGCCGCGAAGAATGCCTGGCAGGTGAACAAGGAGCTGGTACACCGCGAGTCGCTCGCGATGCAGTTCGAGCCGCCGCGCGTGTCCAAGCTGTAGACAGGTAGCCTGCCCTGTAGTCTATACACTAGGCGGCCGCCTCCTCCGCCGGCTCGTCGTCCTCGGGGCGCCGCTCGCTCAGCCACACAGGCGCACGCCACACGCGCCCACCCAGCGTGAGAATCTCGCGCTGCGCCGACCGCCAGGGCCGCACGCGCTGCGCCGTATTGAACTTCTCGACAGGCGCCACCGCCGGGATAAAGTTGGGCACCTTGGCGAGCGGCAGCAGGCTGGGCATCTCTTTGGGCCCCGGGATCGACGGGTACCGGAATATGGCGTCCGGCGAGTTTTGCGTCACCTTGATCGTGCTGCTGCGCAGGGGCCCCGACGGCGCGGGCGCCACCGCCTGCGCCGGGCTCCCTGAGCTCCGTGCGCGCCGCGGCGCCGACTCTGCCAGCTTGGAAAAGCTGGACGGCGTCGTCGGGTGCACAGTCTGGTGCTGCGGCAGGTCCGCCGTCGACAGGTTCGAGCCGGGCAGGCGGTACACGGGCTTCTGGCCCTTCGATAGGCCCTTGCGCCAGCCGCGCCCCGGGCCCGGCGCACCCCGCGTCTTGAGGCCTTTGCGCCGCTTGGCCGACGGCAGCGCGTCCAGCTCCTCGAGCGTGAGCGTCGCGGCCACCGCAGAAATCGAGCCGGTCGGCGGCGCGATGCGCTTGGTCTTCCTCTTGCCCTTCTTCTCATCACCGGCCGGCGCCGGGCTCTCGCCGTCCGCCGCCGCAGAGAGCGACTCGTCAGCGAGCTCGTCGTCCGAAGCGTCCTCAGTCACCATGTCACTCTGCATCGACTCGTCCGGCTCGTGCACCTCGGCCTTCGGGGCCGCAGGCGGACTCTCTGAAGAGCTCGGCGCTGGCGCAGCCGCACTCGACGACGGCACACGCAGCCGCACCTTGAACGACGACATGCGGAGGAAAGAGCTACACGGGTCTACCACCTTAGCGCCGTCCTAGTGTGGAGGCCGCGGGCCCTACGATCGGCTCGGCGCCCGCGGCCGCCGTNGCGCGCGAGAGGGCGGCGCACGCGCCGCGCGCACCGGCGCGCGAGGGCCCGTGCATGCCGAGCGCTCGCGCGGTCGTGCCGGCGTTCTAAGGCGGCGGCCAGGTCGCACAGCAGGGCGCGGTACACGGGCGGACGGGGCCCAGGCACGCGAGGCAGCGCCAGGTCCGCCATGTGCCACAGGGCGCGCGAGTCCATCGCCGTATTCCACTGCGTTGCGGTGCGCACGAGAAGCTGCAGCGTCGCCAGGTCGGGCCGCAGCGCGTACGTGTCCACAAGGCGCGATACGTGCGCCAGCAGCGCGTGCACCACGGCACTCGACGGCACGGCTGGCGGCCCATGCATACACGGCATGCGCTCCCGCAGCTGCAGCGCGCGCGTGTGGTCGGGCGCGGGTGGCGACGGGCGCTGTGCGGCAGCCCGCAGCACACACTCGTACATGTGGCTCAGCAGCGTCCGGCGCTCGCTCTGGCCGTGTGTCTGCGCGGCTTGCAGCACACTGCGCAACATGGCATAGAGTGCGGCTGTGCCATGCGCGACCAGCACGCTCGGCGCGCGCCGCTCCGCCAAGCGCATCGCCAGGCTCAGCCGGCCCGCCGCGCTGAGCGTCTGTACCACAAGCAGCGCGGCCTGCGCGCGCAGGGCATCAGGGACGGCATCGAGCTGCTCGAGCGCGCGCCACTCGTGCCACGCAGCCCTTGCGCTCGCCCGCGACGCATGCACTCGTAGGCGTGCGAAGTGCGTGTGCAATTGTGCTAGCAGCGGCCCGAGGCCGCTGCGCACGTCGTCCCACACAGCCCGCGTCGCAGCGCCCGCCTGCGGTGATGGCTCCTCGTCCAGGTAGAGTAGCAGGGTATGCAGCATGGAGGGCGTGCGCCAGGGCGGCGGCAGGGCCATGACCAGCATGGCTGCGTCCGGTGCCGCGCCGTGGCGGGTCGCGACGCGACGCACGACCTCGGCGAGCTGTGGCGCGAGGGTGGGGCCGCCTCGCACGAGGGGCGCACATACGCGCGCCCATGGCGCCATGTGTGTATGCATGTGGCGGCGGCTGAGCTCGCGCAGCACGCCCAGGAACACACGCTCGTCCACAGCGCCACGCCGCTGTGCCACCGTGGCCAATCGCTCGCATGCTTCTCGCAGAGCGGCGCGCGGCGAATGCGTCGGCTCGCTAGTGAGCGGCGCAGCAGAGGGTGTGCGTAGCGCCTGTAGGAGCTGGCGTAGCATATACGTCGTCTGCGACGGCCGCAATCGCGCGTCACCCAGGAGCTGAGCCGCGGCAACGAAGCGCTGGCCCTGGAGCTGGGCGGTAAAGGCGCGAAAGAGCATTGCGCGGCGGAATGCAAGAAGCGGCGGCGGCACGCCCGCTGGCGGCTGCGCCTGCACCGTACACAGCTGCTCGAGGCGCGGTAGGGGCACGCGCGCCCGCAGCGCCGCCTCCAGCAGGACACACTGCAGCTCCTCGCGCTTGTGCACGTGGTCGACCCACGACGGCACCGGCGCACACGCTGCAACGACCTGCTCGAGTGTGCGTGTGGTGCGCGCCATCAGACGCATGGCATCGCGCAAAAAGGCGCGGTACGCGGGCCTGGGCAGCGTCGGCGTCCACAGGGTCGGCGTCGGCGCCGGGGCCGCACGGGCGCGCAGACCCGCCACCTGACGACCCAGCACGATGCTACCCGGCCATGGCGCACGCCCACCGACGAATGGCTGCGTGCGTGGGGCCGCCCATGCGTGCATGCGTCGCTGGCGCGCGCGGTGTGGGGCGGAGGACGACGCTGCTGCTGCTGCTGCATCGAGTCACGTGATATTATAGCCGCCGTTTTCTTCTTCGTACGGAGCGAGGCGGCTTGCCATCCCCCTTTAAACATCCTTTCAACCCGCTTGCGTGGTGATAGGAAGGGCCTCTTGTAACTAAGACTTGACGAATTGCTAGTATGGGTGCGAACCGTTCTTCGAAGGAGGCTTGGTTCTCCAAGCTCAACGAGCTGCTCGACGAGTACGAGTCGATCTTTGTGGTGAACATTGACAACGTCACCTCGCAGCAGATGCACCAGATCCGTCAGGCTCTGCGTGGCGAGGCCACGGTGCTCATGGGTAAGAACACCATGGTGCGCCGCGCCCTGCGCCAGGTGATCGCGGAGCGCCCCGAGTTCGAGCGCCTGATGCCGTTCGTGCGTGGCAACGTCGGCTTCGTGTTCACCTCGTCGGACCTGAAGGACGTGCGTACGAAGATTCTCGACAACCGTGTGGCCGCGCCTGCCCGTGCTGGTGCCTACGCGCCCGTCGACATCTTTGTGCCCGCCGGCAACACGGGTATGGAGCCCGGTAAGACCTCGTTCTTCCAGGCCCTCGGTGTGCCCACCAAGATTGCCCGTGGTACGATTGAGATTGTCTCGGACGTGAAGGTCGTGGAGGCTGGCAACCGTGTCGGCACTTCGGAGGCTACGCTGCTGAACCTGCTGAACATCTCGCCGTTCACCTACGGTATGACCGTCGTGCAGATCTTCAGCAACGGCAACGTGTTCGGCAGCGACGTCCTCGACGTGAGCGAGGAGGAGCTGGTGGGCCGCTTTGTCAGCGGTATCCAGCAGGTCGCGTGCGTGTCGCTGGCCCTCAACTACCCGACGCTCGCCTCGGTCATGCACTCGCTGGTCAACTCGTACAAGAACGTGCTGGCCATCTCGCTCGGCACCGAGTACGAGTTCGAGGGCTCGGCCAAGCTCAAGGAGATGCTGGCCAACCCCGAGGCCTTTGCGGCGGTCGCGGCGGCGGCTGCCCCGGCCGCGCAGGCCGACGCCCCGGCGGCCGAGGAGGCCAAGGCCGAGGAGCCCGCTGAGGAGTCGGACGACGACATGGGCTTTGGCCTGTTCGACTAAGCGCATCCGCGTCGCCTATAGTGCATAGAGACAGATCTTTTGCGCTACCTAGAGCGCGATCGCGCCGCCCGTTGCGAGCAGCAGCGTCGCCGCCAGCGTCAGCACCGTGAGGGTCGACATGCGCACGGTACCCGTCGCCGCGTTATCGGGCATGACCGTGCTGGTCACCACGACGTTGTCGCTTGTATAGGTCTTGGTATCAAACTGGACCGACGTGGGCGGCGGCACAGGCGTGCTGGACGCCGGGTTCGAGCCCGCCGCGTACGCCTGGCTCGCCCCGGCTGCGGCCACGGACGAGACATACGAGCTTGACGCACGCCCATTGTTCAGCGTCACTACGCTCCGCGACGACGGCGACGAGATCGCCGAGCCATATGTCTCTGTCTTGGCGGTGTTCGGCCCCGATGTACTGTGGTCAGGCATCAGCGGCGTACCAGTCGCCAAACTGCACGCACGCCGACTGGCCATTCATGCTGGCGGGCGGCGTGGAAATCGACGGAAATGGCGTTGGATTCGTGCTTGCACCCTGCGCGTGCACGCCCAGGCCCCAGCCTAGCAGCGCTAGGACCACGCCCGCCCAGACAAGGCGCGTCCCCATCGTAGGCTCGGAGCGGTGAGAGAGTGGGGTGGAGCACGTGGCCGTCGTCGGGGGCGATGATGCTGACCAAGCAGGTGGAGCCACAAAAATGCGCAGGTCCCGAGCGCCGATGACCTTGCAGGGGCGGGCCCCGAACGGGCCACCTCTCTCCCACCATGCTGTCGCTTAGCGTAGACCCGGACCAATACCTTAAGCTTGCGCAGGAGGAAGAGTCCACTCGTGCAATGGTCAAGGCGCGGAGGGATGACCAGGGGGTGCCCGTGTACCACCACGCGCATGCCGGTCGCTACGGCACGAAGCCGATCCCCCAGTACTCGTTGCCGGAGGAGGGCCTGTCGGAGCGCGAGACGTACCAGCTGCTGAAGGATGAGCTGCTGCTTGATGGCAAGCCCAGCCTGAACCTGGCCTCATTCGTGCACACGTGGATGCCCGAGGAGGCGACGCAGCTGATGATGGACACGATCGGTGTGAACCTGTGCGACCAGGACGAGTATCCCGCGACGATGTCCATCCACGCACGCTGCGTGACGATTCTGTCGAACCTGTGGAAGGCGCCCAAGTCGCAGAACCGCGATGGCCGCAGCCTCGCGGCGCTGGGCACTGCGACCACCGGCTCTTCGGAGGCGATCATGCTCGGCCTCTTGGCCGCGAAGCGCCGCTGGCAGGCGAAGATGAGGGCGCAGGGCAAGGATATCCACCACCCCGGCCCGAACCTGGTGTTTGGAGCGAACGTGCAGGTGGCTATCGAGAAGTTCGCGCGCTACTGGGAGGTCGAGGAGCGCGCGGTGCCCGTGTCCGCCGAGAGTCACTACTGCCTGGACCCGAAGAAGGCCATGGAGATGGTCGACGAGAACACGATTGCCGTGGTCGTGATCCTCGGCTCGACGTACACCGGCCACTACGAGCCGGTGGAGGAGATGGCCGAGCTGCTCGACCAGTACCAGGAGAAGACGGGCATTGACGTCCCGATCCACGTCGACGGCGCGTCGGGCGCGATGGTCGCGCCGTTCGCGACGCCGGGGCTCAAGTGGTCGTTCGACATCCCCCGCGTGGCGTCGATCAACACGTCCGGCCACAAGTTCGGCATGGTGTACCCCGGCATCGGCTGGATCATCTTCCGCTCGAGCGAGCTCGTGCCGAAAGAGCTGGTGTTTGAGCTGCACTACCTCGGCTCGGTCGAGTACTCGTTCAGCCTCAACTTCTCGCGCCCGGCCGCCCCGATGATCGGCCAGATGTTCAACTTCATCAGCCTCGGCCACCAGGGCTTCGTCGCAACGATGGAGGCCAACCTGATGAACGCACGTCTCCTCTCGCGCGCGCTCGAGCTCAGCGGCCTGTTCGTCGTCGTCTCCGACATCCACCGTCCCGCCAAGAATCAGGTGGAAGTGACCACCGAGGCGTCCAAGTACATGCCGGGCCTACCAGTCGTTGCGTTCCGCTGGACGGACGACGTGCACAAGGAGTTCCCCCACATGGAGCAGCACAGCCTGCAGGTGCGTCTGCGCGCGAAGGGCTGGATTGTGCCGAACTATGAACTGCCCCCGTCTCTCGAGAAGATGGAGATTCTGCGCGTCGTCGTGCGCGACAGCATGACCGAGAACATGGTCGATGTGCTTGTGCACGACCTGATCGCCATGACGCGCGATCTCATGGAGGAGCAGAAGCGCATGCACCACTACGACGTCGCGGACGCCCTCGAGCTCGCGCGCGACATGCGCCACAAGGCCAAGATCTCGGGCCACCGCCACAACAGCCGCCACTCGCGCCCCGTGGGCCTTGGCGCGCCAGCCAGGGGCCACAATAGCCAGTGCTAGTTTATAGCGGCCCCGTCATATCGGCGACCTACTGTCAGTTTGTGGTACGTACCACCGGAACATGATCGCTCGCACCGTAGATGTCATGGCGGATCTCACACGATTGGACGCGCGGGAGCGCTTTGCGCGACACGATGAACGAGTCAATGCGCCAGCCTGCACCGCGTGCACGGCAGTTGCCGCGCCAGCCATAATACGTGTAGTGGCCGATCGCGTCAGGGTGCAGCTCGCGCCATGCATCACACATGTCGTTCGTCGCGAGCACGCGGCGGTGCGCATCGCACTCGGCTTGCGTGTATCCGGCCGACTTGTTCCACTTCTTCGTCGCGCCTGCGAGGTCGCGGTCGTCCCACACGACGTTCAGGTCACCACACCACACGATATCCTTGTCCCGGGGGAGCGACGCCAAGTGCTTCTCGAGCGCCGCATTCCACCGGTTCTTGGTCTCGAGCGTCTTGAGGTTGTCGCCCGCATTCACCGCATACGTGCCGACGACAACGGTGCGCGCAAACTCGACCGTGAGCAGGCGCCCACGCGAGCTCGGGTCGTCAAAGCCCGGCAGCCCATACTGTACCTGCGCCGGCTTGATCTTGGAGAGCACAGCTATGCCCGCATACCCCTTCTTCTCGCCAATACCCCAGTACTGGTACGGATACATCGTGTCGATGCCCGCATGCGAGGGCTTCTCGTTCACCTTGGTCTCGGACAGCACCGCTACATCTGGGTCCTCGGCACGCAGGTACCGCATGAAGCCCTTGGTATCCGAGCTCTTGAGAGACGTGATATTCCATATCATCAGACGCACATGCGCTTCGTCGCGCGGTGCCAGCTTGAGCGCACCCGTCGGCAGCTGCGCATTCCTTGGCACCCACTCAGGTGCCGTGTGGTCCTGGCCCGACGGCGCAGCCGGTGACGGCGCGGCAGCTGCAGGCGCACTCTCCGAGGCGCGTACCTTTTTGCTGCTCGCTGCTGCTGTGCTCGACGCTGCGCGCTTCACCATAGCCACCCCCGGTGCGCGTGCTCGGACGACCGTGCGGAGCATCACGCGCGGCGCGGCGCGGCGCGGCGCCACGCACGATGCTGAGTCAGCACACTCTCGCGCACCGCTGGCGTGTCGCGTCGCTCGACGCGATCGCCGCGAGATGCGGCGGCCTGGCGCGCACGACATGGACGAGGACGAGATGGAGACCCTCCTTGAGATGGAGCGGGACATTGAAAATGAGAGACGTGTCCCAGAGCCGCCCCTCTTTTTCGATATGGACGACGAGCCTCTTGATGTCAGCGTCCAGGCGCCGAGCGCCACACCGCTTGACCCGCCTTCTAGCGTCGATCCGACGCCCCTCGCAGCTCCAGACATGCTCCAGACGCTTTCTGCGCCTATTTCCATCGATCCTACTGCGCACATTCATGCGCTGCCCGCAGACGTGCCGGGCACTTCTCGTGCGGCGGCGCGCGCGGCGCCCGCGCTCGACAAGTACGTCCCTGCTGCGCCGCTAAGCGCTGTGCGCATGGACGGCTCGCCCATCGTTCTCCGCCGGCGCCGGCGGCATGCGGCGTGGCGCCCTATTCCATCGCGCACCTCGACGGCGCCGCTCCTCGCGGAGCCGCTCGACGTGCTTCTTCAACGCGCGCGCGCACCGCTCGCACCGAGCCCCGAGACGACTGCACGCCCGCCGCCGCTGCCAAGCACCGATTCGCGCATGTGGGTCGACAAGTACCAGCCGCGCGCCTTTGCCGAGCTGCTCGGCGACGATCGCGTCCACCGTGACGCTTTGCGGTGGCTCAAGACGTGGGACCCCTGCGTCTTTCAACGTGCCGCGCCGCCCTCGCGCGCCCCTGCGTGGGCGGAGGAGCGCGCGCCAGATCCGTACGGCCGCCCCACGGAGCGCGTGCTCCTCGTGGCCGGTGCGCCAGGCCTCGGAAAAACGACGTTGGCGCACGTTGTTGCGCAGCACGCGGGCTACCGCGTGTACGAGCTGAATGCAAGCGATGCACGTACGGCGAACGACGTACACACTCGTGTGCGCTCGGCGCTCGAGTCGGACAGTCTGCGTGGCGGTGGGAAACCGACGCTCGTGGTCATTGACGAGATTGACGGCGCCACGGGCGGAGGCAGCGAGGCCCTCGGTGCGTCAGGCTTTGTGCGTGCGCTTGTGCGCCTCCTCGAGGACGGCCGCGGCACTTCGCGCGGCAAGGCACGCGCGCGGCCGCTGCTCCGCCCGATCATCTGCGTGTGCAACGACTTGTATGCGCCGGCGCTGCGCCCCCTGCGCCCTCTCGCGCGGGTGCTGCGGTACCACCGCGCGCCGACCCCCGTCGTCACGCGCCGCCTGCGCGATATCTGCGCGCGAGAGCAGCTGCCCGCCGAGGCACAGGGCCTCTCGCTGCTGTGCGAGCTTGCCCACGGCGATCTGCGCGCGTGCCTGCATGCGCTTGAGCTGCTCCACCGCCAGGGCGCCGCGGTGCGCGTGGACGCGGTGCGCGAGGCGTCGCTCGGCATCAAGGACAGCGTCGTGCCGCTGCAGCGGGTGTGGGCGCAGCTATTCTGCGGCGTTGATCGCGCGCGTCTGGGCACGCCGTCCACGGGCGCTGCGACGCAGTCGCTCGTGCATGAGCTGACCCTGTTCGCCGAGTACGAGCGCCTGCTGCTCCACTGCTTTGAGCACTACCTGCACCTGCGCGTGCCGGACCAGGGCTGGCAGCGGTACGCCGACGCGCACGACTGGCTGCACCTCGCGCAGTGCCTCTTGCACCATGCGTGGGGCGGCGGTGGGCACAGCCATGGCACGGCATTTGAGCTGCTGGGCTTTGTGCCGTGGACGCTGGTCGGGTGGCACCGCCTCTTTGTGCATCGCGCGAACCCTGTGCCGGAGCAGGCGCCGCGTACGGACTATGAGATGCATCTGCGTGAGAAGGAGACGCACGAGGCCATCGCCGCGCTGCACGCACATGTGCCGGCGGCCCACGCGCCGTTCTACGATCGCCGCACGCTCGCCTCCGAGGTGGCGCCCGCACTCACGCGCATCCTGAGCCCCGACCTCCGGTGGGCCGCGCAGGCCGCGACGCCCGAGAGCCAGCCCGCGCTGGCGCAGCTCGTCGACACGATGCTGCTCTATGGGATGCAGTTTGAGCCAGAGCGCAACGAGCACGGCGCGCTCGTGCACCGCCTGCAGCCCTCGCTCGATGTGTTTGCGCAGTACGAGGGCATGCCGTGTGACGTCGGACCGCCGCGGCACGGCGCGCGGCCCCTCGTGCAGCGAGCGCTCGAGCTCGAGCAGCAGCGNCGGCCCTGCACGACTTCTTCGGGCGCCCGGTGCCGCCGCCCGACACGCCCGCGCAGGGGGGCGCTGCGCCTGGGGCGGCGCCGCTGCGCGTCTTTTACCGGTACCACGAGGGGTACTCGAATGCTGTGCGCAAGTCGATTCCGCTCCGTGCGCTACTGTGATCAAGCGATGTCCATGCCGGCCTGCGCGAGCGCCACCGCCATATCGCGCTCGAGGTACGAGGCGACCGCCACGGTGTCCGCCAGACCCTTGCGGCGGCGCATCTTGAGCACGAAATCACGTGCGAGACCCAGCGGCGGCGCCGGCTCGAGCGGGCGCAGCGGGACGGAGGTGTCGTTCGGGTCGCCTGGCACGACGGCCCAGTGGTCAAACATCTGTAGACAGAATGCCTGGCCCTGCGTCATGACACGCAGATCCGTCTCAAAGCCACTCGCGTCCATCGCCGGGAGCAGTGCATGCACCGTGACGAGCGGCGTGCCGGCCTTGGGCACCTCCTGCGTCACGTGCCCGCGGCGCCGCGCGAGCAGCGTGTAGAGAGCGCTGACGCCCTCGGCGGGCGTTTGGATCTCGGCGAGGAAGATCGGCTCGAGGAGGCGCGGCGCCGCGAGCAGGAAGGCGGCGTACGTCGCACGGCGCGCCGTGGGAATCAGCTGCCCACCGCCGCGCTGGATCGGCTCCGCGGCAATGCTCGCGTGCGTGAGGCGGATCTTGACGCCGCGCATCGGCTCGTCGCACAGCGGCCCCTCGCGCGTGGCCCACTGGAAGCCCTGCCGGATGTGCTCGCGCACCGCGTAGAGCTGCGTCTTGTCGACCTCGTCGGGCAGCGTGTCGTCCACGAGCACGTTCGGCCCGTGCTCGTCCGGCCCAAACGCCCACACCGAGCGCGCGGCCAGCTTGTCCCAGCCGTAGCGCTCTTCCAGCACACGCGCGAGCGTCCGCGGCGGGAGCCGCACGTCGAGACGACCCTGCTCGAGGTCGTCCGCGAGCGCCGGCTCGAGCGGCTCGGCGACCAGCGTGAGTCGGTTCTGCTGGTTCGGCGTGTTCGCGTAGCACTGCACGGCGCTCGTCTCTATCACCGTCTCACAGAACCGCACGACAGGATCGCTGATCTTGATCTCCATGTCCGCATACAGGCACCGCAGGTCGTGCATCACACAGTCCAGGTACAGCTCGCCCGTGCCCAGCAGCGTGTGCTCCCCACTCTCCTCGACGCGCGTAGACACGAGGGGGTAGCACTTGTTCACCTTGCGCAGGCCATCGAGCATCTTGGGCAGCTCGGCAGGGTGTAGCGGCTCGATCGCCACCTTGAGCACGCTCTCTGTGAGGTGCTGCACAGGCTGCAGCACAAACGTCTCGGGCACCGGCACGTCCACGCCGCAGATCGTCGCGGCCTTGGCGATGGATGCGTCGACGCCGCTCAGCAGCACCCAGTTGCCGGCCGGCACACGCGCCGCCGCGACCGTGTACCGCGCGCCCGGCAGCGCCACGCCCTCGACGGTCGCGAGCGCCATATCCTCCTCGTCGTCGGGCGCGTATGACGGGCCCAGCACCTTGACCGACGCGCCCTGCACAACAGTACCACTCAGCACGCGACCCAGCGCGCGGAACGCCCGCGCATCCGCGGTCGGGTACAGCTTCGCCACGTGCACGAGCAGGGGGCCCGCGGCGTCGCACCGCGCCGCGGCCGTGCACAGCAGGCCGTCGGACGGGCCCGTGCAGGTGCGCGCCTGCCACGCAGCGCCCTCCGTGGGGCTCGGCAGGTGTGTGACGACCATATCGATAAGGCCCGACGCGCGCCCGAGGAAGCGGTTCAGCACGAGCTTCAGCAGGGGGCGCACGCCGATCTTGTAGGCGGCGGCCGGCAGCTGGATCTGCAGCGTCGCGAGAGTGCGCCGCAGTGTATCGGTATCGGCGCTGAGCACGAGGCTGTACAGTTTGTACAGCGGCTCCAGCACAAACTGCACGAAGCTGCGCTTGGCGTCCGCGTGCGGCGCATGGCGCGTAAAGGTGCGCTTGGACGCGTCGTAGTAGATGTGGCCCCACAGGCGCTGCGCGAACGCGGCGGTATCCACGGGTACGCGCTCCGCGTAGAGCTGCGCGAAGCTCTGCAGCGTAAAGCAGTAGCCGACCTGCGTACTTGCAAACGCCACGTTGCCGCGCTCGGGCGCAAAGCGCAGGCCAGGGTCGCCGCTGGCCTCGCCGACGATGCGATTCACCTCCTCGATCGTGTGCTGCAGCTTGAAGTACGCCTCGGCCGGCGGGAGGCGCAGCTCGAGCACGAGGCGGTCGATCTTGTTCACGACCAGGGTCATGGGCCGCTGCTCGCGCACACAGAAGCGCACGATGGCGGCGGTATTGCACATGGCGCCCTCGACGGCGTCGACGACGAGCACGACGCCGTCCGCGAGGCGCACGGCGGTCGCGACCTCGTCCTGGAAGTTGGTGTGCCCTGGCGTGTCCAGCATGTGCAGCAGGTGACTCTTGCCCTTCGAGGTCGGCAGCACGAGCGAGATGGGCGTCGCGCGGATCGAGAGGCCGCGCGACTGCTCGAGCACATGCGTGTCCGTGTACCGCAGCGGGACTTCCGCATCGACTTCAAGCACGTGGGTCTCTTCCACGAGCATATCGACCAGCGCCGTCTTGCCGTGGTGCAAGTGCCCGACAATGGCGACGTTGCGCACCATCTCGGGGTAGTCCATCAAGTTGCGCATAAACTCACGGTCGAAGCGCACTGCTGGCAGCTCCTTCTCCTCGACGGCAAAGCGCCGCTCACGCTCCGGCTCCATGATCGGCTGCGTCAGTGGCTGCGCGTCCTCCTCCTGCACGAGCGTCTCTACGTCCTCGCCATACACCTCCGCCGCAGACGGGTAGTACACCTTGTCCTCGTGCAGCACGACGGCCTGCGACGTGTCCTCGTCCACGCGCATCGCGACGGCCTGCTCCTCGGGCTCCGGCGCCTCGTCCAGCTCGACCGGCGGCGGGGGCGCCACGGGCTCCTCGGGCACCGTCTCCACCACCTCGTCGCCCGAGTCCGATTCCGATAGAGGCCCGATGTAGTTCCCGCTGAATGTTAGCCCCGCTGGTGTGTACGCACAACTCGTCGTAGTCGTCCATCGCAGGCGACCTGCGACGAGGCGGCGCGCACGACGATCTCTCGTCACGTGCTATAAGACCCCACGCGCGGCGCTCCCCCGCCTGGCGACCGATGGCTGTGGCCGCCTCATGGGGCGACGCCGTGGGCGAGCGCCTGCGGCGCTGGCTCCGCTTCGGCTCGCTGTCGCTCAGCCTTGCTGGATCGCAGGTGATATGGAGCCTCGAGCTCGCGTACGGCACGCCGTACCTGCTCTCGATCGGGCTCTCCAAAGAGGCGACGGGGTACGTGTGGCTGGCGGGGCCGCTCAGCGGCCTCGTGATGCAGCCCGTGCTCGGCTCGCTGAGCGACTCGTCTACGTCCTCATTTCGACGGCGCAAGTACATGATCGGGTGCAGCGTCGTCGTGGCGCTAGCGACATGCGTCGTGGCATTCTCGGAGCCACTCGCGAGGCTCCTGCTCGACGTGCTGGGCGTGGGCCTCGGCGACTGGGACCCTGTGCGACACCGGCACACGGCCGCATTCACACAGGTTCTGAGCGTCCTCGGGTTCTGGGTGCTCGACTTTGCGGTCAACGGCCTGCAGGTCATCGCGCGCGCCCTTATCCTTGACCATGCGAGCGCGTCCGAGCAGAACGAGGCAAACGCGTGGCACGGGCGCATGCTGCACATCGGCAACATTGTCGGGTACTGGTGCGGCTGGGTCGACCTCGCGTCGTGGCCAGCGCTCGCGTGGCTCGGTGGCGGGCAGTTCCGCCGCTTTGCCGTTCTGAGCCTGGTGTGCATGGGCGTCTGCGTCGGCATTACGTGCGTCACAACGCACGAATCCAACAGCCGCTGTCCCATGCCCGTGGAGGAGAGCCTGTCGCGACGCGTCGCGCGCTCGGTCCACCAGGTGTACGACGTCGGCCGCGCGCTGCCGCGCCCGATCCTGCGCGTGTGCGTGGTGCAGGTCTTTGCGACGATGAGCTGGTTCCCGTTCCTCTTCTATGGCACTACGTATGTGCTAGAGATGGCGCACCATGCGACCAAGCACCAGAAAGAGGACTACGAGAAAAGCGCGAGCTTTGCGATGCTCCTCTTTGCGCTCCTGGCATTAGTGAGCGGCTCCGTGCTTCCGACGCTCTCGCTTGCTGGCACGCAGGACGCCGCGCCACGCACACACGGTCTCACGCTGCGCACGCTGTGGACGTGCGGTGCCTTGCTGCAGGGCCTCATCCTGCTCGGTACCTTTTTTGTGCACACGCGCGCACAGGCCATGCTCCTGCTCGTGCTGATGGGCGCCCCGTGGAGCGTGTGGATGTGGGTGCCGTACGCAATGATTGGCGAGTTTGTGCGCGAGGCCGAGGGCCAGGGTGTCTCGCCGCCGCCCGACGCGGATGAGCAGCTGCCGGCACAGCGCATTATGGAGCGGCCCCGCAGCCTCGCGTCTGACGAGACGCCGCGGCTTCCGCATGGGCCCAGCACGCTCGATCGCGAGCGGCACGCGCCCTCGTCGCGCACCATCTCTGCTTCGTATGGCGCCTCGATCGTGTCGCGCGGACCCGACGTCGTGAAACCCGACGACCTCGGCACGCGCGACCACAGCGCGTGTGGCGGCACGGTGCTGGGCATCCACAATCTGTCCATTGTGATTCCGCAGTTCGTGGTCGCCTTTGCTGCGTCGCTCATTTTCCGCCTCACGCACGGCCACCACGGCGACGTGGCATGGGTGCTGAGGTTCGGTGGCCTCATGGCCTTTGTGGCAGCGGCCGCCACGCGGCTCGTGCCGCTGACCATGACGGAGCGGCGCAGCTGCCCTCATGCATATACGCTGCTCCCTGATGACGAGGAGGCCGAGGTGGATGCGGACTCACCGGAGGTCGCGCCGCCCGGCCTCGCTTCCCCTGGATAGTCTGTACTTGTAATGTGCCCTGCATGTGGAGGTTGGGCGGCGGTGCATGTGGCGCGGTGGGACTTGGCTCCACGCCATGGCGAGCGGCGTGAAATCCACCGCCAAGGTGAACAAAAAGCTCGTGGTCGTCGGGGATGGTGGCTGCGGCAAGACGTGCTTGCTGATTGTATACTCGCAGAACCGTTTCCCCGAGGAATACGTGCCGACCGTGTTTGAGAACTATGTGCCGGTCGTCGAGTTTCGCGGCCAGCTCGTCGAGCTGGCGCTGTGGGACACGGCCGGGCAGGAAGAGTACGACCGGCTGCGTCCCCTCAGCTACCCAGAAACGGATGTGATCCTCATATGTTTTGCTGTCGACTATCCGACGAGCATGCTGAATGTGCAAGACAAGTGGCTGCCCGAAATCCTGCACTTTTGTGAGGGCGTGCCCTTCCTCCTTGTGGGTCTCAAGACAGACCTGCGCCATGATACCACCGCTCTTGCGCTTCTCTCAGCGCAGGGCATCCAGCCCGTGTCGCGCGAGCAGGGCGAGCGCCTCGCTGAAACCATTGGTGCGCGCCAATATGTCGAGTGCTCGGCGCGAACGGGCGAGGGCGTCTCGGCCGTCTTTGATGCTGCGCTCGACGCAGCGATGCGCGAGCGCAAGTGGAAAAGCCGCTGGCGCCAGCGCAAGTGTGCGTTATTATGACATGGGGAACTGCTCGTGGTATCTAGCCGCAGACGTCCGCCTGCTCATGCACACTATGTACAGAGTTGCCTCATAGACATAGGATATTTTGCTCCAGCAGATCCGCGACTGACGACACGGGCGCTGCATCCCACAGCGGGTCGTCCAGCTCGTCTGAGTCAAGCAGCCCGAGCCGCACAGGCGCCGGCGCCGGCGCGCTGCGCGGGCTCAGCTCCGAAATGCGTGCACTTAGCAGTGTTTGTACGTGCGCCCAGTGCTCCTGCTGTGCCTTCAGTGTCTCTTGAGCCTGGCGCACCTGCGCCTGCGCCTGCTGGAGCTGCCCACGGCGCTCTAGCAGCCATGCACGCAGAGCCTCGGTGCGTGGCGCACGCACCGGCGGCACGCTCGAGCGCGGGAGAATCGGTGTGTGTGACTCAGGCTGATCCACGCGCAGGCGCTTGGGTGGGGGGGTATGATCATCCTGCGTGGATGGCGAGTCACAGGGCGAGAGCGAAGCTAGGGACAGCCAGCCGGGGGGGTAGCCTGCACCGACGGGCGCCGGCTTGCTCTCCATCGTCTCAAAGAAGGGAAGAAGTGGTTCTTTGGCATCCAGGTACGACATCAGGGCCTCTCTCTGCCCGAGCCCAAGGTCAAGTGTGTGTGTCCCGGTCAAGAGAGCTCGATCGGCGGCGATGCGCGCAGACGCTGGTGTGCCAATGTCGTCGGACAGGAAGCTGGCCCGATCCAGGTCAGGTGTGGCAGTCAGAGAGGAAGGAAGGGACTCGGAGCGGCCAACAGCGCCGCTCTCACAGGGAACGGACGACTCCATCTCCGATCACCAGCGGCCCATGCCACCTGCGAGTGGCAAGGCCTGGTGCACCGACGCTCAACGGCAGAAATTGTATCACGTGATACACAACACCACGCGTGCCGCGCGCCGACCTCCTGGTAGCCTCGCAGCCGCGTCGCGCGGTGGGTGCTGCATGGTACGTGCCCCCCTACTCACGCAGTCGCGCTTCAAATTCGTGGATGTAGATCGTATGCCCCTCTCAGATGTGGGTGCGCCGCCCCAGAGTACGGGGTCAGTCACGGCGCCACCCGCGCCGCCTCCGCGCACCGACGCGCCTCGCGCGCCAGCGTGGGCCAACAAGCGCCGCATCGATGCGCTCGAGCACTCCAGCGAGACCACTGACGAAAATTCCCCTCCGAAGTGCTCACGTCCACGCCTGCCGCCCAGCTGCCCGTCGTCAAGCGCGGAGCTCTCCGCCACCCCCCTTCCGTCGAGCTCGCCCTCGGGGGGCGTCCTTGCACCCGTGCCTAGCCCGTCTTGGTCGCAGATGAACGAGGCGCAGCTTCGTACGCGCCTAGCGCATCTGAAGCAGGTGCGCTTACAGTCTATGAGCAAGCGTGCGTCTATCGTCTGTGGCGATGGCCTGTACGACGAGAGCCCCGACTACTTGAAGATCGAGGAACACATGTGCACGGTGCGCATCGAGGCCATTGAGCATGAGCTGCAGGCACGCAACCTGCCGGTGTCTCACAGTAGTCCACCGCCGTCGCTGCCTTCGCTTAGCGCATCTCCAGCGCCCAACTCTAGGCCCGCGTCGGCACTCGCGGGCCTCTCTGTGCCTTCCCCTGCTCCAGCCTCGGCAGCTCGACGCCCCGCGGCGGATACCACTATGAGCGAGCCGCCGCGGTCCGGGGCGAGTGCGCCACCGCCGTCTGACGATGTGGATGCCGAATTTGCCATGATACCCAACGACGTGATCGAGGTGCTGGATGCATCGCCACCGCCAGCGCGCCCTGCGGAGCGGCACCGGTGGGACGACCAGGTGCTTCATTCTCTACGCCATATTTTCCATCTGACGCAGTTCCGGCCGGACCAGCGGGAGGCGATCGATGCGACGCTCGCTGGGCGCGACGTGTTTTGTCTGATGCCGACGGGCGGCGGCAAGAGCCTATGCTACCAGCTGCCTGCTACAGTGACCCTCGGCAAAACAGATGGGATCACGATTGTAATTTCTCCCCTGCTCGCGCTGATCCACAACCAGGTCCAGAGTCTCTTGCGTAAAGACATACCGGCTCTGTCCATCACGGGCGACATGTCCGATGCACAGCGGCAGTATGCCAGTGAGGAGCTCTGCCGCCCAGATACCCATGTGCGCCTGCTCTATGTGACGCCCGAGTTTATCTGCAACTCGCGTCTCGCGACCCGCCTCTTTCAGCATCTGCATCGGACGCGGCAGTTGGCGCGCTTTGTCATCGACGAGGCGCACTGTGTGGACCAGTGGGGCCACGACTTTCGTCCCGACTATGTGCGCTTGGACTGCCTACGGAAGGAGTATCCGGAGGTGCCGCTCATGGCGCTGACAGCCACGGCGCGGATTGACACGGTGGAAGGCATCCAGAAGCACCTGGGCATGCGGCAGACGCTAGTCCTCCGGCAGTCATTCAACCGGCCGAACCTCTCGTACAGCGTGCGGCCCAAGCGGCGGGGCGGTGGCACACTCGACAGCATGGCGACGCTGATCCAGGAGCGTCATGCGGACGAATGCGGCATCATATACTGTCTGTCGCGGCGCGACTGCGAGAATGTGGCAAGTGATCTCGAGAGCAAGTACGGTATCCGCGCGCGGCACTTTCACGCGGGCCTCAATACCCAAGACAAGCTGCGCATCCAAGAGGGCTGGGAAGCTGGCCAATTCAAGGTGATTGTTGCCACGATCGCCTTTGGCATGGGCATTGACAAGGCAGATGTGCGCTTCGTCATCCACCATTCCATGCCCAAGAGCCTAGAGGGCTACTACCAGGAGACGGGTCGCGCGGGCCGCGATGGGAAGCCGTCGGAGTGCGTCCTATTCTGGTCAATGGAGGACAGTCGCAAGCTCGAGAGCATGATCAAAGACTCGCCTGACGCATCGCCGGAACAGAAGCGACTGCAGCTGCAGAGCCTCTCGCAGGTCAAGGCGTTCTGCCAGTCGCTGACCGAGTGCCGCCGCACCAACATACTCAAGTACTTTGGCGAGCAGTTTGATCCGGCCCTGTGCCGCGCTAGCTGCGACAACTGCCAGCGCACGCCGGCCCACTCTGTGGACATGACGGTGGCCGCCAAAGACTTTGTGCGGATGGTCAAGCTGATCGCCAAGCCGCGTGCACGCGCCAACTTTACCAAGGTCCACTTCATCGGCGTCTTCCGTGGCAGCTTGCGCAAAGACATCAAGGACAAGGGACACCACTTGAACTTATACCACGGTCGCGGCGCGTCATTCTCTGACGAGCAGGTAAAGCGTCTCGTTGACTATCTGCTCAGCCAGAATGTGCTGGCCGAGTATGAACACCGTGCAGCGTACCAGCGCTTCCCGAACTACTACGTGCAGTTGGGCCCCCGCGCGGCGGCCCTGCTCAACGACCAACTGAGTATTCAGCTGGATATGCCGTCGTCGCCTCCGCCTACCGCCCGTCGCGTCGCGCCCCGTTCTCCGTCGCCCGAGTACGACGAGATGGATCTCACGACCATATCGCTGAGCCCATCGGCGAAGCGTTCCAGCGCTAAGACGGCACGTCCTGCGAGTAACACCCGTGTGCAGATTGCCGCGATGCCAATTTTAGGTACCACGTCCATGCGTCGTGCGCACTAACTGTCTACGTAGATATATTTTATGCCTGGTACGTAGATGCCGACACATTACCGCCGCGGCCGGTCCAGTTGACGTGGATGTCCTGGCCCTCCTTCAGGCGGTCGTTCTCCTTACCAGGAAGCACGCGGAAGGTGTGCGCGCCAAAGTAGTCACGCTGCGCTTGCAGCAGCGAGGCTGGCAGGAGCTCCGAGCGGATACCGTCGAAGAAGGCGAGCGCCGAGGAGAAAGCGGGCGTCGGGACACCCCACAGTACGGACTGCGCCAAAACACGGCGCCAGCCGTCCTCGGCCTTCCTGATAGCGCTGCTGAAAAAGTCGTCAAAGAGCAGGTTCTCCAGCTCAGGGTTCTTACGGAAGGCGCTCGTAATGTCCTTCAGGAAGACGGAGCGGATGATGCAGCCACCACGCCACATGAGCGCAATCGACGGGTTGTTCAGCTTCCAGTTGTACTCCTTCGCAGCCTCACGCATGAGCATAAAGCCTTGGGCGTACGACACAATCTTGGAAGCGTACAGAGCCTGTTCAAGGTCGTCAATAAACTGCTGCTTGTTGCCCTCAAAAGGACGGGGCTTGGGGCCGGTGAGGATCTTGGACGCGCGCGTACGCTCGCCCTTGAGCGAGCTGAGGCAGCGCGCAAACACCGCCTCGCCAATCAGCGTCACAGGCTGGCCGAGCTCCAGCGCGTTAATCGCGGTCCACTTGCCGGTACCCTTCTGGCCAGCACTGTCGAGAATCTTGGTCAGCATCGGCTCGCCGTCCTCGTCGTTGTAGGCAAGGATCTCGCTCGTGATCTCAATCAGGAACGAGTCGAGCACACCCTTGTTCCACTTGGAGAAGATCTCGGCAATCTCCTTCTCGCTGATGCCAAGACCCTGCTTCAGGATCCAGTACGCCTCGGCAATCAGCTGCATGTCACCGTACTCAATACCGTTGTGCACCATCTTGACGTAGTGGCCCGCACCGCCGGTACCGACCCAGTCACAGCACGGCTCGCCGTCGCTCTGAGCAGCCGTCTTCTGGAAGATCTCCTTGATATGGGGCCAGGCCGCCTCGCTACCGCCGGGCATGAGCGAGGGACCGTGGCGCGCACCCTCCTCACCACCAGAGACACCGCTGCCAACGTACAGGAGGCCCTTCGCCTCGACCTCCTTGCAGCGGCGCTCCGTGTCGGGGAAGTGCGAGTTGCCACCGTCAATGATGATGTCACCCTTTTCGAGGTAGGGCAAAAGCTGGTCAATAAACGCATCAACGGCGGCACCGGCCTTAACCAGAAGAATCACCTTACGGGGGCGCTTCAGAAGAGCAACAAACTCCTCAATCGAGTGCGCACCGACAATGTTGGTGCCTGCCAGCGTCAGTCTCAATCGGCCACATACCCTTGGCCTCGTTGTTCAGAAAGTCGTCGACCTTGCTGGTCGTACGGTTGTAGGCGGCCACAGTGAACCCCTTGTCTTTGTCTTAGTGAAGACAGACATACCATTCATGTTCAGAATCAAGTTCTGACCCATAACAGCCAGGCCTGTGTGTGAGACGCATTCGTACGTACCAATCAAGCCAATATCCGCACTATGATCAACGCGAACATGCCGTGTCAGCATCCCTATTCTATCTTTGATGGGTTGAGCGACATACACTGCATTCGTCGACATTGTTATCAGAGCAATGGTATACCCAGTACGAGCCGGGCCGCCACGCGGAGCCAAGGCCGACCGCGCAGCTCCGTATCACGTGATATCTACTTGGACTGTGCATGGACTTCCGCCGTCAATTAAAGGCGGGCCCAGTGCTCTCGCAGATAGACGCCATATTTCATCAGCAAGAGTGTAGAGGGCACCCCCACGGCCGTGGCAATGAAGGCGAGCGTAGTGCATCCCCAGCCATGACCGAGCGTGTCGAATAGTGAGGGACCCGCTAGCGGCAGGACGCCGCCAAATATGCATCGAAGCAGGTTTGCGGCACCCAAGGCCGAGGCGGGAAACTCGAAAGCATCCAACATATAGACTTGAATCACCATGAACGATGACATGAACGCCAAACCAAAGATGGCAAGACCAATGTCAGGTACAATCCAGTGCACGAGGTTCTCGGCGGGCCATCCATACACAAGCAAACCAACGGGGACGAGAATGATTGAAGGGAGGAGGAGCGGAAGGCGGTACTCGGGGGAGCCTTGGCGCTCTTCCTGGCCATCAGGTCCCTTGACGATCGTCCCCTTCTTCAGGCGCAGCTGGAGGTAGATCTTGTCGCAGAAATACCCGGTGATGAAAATCCCCGTCATAATGCCCACGCCCAAGCTAATGTAATGTAAGCCGGCAATAGAGCTCTTCATATGATAGTCGCGAATGAACGAGACAGCCACACTAGCAAGTAAAAGGTACAAGTAACCAAAGACCATCGCCAATTCGACTGAGAGACCCGCACACATTGGATTCTTCACAAGCAGCAAGATTGGACGGACAAGATACTTAGTCAAAAGCACCTTCGGCGGGATGGAGAGCGCACATGGCATGAAACGCACGGCTACGATGCGCACCCACCTGGACCCTTGGATTTTTTGGTGCCGCAGGGCAAGGATCGGATAATAGGTCTCACGGAGAAATACGAGGGCCAAAGCGAACGCCAGCGTGCTTGCGAACACAAGAATCCATAAAATCCAGCGGAAGCTCAAGTATTCTGACACAAAACCAGAGACAATAGGTCCGACCACAGGACCCATACTGACCCCCGCCGAGAAAAGCGCCATGGCTGCGCCGCGATGCTCAGGAACAAACATATCAGCCACCATACTGCCGCCGATGCTTAGCAGACCAGAGCCAAAGAAGCCTGCAAAAAATCGCAAAGCAAGGAACTGCGCTTCTGTTTGAGCGAGAGCCGTGCCGATATTGAACAGCAAGAACAGGAGGGTACACACATGTTGGACAACTAGTCGGCCGATCACTTCCGTGAGAGGATTGAATAAGAGCTGACCCACAGCATAACCCAGCATGTAAATGGACAGTGTAAAGGTAAGCCGAGTTTCGTTGGTGATGTGAAAGGCTTGGGCGATCAATGGCAGGCCGGGCGAGATGACGGACGAGGCCATGGGCGAAACGAAGCCCAATAAAGATGTACACATCAATACTGAGAGCTTCCTTGACAGAGGCCATGTCTTGGGGTCGGATGGCTTCTCTGACATGTTCCCTTTCTCCTCTCGCACAGACCCTGCGGGGCGTGTCCCGGATATTTCAAGCGTTACTTCGCCATTCTCAGGATCTAGGCTAGCACTGGGCCTGGGAGGCATGTCCAGAGCCTTTGAAGACACTCCGAAAAGATAGAGACCGCATGGACATAAGATACCACCACTCCTTTATGAATGCAATCGCATAGTGAAGCGGAGACGGAGAACGCGGCGTTTAGTGCGTGTTGCGGTGTTAAACGGATATTAGTAACACCTCCATAATTGGCACCAAGACCGACACATGACTATGAAAGGCGTCGCTACGGACGCGGGGGAGCGCCACCCATGCCGCCCATGAACTGCTGGGCCATCCTGTTCTGTCAAAGTATAGATACGTACTGTCGCAGCTGAGGGTTGTTCATCAAGGAGGACATATCCGGCATCTGACCATTCGAGCCGAAGTTCTCCGCCATCTGACGCAGCATCGGGTTGTTCATGAGCTGCTCCAGGCCGCCGTTCTGCATCCTGGCACGTCAGTTTCCATGTGGGGACGTACATCTGCTGCGCCATCTGCGACACCATCGGGTTGTTCATGAGCGAGCTCAGGTCAGGCATGCCACCGGCACCGGCGCCAGGGAATCCGCCCGCACCAGTGTTCAGATTCGGGGTGGGCGTGGACGCCACGGCATCCTTGCTGCCACTCTCCGCCAGCTTCGCCTTGGAGGTGTCGAGGCCGGTCTTCATTAGCTTGTTGCTGGGGTCCACTTCGACACCCTTCTCGTAGGCCTCGGCTGCCTCGGCAAACCTGCCCGAGGCAAACAAGGCATGACCAAGGCGACTGTACGCTTTGCCGAAATTGGGGTCGATCTCCGCAGCCTTCTTTGCATCGTTGATGGCTTCGTCGTGCTGGCCAATCTGGCTGTACGCTGCGGCGCGGTTAGAATAGAATACGGGAGACGAGGGGTACAGCTCAATAGCCTGTGTGTACGAGTTGAGCGCGGCGCCGTAGTCCTTCGCCGACATGTACTTGTTGCCCTCGTTCTTCAGCTCCTCTGCGCGGGCCTTGTCGGCCTCCGACACACCCTCCTCCTTCGCTGTACTCTTAGGCTGGGACGCAGCGCCGCCCATGCGCTCCTGCGTCTTGAGGAACACATCAAAAATAGCCTGCAGGCCAGGTGAGTTCTTCGCGTATGTTTCCCTGTCCACAGGCGATCTGGGGTCCACAGAAAACACAGAGCTTACCGCAGCGGCAGCTTCTTTGAGCTTGGCATCGCCCTGTGAGTCGAGCCAGGCAGCCACAGCAAAGGCGAGCGGTTTCGAAGAGTCAGTGATCGCCATGGTATCGTAAGGCAAGGAGCGGGGGTGCGTGTGCGCTAGTCTACACGTGACTTGCCCCCACAGGCGGTCGAAGAGCGCCTAGTCCCTCGCCTCGGCACATATAATGACACGTGTAGCTGGTGCATGGGAAAGGTAGAGCGAAAGACTGTACGAGATCATTGATTATTCTATTTGCTAGCCACCGGAGACCATGTCTAGCCCTTCTCCCCCGCGGCCTCGTGTGGGGTTTCTTCGCGGGAGTAGGCAAAAGTCGAAGCTCACGTGGCCCTTCTGACGTATGACATAGTTGGGTCGCTTGGCCTCACCCCGGGTGCCACGGTCCCTGGGTTCGAACAGACTGGGGTTGAGCTACACGAGCACGTGACGTACAAACGCTGACCAAAGGTCAGGAACCTATGGGTCGTGGGGCAGGACCTGCGCCAAGCACATGCGTCGTCAATGCTCCTGCGCCGTCGGACAGGTAGTGAGCCTAGGCATGCATCGCTTCAACTAAATGGATGGACACGGGTGGGCGACAAGGCTGCTTCCTCAGAAGACTCGTCGCCCTCCGCGGCCCGCCGTTCATGGCGCTCCTTCACCCACACTATCAAGCGCCATTATACCCGCTTCCGTGTGGCCTTGGCTGAACGGTTTGCGCGGCATGGGCACTGGATCTCGTGCCATCAGACGCGGTCGATCCTGCTATGCAATGTGGTGATTGCATCGCTCTTTTATCCTGCGGTGGTCATGTACTTGCTGACGACGTCGGAGGGCCCGTCGTCGATGGCAAGCGCCCCTGCGTGCATGCATCGCAACGAGCTGATGGCGGGCCACGATGCAGTCTGTGTCATGGGATCCTGGATGCCAAACAACATCTGGGACATGGCGCTGGCCTCGATCCTGGATCTGACTGGCGCGTCGCGCGCCGACGTCCTATCCGACATGTACCCGGTGCAGGACCTACGCTTGGTTTGGGATGAGACACCTAGTCTCCAAGTTGTTCGCGACACAAACGTGTCTGCGCCCACGGTGCATGTTGCGCAGGTGCTGGTCACCTCGGACGCGACGCGGCGGGCGGGCGGCTCGCCGTACGGTGTACTGCATCCCCGTCTTCTCCTCTCGGCTCTGGCGCTGCAAGAGGCACTGGATGAGCGCCTACTGCACCCCAAGGCCGCGGGAGACCCTTCGTGTGTGCGGCGCAATGCAACAGACTCTTGTCTCGTGCTGAGCCCCCTCGAGTTCTGGGGCTACGACGCTGCGCGGGTCCGCCAGGACAAGCACCCTGCGCAGAGCTATACAGGCAGTCCTGTAAGAGCTGTCGTGACGCCGCCCGTGGCGCCTCTGACGCCGCATAGCCCGCTGCCGCTGCTCTACTCGACGACGCTGTCCGGCCGGTGGCCGTACCTGCCGCTTTTCTCGCGCGCTGAGTACCTGGTTCTCACGTACTTTCTGCAGGAGGCGCCGACCGACGCGTGGCATGCGCTTGTGCAAGAATCTGCCTCGAGCCTGTCTATGGCGCAGGTTCGTGTGCCGTCTGGCATAGAGCCCGGCTCGACGGTGCTCGAGTTCCAGCCGCTGGCCGTGACAGAGCGGCCGAAGCTGCATATCCAGGTGGTCGTCGTTGGCTACCTCCTTCTCCTGCTGTTCATTTTTCGCGAGCTCGTACAGATGCGGCGGCTGCACACGCGTATCGGTATGGTGTTCACCGGCAGTGTGCAACTGGTGATTGACCTTGTCCTAAGCCTAAGTCTGTGCGCGCTGCTGGGCATCCGGCTGAACGCGGTGCCATGGTCCATTTTGCCGTTCATCATTGTGCTCGTGGGCGGTGAGACCATGCTCTTTGTGATCCGCACGATCACTAACACCCCTCTTTCTCTTACGGTCCATGCGCGCGTGGCGTATGGCCTGTCGCAAGTAGCTGGCCCCATTACGGTCTCGGCGGCGATCGATGTGGTCATGCTATGCCTGTTCGGCTACTTTGTGCGTTTGGAGGCCGTGAAGCAGTTTGTCGTCTTTACGATCTGTGCGCTTGTCGCCGACTATTTTATGCAAATGACCTTTTTCGTCACGGTGCTCAGCATCGATATCCAGCGGCTGGAGCTGGCCGAGGTGCTCATGCAGGGCGCGCGTGTCCCATCGGTCACAGCGGCGGCCGACGCCGCGGACGCGCCGGCCAAGCTGCTGCCGTACCGCCCGCACTCGGCGACGGCATTTCTGCTGGACGGTGTGCGCCGCATGATGCGCATGCGGGCGCCGCAGGCGGTGCGCACAGCGCTCGCGGCGGGCATTGGTGCAGTCATGCTGGTCGCGTGGCTTCCGTCGATCCTCTCGAGCCACGGGCTGATCCGCCTGCTCGGCTCACGCGGGCATGTCCTGCCGTCGCTCGAGCAATACAGTGATGCCGCGCTGGACGCGAGTCCGTACGGTGCATTCTGGCGTGCCATCAACCCTGGGCGCGCGCCGTACGTGCGCCTGGTCCTGGACCCGTGGGTGCTTGTGTCGTGGGCCGACGCGTCACTACCTGCGCGCGGCGCGCGCGAACCGCCAGGCCCATGGCTCGAGGCGTTGTTCTATGACCGGCGTGGGACGACGCTCTTTTTGCTGTTTCTCTTCGTTGTGAGCCCCATTGCACTGTCCACGCTGATCTTGTCTGTCGTGCTGCGCTACCTGCAGCAGAACTCGGACAAGCTCGAGACGTCGCACCAGCCGGGCGACGACGCGGAGCTGCGGCGCCTCCTGCAGGCAGATACCCCGCCGGACCATGCCTTGAATCTGCAGCTCGTCGCCCACACGGACGAGCTGCACGAGGGCCCGATCCTCTTCCTAGCTGCGGCGCCCGGCGTCTGTGTCAGTGTCGACACCCACAACACACTGCGGGTGGAAGAGGACGGCCGCGTGGTGCTGTACAGCCTGGCGAAGCAGCGCACGGAGCAGGGTCTCCCGGCGGATGGGACACCGATCATGGCCCTCGCTGCGGATGAGCGGCACATCGCGTGGGGCCAGGTGTCAGGCCGTGTATCGCTGATGGACCTCGACACACGCCGGATCGTGGACCTGAGCAGCTACCCCATCGACACCGCGTCCGAGCGCCCGTCGGCGCCCGTGCAGCAGGTGGTGTGTATGTCCACACATGTGCTGTCGCTGCATGGCGACGGTGCCGTGTGGGCATGGCCACTCGCGCCGGGCTCCGAGCTCTCGCCGCTCGTCTCACCGCTCCCGGGCGCCTGGACCGCGGCGCCGCTCTCCAGTGTGGTACGCGGCACGTGGCTTGCGGCGGCATCGTCTCGTGGCCATCTCGCGGTGTACGGCATCGCCGCCGATCTGCGTGTGGAGCGCGTCGGCCTCGTGCACAGCGGCGGGGACCTAATCCGCTGCGCGGCGCTGGTGCCGCCGCTGTGCCTGGACGACGAGCCCGGCGCGGAACGCCCACCGCGCCTTTCGCCGCCGCGCGTGACAGCAGGCGGCTCGAGCCCGCCCGCTCCCACATACTGGCTCCTCACGGGCGGGAACGACGGAACGCTGCGGCTGTGGGCCCTGCCCCGCAAGAGCGCCGTGGCGACGCTTGCGCTCGATGCGCCGGGCGACGGCGCGATCCGTTCGATGGAGCGGGTGCGTGAGACGCAGTTCCTCGTGCAGACGGCTAACCGCGTGTGGTTTGTGCGGGTGCAAGGCACGCGTGGCCAGCCGAAGATCGTGCTGGTCGACAGCCTGCCGAATGTGCGCGGCGTCGCGGACGTGTACCCCCACTCGGGCGGCGATCCCGTATGGCTCCTTGGCATTCGGCGGGCGGACCATACGGCCGAGGCACGCTGGGACGTGTGGCGCGCGCGCCTGCCGTGTGGCGACAAAGCAGCGGTGCCGGTGCCGGAGCGGATCCCCGTGGCCGTCGAAGCCCTCCTGCGCGCGTCCGTACGCGAGTCAGTCGCGCAAGGCCGACACCCGCCGGCGCGTCTGCCGCTGTTGGCCACGCGCCTCCACCGCATGGTGCGCAGTGACGGCGAGGGGCAGTGGCGCGTGCCGTTTGGCAGTGCCGTCCTTGCGTTGACGGCCGAGTCGCTAACGTAACTATAGGTTGTAGAGGGCTGGCTTGGCCTCGATGTGAATGTCGCCGTAGGCGTGTGTCTGGTGCAAGCGCACACAGTCGCGCGTGCCGAGGGCGAGCAGCTCGAAGAAGAAGCCGGCCGCCGCACGACGCGTTGCTTGAGCGTCGAGATCATGGAACGATACGCGCTCCGACGACATGGTCGTGCGCAGCACATGCGCGGCGCGGCGCGTACGCACATGCACTGCATCCGTGTCGGTGGCCGTGTCGGGCGCACGCGTGTCAAACGCCTGCAGCGGGTAGGTCGGCGGCACATCCACCAGCACGTCGGCCGTGTCGAGCTCGGGCGTCGGCATGCGCTCGAGCGGAGCAGGGCGGCCCGTCACGTCCACACTCGAGCGGCGGTGCCGCGACGAGCGGCGCGGCGCCGGCTGAGGCGGCGCAGCCTCCGCCTCGGGCATGTCGGCATCCATGTCAGGCAGGTCGACCTCGGGGCCGGTGGTATCGAGCGGTGCCTCCGTAGCATGCGACACATCAAAGCTGTCGTCCTGGGGCTTGGCCATCTCGATGTCGGGCATGGGTGGTGGCTCCAGCCACGCTGGCGCCTCACTGGCGCGGCGACCGACCTCGAGCGGAAACTCGTCGTCCATGCGCAGCGCCTGCGTCTGTTCGTGGAGACGCTGCAGCCACTGTTGCATCTCTTTTTGTGGCGTCACGGCACTGCGGGCCAGCACTGCATGCCGTGCGTCTGGCGCAGCGGGCCCGAAGACCGGCAGGTCACGCACCATGGCGCCCCACGTCATGCTGAGAGCTCGCGCGAGCACGGGCTGCGCGCCGCGTGCTTGCGCCGCGCGCAGTGCGAGCTGCACACGCGATGACGGCAGGCAGTGCTGCTGGTGCGTCGTGGGGGCCAGCGTCGCGGCCACCTGCGCTGCCCGCGCCTGCAGGGAGCGCGCACGCGCCGGGTACATTTCCGTCACGTCGTCCTGGATGGGGCGCTTTCGTGTTGTGCGCGGCGCCGCATCGGCCGCGCGCTGCTCGGCCGCCGAGCGCAGCTTGGCGGCTGTCTGAGGCGTGAGCTGGGCCTGCGCCACGTCGTCCAGCGTCAAGTCCCGACGCCCTGGCGCAGGAGTCGAGTGTGTGTCCGTCGCTGGTGGCAAAAGCGGCGGCGGCGTGCCGTCCAGGCGCCCAGGGTCTAGGGGCAGCGGCGGAAGGTCCAGAGGCGCCGTGGAGGACAGGTCCGGCAGTGGATCGAGCGAGAGGTCGGCGCTCAGATCCAGATCGCCAACGAGCGCGTGGACATGATCGGCCGTGCTTCCGGCCGGCGGTGCATGGCGTGCCACACCGATGCTGGCGAGCGAGTCGTCAGCGCCCGGTGCCTCGTCCATGGGCAAGGTATGCTGTGTCGTGTCGCGATGGGTATCATGGCGCACGCGCTTGGTCGGCGGTGCGCGCGGACGCGACAGGCGGGGACTGTCATCAACGAGGCCGAGGTCAAAGCCGGTCGTGGAAACGTCGCCCAGCGCGTCGCTCGATGGCCCTAAGGGCGGCAGCGGCTCGTCCATGGCCCAGTGCGCGTCAGGCAACGTAATGTCCGCGGGGCGCGCGAGCTGGCGCGCGTGTGCGGCAGGGCGCACGCCCCACTGGTCGAGCGCCGGCTCAGGGAGGAGCAGGTCCATGGGCGTGTACACGTCGGGCAGCGTGATCGCCGCCCGGGCGCCGTGCAGCTGCTCCTGGGAGAGGTCGACGACGGCGGTGCCGCGGAATGCGACCTTGATGCGCAGGAGCGCATCGGAGCAGTCGTCCTGGAGGTACTTGGCCTTGCGCGAGTAGATGCGCGCGAGACCGAGGAGGAGCTGCCCGCTGATCCGCAGTGTCACGGGCACCTCGTCCTCGTGGCCGATGAGGACATCGATGCTCGACGGGATGCTCGTCTGCAGCAGCTGGGACTTGCTGAGCTTTCTGTCCCAGTGAGCAGCGAGCCATACACGCGAGAGCGGACCCTGCTTGTGCAGGATCACTTCGTGAGACATGATGACCGCCGCCGGGCGTGGTCCGAGGGGTGAGGCAAGGCGCGCCACCGCCGCGCGGCGCGCGTCGCGCCTCACGTGGTGTGGAGGCAGCCGCGACGCGTGCCGCGGCAGGCGCGCGCCTCCACGTATGGACGCATGAGGTACGAGGTATCGGGCTAGCTAGCACTTTTGGGTGGCACCGGTGCGGCCGCTCCACATGTCGCTGAGGGCGGTGAAGACTGCCTGTGAGTCGGGACGACATACCGGACACATTCAGGACCAGGAAGCCAAACAGGGCACAGGCGATGCTCAGCAGCTTGGTTGACTCCCACCAGCGGAACGTCTGCTGCGGCTGCCGCCTCGCCACGTCGGCGCCCGGCCGGAGGGGAAGGGAGAGGTTCTCGGCCTCGATGGGCCCCTCGGAGCCCTCCACGTCGGTGGCGGTGGGATCGGCGTCCGACACGGGCACGTAGAGCGAGGAGTGGTCGAGCTGGCTCGCATCGTGGCTGAGTTTCAGGTAGCACACGCTGGGGAAGCAGAAGGCGAGCGCTGTCGCGCTCAGGCCGCCTGTCAGCTCCAGCACAATGCCCAGGTCGCACGTCAGCAGCGAGATGACCATGGCCAACAGGACCAGGCTTGTCGTGAGGACAATGTGGCGCCGGCGCTCGTACTCGCCCCCAAAGAAGTAGGTCTCAAGCACTTCGCGGCACACGAAGCATTCGAGCGGCAGCGTCGTGAACATGTTGAGGCCGAAGCAGAAGCGCGCAATGTTCACGACCGTGTCGCTCTGCGGGAAGTTGTTGAGGATGTTCGACAGTGTCTTGTCCTCGAACGACCAGTAGCCGGCGACCGCCATGGAGATGGCCGCAACGGCCGAGATCAGCGTCGAGTAGTGCGTAATGGTGCGGAACTTATCCATCGACGGCTCTTTCAGACTGCCATAGATGACTGGGTCAGCGTGTGGAACGTACGCAGCGAGTTGTGGTGGCACACAAACGCAAAGCTGATCACAGAGATGGAGCGGATGAGCTTCATGGGGTGCACGAGGGTGAAGCGCAGACTCGGGTCGCCCTTGAGCTCGGCGGGCATCGCGGGGCCGCGCACGACGACGGCGAGAATGATAAAGACCATCGAGAGAAGCGCGACGGCGCTGGCCTTGCTCAGGTTCTCGATGTTGCGGTACAGCGAGAGCGGAAAGCTGATCGCCATCGTGCATACGACAATGACAAACTGCCGGTTGCTCAGTATCGTATCGCGCAGTATGGGAAACACGCTCGAAATGACGTTCGGGATCGTATCGCCGACCACGACGCAGAAGGCGCACATGCCGCCAAACGCAAAGACGAACTGGAAGATCGACACGGCCATGCGCCCATGCTGCCCAAAGCAGTGGCCCATGATGTCAATGTACGTGGCGCGCCCACTGAGCTTGGCGTTCAGCACGATCAGGCGGATCGTCCAGTCGGTCAGCAGCGCAATGCCTGCGAGCAGCACGAGACCGGCCACGAAGCCCGACTCGCGAATGGCGTACGGCAGACTCACGATGCCGGCGCCCAGAATGCTGTTCGCCATGTTCACCGTGCCCTCAAACACGCCAGCGCCGCGCCGCAACCACTCGGGCAGCTGCTCGGGGTCCCAGGACGCCGGGAGTGCCTGGCTGATCTGGCGCATGCTCTGGCCAAACAGGTCCATCGATGTGCGCGACGTCGACGCGCCAGGGAGGTACGGCATCGTCGATGGCAGGCGCGGCGCCGGCTCAAGCGGCGGCACGACACTCGGATCGGGCATCACAAGCAGGTCGTCAATCTCGTCCGTGTCCGCTTCGAACATGGCCTCTTTGGACGCGTTCAGGGAGCGCATCGGAAGTGCCATGCGGCGCTCGTCGGGGCGCGCAGACGCAAGGTCCACGTCGTGCTCGGGCGACGCGCGCGAATCCGACATACGGCCGGGGTGGCGCGTAGAAAAGCCAGGCTTCGGGGCCGCGAGGGCCCCGGCGTGCAGCGGCGGGGCGCATCTGCAATTTTTCAGGTACCTACGGGGGGTCGCGCGGATGTTGGAAACAGCGGTACGGCGGCCTACTGGGCCGACCGCGGTGTGTGACACGCGCAGCCGGCAGACGACCAAGCCTTGTCTTGTCTCGTCACATGGAGCCGCGCATGGCGGCAGAGGCGGCGGGCGGCGGCGGGGCGCCGACGGGCGCCCCGCTCGATGCACCGTCTGCATCGAGTGCACGGCCGGTGATGCGGCGGCATGTGAGTTCGCGCCCGTCGGGCCCGGACGAGCGGGCTGTGCGCAGGGAGCAGGTGTGCCGGCAGTGTGGCCACCAGATCTCTGGGCAGTTTGTTCGGGCGCTCGGTAGCGTCTATCATCTGGAGTGCTTCCGGTGCGCGGACTGTGGCTGTAATGTCGCGTCGAAGTTCTTCTCGGCGACGGATGATATGATGCATGAGAACCCTGGGCAGCTGTTTCCGCTGTGTGAGACGGACTACTTCCGGCGGCTGGACCTGCTGTGTGCCAAGTGCGGGCGCGCGCTGCGCGGCAGCTACATCACCGCGCTCGGCGCCAAGTACCATGTCGAGCATTTCACCTGCTCGTTGTGTGAGACGCAGTTTGGACCGGACGACAGCTACTATGAGCACGGTGGCCAAGTGTACTGCCACTTCCACTACAGCACGCTCTTTGCGATCCAGTGTGCGGGATGCCAGACCGCCATCCTCAAGCAGTTTGTCGAGATCAACCGTAACAACGCCGACGAGCACTGGCACCCCGAGTGCTACATGATCCACCGGTACTGGAAGATCAAGCTTGCGCCGCAGATACACGCGCCGCCTGCGCGCCTGCGCGACCGTGCCGACGAGGTGGCGCTGAGTATGCCCGGCGCCCTTGCGCTCTCGCCCAGCTCGTCGGACGACGGCGCGGAGGAGGCGCCTGCGGAGACGCCCGCCTCGGTGCTGCAGAAGCAGCGTGCGATGGAGCACCGCGTGTTTACGATTTGGCGCGTGCTCTCTACATTTGAAGAGTCGTCGGCAGCATGCATCTCGGACATGCTGCGGCATGTGAGCAGCGGCAAGTACCTGGGCGGCGTGCGCTTTGCCGTGCGGTTCGTGGTGCATGTGGAAGTGCTCTTCTCCGCCATCGACGAGCTGGACATGCACTTTCAGCGGGCCGGCGCGCCGTCGATCCAGTATGTGCGCGAGGCGCGCATGCTGTGCAAGAAGATCGTCAACTTTTTCTCGCTGCTGTCGCACTCGCAGGAGACGGGCGAAGAGCGCATGCACATTACGCAGGAGCTGCTCTCTCTGGTGACGGGCCTGGCGCACTACCTCAAGATCCTGATCCGCATCGCGCTCACGGGCGCGCTGCGTCTCGACCAGGAGCACGGCGTGCCGGCCGCGCTCGAGTCGTTCCTCGCGCGGCTGGACGAGCTCCTGTCGCTGCAGGGCCTGCACGACACGCTCGACACGGACGCGGTGCATGGGTACACGAGCCTGCCGTGCGTGCGGGGCCCGCACGAGGCGGACCAGGCGGCGGACCTGTGTGTCCTGTGCGGACACACGGTCGAGGACGAGTGTGTGCGGCTGAGCATCGAGCTGCGGTGGCACTGGGCATGTGTCCAGTGTGCGAAGTGCCAGCGCGGCGCCGTCAAGCCGGACGGCAGTGTGCCGCTGCGCCGCGGTGCGGACGATGCGGCGGCCCGGCCGCCCAGCGTGCCGATCACGCAGTTTGTGTACCACAGCGCGCGGCGCGACAAGGGGGCCATGCAGTGTGTGGGCTGTGCGGGGGAGCCAGCGGCGCGGTACCTGCCGGTGACGCGGCTGGAGCAGTATGCGTTCCTACTGTGTGTTGCGCTCAAGCGCCTTGACGCGCTGCTCAAGCGGCAGGCGCTCCTCGAGGCGCCGCTTCCGCCGGAGCCTGAGCCAGATGCGCTGACAGACGCCGAGTCGAGCACGTACCGCAAGTCGGCGGAGGCGAAGCGCATCGAGTCGCAGTACCTCGACCGGCACATGTCGAGCAAGGCACATGTGCCGCGGATCAGCACGGTGATCGGGCAGCCGGCCGGCTTCCACACGGCGCCGGGGGGCGAGAGTGTGCGGCACGAGGCTGCGCCGCATGCGCGGCCGACGGCCGGGGCGATTCCGATCCGTGCGCCGTTTGCGCGGCACAACTCGGACGTGCTGGTGCGCGAGGACGACGCGCGGACGCCGCCGCTGCCGAGCGACTCGGCCAACGAGGGAATTACGCTGGCGGACATTCCCATGATCCTGCAGGCGGAGCACGACCGCGAGCAGCGCGTGTCGGGCGAGGCGGCGCGGCGTCCGGTGAGCTCGCTGTCGTCGGAGGAGCTGCTGGTGCTCAAGTATGTGGCGCTTGTGCGGCTGCAGCAGTCGGTGCTGGGCGACCAGCTGCGCATGGACGAGCTGCTCGAGCTGCTCGAGGTGCGGAAGAGCACGTTCTGGGGCAAGCTCCTCTTTAAGGGTGGCAAGGACCGGCGCGATGTGCGGCGCAAAGGCGTGTTTGGCGTCTCGCTCGAGTACCTGGTCGAGCGGCAGGGCGCCGACTCGACGCTGGGAGCGACGCCGACGCCGATGCGTGTGCCCGCGCTGGTCGACGACATTGTCTCAGCGATGCGGCAGATGGACGTGTCGGTGGAAGGCATCTTCCGCAAGAACGGGCACGTGCGGCGGCTCAAGGAGCTCGCGGACGCGCTCGACCGCGACGCGGACGGGGTGAACCTGTTTGAGGACCACCCGGTGCAGCTGGCCGCGCTGCTCAAAAAGTTCCTGCGCGAGCTGCCGGATCCCCTGCTCACGGCGCGCCTCTACGGCCTGTTCCTCGCGGCGCAGGTCAGCGAGGGCGACGCGGCGGAGCGCCGCCGGCTCCTGCGGCTCGTGGCGATGCTCCTGCCACGTGCGCATCGCGACACGATGGAGGTGCTGTTTGTCTTTTTCAAGTTTGTCGCGACGTTCTCGTACGTCGACGACGAGACGGGCAGCCGCATGGACGCGGCGAATCTAGCGACGGTGCTCGCGCCCAGCCTCCTGTTTACGCGTGCTGCGGAGCCGACACCTACGGAGGCGCACATCGCGCAGCGCGTCGTGTGCGATATGATCGAGCACCAGGACGACTTTTGGTTCGTGAGCGAGGACCTGGAGCGGGCACTGCGCGACCGCGCGCTGGTGAGTGCCGCGCCGGAGCTCGCGCCCACGGAGATGCTGCGGCTGTGTGCGGCGTATGCGTAGCACTGTATATTAGATGCCATAGCCGACGACGCGCGAAAACACAAACGGGCGTGCATGCTTGTGGGGAATCGGCACGACCTCGGCCGTCTGCAGATTGAGCGACGAGTACGCGAGCATGTCGAGGCGGTGCCAGCGCCCGGGCGCCGGGCGCAGGTGCAGCGTCATCTGGAACGTATAGCCGCGCAGGTGCGGGTCGCGCAGGTCGTCGATCACGACGGTCGCGCCGCGGCGCGCGGGCGGCGCGCCGTCGTCGACGAGCATGTGCCAGCGCCCGGCCGCACACCCCTTCGTGCGCAGGCCGGGCACCAGCTGCCGCACCGCATCGGAGGGCGCCTCGGTCGTGAGCCAGCTGAGGCACCGCCCGTTCGGAAAGAAGCGCAGGTACCGGAAGAACGCGACCTTGTGCAGCACGCGCACCCACACGTTCTCGACGGACAGGCCCTGCTGCGTGTACTCGCACGTCGCAATGTACGTGCCGTTCAGGCGCACACGCGGCTCGTGCACAAACGCATCGCGCCAGCTGCATGGCATGCGCGCCAGCGGCGCCTCGTACGTAGCCTCGGCCACGGCCTTCCACACCTGTGGGTGCGCCGACAGCCAGCGAAGGCGCCAGCACACGCGCCCCAGCCGCTCGAGCGCCTCATAGTCGGCGCCCGTGTACGCGCGCCACGGCTCGCCCGGCTCGGGCACAAAGGTCTGGAACTCGCGCACGGCCGGCACGAGGAGCGGCGCAGGCGCAGGCGCGACGACGCGCAGCAGGATCGCGAGCCACACCTCGTCCGGGAGCCGCGCGACCGGGACGGGCGCCTGCTCGTCCGCCGGGTATATGTCGTGCACGGACGTGTGCAGCCGCAGCGCCTGCAGACGCGCCGTCACGCCGCTAATGGCGCCGTCCTCCTGCCCGTCGGTCTCGGCGGCCAGCGCCGCTGCATGCCGAGCGACCGACTCGGCATGCGCCTCCGTCAGCGCATGGAGCAGCGCGCGGAGGCTGTCTGGCTGC